ACATATATGGAACGGATATGGTTCGAAAAAAAATTATATCGACTAAAAACCACCTTGATTAACCCCTGAATACTCTCCCCAGTCTCTGCATGATATAGGAGGCAATGAATTAAACAATAGCAGAGTTCATTCATAAACATCAAACATTTACTGTATTATCAGCATTTTGATCAACCTTACAGCAGTAAAACAGCAACAAAGACATTCAGACAGTCAACTCTGCATTCTCGTTAGTGCATGCCTTCAGCGCGAGAACTGTCGATCAAAAGTCTGGATAAATCACTGGCTTCCCTGCGAGTTTTCAATTCATATTTCAAAATATCTGCATGACATTGAAAACAACTCGAGATTTTCTACTAATTGTGGACTTGGTTTATTCATTAATGCTCCATGAGATACTTTGAACAAAGACTTCACCATTGTTGGGTATACCAGTGCAGTATGATAATCCAGGTAGTTAGATCCCAATGGTAGACCATGCATAATCTCGATGAATCACCCTGAATTCCTCTGTAGCTAAATTTCATTCCACAACAAGAAACACGGCATGTTTATGGCCATTTTAAGAGCACATTCAATTGTTATTCCCAATTGATTGCATATAAAATCCAACTTTGATTTAGTTTCAAATACATAACTTCGAAGCTTGGGACGGCACTTGTAGAGAAAGTGCATGGACAAACCTACTGCGACCATTCGAATCCTCGCCACAATGAATCGAACCACGCAGGTAACATAAGCTGAACCCAAAGTTATAGCCAAACTTAACATCAGCACAGGGGGCTTTTCAACATCTCTCCGCTCAATGAAGGCTCGTCGAGACAGTTAACCAAGACCATTACATACTTCTACAAACATTTTGGACACTTGATGTCTTGCTCAGCACACAAAGCATCACCAAAACCAGTTTTTTGTTTAAAGGCTGCACCTACTCCTTCAAAAAGGTTGGGACAAATACCCAAGCTACAATAAACTGGATAACAGTCTTGAGGATTTGTTGATCTTTCACGCTCAGATCCATTACGGCAACTCGTGTTTAGCTATATTAATTTAAGAAGATATATTAAAAGAGCGCAAACATAACCGATTAAAGATCAATCGTACAGATCTACTATCGATGTTTACTGTTGACACTGTTCCCCTGCTCTTTGAGCTCGGTTCTTGTTCAAGTATTCCACAAAACGACAACCTCAATTCCTGACATGATCTCAAATGCTCCTCCGTTTCTAAAGCTCGCCAAAGAAACATAGATTCAACGCTAACAAATCATCAAAATTGGTTGTGGCTTTAACGGCTAAGTGCATGTCTGTATTTTTACTTCGATTCAAAAACTTGTGAAATAAAAACTTGTGAAATAAATACATACAATTTAGGCCCAAAGTGTACCGGCGAGTCAAGCGGCTATACCGCTAAAACACAAAATTAACAAAACATTTTAGCAAACTAAGCCGTTCAGTCATTTATATTGAGTTTCCTTTCGAGTATGACGATTGTTTCAAAACACTAAAAGAATATCAAAGCACTAAAGTTTCTCGCTAAAAACACTTAAAAAACGTTTAGGCGTTTAAATCATGTCATTTCCAAGCGTGTGCCTTATTAGTCGTTTTCTATGCATATGCTTGTTAGAGACCGCCTCCCGAGACCAGGAAAAGCTTAAATACGTTAAATTTATCTTCGCTCTCAGGGCTAGCCACTGTAGCTGATTCGTCTATGACGCTAGGCTAGTGGCGATGCATACTCTGTTTCTCACTGAGACGTAACGGTTAGGTGCACATACATCATGGTCTGGGGGCCGTAGTGCATCTCCCCCTTAGACGGCCGTTAAGATGTGAGTTATGGGGGGGAGTTCTTCCTATAGCAACTGTCCTTGCACCTTTCGCAGTTGTAATCATGTTGGTATATTGCAGCCGGTTGTATCACCAGGTTAGATTGTGGCATGAGCTGGATGAATCTCTTTTGGGTGTTTTTAGGTTGTTTCCAAAAATTTTTTTTTCTTTCCAAGTTTTCTTTTACATGCAAAAAACACTGTTATTAAACATATATGGAACGGATATGGTTCGAAAAAAAATTATATCGACTAAAAACCACCTTGATTAACCCCTGAATACTCTCCCCAGTCTCTGCATGATATAGGAGGCAATGAATTAAACAATAGCAGAGTTCATTCATAAACATCAAACATTTACTGTATTATCAGCATTTTGATCAACCTTACAGCAGTAAAACAGCAACAAAGACATTCAGACAGTCAACTCTGCATTCTCGTTAGTGCATGCCTTCAGCGCGAGAACTGTCGATCAAAAGTCTGGATAAATCACCTGGCTTTCCCTGCGAGTTTTCAAATTCATATTTCAAAATATCTGCATGACATTGAAAACAACTCGAGATTTTCTACTAATTGTGGACTTGGTTTATTCATTAATGCTCCATGAGATACTTTGAACAAAGACTTCACCATTGTTGGGTATACCAGTGCAGTATGATAATCCAGGTAGTTAGATCCCAATGGTAGACCATGCATAATCTCGATGAATCACCCTGAATTCCTCTGTAGCTAAATTTCATTCCACAACAAGAAACACGGCATGTTTATGGCCATTTTAAGAGCACATTCAATTGTTATTCCCAATTGATTGCATATAAAATCCAACTTTGATTTAGTTTCAAATACATAACTTCGAAGCTTGGGACGGCACTTGTAGAGAAAGTGCATGGACAAACCTACTGCGACCATTCGAATCCTCGCCACAATGAATCGAACCACGCAGGTAACATAAGCTGAACCCAAAGTTATAGCCAAACTTAACATCAGCACAGGGGGTGCTTTTCAACATCTCTCCGCTCAATGAAGGCTCGTCGAGACAGTTAACCAAGACCATTACATACTTCTACAAACATTTTGGACACTTGATGTCTTGCTCAGCACACAAAGCATCACCAAAACCAGTTTTTTGTTTAAAGGCTGCACCTACTCCTTCAAAAAGGTTGGGACAAATACCCAACGCTACAATAAACTGGATAACAGTCTTGAGGATTTGTTGATCTTTCACGCTCAGATCCATTACGGCAACTCGTGTTTAGCTATATTAATTTAAGAAGATATATTAAAAGAGCGCAAACATAACCGATTAAAGATCAATCGTACAGATCTACTATCGATGTTTACTGTTGACACTGTTCCCCTGCTCTTTGAGCTCGGTTCTTGTTCAAGTATTCCACAAAACGACAACCTCAATTCCTGACATGATCTCAAATGCTCCTCCGTTTCTAAAGCTCGCCAAAGAAACATAGATTCAACGCTAACAAATCATCAAAATTGGTTGTGGCTTTAACGGCTAAGTGCATGTCTGTATTTTACTTCGATTCAAAAACTTGTGAAATAAAAACTTGTGAAATAAATACATACAATTTAGGCCCAAAGTGTACCGGCGAGTCAAGCGGCTATACCGCTAAAACACAAAATTAACAAAACATTTTAGCAAACTAAGCCGTTCAGTCATTTATATTGAGTTTCCTTTCGAGTATGACGATTGTTTCAAAACACTAAAAGAATATCAAAGCACTAAAGTTTCTCGCTAAAAACACTTAAAAAACGTTTAGGCGTTTAAATCATGTCATTTCCAAGCGTGTGCCTTATTAGTCGTTTTCTATGCACATGCTTGTTAGAGACCGCCTCCCGAGACCAGGAAAAGCTTAAATACGTTAAATTTATCTTCGCTCTCAGGGCTAGCCACTGTAGCTGATTCGTCTATGACGCTAGGCTAGTGGCGATGCATACTCTGTTTCTCACTGAGACGTAACGGTTAGGTGCACATACATCATGGTCTGGGGGCCGTAGTGCATCTCCCCCTTAGACGGCCGTTAAGATGTGAGTTATGGGGGGGAGTTCTTCCTATAGCAACTGTCCTTGCACCTTTCGCAGTTGTAATCATGTTGGTATATTGCAGCCGGTTGTATCACCAGGTTAGATTGTGGCATGAGCTGGATGATCTCTTTTGGGTTTTATTAGGTTCTTTCCAAAAATTTTTTTTTTTCCTGAAAAATGTTTCTTTTAGATACAAAAAATGCTGTATTAACAAATATGAACGAATATGGTTCGAAAAAAAATTTATATTGAGTAAAAACCACCTTAATTAACCCCTGAATACTCTTCCCAGTCTCTGCATGACTGAGTCTCTGAATTAAACAATAGTACAATACCAGAAATCATTCATAAACATCAAACATCTTCATCAACCTTACAGCAGTAAAACAGTGACAAAGACATTCAGACAGTCAACTCTGCATTCTCGCTAGTGCCTTTAATTTCGAGAACTGTCAATCAAAAGTCTGGATAAGTCTCCTGGTTTTCCCTGTGAGTTTTCAAATTCATTGAAAACAACTGAAGATTTTCCACTAATTGTGGACTTGGTTTATTCATTAATACTGATCCATGAGATAGTTTGAACGAAGACATCACCCTTGTTGGGTATATCAGTACAGTATGGTAATCAAGGTAATATCCGAATGGTAGACCATAATCTCGACGAATCACCCTGAATTCTTCTGTAGCTAAATGTTCATTCCTCAACAAGAAATACCGCAAGTTTTTGAAGTTTAAACGAACTTAGCTTGTGTAATATCTAAAAATAGGTCTATTACATTTGTAAGGTTTGCGAAAGTGTTTTATAACAATTACAAATGGAACCTTACTCTGTGAGAAAAGTAAACCTATATAGGCGCGGTTTTCTTTTTTCAAATAACTCCATCAGTATTTTAAAACCGTATTTACAAATAACCCAAACATGAAAGAGGGCGTGACAAAACGTGCGTTTTGAAACGGCAAACGTACCTTTTGAAACATGAAAGCTTTAACGCAAATGGTAATAGTACTGATCTTGAACTCACCACTTACTTGTTCCCACGGCTTGTTCCTCTGTGCCCAGGAGTTCCCAGGAGTAACCACTGAGGTTGTAACCTCAAAATCCAGGTGGCTGATAATGCATTGTGGGACAGTTAATGATTATTCCAAGATGGCGGCTGAATACTGCGCTTGAAAATATAGCAATCTTAGTAGAATCGGTTTTACGGACAATTTCGGTAGTTTCAACCAGTACAGATTAGAATATTTGCCTATATATCATCCCCGATATCTCGAAATGGCAATAATATCTGATTTTCTTATTTTCGGGCAAGTATTTTATATTTGTTTACGTCAGGTACAAGGTTACGTCATTTTATCAGAACGGTTTTCCAAATCATGTTTTTGCTGTATTTTTATTTAATGACAGGACTCTTTTGGTGAATGCATGTGCTGTTCTAAACTTTAAATTGTGAGTATTAGTTATAAACTTATAGATTGGATATTGCACTTATAAAAAATGGTACAGCTGTACAGGAAAATACCTAAGCAGTAAACACATTATTTCCTATATAACGTACTATGTTATAACTGTCCAATCAAAACGCTTGACTTTTACCATATGATTAGGCAATTCATCAACATATTTAATATTACTAAGGATTGCAATTATATTAGGAAAAGAAAAGATCCTACAGAAAATTTTGGGGAGGAAGAACCTAGCTTGGGTAATAAACCTTGTAGTGTAAAAAAATTCATTGATTTGTGGCTTAAGTAGTTTTTATACTAATCTGACAGGTAGATTGATTTTTTACTGTTAACATATAGTGGACAAAAGTCGAGAATTTCTCCTGAACCTACGATTCTTCAGAACCTTTATTGGTATCTGGAATGTTGCAATAATGATATGCATGATCATGTGAGTGTTATATCAATCCATAGCTTATGCCTAGTCTCTATGACACTCCCTCTGTATTGAACCAGTTTTCTAATGATTATTTGCGACAAGAGAAGATCTGGTTAGAAATACTGTATTTGATGTTCTATCTTAATAGTGATCTGCAAATAAACTGGATATAGCATCTATACCAGTGTACCTATCAAGAACAAAACTGGAATAATGTCAGATCAGTGTGTCTAACCACACAGACCTTGTGGTTCTTTATGCATTTTCAATGTTATAACATTCTTTTTTTACTTTTTTAGTTTCTTTGGTTCTTGACTGTATATTATGTGTATCAAAGAATGTGTATGAACAATCCATATGTTGCGGAAAAAGTTTAATTTATTGTTGTATAGTAATATAGATACTGGAGTTAATACTAGACATAATAGCCCTTTTCAGCTTGCATGCAAATTAACCATTTCAGATGTTGTGATCATGGAATTGCCAATAAAACTTAACCATTTCTGACCATGATACTTGAAATGGGTTAATTTGCATACAAGCTGAAAAGGTCTATTATGTAAACTAATATTGATCAGCAATAACCGTGAACATCTTGCAAATATGTCGCAGTTCATATAATTGGCAAACATTCACAGTCCAATTATTTTATTATTGTATTTACAGTTCTGGGTCACTCAGTCTATACAAGATCATGAATATAAATTTAGGTTAACCTGGTCAAATAATTAGATAAAATTGTCTCCAAAATAAATAAGAGTTTTAATTATTATTGAAAGAAGAATAAAGAGAGAATGGGGTATGATGGATACACATTCAGCCTGGCTGTTCTGTTTTGTATACAATAGTGCTAGCACACAGTCTGTTTTTAGGAAAGTGTAAATAAAATTTTGCCAAGATATTTAAATTCTTTTTGCTAAATAAAAGCATGAAATTTAGCCAATGGCACAAGATGCTTGTGTGTGTTACTATGGTTACACTAAGGTGAAATGCCAGGATTCAACAGGGATGAAAATTGGTTAGGATTTTGTGGTGATAAATGGAATGCGTTGTTATAACATCTTTGGCATAACCAATAACCTGTTTAGGCTTGTAGGACAATCTGGTTCATGTCATGATTTTATTTTGGTTTTCAGACATTCCAAACTGTAGTGGTAATCTTATTCCAACTGCAGAACCCACAGCACTCAGCCAGGTTGTTAGATATAAAGTTGCATCTCTAAATAGGGAAAACAGTTGCATAAATATTTGTGTAGTTATTGTGAATTGATACCTTAAATAGTGATGTTATAGCCAGTGCAACTGATGTATGTCATTATGTATATATCCTATCACATTGAGTATACCATATCCCAGCTTCCTTCAGAATATCCAAGCCTTACTAGACTACATTTTCCATTTATACCCTGGTTGAGTTTACCATATATACTTGACACTTTTCTGTGAACCAATGGATAAGCAAGCGGGCTCTGGGAATGAGATTGTGACTTACCTTTTATGAACTGAGGTATTCATTAATATTTGCTTCATTAACTCAGCAGTATGACATGGATGAATAAGGAAATATGGTCGATGTAGAAGAGGATGTTCCTAAGAGGAAAAAAAAACAACCTTAACCATGAAAATATGTTCATCTGCCAACATTATATGCCACAATCATATATATCCTTCAAGTATAAGGTTACCTGCTGTGTTATAAATGACCATTTATCGTGATTCAAAAAATCCTGATGAATTTCTGATACTTGTTGCCAAATATCGCTTAGTGAAAGTAGTTTTCCATCTGTATTGAAAAGGAAAATTCAAACAAATCCTAAACACTATCTTAAAGACAAACTATTCAGAATAACCTTGGTAATAACCTTTCTGTCATCTTAAACTATAGGTGGATGTAATGAAGATATGTTTGACTTTTAGTATGCTGAAAATTTATAGGAGTAAATTACAAAGTACCTTGCGACCAGGCGTTAAAATACAGAACAGGTACGTTGTAACTAGAGCTGTATACCACATGATATTCAAATGTTAAAATCTCTTTCAATAGTTCTGCATGGCCTGAATATACCTATATGAAAAACATAAATGTACAAGCTAGTCTACTAGCAAAAATACCTAGATTCTAGAAAAATAGCTAAATTCTTTAAAAAGCCTGGCTAAAATAGACCTCTTAAAATTAATACAAAATTTATATACTTGTTGGTTTGACAGTGCTATGGTGGCAAGATGCAATTTCAGCATGATATAATCTTTTTTAAACTAAAATGTAATTTTTTTAGTTTCTTTTTATAAACTGTTAGGACTGACCCAGATAGCCTGAGATAGGAATGTATTTATATTGAGATAACACAACACTCTTACAGCATTATCAAACATTAATATATCATCCTCTAAATATTCTTTTGTGCCATCAGTCAGGTTTTCAGATTTCTCCTTATTTCCAACAATAGCAGCAGTCATTTGCCTTTTTACCAAATATTTTTCCGCAGGAGAACCCTACAAGATCAAATGAGCTTAATTCACTTTTGACAAGTCATTCTCTATCTTCTCAGCCTTAGCATTATTCATGATCAACCCAGGATATGCATGGCAAAAATCTCATGTCTTCAGATGCTGTGAGCAACATGCATTTAGTAGCCAACAAAAGATTTCTTGAACTACTTGTCACACATTATCTTTACCTTAGGTGACTGTTTTTTGTGTGTGGCAGACCTTAAAGGCAGATCCTGTTTTCATATTATAGGAAAATGCAACTGTCCTAAAAGTTGTGCAGATACAGTGAGACTCATAGACAATCAATCATAAGAATGAGGTTTAAGATTATCAGCATACTCTCATAGTCAAAATTTGGCTTACACCTTATCAGCTGGTGCATGCCAAACCAGGTGGGGGGAGGCAGACTTAGTAATATAAAGTCAAAGCTGTCAGGTAATTTGTACTTATATTAGACATTAAATTAGGCTTTATTTACCTCAACATGACATACACACCAGTTTTCATTAAAGGCTTTAGATTTTTCAACAAACTTATCAATACCAATGTTAAATTGTTCCCTGGTTAGACCACCATCATTCATTCTGCACCAGTATTATTGCCCAACACCAACACTACATCAATTGCAAGTATTGCAAGTCAGCAAGTGCCAATTTTGCAAACAGGAAGTTGACTGGGAACTAAGAGACATTAGACATAACCAAAGTTTATATCATCAGCCATCAATATATGTGTATTTTAATTGTGTATTTTATTTTCAGGACCGATTTTATTGTGAACAAAGTGTTTTAAATTTAGACAACTTTTTTAAAGGCAAACAAATAAACTGTATTAAACCAGCAGGGTATCAAAAAATATCGTTTGAATCCGCTTTCCAAGGATAGGCGAAGCATTTTTACCATAATTTTTACAAATGGTCGTTAAATTTTAAAGATTCTTGCAGTGTTAGAAACTCCGTTTTTACATTCCCTATTTATGCTGTATGAACACATTAACACTTGCATTCCTCTGATGTCTCTATGTCGACAGTACAAATCGTCGAGCAAATCGTGGTTTTATCGAGATGTGATAAACTTGCTCCTACTTCCTACAAGTGATTTGTAACGGTCGTCGATGTGTGGTAACACCCCAGGGTTTTGTAACAAAGAATTATTAAGCGTATACATTTTTGCTTACTTCACGCGGTGTTTTGATACGGTACACGCCGATAGTGGGCGACCTTGTGGTTTGCAGGTCAAGGGCAGTTCACGCATCTTTTCTTATCGATAATTATTGTAAAAAATCTCGGATTTTAGGTCCAGAATCAAAACACTATATTATGTAATACGTTGTTTTAAGACATTAGACAACGTTTTTCAGGTTGTTTTGTCTGAGAACTTTTTTAATACTTATACATTTTTGATATTGTGAGATATTGTTATAAAATCAGCTTAAAATAGTCACTGTTAGTTAAATATTAACAGCAAACGGTTGAAGTGACCCAAATATTCAAATATTGAAGCTTTTATACAAAATTCTCACAAAGCCACGTTCCTATCGCAATTAGAAGAATATCGATTACATTTTTGTTTAAATTTGTAGTTGGCATATCTCCCACTTGCCCGGGGAAGCCACTTGACTGCAAAGTTGTAAATTTCACACTTTCAAAAATCAATGTTTCTCGACGCTTGCCCCATTAACCCAAAATACAGCGACAAGAATAATTCGTTTAAAGTTTGCTAGAAATCAAATAGCAGAGAGCTTTGTTTTGCTGATAATAATTCGTTTTGTGTTCGTTTTTGACGGAAGCATTTTGTGTGTCTTTTGTTTCGAGATCACGATTTGTTCGAATGAACCAATTAGAATGTTTCTTTTGACAAGCGATCGTGATCGTTGTCATGGTAGATTGGCCTTGGGTTCGGCGGCGTTCGTTTCGAGCATGATGGAGCTATCAACTGATCCTACGTTGACAGGCAGGCACAGCATGTTCTCAAAAGGCAAGACGAATACAGTCCCGTCAGACGCTCAGGCGAGAGAAAAGTAAGCCGCATTGAAATTTTCTAATCACTTGAGCGAACAATTTCGATTCTGCAACATCGAAAAACTAGATGACGTGTTGTTGATAGTCTGGTTTTGTGAATTATATACTCTTGAGTGGATCGAATTATTCCCGCCGTATTGTGTATAGTTCAACGTTGCGTACAGTATTTCTTCAACAGTGTAGAATAAATATTGCTTTCTGTGTATTACTTTAGACTTGCACTGTATGTCTACGAATATTTGCTCCATGTTGGCGCACAAAAGAGTGCTCAAACGTTTCTCAGTGAGGTTAGTATGACTGCTAGTATTGCAAGCATATCTGTTTGTATTTGCTTTCTACTCACTTGACACATAGTGAATCATCTATATTTGTATTTTAGATAAGATGGGAAAAGAATATAACATTAGGAGAACCGCCAGGATTTCTTCATTCGTGGTGGTGGTAAGTTATAAATTTATTTGCTAGCTAATGTGTACAAGTGCCATTCGATATGTGTAATTGAAACATGTTTAATACTACGATTTCATACGCTGAGCCAAGGGTAAGTACTAGTAACAATGTATAACAGTTCATGTTTATAATGTGGTTTTAGTATATTGTAAACTTCTAGTAAACTTCTGGTGCAATATATTTTCATTCATTTTATTTACAACATGGCTTCTGTTTCAGTGTGTTTTGGGATCTGTACTGTGCATCGCCGGAACGGAGAGAAAGCTATGATCATTCAAGCGAGGCTAAAGCTTTCCATGATTATGTGAGTATTGGGGACAATTGCGTTTCAAGAAACCCTTACGATTCATTTATAATTTGTAATAAAATTTAAGCTTAACGAAAGGATGAATGCGAAACTACTTTACTCCCGTCCTTTGTTTGACCTGTCGGGGGAACGGAAGAGCAAAAATCCACGTGAATGAAGCAAAGCAGCTGGTTAATGCCGGCGAGAAGTATTATTTTTATTATTAAGTGCACAACAAAGTCAAAGCTTTGAAACGGTTTGGTCATTTAATAAAACAATATTATATAACAACAAAATATCACAGGTAAAAATACAGAAATGTAGTCTCGTTTATAGAGCTTTGGCCACAGGCCTATGGCACAACCGCTTTAACTTTTTTCGGGTCGTGTTTCGTACGATTAAAATCTTTCGTTACAAATGATTCAAGTAAGCGTAGCGATATTGTGGCGTTTAGAAAAGTCAGTAAATAGGGAATTATTTTCGCAACAATTTTGACAATTTCTGTACTAGTTTATAATCCGTCGTACTAAAGTACACGAACGGAAGTGAAAATTGAGATGCTCAAATTTCATTTAAGACAACCACTTGACAAACTAGGAAATAATTTATGATGCCAGCATTCTTATTAGACCATATAGTTTTCTATTGCCATATCTACAAATTAAAGACAGAAAAACCCGGGTTTTGCTTTAGTTTTGAAGCATGCATGCATACACATAGATCTATATACTCCTTGCATAATGGCCAACGCTTCGCCCTAGCTGGTTGAGCGAAAGTTTTAAAAATCTTGTCGCTGATGCACTATTAAATCCATCTGTGATTTATCTTGAAACTCAACCTTATTCACTTACTATTTTCTAATCAAGCTGTGAGTCGGTTGTAGTTCATTGTGAGCTTATGACTTGGAAATATAGTACAATAATTTTCCAATTTGCAATAAACTTTGCTTTCTTGGGCAGCTCATACTAATGCATATCTGTGCATGAGATATTTACTGGTAATATTATATTGAAATATCATTTGGCAAGTGATTAACAACTGTTTATTACAGTTTTCCCGATATATAATGTAAAATATTATGCTTAACTGGTGATAAGTTGTTGAAAGTTTATTATAATAAACACAGGTCAATGTTTACATCGTAAGTAGAACACGATATTTTGAGATGCATGCTCAAGTTTTGTTACAGTATAGGTACAATATGAGGGAATATCCACATTCCCAATTTAATGTTGTAGAGTTTTCCAGATTTAAATGCACATGTTTGATGATTTAGGGTATAATGTGTGCTTTCTTTTATATTCTTCCATTTGAATATATGTCAAAATCTTTTGTTCATAGCTTTATGTGGCAGGTGTTTGACTAGTGAAGACATTGTCTTGCATCTATTCATGGCTAGGCAGACCTTGGAATATATTGCCTTGGCTTTGCTGTATTGTTGAGTTATACAATATTGACACAAACATGATGCACAATTTTGTTCTTTAAAATATTATGAGATATAATACACATGGAAATCTCCCTAGTGTTTTTATATTCTCCAGTTCTTTAACATTTAATTATTCTGAGTTATGCAAATAGTTTAGGATGTTTGGCAGGCATTTATAGCATTGAATTCCAAGCTGGCTTTGTACATTAAAAACATGTAATACACAGTTTAATAAAATAGTTGTGTGGTAACATTAGTTTACAATTTTTACCACTGTGTCTGGTACGCATTATTGCCATGTTTCTATCGATCTAAAACAAAAACAGCAATTAATAGCAGAAAGTTTTTACAAGATTTAATTGTAGAAGAATAACACTGAGGTTTTTGCCTACCTACTGCTCAATTGTGCCAGTTTCCAAGTTAGTTTCAAGCTCTAATGTTTATTTTAAGTAATTTTTTGGTGGGATGACTTGTAAGGTGTTGACTATTCATATCAGATATTTTGCAACATCTCCCATTTTTATATAGGTGATTCCAAACCTACCTCCTGGGGCTGTGCCTTCACCTCCATTTCCTCAGATGACCAATGAAAATTCAGGAAATTTAGCAGGAATGCCTGGTTATTTTCCAGTGAGTTTTAATACCTTTCATTTTAGTGGCTGTTTCAGTAAAACAAATTTGCTAGCTGCATTACTATGTGCATTTAATTTTTCTTATTCACATATTTTTTCTAATGACCTAATTATATGTGAGTGGTGCATTTAGTGTTGTCTTTCTTTTCTATTCTATGAAATTTGTATTTCAACTGGGTCACATTTAATGGAGTCTTTTTGTTTCTATTACAAATAAATTTAGAATTTACATTCCATTTTAGCCTAATTCATCCCAAGGTCCACAAGGTCCGTCCCCTCACCATGGAGGACCTACACCACCTGGGTTTATGCCTGGACAGCCGGTATGTCGGATACATTTTCATTTCTAGGGACAGTTGCACTTATCATTTAGAGTAGTTATGACTAATTTGCCTAAATTTTAGTAGATTTATCCTTATGCTATTGTCTTTTTCTACTTTTTATTTATGCCAAAATGAAATGTTGTGTAATTTTTATTGCATGGGAATTAAGTGATATTTTTACCATGGAATTTGCCTTCTGCCTGCTATCTCTTTTGCTGATTTCTTTGTTTGTTTTAGAATGCTCCTTTTATCCCAGGACCAGGACCACAGGTAAGGCACATGCTTAATTAGCTTGTGGAAATAATAAAGAATAAAAATAGGATGCTTGTGGAAACACAATCATGTCAATCTGTACAGCTGTGTACACCACAAATTTTGCCTCATCATTCAGCTGCCCTTGTAAATGAAGAAAAATTTGGCATAGCTAAGTTAAACATAAACCATTGTTGTTAATCCAATGCCTGTTGTTTCTCCCCAAGTTGAATTTTACTAATTCAAAGAATTAGAAACTAGGATATTGCCAGTGAGTAAGTGTGTTCATTTACTGTATATACCACGTTCTGATGTTCATCAACTGTTGTACTTTAGAATTTCATACCCCAAAGATATCAATCAAGGTCATCTGTGAGAATACCTGGACAGGTAATCGACAATATATTTTCAAAAATTCTGCCATTTCCTGCTGTTAAACTGGTAGTTACCGTAATTGAACTGAATTTAAACTGAACTGCTTATTTCATATATATTATCAAAAGCACATATACAGAGAAACTATTATGCAATGTGAAATTTACTTTTAACTTGCTTTGTTTAGCCTGTTGGTGTTCCTGGGGTACCTGGTGCTCAACCTTTGTTACCAAATACAATGGACCCTAACAGATCTCAACCTTCATTTGGAGGTAAATACATTACTTTGTCTGTTTCACAGCAACCAGAACTTTGATAATCACGACAATTGCAATTTTGTGCACAACAACTGACCGACAGTAATCAAAATCCTAGAACTTTGTGGTTTATCAAAGGCCCTTTTTTTTACCAGGTCCGCCTATGTCTGTTCAAAGAATGGCACCTCGCATGCAAGTTGTAAGTCCAAATGTACGTTTTTTAAACATTCTAATGTAAACATTCTAATGTAATTAATTTGTAAACACTGAACATTCTAATATAATTAATTTGCTACAACAGCCCAGTCACCTTTTAAAATGTCAGTTGGTTTGCCCTTTATTTGCTGTCTTTATTACAATTTAGCATTTGATTGGTGGCTGTTAAGTGAACCCTGTGCATTATTTACTAGTTAAAGTTTTAAACTAGCAATAATGTTTTTCTGATTTTTTGAAGGTTTTTATATAGTTTTAGGGTTTTTATAGTCGTGATATTTTGTGTTTCAGGGTTATTCATCGATGAGACCAAATGCACCTGTTGGACCTCCAATGTCATTGTAAGTTTAAAACTCTTTCAGCTGTTGCTTTAGGTAGGGAGTTGAAAACAGCTAGGGTTAAATTTTTCTACTGTTTGTAAATACGGAAGGCATGCCTCTCAAGTCATTTCAAATTTTTTTCTTCGTGGAAGTTATTTTGCAAATTTCAGGTTTTCGTCTTAACATCAGTAAGATGTTGCGTGATGCGAGAATTGCTGAGTATTTCTTATCTTTTTGCAGGCCAGGTGGAAGAGCTTGGAATCCAACGACAAGTGCTGGGGTATGTTTGTGTTTAAGCTCAAATCCATGAACCATTAGGTTATCTATGTGAATTTTGAGTTCATGAAAACGGTTGTGAATAGTAAAGTTTTGTTTTTCTAAAATTCCGTTCATTTGTTCCTTCGCATTTTCTCTTATTTTTGTATAACCGTTTGTGTTTCAGGGCAACGGGCCTCCGGGTACTCCAATGATGCCCAGCACGCCAGGTTAGACTTAAGACACTTTTTTCATTTGTCTTAAGAATTGCTTCCACTGCACATTCTTCTAAAAATCCTGCTTAAAACACAGGCTTTGTAAAAGGTCTGTAGAGTGATAACTCTTCATTTGATTGGTCAAGATAATTCAGTGGTCTTTCGTTCTTTATCAGATACTCCGACACAAGCTGCTGATATGTATAACATGATGAAATCAGTACCAGGCGCTAGTTCCATGACACCGGTTTGTATTTTCATCGCTTTTTGTGTTTCCCTTCACGCCAAATAAAAGTAGTTTTATACACGAGATAAAATTGTATATTTTTTATTTTGATTTAGTTTGGTATGCCAGGTGGACCAGAACCTGGACTCGGAATAGGTAATATGAAATAACATGTATATATAACTTGTGTTCTGAATGGTCGAAGCCTGTGTTTGGATCAGGCCATCCAAGCACGGAAACCATAATTGTTAAAATATGCATCAGGTCAAGTTACTCGTGTATAAGTTAAGAGAACCTTTCCTTCAAAGTGAAAAATATCGTTTCGATTCATTAACCCTCCCACAACTATATACCCTCCCAACCTTAGCCGGTTGAGAAAGGACTTTACTGGAATCACATCAATGCATATTTGTTTAGATTCACAGCAAGATATAGATGGTTTACCGAAGGTAGGTTTGCTGTCAAATTATGCAAATATTCATAATTCTTTTGTCAGTTGGACTTAATAACGAAAAATAACGTTAAAAACTTGCTTTAGGAACCCCCAAACGACCACGGCCCAGGAACTCCTGGTGGTGAATCAAACGAGTTTGGTGGAATATTATCGTTTAATCAAGATGGGGTGTGTAATGTTTAAATAACTGACTACAAAACGTAAACTACAAACGTTGTGTTTGTTGCAGTAGCAGTTATATTTCATAGAAAAGTGCCTGTTACTTATCTGTTTGTTTTCGATTCTGTTTCAGGGATTTCCAAGCTAGAAATAATGCAGTATATCGCACGACCTTCTCGCGTAAGTTTGGTATATTTGGAACGTGTAGAACCAAAATTCATTTTCGACCTAGGGTGCCCTACAACGGAAGAGTGCACTAATTTCGCTTGGGCACAGCAATTCCAAACCAGAAATTGCATATTTTAAAACTGGTTACAAATGCTGAAGTTGTCTCACGAAGAACGAACACTGCTTATCAACAGGCACACGACGCCCATGCATTAATTGCTACATTATCCATTTTTGTATTGAAAAGATAAATCTGCATGCATGGCCATTTAACTTTTCAACTTTTTAGATCAAGTCAAAGACACGACAAGATTTCTGAATAGTACGTGGATAAGGTGATGACTATTGCATAGAATAAATTATTGAACATTTTATTATTATCTGTGCAAAGAACGAGAGACTTGGACTTTTTTAAGAAGATTTGGTTGGGAGAGACAGTTGGGTGAATATTCAAATGTGTTCATTCGTAAAACATGCAAGCCAAGCTTGATAATATCTCATTCGGTTAGATATGGTTAAATAGTTTTGGTTCATGGCCGATTTCATAGCACACATGCAATAATTCGTCTAAAACACAATAAGTTGTATCAGAAAGGCGAATCCTTGACCAGTGATTTAATTATGACCCGGCACATTCGTATTTATCGACTATGATGATGTATCAGGTGTGAGTCATACTGCAATAGACGATAGGTTTCATTGGTGGAGACTTGCATAAATGTTCACTGGAGTTTTAATTTAGTGAAGCAACTTTATTTTTGATCGGAAAATGTCCAATTGATAGTTGTTTCGGGTTCTACAGAAAAAAAATAGGCTTTTTTCGATAATTATCTGCAAAATTATTTAACCATATCAGAAACAAACCACTCTAGTTAAAAATCAAGATATTTTGCAAAAAAACCTCGCTGTATATAAATTTATTATACAAATTATATATCGCATAAAGTAACGAAATTTTGCCGTTGGTCTGCAGCTAAACAATTCTATAGAAGCATGATTCTCGAAACTCACGTTTACTGATTGAGAAAAGCAAAGATAAAAGCTGGAGAGAAGTGAGCTGGGGTTACCTGGTTAGTTTCTTTATCCGGGCCCGCAATCCTTGTGGACATATAACCTCCATCACTATGTTCAGCGGTCTTACTTTCTGAGGAAATGTTTACTTCCAGCCTTGACCTTTCTTACTGTAAAACAATGACTAGCCATAACGTTAGGAAATACGACATTGCTTCTGCAGGTATTTGGTTGCTTGGGAGCGACAATAATGCACATTTTCTGGACTGGTAAACGTAGTTCATAAGGCGGGAAAAGGCTTTTAAGTTTTTGTGTTTAGCTGCTGATCAAATGTATTCACTGCTCATTGAACATTCATCAGTTAATCATGGTGTGCCAACTGAACTCTCACTAAAACGAAGCAACCTCACACGGTTTTTAGAGAAATATAACCCTGTGTACAGTATGGAGACCGCCAATGTTCGTTTCAAATAAAAAGAGATGATTTACAAATATTCTCTGAATAAACACCAGATCAATCCTAAAAAAATATATTGGTAAAAGTTAAAAAAAAATTTTTAAAGAACAGCCTCTCCCGTATTTTATTTCGTAGGAAATATTATATTTATCCGCCTCTTGGCTTCAGATAACCCAGCCCCGGGGGCCAAAAACTCTCTACAACCGGACACATTTATTACTGATACTGATAATCATTAAATTCGACCGATAGACCGATTTAAAAAACTTCCGATGAAACTGATAAAAAATATTTGATTTAGAGATTAGCAATTTTCGAGGTTTCAAAGCAAAGAGGGACCGATGTAATTATGAAAAATGTGTACAATCTTGTGCATTTATTAGCGTTTTTAAGACAAGGCAGAAGTTGTGATGTTTTGTACGTCATTGTGTATCTTTGGTTTGAAACGTTTCTTGGTGTGTCATGTAAATAGCTGACTTTCTATAAACTCTGTAAATTGACTTTGTAGTGAGTCAAGTACATATTATTGTAAGGATTTCAATATAATCATTTTTGGTATCCATATTGTCTTGGTTTTTTATTACACCACGATTATACACGATCATTTGAATTTGAAGAAACTATAAACTTTGCAAGTGAAGGTTGAATATACTAAAATATGGTATTCTCGACCTTGGTAATAAGAAATTAGTGAAGGTCGATTATACCGGAATATGGTATATTCGACCCAGTATTTGACCATGGTTGAATATACCGGAAAATGACCTTGGTAAGGTCGTGTATATACCGTAATATGGAAATATTCGATCTTGGTGAGCTTGAAGATATTTTATAACTTTGATGCACGAAACAAATATGTTATAATCGAATATACCGGAAAATGGTATATTCGATTAAAATGGCACATAGCTTTACTTGCAACGGAGAATAGAAGTATGCAAAACATATTGCCATGAGACTACAAAACTTTGTTTGTTTCAACTTTCAAACGTGCTTGTCATGCGCCTAACGCATGAAAAACAGTTGCCTCCTTATGCGGTCGATTTCTAAATGAAAATACCAAATTCGGACCGCCGGTCAGGTAACCTGAAATTCAGGTTACTTTTGGAGGGTTTTTCTCCCGGGCACTCCGGTTTCCCTTCTTTTTGTTTGGCTCTAAAAACAGTGTCCATCAGTCCATGTCTGGGGCCAAATAACGTGTTGTCGAAGATGGTGAAAAGATTTCTTGGTTATTTTACAAAATCGAGAAATCCTATGTGTACACGAAGTGTTAAAAACGCAAGTGTTTGGCTTCTGGGTTCGATGCCCAGAACACTGGCGTAAAAGAACATTACATGTGAAGACCAGTTCAGTGGTTGAGACCATGGTGAGGGGAGTTATAGGTGTATATCCCCCCTGCACCACCAGCCTGGTACTGAATAAACCTTGGTAACGCCTGAATGCAGGCTGTCGGATAGCAACGCGTCACAATTTGAATTTGAAAAGCAAAAAATGTGCAGGAAAAAATATGAGAATTACGGGACAGGCAAGTAGTTTCACTTTAAACTTATTTTCCTTCAGAGATAAATGGATAAATATAATTTTGAATATAAACTTTTAGTTACTGAGGAGACGAAGTAGCAAGCCGTTGAATGAAGTACGCCATCTTGACCTTTCGAGCACCAATATCGGTAATAGAGATTAAAATTAAATAGAGATTATTGACAGGTCTAGCTTTTGTTCTTTTATTACACATACCTATTATTTGTTTGGTATATTACAGTGACATTAAATCAATTGGAGTTATGTCCGAAGTTGACAACTTTAATAGCGAGTCATAATCTTTTGGAAAGTGTTAATAATTTGGATAGTTGTCCTGAGCTATGGAAACTTGATCTTTCACACAACAAGGTAATTTTTATGTTGGAATTTGACCATGATCAAATAGATCAATGATTGCATATAAAGAGGGTTGTGATGAACGCTATGTGGGGTTTGGTGTAAAATTTAAATTATGACCAATTCAATGGTTTGGGTGTGGTTTTTTAGGCAAAGCTTTCAAAATTCATTCATTGTAGGATCAAATCATGTGAGGAACTAACCATCTACCTAGGACTCCACTCTGCAAATTATTGAAGTTTGGCACTCCAGGCCCCCGAACTGGACCATTTGTTTTACAATGCGATAATTTTTATTCCAGCTTCGAGACATAAATGGGTTGGGTCGGTTTTCTGTGCTTGGTTGTCTGATCCTTTCAAACAATTGTCTGGATTGGTGTGATCTAGAGGATATCCAACAAACACACATCCTGAATCTTAGTCTTCATGGAAACCCAAAGTTGGAGAAAGATCCTTATTGTAAGTTCATACAAACAACAAGAGTTCAGACTTTAGACCTTATATATAGTATAAATTATATAAATTGATTTCTGAGGCCTGAGATCCTCAAAACAAGTATAAATCTTTGTAGTCTTAGTCCTAGTCAGGTATATATGCAGCTTCTTTGTAGCCTGGCCTCAGATACGTGTACATGCACCGAGATGCACCATTTTTATATACATATCAGTAGCAAATCACCTATTCATAATCCTCTGTTTGACAGAGGAATATATTCCATCAACCTTTGATGTCAATGTGCTTAAAACCCTTTAATCCCTTTTTTATGGTATAGATCGAATGCATGTTATCGATTCCTTTCCTTTAGTATGGATGTTGGATGGTATACTTATTACTTGTAAGTTTGAGGATTAATTTCACTTATCCATATTTTATCATCAGTATATATTTACCAGATCAAATAATGACATAATGGTATTAAGATCATCATAATTATATACATTATCAAATTCTATAGCTGCAGAAAGACAGCAAGTTCAAAAGTTTTTTGCTGAAAGTGAATTAAAAGAGCATCCTGTGGTATTGATTGTTGCACTTACAAATAGCGTTTATAATTACCAGATCTCCAAAAACAATTACTCCACTGTTTGATTGTTGCACTTACAAATAGCGTTTATAATTACCAGATCTCCAAAAACAATTACTCCACTGTTTGATTTTTCTCACTTACCGAATGTAATTTGAAAGCATAACCATGAAATATTATTTTTTCTAGCGTCACAAAATATCAAAGAAAAAATGTTTTACTCCAACACCATTGCAGAATCTTTTGGTCAATGGTCCTTTTGGTGAAAAAGTAAATATAATTGATAATAAAGATTCTTGTTATATCAGGAGCAAGAAGTTTTGAAGCAACAAGCTGGGTTGATATATGGCCATGAGCCCATGACAAGACTTACTAATAGTGATTACAATGCATTTGCTTTTCAAACAGACGCAACATTGGATAAAAAGATTTCCTTTGCAAGAGAAATTGACTCAAGGTAGTGTAAAATTTGAAGAGTGAAATGTGTTAAATTTTGATTAAGTACTTTTATAGGCTTTAAGAGGGATCATCAATAAAATCTCTTAAAAACAACTACAAATCCCCTGTCAACAATGTAATTTAATGAGCGGGGCAGATTGTTAGGTTATTGTTGTACGTTTTTCTTTCTGCACTCAATGTGGTGAGCTATAATTTATTTTACAGAACTTGATAAAAGACGACTTTGTTACTTGGCATACAACTTTCAAGAGGAATTTCGGCTCCAGTTACAACGTTCTAAAAGTACTGAAAGGTATATAAGGATCGAAAAAATACTGGATTAAAAAAAAGTTTTATTAACTGACAATTGAAATTTTGAAAAGTCCCAAACGAGTGAAGACGTATACGCTGAATCTGTGTGTTTTACAAAAAAATGAGTCATGAATATGTTGTTTCTGCAGCGAAACGGATGAAGAATTGTTTATGGCAGTTTTTGATCAGCGGGAACGCGAGAAGGAGAAAAGTAACATGCTGTTGCTCCTTCTGGTTGTAAGTTCGAAATAATCAAATATTTTTCTTGAATATGTGTTATATGAAATACTTGACTATTGTTGTAAACAAAGCTAAGCCTATATCTCTGTCTTTAAAATAGCCGGATTGAATGTTTCTTTTTAAGGCCACTTTCGAGTTTGATATTTCTGAACACGTTTTGCAACAGACGCTAGATATCGCCAAGCTGAGCAAGATCGGGTGAGTACAAAACAATTATTAAACTATTAATTTTGTAGTACTAAATTTGTAGTCTATGGTGTGCCCAGTTTATTTGGAACCTCAATCTTTATAACTACTTCAGGTAATTTGGTTAATAACTTATTCGATGCTAAGAAAAGATATTAAGCGGAAAATCAAACTAAAACGATCGGTAAATAGTTCTCAATGATTTATATTTTATAACGCATCTTATTTACAATATATATAGCTATTTTCAAACTGATCAATTACGCTACACTTCTTGCAATAGGCAAATACCATTCTCATCATGAGTCACAACAAAGCCGGCTAAGTTTTTTTTATACTTCTGCTTATTTCCCGCTTTCTTTACTGCAACTAATGTAATTTCGTCATTTACTGCAACGGGGAAGTTACTCGAATCAACAGCGGTCTTTTGTGGTTGCCAATAATAAGGATGATAGTTGTTGAGACGTTCACCTCTCCGAAACGTTTTGCTCGTTGCTTTATTTCTTTGGAGTTGAGAAGCATTGTGTCTTCTGCGATTATGAAACCAATTCTTTGAAAAAAGAAAATAACATATAATTCAAATAAATAACTGCATATGTGATATAACTACAAGAGGTTATTGTTCATTTCCCTCGAAGGTATATAGCTAGATCACTGTTTTTTGAGAAAATCATAGTCCCGATGTATACTCACTTTTACTGTCGCTCGAGATAAATTCAATTCTTTTGCCAGCTTGTTCTTCTCCCCCGGTGTAACATATCTGCTCTTATGATATTCTTGAAGCAAGCGTTGTTTTTGTGTCGTGTCCAGTCTAGTAATCGTTCTCTTCTTCTCGTATCTTTGATTTTCATCTATAAAGAAATGAGACATCTTAGAATTTGTTTCCAAGATAGACGGGAAGAAAAAGATGCTTTGTCGATGCGATATTTATCGAAAGGTGTTTTGGAAAACATAAAAAAACAACTTACCGGGCAAACAGCAACAATCCTGATCAATTTCTGGTAAAGAATTCATAACTTCGTCAACCATTTGTCGTATGCTTCTGTTTCGTAGTAAATAGTTTGCGACGCTTTCCCAGTTATCAGCCATTTTGCAACTTGATGTGTTCACGATGGAATTTGTTCACGAATGAAACCGTAATGGTGGCGGTAGTTTTTATATGGTAGCTTGGCTATATGAATCATGTCTATTTTTAGACTTGTTTGTCAACCATACAGACCTCTAATGGAATGCCGAGAGATTCATTTGAATACCTTTTGTATTGAAGCTACCCAGAAAAACAATTTGACAGGACAAACGTTTTTGTGTAAAGCATTGCGACATGTATTTTCGCTAAATTGGTGCATCGTTTTTCAATGTCATGAAAGGAGACGTATCTATTCTGCATGTGTAACTCTATATTCAGTTACTTATATCAGTGTCAGTGAGAAGTTTAACGTAAATTTCGTTGAACGCAATTACTCTTGCTCTTCCCTATATTTATTTTTCGCTCAATTCCAATTTAAAATAAAATAAAATAATATATAGTTAAATTCCTGTATATCACGATACCAGAATCACATTGTCACTACATGACATGCACGATATCAAGTTTTATATATAACCATGTAATTTTCGAAATCGCAGAATTAACTGCGAAGCGCGATTTTTCAGGGTCATGATCGCGATAGCAACGAATTTTCTTGTGTTGTAAATCCTGACGTTTATTGGTTGAAACTAAATCGTATATAAATAGATAAACTTGGGTGAAAGTGAAACTTGGGTTCGAAGTTCCAACTTTCAAATTGTTTTAACTATACGTTGGTCTGGCTGCATCCATGTTATTTTTCTAATTCGCTGTGAAATCGTAGCCAAGTTTTAGGTGTTTTTTTAATGATTTCGTCCTATATATATATAAAGTTGTTTGTGTAAAGATCAAAATATCATCAAGGCACGCATTGTTTCGGCTTTCATTGTTTTGAGAGTGAAGTGTTAATGTTCCGAGTTGATTGTCCTGAGGAATGCATAAATTGCCGTTAAAACATAAGTAATTACACTTATTATAGCTTAGTATAAAATATATTTTAACAAAGCAAAAAAATATATAAGTAACTTTAGTTCATAAAAAATTATGTTTCCATGCACTAATTATTTTCCCACTATATCCATAATCTTCCTCTAACGGTCTGTTTTTTACATTGCCTGACAGATGTTATGACACAAAGAATATATTTCTTCTGCCAAAAAAAGAACAAGCCTCTATGGCGTCCTTACTTCTGTCCGGAGTTAAAATTGATCGCGATGCTAAGATTGTGAGTACTAGCTGCTTATGTAATACATTCAGAACGAGTCATCCCTTGAGTAATTCAGATCTGCCATACGCCTGTTGTCATATTCGCCCGCTTGTGTTTAAGAATATAAATACGAAATTAAATAGCGTGCTACAAAAAGTATTTGCCCGAAGAAACTTAGTTTAACTGTAATAATATTCTTGTAATTTTCCATGGTGACATGTAATAAGTAAATTAGTTTGTAGGTACACCACGTAAGTAGGTAAAAAAGATTTTGAAATCTTAAAAACGATTTTGATTTCTTATCATATACTTACGTGGTGTACCTACAAGCTAATTTACTTATAGTTTAAATGATTGTCGTTTATTCCTTGGTCAAATTTATATTAATAAATAACATTATTAAAGGATGACGGACTTTATGATTGCCTTTATCTGTGTTTGTGTGATCTCGTCTCTGCGTGGCATAAATTAACGAATAACCACATGGTATCGAGGTGAGCCTGAAACTGAATATTAATTGTTGTTGAAATGTATAGTTTTAAAGTTTAGTACAACCGACCCCTAACATCTCAACAACCAATCATCTTACCGGATGTTTATGTTTTAATTCAGACCAAGTGGAATAAGGGATATTCTTGCAGCTGAGATCGTCCAGTTGTTTTGTATCGTTCCCGCCTTTTTATTGCTTGTTCAAAAAGAAACAGGTATCTCAGTGGAATAACTGATCTTTTTTTATATAATAAATCCATATTTATTATGCAGCGGCGGTTATCGGAAAGACGATAGATATATTGTTCAGAAAATCAGTGTAAAATAATAGTCTAATGACACGAAATATGTTCTTCCCGTCTGTCTGCCTGTCTGTCTTGTTAGGCCAGGAACGCGTACGGTGTGGAATGTTTTTGAATTTTGTTTTTGAAACCAATGATTTTATTTAAAAGGCTTATTAGAGCTGGTCTCGTCGGCAACAAAAGAATCCGATATTGAAGAACAGCTGTACAGTGTTGTGATGAAGGCGAAAGCTAAAGGAGTAAGTCCATTTTTTACAAATCAGTTAATTTATCGCGTACCTTTAAAACCATGACTAAAATATCCAGTGTGACAGATCACGGTGGATGGGGTATCATATATATATGCTGGACTATCCAGTTAGAAATAGTTCCTGACTCTAAGTCGCCGGGACATCGATCATTCCTCGTACACATGCACATATATACATAATTGTCTCATTTTCATTCAAAGTTTCTGATCAAAAACTTTAATGATTCTACTTTTAATTCACGATAGACAAAACCCGATGAGATGTTACAAGGGATAAGCTCGTACATACTGAAGAAAGTTTACAGCAAATATAATTGTCAATTTGGCAAAGCTGCCGGGAATATCCTCCCCAAGGAACCAAACCCGTTTTTGAGGACGTCAAGTTATTCAAAACGTGTAAGTAATATAAAATCAAACAAGTGACATTTAGTTTGATGTTGCATAAAGAAAAACGTCGCGTGCATGTCTTAATGTCCGAAAATACATGAAATGCGGCTCCATATTCAACAAAAAGTTGGTTTCAAACGTCAAGACTCTCTGTCGCTCCTTATTTATCTCCATGCACTTCGGAATAATATGATTACTAATTCTTCAACTCATTTTATTTTAGATAAGCACTGGAGATGAATCACAACAATATCGAACTTCCTTTTGTTTAACAAGGACGCAAAATATACCCAAAAATAGACAGTGAGTTGATTCCTATGAATTATCAGAGTTATAACACATGCAGGGGGAGATCTGATTAGCAAGGTAATCATGGTAATCATGTCAATTGATCATGTTTGTTATAAATATTCATCAAAACATTCTGATCTGCGTAATATATCGTCGTACGTACCGGTACTTTATTTCTATTTTATGATGTTTTTTATGTCCTAGTGGCTCGACTGTGAGGAAAATAGGAAAGGCTTTGTCTCCCAGAGTAAAGTCGTTAGAACGGCTACCAGGTACGTAAGGCCTTCCAAAGTGGTCGTAGATAAAATACTTTTAGTTTAAATCTATTCATATAAATCTTTTCATCTGCAACTCTATCTATATTTTAGCTTTGGGAGACCAGTTTTTTACAAGTGACCATCAGGTAATTGTCAATTCTTTCAATTCTTTCTGCATGTACATCATGTATATATACTTTCCTGTTTTGCATACCACGTCATTCTATGAAAATCGTCACTTCAACTTCTTAGAAATATTTTTTCTATTAAGGTTTGTGGCCATATTGTGGCGATGCCGGAGAAGAACGTCGTGTTGGTAAAGTTGGATGCCGCCATTCCAGGTAAATTCTTGGATATTGTGCATGGACAAACAAGAAAACTATCTTGCTGACCTTAAAATTATTCATAATTATTCTTTTCTATAATAGTTTGTAACTCAGCTCGCGATTTGCAGCGCTCAAGTACAAGGATGAAAAGATCTGACAATGGTAATCGCTTCATTTATGTCAACACAGAAATGTTAGAGTGGAATTGTCGAGGTTACTGGAAAGTTCAGCAAATTACAAAAGGTTAGGAACATCATTAGTAACATTATACAAAGAAAATTAGGCAGTTCTTGTGCCACAATTGATGCAAAGTTGAAATGCTGTCATGCTGTTCCTTAATTCGATTTTTATAATAGATCATTATAGTACACGTCAGCCGAGGCAGTTATCAAAAAATGAAAGTAATTCTGTAAGTACAATTATACTTTTTATTTTATTCACTTTATATTTATATACGTTTTATTTTGTGGGGTACGTATTGAAAGATTTTTGCGAAGAAGATTTAGTATATGTCTTGTAGATGACAGGGCTAAAAATATATTTATTTTATCAGCTGCACGAATCCTATCTGGCCAATACAGTCAAGAAACAGCTCCCTGTCGAAGTTTGGATGTCTTTTTCTACTTTGGAAAATTCTCCTGGCAAGTCTGAAAATATCATGTCAGGTATAACATTCATTGTTGGTATCCGTACTGCGCATGAGCGGGAAGATATACGCAAAATTTGCTATATAAAGTTAACATACCAGATCACATAATTTTCTTGTGATTTGACTTTTATGATACTTGGGGTCAGTTTAGATTTAAAGAGGTAAGTTCATGCTTCTAAAGGTTTAGCATACGGCTTGTGCAGCAAATTTAAACTAAGTACCCATATTCATATGTGGTTGTATGATTTCTATATATAAGATTGTTCTTGTATAGATGGGAATGCTGTGTCACAAAATGTACGAGATTTGGTAAAAGATTGTTTAGAGCATGCGAAAATCACAAATGAAGGCTCTATTCATGAAAATCCATGCCTTCAAGATGAAATAACTATGGAATATAAAAAATCTCTTGAAAATGGAACTAAACAACAAAAGGAAGGCAAAGATTTTCAGGTATACAGTACTTGAAGTAAAAAATGATATAAGTTTATAATAATCACTATTGAGACCTGTGACAGAGGAAAATATTTCGTCTGTTAAATTGGAATTTTTCTGTATAAACGAATACAGCGATTGAACAGTTGAACTGATGATAATTTTACGTTTATAGCGTAATGGGAATACGTCAGCCCCTGAAGAAATGAAAGGTAAAATTAATTTTATAAAGCAACGCCTATTTGGTACAATTCATATTTAATGTATAGCTAAGAAACATATATACGAATACGCTACTTGCAAGTACTTTCAATAAATAGGACGCTCGTGGATCATTGTAGTCGCACATTTGTCTTTCGGGTCATTCCAAGACAGTCATGAACATTTGGGAAATTTTAAAACTCATGGACTTTTTAGAACATGCAGACGAAGTTGAAAGTGTGACAGAAAACGAAGATGATTCAAAATTGGAGTTTACAACGGACGATAACATGATATCCAGGACAGAAAACGAAAGACTTGAAGCTTGGAAATTTTTTCGAAATGTTAAAGGAGGTCTCAGTCCTGATAAAGTCACCAAGCTTTGGGCGTCTCCAGGGGTACCATGCCCTACTCCTAGAGTTGAGCCAGAACGAAATAAACATAATAATCACACTAAATCACGAAAACATCTTTCATTTCCACTGCCTGGTTGGATGGAAGATTTTCAATATAAAAACAGACAAGCCTCACGTGCGGTCGAAAGTGTTTGTTATGCGAGGTTGGTAATTCACATGACAAAGCTATGTACTGTAAGCGGGATAGAGTAAGTTAAAGAGAAGCAGACGTTTGTTTATCACTGTTTATGCAATATATGCAGGGACAGCAATTTTTTTAACATCTAGTATTGTCGTATCTATGGAATTAAAATAGATCATTTTCAAAAAGAAAATTGAATTATTTTGGTATTTTCTAGAAAATCGGAAAGAGAAAGAAGGTGGACCCCAATCATTTCAAATACCGCAAATTTCACATCTGGTAATGATATAATATTTTTGCTATTGGTTATGGATTTCCAAAGCCAATGAATATTGCAATTTCTAATGCAATTGCTTAGAGCTGTACTGTAGTAATTTATTTCAGGCTACCCTAGTCAGAGCTTCAAAAGTTTCAATGCCAATGGAGAATTGGACTTCAGTCGAGAACGTCGACCAAGACGACACCATTCTGACAATGTTCAGGTGCGAGGACATATTTGGAATGATATATTAAATTATCTGTATCAGAGATCTCTACCCTAAACCAATATAGTTATTATAGTATATAAATATGTATGTCTTTCACAAACGACGCTATATTAAAAAATAGGTATAATTCGTTTATATATATTAAACGTTTTTTCTTTTTCATGCATATAGGCTTCATTGAAATCAAATGGATATGAACAACGCTAGATTAAACCAGGAAAATGGTATTCATTATAACGCTTTATTTATTGAAATTTATTGCTATTATTTATTCATACATTCAAAGTAAGCAACCTTATTTACATTTTTACAAAAATGCATTCTCTGCTTTATTACTGCAACGTTGTCGAAGATAATGGCAACGCTGGCTGGTATACGAATTAGGTTAACCTAGAAATCTGTCACAATGTGCAGTCAATGACAAAGCGCAATGTATTCATCTCAGTGCAACAGTTTATACTTGACGTGGTAACAATTTTGATAAAAAATTGTTTAATGTTCCATCAACAACCGTAGGAAAAGTGAAGGATCCTGGATTAATAACACATTCAGTGGTAGGTATATGTGGTGTGTGTTTTTTCACTTTTACTGGGGTGCTCCATGACCATGTCTTGCAATTAAAAAGATCAAAGACTTTATTCATATAATCACATCACAGAAGTGTTTTCAATTGGTCCTGTATCACAATAACACACTACAATAGCAGTGTATCATGTACTACATAATATATAATACAACACACATACATAAATGAAACAATTCATAACACAGTAATCTATAAGATAATCTCCTCCAAATTCTAACAACCATATCCCCTTTAATAATGCTTTTACAAAAAAAAAAACAATTGAACAATACTACCTTCTAGACATCAGTGGCGTGTCTCTTTGTTGAATTATCATTTCCCTGTTTGGTTTCACTTAGTTTAGACGAACTAGCCCCTTTCTCAGTAAATGCAATGTAAGAGTATGCAATGCTACCAATAATACTAAAGGCATATAAAGAGAAAAAAGTTATTAATTTACATGCAAGTTTTTTAAAATAAATTAAGGGTACATTCACATAACATGGTTTTTAAAGTGACCTGCAATACCAAGAACACCTAACCTGATGTTAAGTCCAATAAAATTCCAAATACTGAATTTATAATCCCCACCAACAACCATACCAATATAGGCAACAAGAATATTCTAGAAATATTTCAAAGAATCGTATTAGCAAATGCTTACAACCCAGTTGTTTTTCCCGATCCAGAGACCTTAATTTTATCACCATTTGCAGTTCAAGATGGAGTGGCATATAACAGACAAAACTCACCTTTAAGCACCCAATTACAGTTGTTGTAAGAGCAGAGTTAACTGCGGTGCAAAGGACTATTGAGTACATCAATATGAACCTATGTTGATTAAGCATATCCTTTATATTGGAAATAAGCAGGATGTAATAACATTAATAATTTTATTCACATTACATCAGGAAACCAACCCCATAATACAAGAAAGTAGAAATTGAAAACAGAAAAATGGATTTAACCATTCATCGTATTCCATAGCCTGCAAATAAACAAAGAGAGAGAATTACAGTTACCTCCAGCCATTGCTATGAGATAACTTAAGAGAATGATGAATCAGTTTTGAACACAAAACAAACCTTTTCTATATCACCAGTATAATAAGCAATCAAACTTGCTGGAACTAACATCAATACTGCATTATAATACAGAAGACCATATTTGCCCAAGTCCTAATAATAAAATTGAAAGCTTTCATGTACTAGCTAAAAAGGAATATTTTAGTTTAATTCAACCGAAAACTAAACTGCATGTTACAGTATGAATGCAGTTTGTGTAACTACAAGACAATGCTTATCGCAGGTTTGGGAGAAGAAGAGATTCACCTGTACAGCACGAATCAAACCTAATTTGATCTGCTGTGACTACAGTTCATTTCTGTTTTAAAAAACCACACCTTAACATCCAATTTTTGTTTTACCACCACACCTGGATGAAATAGAAATAATATTCTAATAATCTGCATTTTTGGCAATTGAAATTTTCCCAGTACACCAAACTTACCATTAGCAGCTGTAAAGAAGTCATTAATTAACACGTAACTGTAGCCAACAATATTGAAGGATAGATCATCACTTAAAAAAAGTCAAATCAAAATTTGTTATTCTCCAGACCAATCTCAAAAAAATTGAACAAAAAAGCTTTTATGCATTTTACCTTGCAGCTACAATTGCTCCACCAATCATCATGAAAATAGTTATTTGTATTGAAGAAGAAGCAGTTTTTCTAATTAAAAATCGAGATATTACCCATTGGTACTGATTTTCTGGTATATGCATGAGCATTAAATATAAGCATGCTGCACACATGTATTAATTTATCTGCACTTACTTTAAAAGAAGCCTTTCACCAATCATTGTCATCCAAATGCTAAAACGCCTCAGGACTGTCATCATTGGAATACTAAAAAAAGTAGAAATTCTTTTAACTAAACCAGTATAATTAAGGAATCTTATAATAATTATGAAATAATACCTTAACGCTTTTGTACTACCCAAACCAAATACAAGGTTTCCAACATATATCAAAGGCAATGGCCATACCTATAAGTGAAATGCAATTACAGTGTAGTGTATTATAATATTCATGGTGTGGAATTGAGCTCTAGACAGTACAATTTACAAATGAAACAATACCTTAAATAGTACTGAAAGAGAGCAATCAGGAAAAGTAACTATTTTCAATCTCTTTGCAAAAAATAGAACAACTATTATTGCACACATCTATAAAAAATGTAAGACATGATTAATATTAGAACATATCTTCACTCTCGGCCTCCTGCATGGGTAGGCACTACCTTGCACCCCCAGTATATTTATTTCAAACATATGAAAAATATGGAATTAAAACTAAAGAAATTTGATTGCGCATTGTCATGCATGAAAACTAACCTGCCCTAGGCCAACGAACTGGAAGGACGGAAATCTGAAATCAATTAATTAACCAATTTAGCGATAATGGAATGTAATAAAACAAAAAATATGAACTGTCATCAAGCACCATACCCGTGTCCTGTCAACAAGTTCTTGTTCACAATAACAATTAAAAACGACGCTGAACCGTATAGTACAGCCGCATATATTTTGCTGGCTGTAGAGGCTTGATTTTGAGCATTCATCGTAATTTATAGTGCCATTGAATACTAATCCCCTAAAGTTCCTTCAAGAGTGATGTATCGGATTAACAAAGACTCTTTTATGCATCCACTTTCACGTTGTTCCTTTTATCAATTTTAAAGAGTGAAATTTGCTGATCTTTCATCCAGACACTGACAGGTTTGCAACGTGGACACTACGTGGAAATTTTTGTAATTTGTTCTCGAACCTTTTTTGTTTGTGTCCAAATTCCAATTATTCATAATCAGAACGAGACCGTGTATTCGTGAGTGCCCGTAACCGAACGTTCGGACATCGGGCTTTTAATTTTATTTTGAAGAAGAATTAAAAAAATTTACATTTTCTTTAAACTTGAAATGAAATTTTTTTTGCCAGTACTTGATTTCTATCATCAATGCAAATATTATCTCCAGTTTCACTGGATGGAGTCATGGAGAAAGCGCTGAGCATTTGATCTTGTGATTCTTTATGAATTATCAAGTGAAAAGGAAACTGAACAGAACAATTCCACAAGGTGGAAGCACCACTAATATTGATACACAATCATTTGTAAACAAAGAAAGTTATGGCGAAGCAAATTTGTTTTGTGTTTTTTCTCCTTGCGTTTTTCCCTTCACCTTCGCACGGACTGAGTCTCTTAACCGAAACTCTAAAATGTCGAGAATATTGTGAAAAAACCTATCCACTACATACCTATCCTACGGTAAGCTAACTATAGTTTTACACAACAAACAATGTTATAAAATATACGAATGATAGAAGTGAATATCTTTGCATACATGAATACTGCACAATGCACATGTAATTTTATAATAAACGACTGTGCTTGTCGTTCGCATTTATTTATCTTTGTCGCATTTATGGAACAGATAGGTAGTTTAAATATAAGACATGTAATGGATATTTGTTCTTTTTCGTTTCAAAAAAGGTAAAACATTTTCAAGCGTGTCAACATGGCTGTTACAGTGCAGCGAAACAAAAATCTTTGTCTAGCTTTGCTCGTAGTTTTGGAGTTCGCTTTGTTCACAATTGTTCTCAAGGTAAAGTGGCTTCACGTATTTATTATAAATTCAGCTTGGACCTGCTTGGTAGTGCATAGACTTTATAACAAAAATTGCACAGTATTATTCATTTATTCATTCTATGATAGATCATTTACAGGATGTGATTACGAAGGCGTAGGTCATCTAGTTTTTCCTGTTAAGCAGCTGATTATATTGCCATAAATTTCACCATAAACACTGCTAAAATGACTGGCAGTTTTTCAGCACACTAATCGTCTAATCCCAATTCTAACCATAATCCTCAATTCTTAATCAGTTATCTTATCCTAACCAAAACCTAACACTAGTCTTTACCGTGAAAGAATTGAAGGTATAGAAAACTGGGACCAATGATGATTAGTTATTACTCAGTGGCTAGGTTTCTAACCTCTAACTTGCCCTAAATTATTCTTTTATGTTAGAATGTAAAGATAAGTTTGCTGTGGGGAGCTATTATGCTTGCAAGTTAGGCTGTGCCAAAGGGAAAAATATTAACCTTGAAACAAAAACCCCAACTGTTGCAAGAAAGTCTACCCCTCCTGAAAATGTAAGTGTAGTAAACATATGATTGAAAATGATAAATGTAACTCGGTTCTTGAATAATTTCAATTTTTGAGGAAATTGAATTGATGTTTTCTACATGGAATGTGACTTCGTGCAATATTTTGTGATATTTAGGGACAGCATAGCACCATTGGAGCTATGATACTTCATCCAGTTCTTTTCTTGCATACTTATGGTCGTGGTATGATCAACAGACTCACGTATTACATACAATCTTCAACCTCTTTTTATTTCCGCTCTGATAATGGAGGAATGGTTGTTGTCAATATCCAGGTGATGTTATTGTATTTATAAAAACTGACAATGGTAAAACTAGTTCCTTCCATTCATTAAGTATAAGAGCATGAAGTTAGGTTTTCCTTTGCACAAAATATCCTCAATTCTACTAACTAATAAACATTAATAAGCATTCACAACCAAACTTCCATCATCTGATCCAATAGTTGTAATAGACAAGGGACATCTTCATGGAAGCAATATGACTGCCTTAAGAGATTATCTTTTTTAATATAAAAAGATGATAAGTTGGTGCAATCAACTTATGAATAGTATTTTTGTAGAGCCCACCACAGTTGTATGTTTCATCATCCAATTACAATGACCAGTATCCAGCACAATTAAATGATGAACAAGATGAAACAAAAGAACAAAAGAAAGATCAAAGTATGTTTATAGTGACAATGTTTTTTACTAAATAAAATTAAACATAAGCACTAAGATTGCATCTTTCCAATATTCTGTTCCAATATTTATAACATCATATAACTACCATGGAATGAACATACCTTGTACTTTGCTCAAGTGAATGTTTTACATTACAATTCATGAAGTCTGTGTTTGATTTTCTCCTGACAATGCAATTCCAGGCACAAACCATATTGTTGCACATTCAGCGCATTTACCAAATGTTCATGTCATTCTGGATTGATTATCACTTATCATGCTAATACATGAAGATTTGAACTCTTTTTTTTGTATCGCCAGCAGCAGATGGTTATAGTGAACAACATGAATCGTGGATAATTGTCCGTCGTGGTCACCATTGGCTTCATTGTGTGTCTCATAAATCCGGTGTTCCATTGTGGATCTTGAGCAGTATTCTATTTCTCTCTTCATTCTTCCTACTTTGGTTATGTTGTGCTGCAACAGTCACCAGTCCATCTGCAAAGAAATCTCACCCTGAAAAGAAGGTACAGTGTAGTTGTGTAGAGCTGGAACTATTATAGGTTGTAGCTAGTGACAGAGGATGCGACCATGCCCGCTCACTAATTGTTGATTACTATATTTCAAAATTTGTTGATTACTATATTTCAAAACTTGTTGATTGCTATTTTTCAAATACTATTACAAGCACTAAAAAATTCCATTATCTTTGTTTCTCAGGCATTCCTTATCAAGGAATTTTTGTCAGCATCGGAGAAAAAAGATGGTCAGGACGTTCCCTTGCTTAGTTTGGATGAGAATGAGAGACAAGCAGATCCATTGCCTCGCAAAGACAAATCTGCAGCTGTTATTTCAATTTAAATATTATTTTTTGCATTCATTTTAGTTCTGTTGTTTACTAGTTCTTAGCACGCAGGTTCTGTCAATATTTACGTATTGACTATTCAGTGTTATATTGTATACTGTTAGTTTGTTAGCGTTAGCGTAACATTTTCATTGGTTGAAGAATGAAGTATACTGACATCATTGTGTGTATGTATGCAGAAATAGCATCATGTATAGTTTCTCTTTATCTTCTTTGAGTTAGTATTCGGAGTCTGAAACACTATCAGACTATCTACATTTAAAAAAATTTTATTCTCAGCTTCATGCAAATGGCTCTTTCAATATATATATATGTATGGGGATGGTGTATGGTAATAATGTTGTACACTGTATATAAAAATAGGGATAAATAAACTGCAATATGCGCACTAATTAATCTCTTTTGTTAGTTTCAAGTGTCATTAGGACTACGGGTCTCTAGCAAAGATAAACTTTTTTTCACAAGAGTTGCGTTAATCTTTTTATCGATGACTTCGTCACGGATCTGTTTCAACTCTTTCTGAGCGTTGTCACGAAGCTACAGAAAATTAGAGAAATCCGTATTTTAGAATTTTGTGAATGTGTCCGACCTCGCAGCCGGTGATAAAATCCCTGCAACTGTATTGTATTGGCGTAATTATCTTGAAAGCAAATGGTTAGACTAAATCAGGACGCTGTAGTAGAGACCTTCATTTCTGATCCCAGTTTTATTTTTGCCTCCTCCACTCTACGTCTGAGTTCCTCAACTTCGTTTTCTTTTCGTGTCAACGTAATTCTTGCGTTTAACTATTAATTAGAAAAACATGTCAGACGTACAGTCTACAGAAAATACCACGCGGTACAATTCTGATTAGTCAATTATTTCAAGTTTACCTTTTGAGGATTGCCATCTTTATTTAAATATGATGACGCAGAGCCACGGTCTGTAAGTGAAAACAATAAACTGATATAAATAAAGCACGATTAATGATTTCATCTTATTTGCTAACATCCTAATCTTTATTTTGTTTCGTTACACCCTCATGATTGAATCATCCTCGATGAATTTTCTTTTCATCAACACAAGACACCCATGAATGCATACCAACCTTTAGCCGAATCACCAGCAGAGAAAATCTTCTTGTGAATAACTTCCACCTCGTATCTCAACTGATTACAACGTTCCTCAAGAGACACTGTCTTCTTTTTCTCTTCGAAATATTTTTTCTTCCACACTGTTTTTGCTATATAGAAGCAAAGTTGCATACAGAGTAGTCATTATCTTTGTAGTGACAGTAGACCTGTACATATAAAACGTCTAGGCTGTGACGTTTCTTTCTGATCCTTCAGGCTCGATCGGAATCACGGAAACTCCGTCATAACTAAATTCATAACCAAATTCATAGCAAATTTTATATCCCTGTTTCTTCGGGCCCAAAATATTTTTTGTTGCTTGAATTTCGCCTTTTGGCTAGAGTAACGATACCGTTCAATATTTTTTTAAAACTTGAAAATACGTCCAAGTGCTGTGAAGATATACATGTATATGCAAGCAAAGCTATTCCAATGCGTGTTTGATGCAGGCTATAACCTGATCCTGCGATAATCAAATATAATTTCAATAGTCAAAATCAAACCAGATATATATAATGCAACATACCTTGATTTCTTTTCTGATTATTGTGGTTTTGGATATTTTTCACTTTCTTTAGCAATTGCTCTCTGCTTTTCTCACTATCTGATCTAGAAACGAATCATATGGATCTGGGTCAGATGAATCTGGCCCTCTACACGCGCGCAGGGCCGTAGTTATAATTGTCTTATATGTCAGAATTATTCTTTCTACGGTCCTGCACACTTGACTTTGCGTTCCTCGCAGCAAATGCATCTATTGCATCGGCACAACTTAATGTTTTCTAAATCAAGTTTGATTGTAGATGTAAGTTGAAAAAATGAATAGAACAGACTGAGGTATATATTCCATACCTTTCACTTCTAACTGCATTCAGTTCAGCTTGTAACTGTAGTACTAAAATGATAAATTTTAATGGTAAAATATATAAAATGCATCATTTCGTTGGTAACTAGTGAATATACACTACTAGGTGGCAATCGAGGAAAAAAAGTTAGAAGAAATAGAGACCCTGATCTTGAATTCTAAAGTCAGATTTCTATCACCAAAATCAAACTCGGTACATAGTTATCTTCCATGCAAACCAACTTCAGATGATATAGTTGACATGATTATCTTACGATGAGTAATGATTTTTACTGTATGTAAAATTATTTTCTGGATTTTAACCGAATGCAATGTGTACCTAGATTCTCTTTATCAGCAATTGTGACACCGAAATCGTTTTTGCTCTTCTCTACGTCGGGCCTGTTGTTGTTATTATTTGACTGGCTTAATGATTCAAATCCACTGGATGCTACTGAATTATCTGCACTATGTTTGATGATATCTTTTGTTAAATCAACAACCACACTTGTCTCTTCGCAACCATCTTTTTCAGCGGTCATTCCCTTCTGATAACTGCAACCATCTTTTTCAGCGGTCATTTCCTTCTGATAACTAGTTTGGTTGATGCTTTCATCCTCCGAACCAGGATGATTAAAATTTTCTTTCGTCTTTTTTGCGACTTCATTTTCAATTTTGTTACTTATTCCCAAAGGATCAGGATATTCATTTGATATCAAATATTCGTTTTCTTTTCTACCATTCAAATTCTCTCGGAAGACTCCATCATTCACACTCTCGCTATTTATTTCTCTTGCATTTTCTGTTTTTTTACTATCTGCTCCTTTTTCAGTGTCCCCTTCATCGAAGTTCTTATTCTTCGACGTTTGAAATAAAGATGGAGCTGTTTTTGAATGAAGCAGGGGATTCTTTTTTGGTATTTTGTTTCTGAAATTAAAGCAACAAAAAGTTTAATCAAATTACAAATGTCATTTCCAAATTGATTCTGACTTGAAAATTGATCAATCCAGACTTGAAGAATTGTGTCCTATTAAGGCTTGTTTACTAAGTAATTGTTTATTTAAACATTTATTTAACAGAGGCATTCTCACCGTTTGTCATTTTTAGCATGATGTTGTTTATCATCAAAACTTGATGACATTTGTTTATCATCAAAACTTGGTGACATTTGTTTATCATCGAAACTTGATGACATTTGTTTATCATCCAAACTTGAAGGGATTTGTTTATCATCATGGGAATTCCTTCCGTTATTTCGTGTGATTACACCATTTACATGGTCAATCTCATCTTGGTTTCCTTGGCTACCATTGTCGTTTGGTAACTCAAAAGATATCCTCCGATTTTCACTGTATAAATTCTGATTATCTTGCCTACTGTTAGACATTGAACTCAGCTTATGTTGTGGTTCATCAGACATGTGAGGTTTTGTGTCTTGTGGTAATTCTGTTGAATGTGTTTGTTTGATTCTTCTATCAATAACAATATCATCAGGAGGATTTCTTTTCAAATCTTGATGTAGATTGTCTTTCCCTACATTGTCACTAGTACTGTGTTCAAAATGAACATGGCGTTGCATTGCATCTGTGTCAAAATGCTCATTGTTGAATCTTCCTGGTGGTGAAAACCTTGAGTTTTCATCTTTTTCTTTTGTATATGTAAGGTACTCTTGCACTATGTAAAAATTAAGGTATATTGCTTTACTATAGAAACATCTCTATGAAGTTTGCATGATCAAATCACTCCCTTGTAAAATCAAAGTGTGAAACACATTCGTAGATTGGTCCCCAATTAGAACAGCCTGAACACCTACCAGTCCCATAGTCTTGAAGATCCGAGCCAGTGTTAATAGAAGAAGCTAATGTTTGTGACAAGCTGCTGTGATTTCCATATAGAACAAAAATTTCTGGAGATGAGACCTGGAGTTAGAAACAATGATACTGCAATAAATATAATTGCTTTTTAATATAACAATCAAATAACAATAGAAGTATAATTGTTTATACATACAATAGGTGGAAGAAAGTGTTTCACTTTCAAAGACAACTCTTGGATTTTATTAACCTAAATTTATTTAAATAACATTAATCAAGTTTTTTACTGTAGTTGGCAATGATAAATGATATATAAATTATATAATTGTCATGCATTGCAAAACCATTAGAGAGGTGGCCGGGAAATTACTGGTGGAAATAATTAAAACAGACTAACAGAGGACACTCAACAATACCACAAATACTACAAAACAGCAAAGTTTATTACTATGGCTAAACATCGACCAACACAACGCAGAAAGACGTATTCATCAGGTAAAATACCACCACCATTCAGTTGTTCTCCAATTTGATTTCTCAAATCATCTAGAGTTTGTTGTGGAGGGACTCTACGACAAAGAAAACTAGCTTAAAACTATTATCCAGTTAGTTAAATTGGCATGTTTAGGAGTAGCAGATTGGTGAAATAGGGTTGGATTTTGATGATGGTACTATACTAAAGCAGTTAATTAATGGAAGCAAGGTATTAAAGTCCAAGCATTTTTTGATAATAATCTAATTATCCTTTATAAATCAAGAATGACCATCAAATACTGATATTTCAAGCATATACAACTATAATTCAATACATGGAATAATTAGTATAATCCATCCATTATTTTGCCATTTTCTATAGTCACCGTTTATGTAACCATGGTAACCACAGCTAATAAACTCTCTAAAATAAGTAAAATCTGCACAATTTACAATATTGTGAATACACGTTTGGATAGAATACTTATAGCAAAGAAAATTACATTATTATAAATAATTTTGTTGCTGCAAGATGAGCACGAGTATATATTTATTGTGTTAAGACACCGCAATCAGTCAAGTTGAGTCAACTGTCAGCGAAGTAAGCCCTTACGTTATGCCACCACCACTTACCTCACAAACCCCGCAGAAATTGACTCCAAAGTACTGCTATTATAAGCTGTTCGGTATCTCTCCATCCACAGTTCATACGGTACGACAAATACATGAAGATCAACAAACTAGATTATAAAGCGCATATTTGTACATGAGAATATATTAAAAACAGCGACAGAGTATGTTCGGTACACGCTACATACGGATACAGTTCCACTGTTTTACATACATTGTCAGACGACGGTCGTTTTTCTTGCTTTGGTTTTTTTGTCGACATATTCAAAAATCTGTAACTTTTTACTAAATATAACCACACTGTGATAAAACAGAACAGTCAAACTACAAGGTTTACGGTTTACCAACGTAACTAGTCCGCAACTTTAATACTCCATCCAGTCAATTAATCACGAAGAGCAACGTCAGTGGCGACACAGCTCGCCCAAAATATTTTAATGACAGATTGACAGTGTATACAATATCAGTGAACTGTAATAAATAACTGTTATAGAAATGTTATATTCATTTCACTACTTTTTCTATTTGCAACGCTGTTCCCTGGGGGTGTAATTACCCCCGACCCCCCTTCGACCTACCTTCGACCTTTTAATGATATTATGATAACTCATGGCAAACAAACAAACAAACAAGCAATCAAGGCGGCCAAACAAAACGGCAAACAAGGCGGTCTTCAGAATATAATAGAAAAATTTTAATTTTAAGGATGGCTTGCCCTAGATTGAATGTCAAGGCGATTCTCCATTACGTCCGCTCCGCCCGCGCGGGCGAAGCGGGGTTTTTTTTTTCAGACCCGTCATGGTCCCATGAGCCGATTTTCAAAAGACGCTTCGCCCGCGCGGGTAAAGCGGACGGTAATGGAGAATCGCCTTAAGAAAGGTTTGCCCTAGAATGTAAAGTGACAAACGAGATATACCATTACCCTATTTATTGTGATAAACACCCTGAGATTACGTAGCACTGGGTAGCACCCGTTTTAAAAGCTCTGAAGTCTCAATCACAGTAAGCTCTTAGAAAAATTAAAAAAGTACACGTGCAATGACTTTTTCTAAAGGCAAAAATCAAACTGTCCGGCATTAGTTTAGGCTTACAGTACATGAATAATCCTTATGTTGGTGACTGATTATTATTACAATGAATAGTCCTTATTTTGGTGAATTTCGGTTATACCGAACATGAAAAGTGAAGTAAAAGAAAGCCTTCCTGTCAGTGATATTAGATTCTACATATTGACCTTATACGTCCTTACTTAGAGTCTTTGATTATGGTGATGTTGCGTGCGTGTCAGAGCCTCCGACCTTGAATACCATCACGAGGAATGCCATCAAGTGATCTACTAATATAAATTATAGGAAAATGCCTGTGTCAGCGCTGTCAAAGAAAGAAGATTACTGTATTTAAGTGGTAACTTTCATAAGAAGTATCTTTCATGTCTAGACACTGTCATTTTTGGTATGTTCAACCCACTGTTTCCTCCTTAGACATTTTCGATAAGAGGACACCTGTTACGTTGGTGGGAACGACCTCTCTTTATTTAGAAAACGTTCCTTAGCTTTAGGGTATGTGCATAATGTCTTTATAATTATAAGAACAGGCAATTTCCTGGATTTTTTACAACAAACTATGTTGCCATTTTTTATTTTTTTTATTGCCATCAACCTTCATGCCATCAACCTTCATTTTTTATTTGCCACCAACCTTCATTCTGGAAAGCAATGTCAATCAATGGCTCACTGTTTAAATTGTCACACATAAAATGAATATATTATATCACACCATAACTACATAGTCATATGTTGTTATTTGCGTAGAATTATGATAATAGACAAATAGTGTATCAATCTAGTATTTCAACCATGCAACTTCATTTAGACGCCATAAGAGGAAGCTGTAATATTTCAAAAAGATAAGCCTACTGTGTTGACTGCTGTACATATATTCCGATAACGATCTTTTGGGACATGGCGCACTGCATAAAACAGAGCTATTTCTGACAAGAACATTTTTGTAGTATGATAGCTACTGCCCACTGGATGGATCTGAAGTAATGCGTGATTGGCAGGCAGTATCCTGTTGAATCAAATAGAAAATTATAGTCTGTATGATACGTCTACCGGAATTGGCAAGTCTAACAACTGCATACAATAGCTATATATGATTAATTTTATTTCCATCGGAGTAGGAGTAAAGCGAAATATTGGGGCACTTGAATTCAGCATGCGATCAGTTGTCCAAGATTCCGCTCTTTTATAATGATAAAAGAAAGACATAAAGTCCGGTTTGATAAATCTAAGGAGGCACGTGATTTTCAGTTCACTGCATCAGCCTGGGTTGTGTATTTCTATTTCATTATCCAGGATATTGGTTAAATGCTACAAGAAGGCCGCCATGCAGGGGTGGAACAACGAAGAAGCAAAAGTGTGGAGGGGGGGGGAGTACCTTCGTTAAGAGAGTTTAGGATTTACCGACGCAGTCAGCTTGACGCCACAGCCACCGCACTTTATTCTCAGTTGAAATAAATACACGACGTCGACAGTAATTTAACTGTACCGCCGCCGCCTTAATTTTCTAAAGCATATTTTGAAAACTTCACAAACGTTTCAATTATACTAAGAAAATCCGATATTGTTCAAATTACTTTATAAAACATCTCTATTGTTGCAGCTGCTTTTATGTTGTCGACACTGACCCGCGAAAATGCCTCATTTGAATGCGTCGTGAACGGCAATGTTGCGGCCGAGGAATTTTGGAACCACAAGCTATTAATGTATTTCCCCCCATGAAGTTCTTTGTTTTGCAAGCGTGTCGTCAAGCTGGCTGTAAAATCGTAAAATCCTTTTAATATATGACAAATTTGAGGCCATTACGAAAATCAAAGTTTTCAGATAGAGACTGATGCTTGTTGGGGGAGGAAATGTCGTAATCTAGTGTACTCTGTGTCTAGAACTGAGCAGATTGCAATTCTGTGTCACAGTTTACAGGCGTTATACGTATTCACCAATTTTCCAATTTTATGGATTTGGTAGTCGGTGCATGGTTTGTTTACGATTTTTTCTTTCAATTTGACCCAATCTCTGTATAAAGTGCTTTCGCGATCAGCTGTTTTCCTGTAACTAACACACTACACAGATATCTTCTTTGCGTTTTAAATTTCTCCTTAGTTTTATTCAATAATTCGGACATTAACTTCTTTCAAAGAGGTGCAATGAAATAACCACTCAAGGAAATGATTTTATTACCGCAAAAAGAACCACTAAAGAAAGAGGAATTTGTGATAGGCATTCTGATTGATAGTGCTCTCTGTGTGCATGGTAATGGCAGCACGAAAGGGATATTTTCTTCGTTGCAGCACGCACAAGCACCATTCAGTTGAAGTTTAATTTCATGCAGCATTTGGCATAGTTGAACGAGTGGGTTGTAAGCCGCGTGCACTAAAAGCTGAAAAGATCTTGAGTCAAATCAAAAGGTTTGGTATTGTTCTTAAACAGGATTTCCTTTTATCAAGTGTTTATACTCAAGGACAAAGTCAAACAACATGTTTACAACAACCGGTTAAGAGGATACTTAAAAACCACAAAACTGCCGGAGAGCCGAAGTGACTTTTAGGTAACCGCGCGCATCTTGTAAATATAGTAAGTCAAATATATGAGTCAATCAATAAATATTACTTTTGGGAGGTTCCCAGTAAGAATCGATCTATTTTATTTTCTGTAAATCTAGAGGTTGTAAACGACAGCTTAGAATCTATCAACTGAAGATGTTTGTCTTTGTTACTTAAATGGCCATATCATGTCTCTTGTTAGTCTTGCATGTCAGCAACTGACTGGTATTTTTGGAGTTTTTGCTGTTTTTACTCTGAATCCGACAAATCGACCCTGACTTAAAAAGTGGTATAAACTAAAATATACTTATATATTGCTTGTATTAATGATGTTATAAATAATATGACGAGAATCACCATTCAGTTGCATTCATGATGCACCATGCAGTATTAACATAAAAGCGTTACCATGTCCATGCCACGTGTGATGCATGCATGGCCAACATGGTCGCCAAATGTTTTTATCACATTTATTATTAAAAGTGGAGCTTAAACTGAATTACTAGCTTCTGATAGGAAGCTGGTTGATTACTGATTGCATTTTGCATGGGCAGGAAACTAAAGAAGAAAGAATTAGAGAAAAGAATTCCATGTGACATGACCGCAACTAACAGCATGGTTATATATTTTTTACTTTCTTTTGCTATTTTATCTATCTTCTAACTGTAATTGTAGCTGGGCATGTCGAAAATAACATGCACATTTGTTTCATAAAGATAAACTAGAAATTGCACAAAGTATAGATGCAGCATGACCTATGATGATGCCCTTTCACCTACAGCCTACTATATTGTAAACAATCTTATTATATTATAATTACTGCCTGTGCGGCTCGTAAAAAAATAAATCAGGAATTTCAATCATTCAATGCATGCGCCGCTGAGACCTTGACTGCACGTCGGAAGCTCTTTTAAATACAGAAGTACAACAACAACACGAGGTATCGTGTGATAGTACAAATCTACAACACAAATATCAATGTAAATTAAAATGCTGAGTATACTATATTATAGTCATTTTTGCTCACTTCAAGGTAATGGTGTAATTTATGTCATTTGGTAAAGGATGTTTAGTCTTCATGGGCCATGTTTCTTGTAATTAGCGACACATTTCATGCATTGCATTTTTTTTTAAGTCTAAACTCGTACCAAGGCACACTAGGGTTTGGCAATGATGCAGTTGTTTTGACTTGAATTAGGGTGATTCATTAAAAGGGGAACAATTGATGGGGGGAGACGCTGTTGCGAACAAGGAAAGATCACTTCATTAGAACCAATCAGGCTCATCTAAGGGGACCCTGCCCCATAATTCTGTGATTGCACATACATATTTTTAACTTCAGTTATGTACATATTTGGATATAATTTAATGTTAGGAATTTCAGTGATAAATTCCATGGAAAATCGCTACTTATAAACCACTTGTATGTATAATAAACTAATAGAAGTCCATGCATGATCATCGGGTAGCTAATATTCTCCACACCCATGCAATCACGAGATTTCTGTGTCTCTTTGCGCCAAAGCATATCTTTCTATATTAGATTCGATTTTCTACTGACCCATTCCTGACTCGCGGCAAATGCAAAAAGTATACCAGCCCTAGAAAAGTTGTTGCTGTGATTCCCAACACGTTTTCTTGCATGCATGGGATGATTTTTTCATCAACAACGCAATGTGCACTCATATAATATATTGTTTTCATGCATGAATTAGGCTTTGCCAGTTTATTCATGTGTTACGTTGCCAATAACAGATGTAAGATTTCTGTCAATGCGAGATATAAATTTAACTGAGTGTGAAGCTGGTTATTCACTCCATATCATTACTTCATTGAAAGCCGAAAGAAATTATCGCTGCTAAAATGACGTTTTATTTTTAACTAAAGGAAATGACCCCTGACTTCGGCTGCATGTAAAAATGAGAGCTTGCCGACGGAGCATTTCTGATGTGGTGAAAGCATAGCCTCGTACATGCGTGGGATTTTTAGAAGGAAAAAAAGATCGCATTAAGGCTGATTTAGGCAGTGATTACTGAGGCAGTGAATGTGATATATTGTTATTCTCATGTATTTAATTTTGCAGGATGGCTTTTTTTTGACAATCACATGCGCTTCACGATAATACAAATCATATTTCACGATCTGAAAATCAAATATTTCACATTTCTCACCAAAAAAATTTGGCCATGCAAGAAGCCCTGTACGGTTTATGAAAATATCCTTTACCAATCAAGGATTTATATCAGTAACGGTTCAGTCTGTTATTTCTGATGAATAATTATTATTTACAGTATAGATATATTTTCTCTTGGTCCTCACCAGTAATGTATGAATGTATCTGCAGAAATGCACACCCTCCCCTCTGCTAAATTATTACGCTACCCATATGTACCATGTCATTTACAGATCAGCGGTTTTTTCCTCATCCGTCTGTCCAAATATATATTTATAATTTTATATCCCCGTGAAATATGTATCCGCGTTAGTTTTAGGGATTAATTTGTGGGGGTTGTGTTGGAATTTTGTTTTGGTTTGGAAAACCACAAGCTATAATCCCGACGTACGTGTTTGGCTTACAAGCTAGGAATGGTACGATAAATCAGTATATGTGTTGAAAACCGCTAATCAATCTTCATCAGTACTACTTGAGGTGTTTTGGCTCCACTTTTGTGGCAAAGGGACTTCTTTTTTTTCATTATGTTTGCCACCAACGCACAGCTATATGATGTTCTTCCGTTGATCATGTTATACACGTCCATTACAAGTTAAAATAAATCATACTTCATGCATGCAAGCACGTCTTCGACGCCAAAGTGAAATTTAAGTTCAAATTTATGGATCGTTCATTCTTGTGATATCCAGTGAACTTATAGTCCTAGAATTGTGATAAAAAAACTTTTCTTCTATACAATAATCAACCCTCAAACCATGCTATCCAAGCAATACGCTAAACGCCAGTAAACATCAGTGCAGGAGAACGTGGAAACTGGAAAGAACTAACCAAACTCAGCATAAAAGTGTAAACTCGTGCCGCAAACTTAGGCCATGTTTGGCTATTTTTGAAATTTATAGCACTGCATGAGCCTTGAGTTACACATGTGAGAATGTGCATACATTTTTATCTATAACACCATATAACGCGTCAGTTGGAGCAAAACTAATCATTTAAAAAACGCCATGAATAAAAAATCTAATGTCGTCACGCAGCTATTTTACATAACTCGTTCAGATATAAAAAGAAATGATGTCGCATGCATGGATGACATGGCTGATGGCTGCTCAACAGAAATGAATATGAAAGAAAGTCATGCACGAAGGCACACCTAATTGAACATGATGCTATTGAAATTGAAAACGTTTTATTTTGAACCAAAATAGCAGTGACAAAAATGGTTAGCAATCAGATTGATCTTCCTCACTTCATGCCATGCACTGGACATCCAGGCTACATCTCATGCTTGCACTTAAGCACATTCGGAAGTTCCTATTTACGGAAATGCATCATTTTGAGGTAAATTTAAACTTTATCCTCAAATATATAAACGTTTGTTCCGCGTTTTGTAGGATTGTTATCATAATGAACCTTAATCCAATTCTGATCTGATCTTGAGTTCATTCCTAATGAATTAGATTGTTGTTGTCGGCTGAAACAACACAGCCATAAGCGACTAAAGAATTGGATTACCCATAGATCCGTCTTTACTCTAAAAACACAGACGCCCTAGGGTATTCTCTGCAAATGAACTCGCGATAACTCTAACTTAGGTTCGTTTTACAGTGTTTAACAGCCACATTTTATTCTTCACTCTACTTTCAAGGTGTATTCAGATTATATTCTATGAAATACGCGCCGTATGTATCGGTCCAATCTGCAAGATCTACACAACTAACGTTCGTTTATTTCCCATATTTTTAATAGCATGCATATTGGTACAAATTCACTGGTCAAAACCAGAAAAGCAATCTTGACGTTTGAGATATGAAAAGAAGAAGAACAAAGATTCATTTTAAAGTGATTGTCAAACACGATGTTTTTTTATTATTTAACCTTTATGGGTTTTTTTTGTTATTTGCACTTTTATTATTCAACGTTTGTATCTATTCAATATTTATGTCAACTATTCTATGTATGACAACAACCCCCGAGGCCTGATATCTTAGTCAGAGACGCACTGGAAAGTAATCGAATTCCTTTTGTAACTTACCTCAACATAGTACCAGTTCATTTACATTTTGAAAATGTAGAACTATCATGCCACACCGTTGCAGTAAGTGTTGCTGCATGTCAGATCGTTATACCCAACATAAAAAAGAATAAAAATATATTTTGATGTAAACAGCCCCTTGGAATAAAAGGAGACACCTCAATGGTGTAAATTATGCATGAAATAGGCTTTCGTGCAAGCGATTATTTCCATAAGGTCATATCTTATCATTGTGTATATAAATGCATGGCACTAACGCTCCTATCATTATTTTTTTCATAACAATAGTGAATAGCTATAGGCAATAGCCATGTATGAGATGATTTTTTTTGAAAATACAATTATGTCGTTGATTTTAAAATCAGAAACATTTGCTACGATTGTTTCGGAAATGAGTATCAGACACGTTTGAAATTACGAAAGGAAACTATTAAAACAATTGAAATTACTGGTATATTAAAATTCGGCTCTGCATCTACTTTGATTCTTTAAAAAAAGATGAAATTGTAAGCTTAAAAAGCGAACAACAATTGGTATATGATGAAGAGAAGAAGAGCAAATAAAACAGTGGGACAACCGACAACGAAAGGAATTTTCTTCTCGACCGGTCGACAAAGAAGACTTAATGAGGTTGAAGAGGATATCTAAACACTTATGAATTCTTAAACAACCTACTTTATGAGGTAATTTCGTTGACGCAGTTCTAACAAGATGAGTCAGTCAACTGTTGTGGTTTTAAAATGAAATTTTATTTCTCAGCAATTTAAACTCCACCCATCCTTGATGCTTGGTGCATGGCGTATCCTCATATTGTTCTGATATTAATTAACTGGTAAGGCGTGACAACACCTTATAATTCAAGTATATTCTATCCGTGCATTGTACATTAAATTTTGTTCATATGAAATCTGATACCCTCGAGAAAAGTAGCAACGAGAATACAATGGTGATATATTTTGGGAATATAATATAATTGAGAGTGATTAGAGGGCGGAATTGTCAGCGGAATGATGCTATTAAACACTGCAAACGATGCATTCAATTGTCTCTCAACAAACTGATTTGAAACTTCATTTTCTTTCTATCCCTCTTCTATTTATCAAACATCCATATCCCTTCATTATTTTTCGTTACAGGAATTTATTCGGAGCATTTTCGTTTCAAATAAATTATTCACTTGTCAGTGAGAAAGACAAATATTAAAAATAAGCATACAAAGTGTCTTTAATCTTCACTTCCGCCTTCTGTATTTGGACGTCAAAGTGACGTCAATTGGGTAACTTGATATTTAAAAGCGATCTCAAAACAACATGGTGTGACTCAATGAGACGATGCAGCCTCGTTTTCATACCAGACTATCTAGCGCCAATTGTGCACGTGATTGAGTGTTTGAAGTGAACTACATCTTTCTCGCTCAAGCTGACAACAGAGGGATAATGCCTTAGGAAAACACATCCTATGGGAATCCACAACGTTGTTATGGTAAATTGACTAATACACTTACTTATATAATCTTCGTATTTATGTAGATTTTTGAGTTCCCATATTTACATCCCTGTCACAAGTCACAAGTTTTTCCTTGTCTTGTCTTCTGTGTTGAAATGCGTGTGCGTGTAATAGTTATGACCTTCTAAACAACTTCGTAATGAGCTCGCGCCATTCACGCGTTTGTTGAGTCTGAGATTTCCCGCTATTTTCGGCAGACGTACTACCCACCGTCTCCCTCCAGGTGAATATAGTATTGTACATTTATCAAGTTTAGGCATATGTTCATAGTTTGAATGCATTTAACTGAATACACTTACGTTGTCGCGTCTTTTCCCGCTAGCGTTCGTCAAATGTTGTTTCATTTTTACCGAACAAACCAGCTACGCTGGAGCATGATTTCCAGCGCGTATTTTCGAAAATTGTGGTTATTACCTTGATATATATCAAATGTTGTATTCACCCATTCATTCTACACCATTGCACCACGCTCCTCATTCCTCACTACATCTTCACAAAAGTTGCAACAAATTATTTGATCAAAATACCTTCCACAAGCAATCTACAGAAGTCTCTTAATAGACTGAATTACTCACAATCTTACTTATATTAGATTAATTTTATTCACTCCTGCTTTCTTTGGCACAATTGCAAAAACAATCTTCTATTCAAAAATTGCCAAATCGGAAAATCAACATGTCTGGTTGTGGAATTAAAATTAAATTACATGTAAGAAGTTTGAACTGTATGCAGCGATCTAGGTTGTTCAAGAGCAGGCCCAGCGTAAAATAAATTTAACGATAACAAGAAAACTTATCGAGAAGATAGCATTTCTCAAAAGGAACGCAAGTGAAAGATAAAGTTATCAAGTAACAAGTTTCACCGCAATTGCCGGTGTAATTTGCCAAAAAATGGCGGAACAACCAGTCAAATCTGCACTCAGAAAAGTCTTGGATTGAACCGCATACTGTTTTCGTCCTGTTTAATCAGATATAAATTTTAATCATTTAGAGTACTGATTAAAACAATGAATATATAGAAAGTTGCAGTTGAAGTTTTTGAAAAGTAGGATACTGAATGTATCGATAGCTGGGAGGATGTAGACTGGTAAAATTGACATAATTTCACTATTTAACTCAGCTTCATAGGCTTTTAGACGAAGACGGAACACTGCATGAGACATAATGCTACGACGTGTCCCATGAAATCCGTCTCTCTTTCGCCCTGTTGCAGACACTTTCTAGCAGATCTGGGAAGCCTGCCATTCAGATTCGAGGAACTTCCGATGTTTATAAACAAAACTCCTAAATAATGTCGATCATTACTACCGCAATTGTATCATATTCCTTTAGCGCGGATAACCCAAAATATTTCTTCATCTTTTTAGTTTGATCACAGCAAACTATAGACGGTATTTTTATATTCAACATGGAATAAATAGAGAGATAAATGATAAATGAAAACAGCAAAATGCGATGCCAATGGTGAAATAATACGTTGTCAAATACCATATATATATACATGCATGCATCGCTACTCTACGACACTGCTTGTATGCATTCATTATGGTCAGTTACGTTTTATGCATATACTCTCCTAGATTTTGATGCCACGGTATTTTGTATGTCTTGCTTAAACCAAGAAAATGGCCGTAATTTAGTGGTTCCCTTTGCTGTTTTTGTGACTGATGATCAGTACTGATCTGAGAAACTCGTGAAAGCGCGATGAAATTTTCCCACGATTGTTGGATTAATGGTGGCTGCCTGAGTATATATGACTTAGAATTTACTATTGAACTTTTACAATTCATTAAAAATCAAGATATCGGTTCTACAGCAATACTTAACAACAATATAGACATGGGAAAAGCTTGCAAGTACGACTTGATTGTATGATCTTATTAGCTGTTATTAACCGATTGATATGATGTTCTCTTCGAAAGATAACGTTTTACGATTAGGGCAGGTCAGCAAAAATGCTTGTATGTACGTTTGTTAAACACCAGCAAAGTATGGCTACAGCCATACAGGATATATTTATATACAAATTGCTAATTCTTAAAATGACACTAGATACTCATATCATTTATAATGATGAAGAGGTCTTGTCTGTTGCTTTTACTGTGAGTTCATTAGCAATGCTGATTTTCTCAATTCTGATTTTAACACATTATTTCACTCTTAATCTTGATCTCCTTCATTTGCGGGTTTTCGTTTTAAAGAACATGTTTTTTACTGAAATTTTTCCGGATTCTGAACTGTATTACTAGCAATTTCGTATTCATGTTATATTTGACAGTCTTCCTTTTTTGTCTACTTTGTCTATGAGACATTCTACAAATTCTATAGCGACTGAAAAAATGTTGGGATATTGTTTCACAAGCATAACGATCCTTTGAAAAACAAACTCTTTTCGATTTAGAAAGGATGTTACACAACATGACCTTTGAAACACGATGTTGGAAAATTGAAAAATGAACTATCAATAAGCAAATATCAATAATCTCATAAAACAGAAAAAGATATCATGTTGACTTGTTTTTCTGTTTCTAACGAAGCCGGCATTCTTAGGTTTCTCCACCCACATTTTAACAAACTTTGATATCCGGTAGGATCAGGGAGGTGTTCAATCACACCCTTAAATCAAGCGGAACTATTCACCACAAATATGTGAACAACCTTTCATTTAATAAACGATAAAATACTGCATATCAGCGGATACCACAGAGGCTTTTGAGAATGTGATCGTTTTCTTTCAAATATCTCATCGGTGTCCGGAACTAACGAACTATGAAAAATCTTAAGATAATACTTATGGCAATCAATTCAAAGTTCGTTGTTGTGGTAAGGCAATGCATGCATGTCAAAGCTTGTATGTGCTTGTAGAGACGAGTACACGCGCAAACCTGTGGTAAATGAAACAACTAACTATAGGGCACCGGCCTCATTATTTTTAAACTCCTGTCTTTCACCTGAAAAAAAGAATAACAAGCAAAATTATCGGTAGAACCGTGACCATTAACCATTTAACCTGTCTACAAACAATAGTATTAGAGGAGATGACTGCGTTAAATAACCAGTGATGTTATGTCATTGACACCTGCTTCGTCCTAATTTTTCAAATGCAATGTCCTCTTTCTTTATTTCGGACAATGTATCTAATTACCTTGTCATGTGATATAATGAAAGAAACACCGCAAAATTATCATAACACTTTTTGTTCGCGGTTTGCATGTTTGATACGCTTGAATTCTGCCGACCAAAGACTATAATAACTTGATGATATGGCACTAAAAAGCGGCTTGTTCGTGTTGTCAGCTATGTTACATAAATGTCACGATAGAGTCTTGCTCATTAGCTGCAAAATGCTGCCGATTTAGCTTTGCGGTGTAAATTTGATGAAACTTTATTAAGTCAATAGTCTAATATTATTGACATGAAATATGGTACGCTTGTTTTTTATTCATAATGAACTTTAAAAGATGAAAATATAATGATTATAATGGCACTCAGTTGAAAATTGAATGGTCTCGATTTACATTGGTTATGCAACCTTATAAAACCGCACAATGACCGGAAAAAACACGACATGACTTGTCGCATAAACCCTGATATATTTCTCTTTTAAACATTCTGAAGATGCGGTGTATATGTTATATCGAGCTATCTTTAATATCTCGGCACATGTTTTGAAGATTGAGGGTTAGCGGTCAATTTCACTCGCACGAAATCTGACACACACAATGGCGCTCGCACTTGACACAATTTATACGTCAGTATCCGGACGCAGTGATTGGCTGGACGCTAATGACTATTAGTAGAATTGTTGTTACGTTATGAGGAGAGTGTAAACACTCCGCAATGAGCAAGGTACGTGGGCCCACGACGTAACGCAGTGAATATATCTCAGTGATCTCAATGAACGTCATTATAGACAAACCATGGTAAAGCACAGTAGTGTATCTCTGGATTGCAATCCAGCGCTGTCGTCAAATCTTAAACTATATTCTTCTTCTCTTCTCCTACAGGATGAACTTCAATTATTTATCGAGGCATTACTACCACACGTTAAGTCATTCGCATACACCTGGTTTAACCTCCAGGCACGGAAACGCAAATACTACAAACGCCATGAACTTCGTATGAGTTGCGAAGAAGAGAGAAAGTGTAAAGATGAATTGGAAGCGGAGTCTGCCGAAGTTAAAGAAAAATGGGCTTCACGTTTACTCGCTAAACTACGCAAAGACATTCGACCTGAGTGTAGAGAAGACTTTGTTTACGCCGTGACAGGACGAGATTGTTCACGTTGCGTCATTTCAAATCCTGATCAGAAAGGCAAAATGCGACGTATAGACTGTTTACGCCAGGCCGATAAGGTTTGGCGACTGGATTTAGTTATGGTTATATTATTTCGTGGTATTCCTCTGGAAAGTACGGATGGGGAGAGACTTGGTAAAACTAAACTTTGTCAAAATCGTACACTTTGTGTCGTACCAAATCATATCTCAGTCACAATCAGGGAATTGGATTTATTTCTTGCGAACTTTATATATCGACAAGGTAATGTGTCAACCTCAAGCACTTTTGTGTACAGTCTAGGTCGAAGTTACATCACGTTTATGAACGCAATTTGTCTAAAACTTTCAACAATTTATTTAAACTGCCATGTCATGTTAAAACTTCGTATCACTTCGCGAAGTATTAATTTACATACCAAGAGATCATAATAACATTCCCCCGTAACATTAATAATTCAATTAAACATTTCTTCCTTTCATAAATCTCTGTGTTATATAGAGAATAAAAAAGATTGTACAGACAGTCCCGCGAGAACAGGATCAGCCTGTCTAACCGATCAAGTTGAATTCTCAGGTACGTTTAGTATTCAACTTGTTTGTTGTTTATACGAATTATATCCTGACATTAAGATGGTCTTGAATATCAAGCGAAGGTCGTCAAGATTTTGATTAATTTCGGGAAGTTTACACAGCATTATGCCATTAAGCGCACAACGTTTTTCGTTAGCGCGTATTTTATAAACAAACGCACAATTATAGCTACGCAGAGTAACTCAAGACAAAACGTTAATATTTTCGCGTGCACGTGTTTGTCAGCTATCATGTCGCACTATCTTTTGATCTTGTGCTCCCGAAATGACAGCTTTAATAAGTTTTCGTGCCGATTCTGCTATTTTCCGCTGGCTTTGCTGTAGTGATTGTTTGTCCTCATTCGTTATTTGTTAAATATTTTTTGTGATAAAAATAATCATTATTCGCCTGCTGTTTATTTCACGTTTGTAGATGATTACCTCCCTTCCTTTCAAATGGTGCCCCAATTGTTTCACAGGAAACGCTAAGACAAAACCCACCAAACTAAAACACACCTTACATCTTAACATGCCTAATCCATAACACCACGCAGACAATGACATTGTTTTGCTTTTAGCATTTTATATTAAACGAAGTATTTTATGATTTTTTACTGTTTAAACGCGGTCACAATATGATTTAACACAACATCCTGTTATTGACATTTTCATGTGGTTTAACTTAAAAGACTTAACGTGTCAAACGAAAGTGATCATGAACCAAATCACGGTTATTTTAAACTAAGGAAACAACTCACAACAACGTTGCATGTCTCTATTATTATTACATTTCATGGCTGCATTTCGACAACTTAGTCAGTTTGAAGAGCTGGAATGGAGTGCAGGCATCAGGCGTAGTTTGTTCAATATCCCAGCATGATGTCCAAAAACCCCTTTAACGCTTTCGCACGGTATAGTTGCAAAATGAACGATTTGCGGTCAAAGTTTCAGGCCTAAACATTTCTTTTACTCAACAAAGAGAGTTAATACCAAATTTAAAATTCCAGTCATCGAGTGGCACCAACCGTAACGATTAACTTAACAGTTTAGCTCATTAGCATTGCGTGAGCAAACATTGGATAATTTAATGTGACAAACATCAACAAATACTAGAACAAAGCATGAGTAAAAATCATGTCATTTTCTGCACGCGAGGACAAAAATCATGTAACGAAGTTTGAATGCGAAGCCTTTTTTCGAGTGGTAATGACTGTGTAAAATTGAGATTAACCCTATCTTTCAAAGTGGAACGTAAAGTGAAATGCGCGCGGAAAGTGATGCCTGATGGCTACGGCTCTTGTGAATTGTATGACAATACAGTACTGATAATATTGCTGTATCAAACAGCATCGTTTATGTATAGATTCGCTTTTACTAAATCTAATTCTTTAATTCCTGAATTAGAATATCCCTGGAAAAAAAGGGATTAGTTTGAGAATGAGCGGCAACATGCAGTAACTGGCCGTCATGTGCACTTAAATTCATGCAAATGTGATTGTTGTATACAGGTCGATTAAACAATATTTGATAAGGCCTTCTCTCTGTTAGATTTAGTTGTAACTGTCTTTGTTCTAAGGTTCGTCATGAAATAGGAGTACGGTAGCGATAAAGCATACCGCTTTACTTTCAATTAAAATCAAGGGACCGATGTTAAAACGCTAAAACATATGAACTTGACTTGCGTGTTGAATTTTCGTGTCACGTTTTGATGAATTGAACTGCGCAACACAATATTAGATCTATACACTTCCGTTATGATTGTTGTTCCTGTTTCGTTCTCAGCACTCAAAGACAGTTTGTTTCTTCAAGGAGCGTAACTCCGTCAGATTGCTTTCTAAGTTAAATGCTGTAAAATATGTTATCAAATCAATGATAACAGGAACCGTCAAGTGTCTCATTGCCATGTGATAAGTATAATTGTATTTTTAAAATGCAAGTTGAGGTATTTGTATATACAAGTGTTGACGCAAAATGAGCTTATTTGGTCATTTTCTAGTGCTCCCACACCCTCGGGTGTGTGGTTTGATATGAAAATATCACAAATACAATAGACAATAGATTGGGTAGCCCTTTTATTTCCAACGGAACTTCATTTCCAATTTTTGGTAAATTGAGCCGTATATGTAAAAGATAAATCAACAGAAGCAACGGGAAATAAAAGATCTCCACCTTAGAATACATAAACACACAATTGGTTTATACATGTTGCACATTTGAAGACACACAACTTGAAGGTTTCTAGTGAAGTCATGTGGTTTGACACATTTACTGAATCATTATGATGTCACATCTATTGTTCTCTTAAACATCACACTGATCTAATTTCCGTCTGTGTTGATAGAAGTTGCAAATGTTCTGATATATTTAGATATTGTCAGAAAAACCCCAATAACACCACTTTTCTCTCCCCTTCTGAAGTTGCCAATATATAAAATATATAAGTGGTATATATTTTGGTTAATTTTAAACAGTCGTGGTAATACTGATGGTAGTTGAATTTACTGAGCAGCCGTAATTCCAGTCGCTCAAGGATTCTCGAATAGTCCGAGTTTTACACCGCAAGGCGATTGTGAAGCAAAATCAGTAGGTTTGTTGGTGTTGCAAGCTGTATTTTCCTTCACTCTTACATCGTCTACTTATTCTACTTAAATTGTGTAAAACTCTTGTATTTGTTGCTGATTTAATTCTTATTTCTATTTCAAAAATACCCAGTGTCTCGGCGAAACTTGAATTCTTTAAGATAGATTCTCTCGGGAAGCAACCTATGTTTGAATTTTGCTAGTATATATATAAGCAACATGCAATGATGCGGATAAACAGCGATGCAGGAATACTTCTATTACCTAGTTTTGTCAACAAAATCTGGTTTACGTATTTCACAATCGTTTTTACCAGAATTTAATACGTAATATTGTACATGGAATTTTAGTTGTCTCAGACATTAATACCATCCACTATGGTAATGACAAAAAGGTTTCCATATTAAGCAGATGAAGCCATATTTAGGTTTTATTATAAACTGACAGAGATGCGATAATATCGTTTGATTATGAGGATTTATGAAATGGGATTACTTGAAACATCATTTCATTCGTTGTTTACCAGATTTACAGGTATAAATGCGGAGTTGCTGATTAAATCGATCAGATGAAGGGCTGACCTATGTTTATATCAGATACACGCTGATTGTTTTGAAAGAGTAAGGACAGTTAAGGCACCTCAGGAATTACCTATTTTTGTCATGTCAAATCCACTCTATATTTGGCTCAAATTTATATAAATAAATAAAAACCAACAATGATGTCCTATTGGAAAAATGGTAAATAGTTGTGGGCGGAGAGAAATATTTTCTACAATTCTAACGAAAGTCAAACATGCGTTCATGCATTACTATTTAATATTCTTCCTTCATTGGAAGGAATGTCCAGTTACAAAATCAGTTTAACGACATATTTTTCTGTTTTACTTTTTGGGATATTCCCAGTTGAATATGTGACATACGAACAATTGTCTAGTACGTATGACGTCACAACAGGGCATAAAGTCGTACCCGGGGTTTTCAATCGGGTAAATATCTGATGTTTATATATTTTCTAATTGCGTTTAATACAATTATCACACATAAAAGTCCTAAAGTACCTGGGTCTAATCACCTCAAAAATAGGTTAATAGCAATGCTTTGTCTCCTAATTGTGATTTTCTGAATGTCTGTTGTAAACTCATGTGTCATGATCACCTCATTTATCAACATTTTAGCATTTCGTAATGTGAAGTAGTTAGTGTGATGTTATTATACATTGAGCACCGTTAATCGCAGGCGTTATTCTGTCACCAATGAAAAAGTGTCTTATAACTATATCGATATAAATATATTGATGATTTGCAAGGGCCAAGGTGAACCAAGTTGGTCCACGGTACCACATGCCGATCGTCAAAGACGATCTTGTGTCCTGCTGATGTTGTTCCGGACCATTGTCCCGGTCTTGTCTGTACAATTTCCTGATCCTCCCTCCGCGACCACAAGTCAGTGGCCGCCATCTTGAATGAATACTTTACATCCATTGTGTGCTCGTGCGGTGCACATGCATGATGCATGCAGAGTGTCTAATTCACACAGGCTTTTGTGAACATTTGTGACCGCTTTTGACATTGCACACCGCTGTTTTATGTAGTTTTAATGCATGAACTACAATCTTACAAACATGAAAGTCTTAAGAATTATATTACAATGTGGTAGTGAAATGTACCGATATCTAAATACCGATATCTAAATAATTAAATAATGCTACTACTATATATATTTAGCTATGCTATCCGTAAAATTCCATGAAGTTTTGAGAATTTTTTCTTGTATCGTGTAAAGAGTGTAGTATCACATATGCGGTGTTTCACAGTGTAATATTGAATGAAGATATAACGGTTTAGATCTTGGGATGATGATTTATAAAGAGGGACCTAAATTTGGTGTTTGCGTATAATATAGCTTTTGTCTTTTAAATTCATGATTAGCGCGCTCTTCGTGCCTTAAATTGAGTAATAAGAAATAATAATATGACTACTTTGAGAAGCGACACAATTTTCGCTCGCTAACGTCATTCAAGCCTCCTTCACTTTGAATCTACGTCATAGGAAATAACCTTAATTAATCTCCCACACTCCTCGTATGATAACAAGTCCACTGTGAGTTTTGAACATGTTGAAACATATTCATAGTCAAAGAAAGTCGTTTTGTGTATATCAATTTCTATTCTCTAACACTAACAATATAACGTAAAGAAGCTGACTAATTTTAGATTGTCGTTGAATAAGGGTGTCTTTGTCACCATCTTGTTATAAAGAATGCGTCAGTTGTTGTTTTCGCCACAGCGATTCGTTGGGATTTTTTAAATTAAAATGTATGATTGATTTTCGCTCTACCTATATAGCTACACACAAAACTGTACTACTATTTCATCTAACGTTTGTTTGCTATCTCGGGAGGGGAACATAACATAAAATATGATTGTTAGAAATGAACCAATCAGTTTTGTGAATCTTTGCGCTGAAATAGACATAATTAGATATAGAGATATCTATCATTTTACATTCATGTATTCACTAAAAAAAGTTTTGTGAAAGACGTCACAGTAATCTTTTGATGAATTAGAAGCATGCTTTATCTTACTCTCTGACAGATAACGTTCTTGAAATTTCTTTATGTTAATATATATAACTTATCCTTGAGCTATGAAGCACTTCAGTTAGGAGTATGATAACGTATGTTAGACCACGTAGCTAAATAATCTTGACCTTCAAAATATAATTAGTCGATTCTGGAAGTTCAAGTGGTCAGTAATTTTGTGTTGACGAGTGTCGAATTGCATGGCTAAATTTGAGTTTCCAACATGAAGAAAGCCTGTAATTAGGATCCACAGTATATAAGAAACGACCATGGTAACTTCAGTTTCTCTTCAGTCAAATGTGGCATATAACAACTGCGAACAATGTTTCGACCTTAGGACATTTGTCTTACTAACTATCCCAACGAATACACTTCGAAACGTCGAGAAGTTTTTTTTTGTCTAATTTAGGCAGTTGTTACACCATATGCAAATTTGATATACAAAGTGGTTTGAAGCCGACACTACAAGTCTACAGCCACGCTGCTCCCTTGGTTATTTCGAAATTCTCCATCATAATAATAAAGATCGACTTTAAATCTTTTTAACATCCTAAAATTTCTTAGTTGCCTCATCACATCTCTTCAAAATAACATTCGATATAATATTGCACACAAAATTGAATAAGTATGTTCTCAAAAAATAGCTTGTTGACCGTGTTAGAAATTGCAAATCACTCTAAATCTAGATCGTTGTGTTGGCGATGAATTTCTCCGAATTATTTTAAATATTTTCTACTTGCAATAACTACGTATAAAATATCAAAGCAGAAAATTAAATTGAGCTGAGTGATCTGTATTTCTCAAACTGTGTTAAGTAGCTTAAGGTCTGGTCAATTAAGACAGAAATTAAAATTGTTCTGGGTTAAGCACAACCTTATCCTTATTGACGTACATGAAATCACCCGATCCTGCATGAACGTGACCTTTTTACTCACCAGGAGCTGGTTGTATATAACGTAGTTAACTTTTAAGAGTTTTATACAACCAACACCAGATGTTGTCACCTTATCTATTTCTCATCACTTTCCAAAAACCGTGAGAGTGAGTGTTGCCTACCCGAGCAAGCGTGTAACCATCTGCTTTATATTTTTAACAGCGCCAAATTCATTAGAAGGAAACCTTGCAACATCAGGAGTTTTTTCAGTCAGTGAACTCTACAGATGTTCTCAAAGTAAGTTTTGATAAATTGAAGCAAGTGAAAACACATCTTGTGTAAACACAACGAGTTGTGAGGGCCATTGCATGTGACGTTTTGTCACAATATATCAGTCGCACGTGATCAGGACAAAATTGTAGAAGAGAAGTACTCTAGAAGAGAAGTACAATACTAAGACAGTAAGACTAATATCCAAATTTTATGTTTGACCACAGCTCCCATCGTATGTGGCCATTCGGGTACAAAATATTCAAGAACAGATCTCGAAGGTGTAGGGTACTGTCCAAATAGAAACAGCTATGGTCCATCCGTGGTGGAAAACTCGCCATACTTGTTTGATCAGCTCACAAGAAAACGAAGTCGAACAAACAGCTCATCAATGGACGACGACATGGAAGAAGATGACGAAAGCGGTTTTCATGGCAACAACAACCGCTCGCCTGGAAGCCAAGGGTCCGCCGGATGGGAAGTTGATCAAGGTATATATTTACAGTTTTCACCTTTTAGTGAAAACAAAGAGATTAACATAACATATAATTAAAAAAATAGTGCGAAAAAAACCTATTTTATACTTTAATTACAGCAAGTCCTTCTCACTATTCCCAAACACCTTTACTGAAACCAAAGACTGAGCCGCCGTTCGGACTGGGATGTAGTTACGTCACTACGGGCGTAACTGGGCCTCAGAAGATGGACACAGCAGCTATGATCAGGGTAGCTCAAAATGGTCATCCATGGCCTCCGTTGTACGGCCATCATACACACAACGCATTAGCCAGATCTGCACCGGCTGTTTTACAGAAGGGACCTGCCTTCCCCCACAATGCAATGTTGGCTGAGATGTCTCATATGCCATTTCGTGTTCCAACAGGTAATTACTCTTTCGAAGCTACTTTTTTTCTTCAAATTTACAGTTGAAACTAATCGGAGCATAAAATAATCGTTGATGTACTTCTTGTAGCACAACCCTTGGGAAGAAGTTGCTCTGTTCCAGACTCTACAAAGAATGGCTCGACCGGTGCTGGGTTTATCGAGAAACTTGGTGGCGTAAAACAAGATTGTTTATCGCCTCTTGCAGCAAGTAGATCATCTCCTGGTACACCAAGTGGGAATATTGCTACACATCGTCCACCACCAAGTGATCTACTTTGTAACAACACTGGAAACAACTTCAACGAGAGGACACAGGTACATACACACAACTAGAACAAGAAATTAATTTGATTCCACGATAGTTCAACAATCACTTTTTATGAGCATTGATAATCAAAAGAATCGGCAATACATGATCTATTAAGGTGATTGCGTTAACCATTTAGATAGTGTTCTTTTCTACGCAATCATTTTGCCGCAGTCGGCAAAAGTCTGTGTGAAGAGATCTTTTTTCTTCCTATGACTCAGTTTGAAATAACTTTGATGGTAAGTCAATATATTAATCCCGATATATCTTCCAGGGACAGTACATCAATGTAACGACAGCAAACAGTTTATCCAGCGGTGTTAATCCAGCAGTAATAAGCTCATTGGGTGACAGCAATGACGTTCTTTCAACACAGTGCTCCAACCTCCGTTCAGCACAACTCCAACAGCAGTGGCCCCAGGGTATCCATAATGTTCCTATTACCACCATGGCTGGGACATCTGATGCCACAGGGAATGAATACCAGTTTTTCGTTAATCAGGCAGGTAAGATACAGGTTTTGAATACAAACATTCTATTGTATTAGTTATGATATAGTAAACCCTACAGGCTCGGAAGCCACATATGACCCAGGAAACAGGGGTCCCTAGCTATGTGATCCCACTTACCCCCCAACCGAGGCATGAAATAATTTTCAAATATTGAAAAAGTTTTTATGGAACAAGGAACCACACATAAATGGCTCATTTAAAGTCAAAGTCTCGTTACGTTTGGTTCATTTCGGGTAAGCGGGATCTCTAGCATCGAGGGTCTTGACTTGAGAGTCCCAAGTCGATTTGTATATTTCAACAAAACGCAACATGCTCGATTGCAATACTTTCTTACTACAGAAAGGTTGTTTGGTATAATTCCAAATGATGCAACGGATGTTGCCGCTGATTCAACAAGAACGGCGGCGTAACTGGTCGGATATCTGGTATGAATGGTCCGCGCTGAATCTCTGTCACAGATGTATTCTAGACCATTTCTAGACCTATTCAACCTACATACATCGCAAAGACAATGGCGCAGTTAGGAGAAATCCTTGACATCTCTAGCTAGAAAAGTAGAAGAAATATTTTATATGTAAAGTTCTACTACTAGAAAATAAGGCTATTCAAAATAAGTGAATAGTATAATGTTCGTCAGTAGAAAGGTTATAAGATACAAGAGTGAACAGGTTTTTCATGTATGTTAATGTTTTTCTAAGCACTACCGATGTCAAATATCACCAGAAATTGTGCTTGACATTCGAAGCAAGAAACACTTTTTAATCGTGAAGTTTGCTGCTTCTCCCTGTTCTTCCACATTGAATGGCGTAAGCAGCCACTAAATGTGTCAATTGCAAAACTAATGATAAACTGCATAAATTTTATGACACTGGATGCAAACAATAAGCGAATTACTGCAACAACTACATGAAGTTTCGTAGTTCTTCTTGTCCTTTCAACCATGTGTATTTAAGCAGAGTCAAAATATGAACTAATATAGAGTAAAAAATAATATGAAATATTTAGAAAATAGTAATAAAGCCGCATTCGTCTTATTTTAAACCTGCCAAGCAGGAAAATATATTGAGAAAACATGCTGTCTATAGATGTAGTACTTTCAAAGTAGTTGTGTTGAGCAACGTTAGATCATGGTAGGAAATATCTCGGTGCACCTTCATCCATCTTTTATGTTGTTGGAGCATAATCAATAATCGTTTCATGACATTTCTAACGGTAAATTATAAATAATACGGAAATAATATAATATAGGATCCATTTACAATACGTGCTCTTGCAATATGAAAAAGTCCTTTTGATTTAACCGATAACTGCAGAATAAGACTTTTTTGTCTCTTTTATGACACCTCTAAAACGGCAAACAAAATTTTAAGCTAAATTAGCATTCTATATTGTTTGCTTTCAAGTAATTCTATTGTGGTTTGCCAACTAAAATGATGGAAAGCTACGTGTACTAGTTATGTCACTTTAAACAGGGTCCAACAATGACCAATTTATATTTTTGTGTTTGGGACTGCACAAATAACAGTGCTAATGCACAAAAAATTATCAGTATTAGACGCCATATTTGGCGTACCGTTTGATTATCCGTCTTCAAATAAGGGACTAGACTTTGTTGAATCTAGCTCTGCTGGATTGTTAGAGAAAGGCTTGCATGCAGGATGCAGGTGCATTGAGATTCTCTCACTATTAAACTCGCAAATATTTTGGTATTTTTAGCAGATACTCGCAGTTAGGTTGATATCTCCTATATATCAATCTATGCCTTCAAAACATTAATGTATGTCTTAACCCCTTGTACCCAGGATTGCAACCAGGATTGCATCAACATGATTGAAAAACATGTTGAATTGATGCTTTGATATATTACATTTTTCTTGCTGCGATTTATTTGCTAAATACGAATTAATATAATATCCATGTTCTATTTAACATTAACTGGTATTTTATGTAAATTTCTTCGTGAACTTGCAATGTACGTGGTATACATCAGTTATACTAGTCCAGGGTGCGATAAAACAGTCAGAGTGTCATAATTATGCTGTCGAGCGGCATATCTGCACTTAAACAAAGACGTTTTACTGAATATATCGTTCAGAAAATTACTGTACTCTTGCCCATGTTTGTACATGTTTGTTCTTTATAAATAAAAATAAACGAAAAATGAATACTTTGTCCCATCTCATCTTTAATCATTCCTTGACAACAACCAGTATAGCTATTTTCTCAAGGTAAAGTCTGTAAGACAAACATCCAACAGCTTAACATCCCCTGCCACTGAATCAGCTGCAAGAAAGACGATTACCGCTGTCGGAATCGAACAAGAGCAGAGTGGCAGCCTTAAGGCTCGTTTACACTTGCGATTTTTGCTGCGATTTTCTTCTTTTGATAGATGTGAACGAAAGACGAAAAGTGGACATAAAATCGCACATAAACGAGCCTTTAGGGCGAACTGTGATATTATATCTCCTGCATCCTAATCTTAAAACTTTTGTTCCAGCAATGGACATGATATTCTGATAACGTGCAATTCCAGAAACCGCAGATAACCTGATCTTGCACTAGCTTTTGCTATTCCCTCTATTTTTATCAATATTATTGTAAAAGCTACCAATTACCAACCAATTGCCATGATGTATATGTGTGTGGGAAGATACTTGGAACCTGATATGTTTTTGAAGGGCATTTCAGGGACTAAAATTAAAGCGTGATCATTTCGTGGAATTTTATTTACACTGTCACATTCGTCCCTATGAACCAGTGGGCCATTCGGTTTGGGCTGATTCCTTCGCCTCTTTTTCGATCTTAATTGACGTCATAAGTGACGTCACGAAAGAATGAAACACCTGCAAAGAAACCCAGGGAGAAGGTTGCAAAATTGGACGCAATCTGTGGCCTTTCACGTTGGTCATATTCGGCAAATTTTCTCCCGGTAAAGAGGGCTCAGTTTTCCAGCGGTCTTCGCATAAAAAATTAAGAGCTTTTCGTTTTACGCTCTGCTCTCAATTTTGTGTAAGTTGTCCGCTGACAACATGAGCCCGCACGAGTGGGAGAAACTTAGCTAAGTTGGACCAGCGTGTTTTCTGCCTGAATACTGCGAGAATGTAATGTTTGTCTTCGTAATTCTTGAAAGAAGCTTTGGTCCATTTGAGGATATTTGCCGGGAAAAATTCGTGCAATGGCTAGAGTTTTTTTATTCGTGCAATGGCTAGAGTTTCCACACTAGGAAGGGATGTTGAACAAATGCGATAGTTGTGTTTCTACAGCATCAGCCGGACAAAACAAAACAAAATGAACAAAAAATGTCTAAAAGTTGAAACTGATAAAAACGAGAAACCACTGATGTTAATCTCGTTTTCTGAGCCTGCGATGAAGAGCTTGATTACGATCAATGATTATCAATAATTATGAATTATGAAGAATTATGATAATAATGCTGAAGATCGAGACAACATGAATCATTGATCATTACCATATTATTACACATTTAAAGTAAAATAGTTTATATGTGTTTGAAATCATGCATCAAGATGTTAACACAAACTCTAGAGGGTCTTTATTAAACAAAATGGAAGTGGAATCGGATTCAGATGTTCCTGAATTCTCTTTACCACCAAAAAGCATTGTAAAACGGCCGAAGAAAACGATTAGGAGAAGGTATTTTATTATACGAATTCGGCTTTTACAGCTGTTTAAATTTGACTTATATTGTGACAATAATGTGCTCTTTATTTACGTTTTTAGAACTCGGTCAAGATGGAGAAAGTGTTGTAAAACGTATTGTCGTTACTGTGGTGTTGTTCTACTGGCACTCGTTCTATGTGCTTGTATCATGGCTATTGCGTTGCTGTCTTGGTCTTCTTTCAGATTGTCTAGAGAGGTGGAAAATTTAACTCGTCGCCTTACTATAGAAATAAATCTTGGTATGTAAGAATAAATATTGTGTGTGAAAGTATACAGTATTCGTTCGTAATTTGTATTAACTCTTTTATACATAATAATGTAGTATGTTTATGTATTTCGGATTCCTGTAAGTACACTTATTCTTTATTTGGGATAAGGAAAAATTGTACTGCATATTTTGAATTGCAGCTGTTGTGTTTGCCCACTGTTGTAAATAATTAATATTACATCAGTCATTTAAGAATAAAAGCCACACTATAGAGACAAGCACATGAAGATACTTTGGGAATGTTCACGGATTTACACAATCTCCATTGTAGAAATTGTGGTAGATAATATGGATGCACATTCCAATAGACCTTTCCCCCTTTTAGCTTTCAAGCGCGCAATGTGTGATGGTAGTTGATTTTCAAGGTCAATTTAAGTTGTGATTCCACCATGTTCAGGAACGATTTACTTTCATCTTTGGCATATTCACTGCTTAATTATTAAGCTAAACAGCTTTTGCTAAGTATTTTAATCACAAGCTCTACAGTCTACCTAATACCCATCACCTAATTTGTCATATTTTCAGTTAAAACAGAGCAGATGACCAATGTTCAGAAATGTGAATCAATTGAAAAAAGAATGCAAGAAAACATGAAAGTGTTGGAAAATGGTCAGAAGGATATTAAGGAATTCAAAAAAAAGTTACAAATGTCTTATGCTAAGGTAAAATGTGTGTGGATCTGCACCTGGCCAAGACAACCCTTTAAGAATGTTATCATTTGTATATCATTTGAATGTTATCATATAGATCACCAGTCTGAATGGATCATTGTTGAGAATATCCCACATGTTACATGGCCCTAATGGTAAGGTGACGCTAGGTCACACTGTAAATGCTTTGAAGAAAGGAATGGCAGATACTGGTGCTGAAATAACAAAATTAAGCGATGAAATTAAACAGCTGAATAAAAAAGCCTCATCACAAAATAGAGCCCTAAAGAGAATAGTTCTTGGGATGTTTAATATTTCAGTGAGTTTGAATCTTCTTATATTTAACTATCACACCATTGTGTCAAAATTGTGTAACTGTTCATATACGGCCGAAATATGAAATATCTCTTGTCAACCATTGAAAGATGTGAAATGCTATCAATAGGCTGCACAACTGAACTGTAATATATAGATGATGTTTCATACAGTTTTCTTAGGCATAAATATGTGAATTTCACACCATTGTGTCAAAATTGTGTAACTGTTCATGTACGGCCGAAATATGAAATATCTCTTGTCAACCATTGAAAGATATGAAATGCTATCAATAGGCTGCACAACTGAACTGTAATATATAGATGATGTTTCATACAGTTTTCTTAGGCATAAATATGTGAATTTAGATTTTTATTTATTATCAACTTCATCACTACTACCCTAAATTATAGTCAATATTGGGATGAGTTTATAGTATAGCTATTAACTGTAGGGGAGCAATAAAGGTCGTGCGTTTAATTTTTTTTTATTAACTCTGTTTTTGTCAGTCTGAGATTGCAAATATAACAGGAAAGTCATCAAAGTCATTCCCGGATAGTCAAGATTACCTTCAGCAAGAATTCAACGAACAAAATAACTTTGTTGAAGAAAAATGTAACCACTCATTGGTCAGTCTTTTTGTCAACATAAATTTTGAAATAATAGTAAACATACTAATGTGAACAAATTTATTACAGAAGAATTCAGAAGTCTATGATGTTATTGATACACTGAACAAATCATTGTCTGAACAGGTGGAACATCTGTTAAAGGTATGATGACGACTTATGTTACCAAATAAGGTCATAAATACCCCGTAGAATCGCAAAAAATCTGTATTACACACTTTTTTAACCGGTTTTCCGTTTTAAAAAGAGGAAATTCCCACTTTCTTATGGTAAAAATGAGACGTTTAACTGATTGAATGTGTTTTGACGCGTAATCCGGCGGAGCAATTTACGCGTTCCCAGGCTGGGCAACACGTCAACCCATTTAATAAGGTCTGGGTCTCTGGGTCTAATATGAGAGAGAAGGTCAACCCAAGGTAAATCATCAGAGAATGATCCAGATGAAATATATACGTATGATACGTATCACCATTTATACAAGAAGTTTATGAACAAGAAGGTCTAAAGAATAGCAACCAAACATTTTTTACTATATCCAGGACATTTTTTACTATATACTTAGTTTTGCTTCAAATACTTAGATAAAACCAGGGTTGACCAACACTCATAATGAAGATGTTGTTGATATTTCTGCTGATATATCCCGAGTTCAACGAGATATGTCCGTAATTAACCGATTAATTACAAAATTGGTAAGTAGCGTAAGTCGGTAAGTGCAACAGTTATAGTGACACAATCCAATTACAATTCTTTACTTAGCCGGGCCTACATGACATGAATTTTTTTTCTTACCTCGTAGAACATGCAAGTTCGAAACCTTACTCAATCTAACACGAATTCTTATGAAATCAATAATCAAATACAACTGCTTTGGGGAGAACTTGAGTTACAAAATCAATCTATTATTCAAATTCAAAATCTTGTAGAACAAAATACGGAGTTTAAACCAGGTAATAGCGAGAAGATGATTTGGATAAGATAATTTCGGCTTGTCAAGCCGTTGTGTTAGTTAAACTGTTTTCATTCTTTTTCCTTCGTTCAGGAGTTTCATCGCGACGTCGCGTTGAATTGAAACAGGAATCTTTGCCCGAGAATGATGGTGAGATATTTCCTAAAGATAGACAATCAGATGCCAATGAACAGAAAAGGGACACTCTTAGAACGAGATTTAAAAAATTAAATTCAAATTCAGAAAAGAAATATTCACACAAACTGAGGGACTTAATTGATGACAATGTCCAGTTAATTTAATTTAATTTAATTTAATTTAATTTAATGATTTCCACGCCCTAGTTTGGTGCTGGCAAAGTGGACCGCACAAATAACGACGTTGCACAAAAATAAGGCCACACAAATTTGAACTTTTTAGGAATCGTTTTCTGCCATTCTTTTTGTGAACTGACCTGTCTAGTCTCTACTGATAAAATGCATGTTAGTTAACTATTAAAATCAACCATCAATCAATCCATCCACTATTTTGATCAGTGAACTTAACTAAAACTGTTGGTCGCAGTCCGGTCTGTATATTCTCTAGATCCTGTGGTCCTATTGATGTAAATGGAAATTAATTGAATAGCTATATTAGCTATAGATTTAATAAATAGCAGTATTAAAAACTAAAAGATTTAAAATATATTTCACTTTTTTTGCATATTATTACATTAGTCATGAGACTTACTAGAAGTGACATACAATTCGCGGATTATCTAAATAGCTCATCCTCCATATATAAAATGCTGTGTGAAAATGTCCCTTATGTATTTAAGAGTCATTTTTACGTTATTTTTACAATTTATTAACTTAAAACTTGTATAGAACATCTGAACACCAGGGGCAAGTTCACGGTGGTATAAAAGGCTAGTTGAATATACGATTGTGAACTTAGTTTTAGAAATTTTCATGAACTCGAGCGGTTACTCGCAAAGACTGATCTGAAAGCTAATATCCGAGGAAAACCGAATTTCAAAATTCTCTCCCTCTCGCCGACCTAGATCCGCACCTTGGCGTATATTAGGGGGGGGAGGGAAATCCCCGCACTGCTATTAGACAATTATGCCACGGGCCTCTGGCCACGGGCCCTGCGTCTGGTCCGTGTGCGTGCTGTTGTGCAAACGACGGCACTTATCCGCCTGATTGCAGGCTAATGTTTTTGCCCCGAGTACTAATTTTTGCATTTGAAAAAATATATGCGAACGAAGAATGTTCTAGTGATGCATACTTGTACAGTCTGATATGGTACACACAATACCGATAACGTCTTTTATTAGTGTCCTTTGACATCAACATCATTGGTTGTTTTATTGAAGTAAAATGGCGAAGGAATATGAAAGTGACCAAGAGCAGTCACTTTTCTATGCCAGTGGATTTACAAATCACTATGGCGCAGTGAACAGTGTCGATCTTGATGGACAAAGCACCGAGGCGCTATCGGAAAAAATGAGAGCGCGTTTGAAGTGGCACTATATGAATGCTTATGAAAAATATAGAGCTGGCGGACGCAAACCATGGAAGCTACTTATTCAAATAATAAAGATCATTCTTGTCACGGTGCAGGTTAGTATTTGAAATAATATGTTTGCTATTGTCATATCATTGTCGACATTGTCATAAGACTCGTCATGTGATTACGGCAAATATTTGATCTATTTGATATACTGAAGGTGATATACCATTGTTATTACTCGTATTATTGTTATTTGCTTTGTTCTTCTTTGTACTTGCTAGTATAGCATCAATGCTCTCAAAAAAAATAACCAGAATGGGCACTAACAAATTATTTTCCCCTTGTAACTTGTAATTAATGGTCATTATTCATATCTGGTATTTAATGTTCAATATGCTGTGTGTGAATTAAAGTCATTTAATTCTATCATATTAGGTGGATGGCTGACCAGTCTTTTTATATATTGTATTTTATGAACATATGTGAATTCATTTGAATTGAGTTACCGTATACCAATTGAGTTACTGTATATCATGGTTTGTGTAAAACATGCATAATTATGCATTGAAGGAAGTTGGCAATAAAAATTAAGTTTTTCTTATTTAGAAAAAACTCTGAAACTAAATATCAAGTTTCTTCCTCAATTTTCACATTTTGCTTAGTACCTGACTGGAGTGACTTCAAGAGTTGTGATTGATGATAATTACATTTTATAGATTTGTTGGTTTGCAGAATTGAGATTTTCAGTTGTAATGTATTTGGATGAGGCACATCATGTATTTCATGGATTGTTATTCCGGAACAATGGGAATGCATTTTACACGAGGCAGAGCTTATATCACCAGATAAATTACACAACTTTTCAGGCAAGTGTGGTAACAGTTATTGAACTAAGTACTGCATGATAGCAAAAAAACATCAAAAGAAAACCTGTATTTATAAATCATGAATAATAAACATGAACAAGTTTGAGCTTTAAACATTTCATATCACAGATTAGTGAAGGTTATTTTTTCATATTTTAGTATGAGCATATAGAAGAACTGGCATTGGGACCTTACTCCTTGCCATGTGAAAATCCTGGTGACTGTCCTGTTGTATTATGTACTCACTCATATAACAATTCAACCATTAAACCACGTACATTGTATTATGAGTTTGGAAATGATGAACCAGAAGTCAGTATCCTTTTAATTGGGGTTTAACACATTTACATTGGCCTTTGCAAGGTCTGCAATAGTTAAGATTTGTGCGCTATTTGTAGTTTTCATGTATATAGCAAATCCAACTATTTCATGTATTTAGCATGTAATTAATGTAATTACATGCTAGAGTCATCAGATTTTTTTAAAAGTTTCTGTAGTTGCTTTTATAATTACAAACTAGGTAGGCAAATTGACCTTTCTGAAAATTAAATCATTTAGCGTAATATAGTACCTCCCACTCATGAACTTGAAGCTGTTCATTGCATTCCATTCTGCCTTTTGGGAGCTTGCACATTATGGAAAAACGTTTATCCAACTAAGGCTGTATTGTGTGTATTTAAGATCTATTACAGCAAATTATTTATCTGGTAAAAATTTGTTTGGTGCCATTAGAGAACTATTCACCTTAAATCATTTTAGAATGCATGAACATTACAACAATCAAAAACAAGAATATTTCTGAGTTTGTTAGACTGAACAATATTCCCCAGGAGTTTTACTGGTAGGTTTAATTGTGATGTCTAGACATGTAGGTCAGTCCATTGTTGCAATTGCTAGACAGTGACTATAAGCAATGAATAACGTCACCCAAGTATGCAACAATTTTTTTTTATCTTTTTCAGCATTGATGCTTTCTCGTTAAGACTAACTTTGCAATCAATCAAGATTGGTCAGCTAAAGTTTGGAAATAACCCTGAGTGTGTTAGGTTCAAAATTAAGGTATACAAAATGTTTTGGAAAGACATGAAAAGACATATTTTGAAAAGGCAGTAAGCTAGTAACCACTTCAAGCAAAAACAAAACAAAATTCTGGATAAGCATTCATGAAGAGATCTGGATGCATGATGATTTTGTTTTGTCTCTTTATTAGATTAACTTTCATAATGGACACAACACAGGAAAATTTAAATCTGAAATGGAAATAACACAAGAGTATATTGACTGCAAAGTTCCTGGTGGTGTAAAAGGTAACTCTTGCACAGTCTTCATTGTGATATTTATAACTGTATGCTTGATTTTGTTTTCATGTTTCAAAATGGCATTCAGAGATTATCCGTGATGGTAATTTAAAGAGCTTGATTTCCAGTGTTTTGCCTTAAATCTTTCCATTGATTATTTGAGAAAGAACTTTCTCATTAATCAGCAATAACAAGATTTCTATGACGCACTCATTAAGTGTTAGTGTGAGTGAGCTTTTTGAATACAGGCGTAGTATAATTTGCAATCCATGTCCTAGCTAGCTTCTTCAGGTTTGGGTAGGTTTAGGATATTAAATTTTTATATGTTCATTGCCGATCCCAACTCATCATTTATCCAGCAGTGTGTGCAACACGTATAATCAATACCTATGTATATGACTATGTATGTATCTATATGTATCTATATATATCTATATGTATCTATGTGTATCTATATGTATCCATGCGACTTTTACCAGATGAACTGCGTTCCAGTGAAGTGATATACGACATTTTTGTCATTGTGGTCTGTTTCTGGTCCCTGTTGCTCACAATACGGTCTCTTTACAGGAATTTCAAACTAGCGAAGGTATGAAAACGTTTCCGGGAAACTGCCAAGGGAGGTTATCAAAAGCCAGTTTATCAAATTTGTCGGAATTTTTTCCTTTATCATTGTTTGACATAAATGAAAATCTGATAAACATAATACAATAGTTCCAATGAACTCACCGATTTGAGGGTCTCAGCCATAATTCACGCGTAACAACCCCAGGTCCTTGTTTCATTCATTACTTCCCGTGTATTGCATGTATTCAAGAAAATGTAGCATAAAAATGAATTTTTATTCTCTTCTTTTTTCGCTAAGTTGACGTTCAAGTTTTTCAAACGTCATAAAAAAGAAAAATTATCAATCATATCCGATGGGTTGGAGCTTGTGAATGCTTGGTATATTATTATTGTACTCACGGACATATTAACCATTGTTGGTTCCGTCATCAAGATTTATATCGATATGAAAAACCTAAAGGTATGCATGTTGTTCATCCTTGCACTAAACCACGAGAGTGCATCTACTATACGGCTGAATATTAGAGAAACCATGCAGTGATGTGTTGTGAAATAGTATTACAAATTGATATATCTTTTAGGAAACATATTTCTACGATGAATGCAGTCTCTGCCTTGGTATTTCTGTTTTGTTCATTTGGATTGGTATTTTGCGTTACGTGGGATTCCTAAAGAAATATAATGTAATCTAATTTCCATTTAAATTCCTTCTAATCTGATTTAAAATATTCTTAATTATAAAATAGTCGATTGCAACAACTTTGCTGTTCCAATATGCTGCAGAAACGCACGACGAAAGTTGCAAGCTGCTAAGTAAGGTCAAATGTATATATTTCAATAGTTTAATCTGACTTCTAGGTTTTGCTGATCACAATTGAAGCAGCTATGCCAAGTGTTCTAAGATTCCTAACTTGCGCGGCAGTTCTTTATTTTGGTTTCCTGTTTTGTGGCTGGATTGTCATTGGACCATATCATCCTAAGGTGATGAAAATTTCTCTTTCCTTCAATAATATTCCTTGCTAAAATACTGGGTGTTTTATTTCAGGAAATTTCAAATCTCACCTGGGTGTTATAGCATAGTTATTAGACTAGTTTCTTAGAACGACATCTGCGCGCGCGTATCAAACATGCATTCAAAATATTTCGACTCAGCGAACGCCGTGCAAAAAACATGCGCGTAACTGCATGTCAATTATTCATTTTGTTTCAGTTCTCAACACCCCTCGAGGTGTCGGAGTGTTTGTACTCTCTCATCAATGGCGATGACATGTATACAACATTCCACGAAATGTCGAAGGATAATTCTCAACTGTGGATTTTCAGCAAGATTTATCTTTACGTGTTTATTTCACTTTTCATCTATATTGTTCTCAGTCTGTTTATTGGTATCATCAGTGACACGTATGAAAGATTGCGGGTATGTTTCAATTTTACTTCATTTGTTTTTTCAATAGTCCGTTATCTCCCAACTTACACTCCTCTCCATTAAGTATACTAGAAACAGGAGAGAACATGAGCTATATTCCCGAGGCAAAGACAATGCTATTTGCAATTTCTGAATTGTTCTGCCTTAGAGAAAGGGATCTTTTTCAACTTATTTAACACTTTGCGATCAGGTGTAATATTTTTGGTGTAATTTTTGAATTTGGTGTGTCAAAGTGGAATGTTTTGCTTGTGTCAATCCAAAAAACATGCTGTGTTGGAGTAGACTCCACTTTTTAGTGGAGTAGGCCTTCAGGGCGCTTTTTTCTAACATTTCCAATGTTTTTCTACTAAATACAAGTTACTTCTGGTATCTCAACTTTCTCAACTACATAACGTACAAATATAAGTCCCGAAAATTCACCTTTACTGCAAGCTAATTTATATTTTGAAGTACTTTGACAAAAATTATTTTGTTTGTTTTGCTTTTGTTTTAGGATGGCCAAGACATCGTATGTTCAAACGTGCTGAAATTTATTCATGGACCAGAATGCCCTTGTTTCGACCGTTCTGAAATGACTGATTCATATGATGGATCACGTTCTGGACATGATAGTGACACACCACAATTACCTCACGATCTTTAGATCTGGTTTAAAACATTTCATTTCATTGTGGAAGTGCAAGTAACCTTATCACAGATTTTGTCGGCATTGACCTCATTATATTCCACTGTATTTGGCGCATAATATAACTAGTTGGACTCAAATTTAATAATTTATTTGTAAACCACAAATTGTCAGAAGAGATATGTTACAAAAGTTATGTATAAAGCTTCTAACAGAAATATATGGTAAAAATATTTAATGAATAAAGATAATATTTTTTTAGTTATAGAAGTGTGGAATTTTTTTGTACATGAACATTTTGCCAATATATTGATATTATGCATCAAATATATGCATATATACAGTCAAATTACTTGTTTGAAGTTATTCTCTTACGGATTAATTGTTTAAAAAGAAATAAAATGATTCAGGTCGGTTGTTTAAAAAAGATACATAACAACAAGACCACCTCCTCCTCTTTCTTTTTTATTCAATAATAAAGGGCACGAATGCGAATGTTTGTTAAACCATTAATACCGCCTATCTACCTCTCTTCACCTATCCATCTTTCTCCGCCTGTCTACCTCCCTCCGCTTATCCACCTCTCTTCACCTATCCATCTTTCTCCGCCTGTCTACCTCCCTCCGCCTATCTACCTCTCTTCACCTATCCATCTTTCTCCGCCTGTCTACCTCCCTCCGCCTATCTACCTCTCTTCACCTATCCATCTTTCTCCGCCTGTCTACCTCCCTTCGCCTATTCACCTCTCTTCACCTATCTATCTTTCTCCGCCTGTCTACCTCCCTCCGCCTATCTACCTCTCTTCACCTATCCATCTTTCTCCGCCTGTCTACCTCCCTTCGCCTATCCACCTCTCTTCACCTATCTATCTTTCTCCGCCTGTCTACCTCCCTCCGCCTATCTACCTCTCTTCACCTATCCATCTTTCTCCGCCTGTCTACCTCCCTCCTATCTACCTCTCTTCACCTATCCATCTTTCTCCGCCTGTCTACCTCCCTCCGCCTATCTACCTCTCTTCACCTATCCATCTTTCTCCGCCAGGGCCACCGAGAGAAACTGTGGGGCTCAGGGAAAAATTTTTTTCCGGTGCCCTATGACGTCATGGTTTTAAATATCTGCAAAGCATAATGTACCTTAAAGCGTTGTGCAAAAGTTTTACAAACAAACTTTTTTCAAACAATCTCAACCAGAAAATGGCGTATTCGACCATGGTCGAGTGTACTGGAAAATGGCGTATTCGACCATGGTCGAGTCCGCCGAAAAATGGCGTATTCGACCATGGTCGAGTGTACTGGAAAACGGCGTATTTGACCATGGTCGAGCTCGCCGGAAAATGGCGAAATCGACCATTGTCGAGTTCGCTGGAAAATGGCGTATTCGACCATGGTCGAGTTCGTCGGAAAATGACGTATTCGACCATGGTCGAGTCCGCCGGAAAATGGCGTATTCGACCATGGTCGAGCCCGGCGGAAAATGGCGAATTCGACCATGGTCTAGCCTGTGCCCCAGTCCATACAAAATGGCATATTCGACTATGGTCGAGCCTATCTCCCTCGCATGGGTTACGGGATAGCCTTTGGGAAACGTTTAAAAATTTTAAAACAAAAAAATAATTTTTCTGTTTAGTTCACGTCGCTCTCTGAAACGTCGGAGTGTTTGTACTCTCTCATCAATGGCGATGACATGTATCCAACATTCCACGAAATGTCGAAGGATAATTATCAGCTGTGGATTTTCAGCAAAATTTATCTTTACGTGTTTATTTCACTTTTCATCTATATTGTTCTCAGTCTGTTTATTGGTATCATCAGTGACACGTATGAAAGATTAAAGGTACGTGGTAAAAAATTACCTACCCGGTCGGTAAAATCTCTTCCTCCCAGTGGAAACCTTAAAAGAAAATAAAATAATAGAAATTGCACTTTTTCGAATAAGGCAATATTTAGCGAATTAAAACATTTTTAATTCCCATGTGTCTAGAAAAGCACAGAATAAGAAGTATGCCATTTGTCGCCAAAAATGAAAAGATTTACCTGTATTAGCTAGTTTGATCGTGTGTGTCAAGGTAATTTAACCTTTTGGTGTTTCATCTGATGTTTTAGAATGGTCAACACATAGTATGCTCTAATGTCAGGAGGTTTATTCATGGACCAGAATGTCCTTGCTTCAACCGTTCTGAAAGCACCGCTGACTCACGTGGTCATCATAGTCATGCGCGCGCCAGACAGGATGATGATGAAACATGAACACGTGAAGTTGTATCAAAAGTCAAAACAAGATTTAAAAAAATTGAGTGTGAATATCAGGGATTTTAGAAAACACAATGGAAATTAAAAAAAAAAACTCAAGATACCGGGTATTTGGGTGGCAACTGGCAATAATTTTCGTTCAGACGATTTCTATTATCCACATCAGGACGTTGTGACCCTTTCCTCAAAAATGAGCTTCAATGCGACAACCTCAGTAGCGTTCTATGCTTCGTTGCTTTGAAAATGGCTGTTTCTACAGGCAAGGCACGATCTATAACGTCACTTGCAAGAGTTCAATGAGGTGATAATTATGAACTGATTATCAATTGTCATACAAGGTGCACTTTATAACCGGGGCTTGACTTACGTTAGTTACCTACAACGATTAACACATGTAATTACTTTGCGAGTTACTTATACTAATGTAATTAAGTTATAATTTATTACAGCAAAAGGGAAGATAGATAAGTCGATTATAATTATGATGCTAAATATTTATTTTATATATAAATTGTATATTTTGAATAATTAAAGTACAATGTGTGGATTAATTTTTAGTGCAATATCTGTTTGAAGTGCTGAAATATTCCGGTTTGCGACTTTTGACGATTTCTGGCTGTGCATTTTACTAGAAAGGGATTTTTTTCGAAAATACACTGTTCCTTTGAAATTCGCATTTACTAATGCAGTTATTTTGTAGCGTTATTTTCATTTTCTTAATAAAGATGACTACATCTTTGTGACACAAATGCGTTAACTAACTTTTACAGGCGAAATTTAAAGTAGCACAATTAGCGTTTCACAATTTTATGTTGCACAATTTCTCTATTCACAATTTTAATGCATCACAATTTGATGTTGTTTTATTTAGCTCTTTACAGGCGAAATTAAAAGTAGCACAATTTAGCGCTTCACAATTTAAAGTAGCACAATTTAGCGTTTCACAATTTAAAGTAGCACAATTTAGCGTTTCACAATTTAAAGCAGCACAATTTAGCGTTTCACAATTTAAAGCAGCACAATTTAGCGTTTCACAATTTAAAGCAGCACAATTTAGTGTTTCACAATTTAAAGCAGCACAATTTAGTGTTTCACAATTTAAAGTAGCACAATTTAGCGTTTCACAATTTAAAGTAGCACAATTTAGCGTTTCACAATTTAAAGCAGCACAATTTAGCGTTTCACAATTTAAAGCAGCACAATTTAGCGTTTCACAATTTAAAGCAGCACAACTTAGCGTTTCACAATTTAAAGCAGCACAATTTAGCGTTTTACAATTTAAAGCAGCACAATTTAGCGTTTCACAATTTAAAGCAGCACAATTTAGCGTTTCACAATTTAAAGCAGCACAATTTAGCGTTTCACAATTTAAAGTAGCACAATTTAGCGTTTCACAATTTAAAGTAGCACAATTTAGCGTTTCACAATTTAAAGTAGCACAATTTAGCGTTTCACAATTTAAAGCAGCACAATTTAGCGTTTCACAATTTTAATGCATCACAATTTGATGTTGCATAATTTAGCTCTTCACAGTTTATTGTTTTCAAATTTACGACTTTCACCATTTAGGGTATCACAATTGCAGAATATAGTACAACGTGACGACAATGTATCACAAGTCAATATTTCACAATCGAATTTATACAATCGATTCTTCGATAATGGCGGGGACCACGCCATAAGTGAGAAGCGCTCCTTGAAATATATGTTATATAGCTCAGTGGACAGACTCGAACCCGTGGCGGGAAATATTCGCGGAATAAAATCAAGCAACATCTTCAACATGGAGGATGAGACAAAAGGAAGCGAACAACAAGCGAATATTTCACAAGAAGGAAATGAAGAGAGAGTTAATATTTTTAAATCTACCAAATTTCCACAAACTAGAGTTCGTAATATGATGAAAATGGATGGTGATCTACATTTAGCTAGTCAAGAATCGGTGTTTCTCGTATGCAAAGCTGTGGTAAGGGGGCAGATTGTTCATTGTTGTATATATTATTAGCAACCCTACTGACATTACTGACTTGATTTGTAATAAATATATATTAATTATGCAATTCAGGAATTGTTTGTTGAACACTTGGCAAAGGAGGCATATGAAAGAACTGCACAAGGAAAAAGAAAAACAATACAAAAGAAAGATCTTGGTATGTAAATTACTCTTTTTAATAAAAGTTCATTTTACATGTAGCTCACTGCAATTCACGTCATCTATAGTGTAATGTAGTTGTAACATTTTTATTGTTAGAATTCTGTAAATCTTCTCCCAGGATGCAGGATATATGGCATTTCAGTGTTTAGGCCATGCCCCTGTAACCTCCTAGAAAGGTGCACACATTTGGCAGGCACTTTGCGGACCCTCTCACTTCTGGCAGTTTTCCGATGCCCCTAGGCCAGGGGGAGGGAGACTGCAGCCTCTGGGCAGAATTTGTTGACCATTTTGCACTCTGTTTGCATTTTGGCATCATTCCATCTCTCATATAAACCATGGAGAGACTCCTACTTCAGTCAATAAGGTGGTGGCTTCTGCAATTAAGCTTATTTATCATGTGAGGCCTTGGCAGAATTTACAGTAGCTTTGCAAGCAAGTTCTCCAACCTGAGCATTAATCAGCACCTCAAAGACATTGTTTCTATTTGTAGATAGTTGTGTAGATGAAAATGATGAACTAGCATTTTTACAAGGTACACTACATAAATTGATATTCATTTCAAAGACAAAGCATGTACATGTTTATATAATCTAAACAATCATATTCATAAATTGAACACACGTGTCAGTATGCATTCCAAGGCAAGATTACAACAATTTTTCATTTTTTCAATGCTGAAACAACTTGTACAGTACTTGTATAGTACTTGACAGAAATAGTTAAAAACTAGTTTTTCAATCCCTGCATTACATTGCGCTTCTGCATGTTTAGGATTATCAATTATGTTCAGGCACACAAATTATTCTAAAATTATTCTTAAAGGTATTGTTGTTTTTGATAATTTAAAATTAACCTTTGATTTTTAAGGAGTGTTAGAGTGATAATTGCAGGAAAACACCAAAGCTCTCAAGAGAGAATCCAAGAGTACTGCGTAGTACCTATTTGTTACTGTAGTCTGTCATCCTAATGTTTATTATAGTCACTGTTTAACCTTTCAAGCAGCAACTGAACTTTGAATTTTGAAAAAAAAACGTTTGCATTTCTGAGAACAACTATATATGAAGAAATTAGAATTCAAAACCTAATCAAGATGGCTTATTTGGATCATGCAAGAAATTTTTGTATCATACTTGTATCATACTAGGTAAAGCCTTCACAGAGTGCAACAAAAACGGGAATAGATATAATTACGACACTCCACATTCCAAATTGCTGGTTAATGCAGCGTTAGACTAGGCAATGCAATTCTACACAATCAAAATTTTTCATGGGTAGATCCTACATACAGTAAATCATAGAGAAATTCATGACAAGTGACAGGGGAAAAATGTAAATACAGTTTTATAGTTTTCCCATATTCACATACAGTATGTAAGTGCAGTTGTACCAATTGAAAAATACTGTCGAACTACAGTAAAGAATAATTCATTCGACACAATTGCTTAAACTTGTATATTATTGATATTCACAATTGTTTATATATATATAAAATATTGCTTACTGTATATTTTAAAGCACTATGTTTAGTATATATTATTGTTAATATTAAATACAAGATATCAACAAAAGCTGCAAAATTAGTTCTCAAGAGGCCTGCACTATATAAATAATTTTCATAAAAAAGCATCTACATATGTATTCAAAGATGTAAAAATGGCATACTTCATTTTTTAGTAAATATTATAACAAACTATATTAGTGTCTTATATTAGTGTCTCTTTCTTAGAAAGAAAGTTCACATGTCTCAAAACATGCACATAAAAAAGATCTATATTTACTATGCTAATGATATATACACAATATGTATACATTTTATGCATACATAAATTGACTCTTTACTCACATAAAACCTATGTGTATTGTACATTAAAAATGCAGTAGATGTTTACAATTGAGAACTGTCACATCGTGAATGCATATCCAATGCACAATAATATGCTGCACAGTTTTAATACTGAATTGAGTGAAAGGAGTCATGGTTCAGGTTTTTTGTGAATAAAGAGATAGAGAGACTTGGAAAGATGGCAGATACACTTCAGGCAGCTTAGTGTTGTTACGTGCGTTTTGGGTATCCTTTTTTAGGTGGTAACGACCCAACACAAACTGCAACACAGTCCCGTGGCTGACTTATCGGTGCTGAAGCGTACCACTTGTTGGATAATGGATCATACCTAGATAAATATTTTAAACTTAGGATTCAAATTATGTATTGAGACGTATATAGATTACGGTTTGTCTCTCTAAACAGTAAGCTTGTGTGCAAAATCAACCCTAATGTTTACACTTACAGGATTCTATTAGACATTTTGCTCACCTCTCCACAGAGCTAAGATACGATGTTCCATCATAACCTCCAACAGCATAAATAAATCCATCAAGTACAGCAACACCGCATCCACTACGGGGTACACTCATGCTGCATACTTCAATCCATTCATCCCGTTTTGGATCATAACGTTCAACAGATTTGTATCTAGTAGTATGATCACAACCTCCAATAGCATATATGTAGCCACCAAGGGCAGCCACTCCAACCTGTTTTCTGTATAGCAAAGAATATTCGATAAAATAAATTTCAGATATTGTGCTATGCCATCGCCAATGAATCACGACATGAAAACCAGGCTTCAATAAAGGGAAAAAAATTAAACGCAAGGTGACAGTTTCATACCTAGCTGTCACCATTGGAGCCAACAACCTCCAGGTATTTGTATCAGGGTCATATCTTTCAACTGTCCGGAGGTTTGTGCCATCTGAACCTCCAACAGCATAGACATTACCATCCATGATACAACATCCAACACCAAATCTGGACTGGTTCATCGGGGATATCTTTATCCACTTTGTATAACGACCACGTGTGTCATAATATTCAGCCGTATTCAGTGGCATTGAACCATCAAATCCACCTGTTCAAAGTATAAATGTTCACTACATGAATTTTAGAGGAGAAGACAATCTTAAATGAGATTAACAAAAACATGTGACAGTTGTTGATTTTCATATTGGTACTTTATAAATAAATGCATTGTACCATACCTATAGCATAGATCCTTCCATCACCACCACACACTCCAACTCCATTTCTGCTAGAAGACATAGGTTCTGAATGCACCCACACGTCATTATATGGATCATATCTTTCAACAGTATCCAGACGAGATGTATCATCACTACCACCACAGATGTAGAGATATGGACCAACAGAACCCATACTTGCTCCCCAGCGACATATACTCATTGAACCTAAATAAAAAATATGAATTTATACAGTAGCTCTCTTGTTGAAAGTTGACACTTTGCTGTAGCAAATTATTGTAGCAATATTATATAATTCACAATATTTTTGGGGTGCAGCACAATATATGTAGTTCACTTATGTTTTTTTGTTTATATTCCATGGATGGTATCATTGTTTCCTGATTTATTCACTTACATATAGGACTCCACTTTCCCTCTTTAGGATCAAACTTTTCTCCACTTTTACTTGCCTCTCTTCGACTCATTCCTCCAACAGAATACAATACTTGATGATCTGTGGTTGGCCTTCGCTGTCGTGGGCTTTGGTTTTTGTTTAGAAAAGAATTTCTTATACCATCCAATAAATAACGTCTGTAAGATACATTTAGAGTGGATAAATTATATGTGCTTGATGTTTGGAAGCGAAAGGCTTGCAACTGTAAGCTTAACATAAAAGATGAAATTGGAGTAATGATATGTAACCTACATGCATAATCTGTCACTAAGAATTAAATCTTCAGTCCCAGCTCGTTCCAGCAGGAACTCAATTGACAGAAGATCAAATCTCACTCCTTTGAAAACATCACTTGCATACTCCTAAACATTGGAGAATACAGTTTATGGAGAAGGAAACCAACTAAAATTGAATGAAATGGACCCATTACACATCTAAATTTCCACAGTCTGTCCGGACAAGTAAAACACCAACATTCCTTTAGAAGTCATGAGAATTAACTGAAGGATCACCCTGTAGCTTAGTAAAAGCTTAATTGAAGTGTTAAATAAAAATAACTTACAAGTCTGGTGGTTGGATCATGTTTAATCCAAGCCAGAACAGCTTCAAAAACTCGTTCTTCGCCAAGGACATTCAAGTCATCATCTGCTATCAACCTTGATAACTGTCGTGGTCTTAATGCCATAAATTCTTCATTTTGTAAAACATCTACAAAGTGTTTTCTTGCAAATGTTTCAGCATCATGAAGAAGTTGAGTGCATGCATGCTGGTCAGCAAAACATGCAATGCCTGTAAATAAAAAGGAAATAAATTTTACACAATATTGGATATTAATGCAATATTAGATAGTGAATTATGTACTCAGTACATGGAAAATCATAAACTGTTTACAATATTGCAATTCATGAAAGAACATATTTGAAATAGAAGATATATACCTAGACAATTTTCATCATTAAGTTGCCTTCTCAAAAATTCACAACAGGCATCAAGTACATTTTGTACTTGCAGAAGACTTGCAGTGGACAAAAGATCTTGCACATTTCTTTCATTAATTTCAACCTCTGCAGTGTAAAAAAACTGAACAATTTGCTGTAGACTATTCCCATCCATCTGATGTATTGATATGGAAGTCTGGTTGCATTCTGAAAGACCACCTAGGTAAATAATAAGTAATGTAATTAATTTGAGTGTTCCAACATGGTGTTGTATGGTTTTAAAAAGCTCCAATACAGTATGTCTTTGAATATATATATATATGTTATTAAACTTGAGGTGGTAGTGAGGTGTTTGTTGCATTGCTAAAAATTATTATATCCATTACCTGTAAACATTGCCTTAAAGTATGGGCTAGCTGCTGCCAAAATTATTTTATGAGCATGTATTTTTTGGGTGTCAACTACCAATGTAACATCGCACAATTCATCGTTCTCTCGGAAACAGCTAATGGAATGGCCAAGTGCTTTAAAATGAGCAACATCAGTGTAGTCAACATAATCACAAACTGACTGTCTTGATGCAGCATTGTCCACCTTTGATAAACATGAGCTGGCCATTTTCCTAGTTGAAATAATCATGATACAAAATTAGGTATTGGTAATTATTATTTCAATGAAAGTACTACATTGAATTGTGAATATTTACAATTATTGTGGTGGATCTTTTTCTATCCAGTAGTTTGTTACAAGGAAGACTTATATTGGCACAATCCTCTTCTAGCAGTCAATTCTTTTCTAGCGGTTAATCACTGGCATTATTATTTACAAATATACCTCTGAGGTAAAAATGATCTAAACGAAATTGTCTGGGATCATCAGTTAGAAATGACAATATTATGTCAAATATGCCTTTTCTTTTGCGAATAAATTTTTAGGATATTATTCAGACCAAAAATGTTTATTTCAAACTTGAATAAGGGATAGATCTATATTGAAATAAACGTGATAAATATAATTTACTGGTCTACATAATCCAAGAGTGGATCAAGACTACAGTAAAGAATAAAACAAACATTACATTATATTTCCGTATTTTTAACAAAGAAAATTATATATTTTTCTAATTATAAGCATTAGTATACAAACTGATGAACGCGCTAACGAGTTGTGTTTTACACCCATTTTGAGTGTTTCATCCCAAAGGCCCAATTTTATATAAATTATAAACACGGCCATAAACATCAGACCTTTGTTCTATTTATCGCTCGCATATTCATAGTAGAACGTATTAAAACTTTAAGAATAACTCCTGTTGTTAAAGAAGAATTTCACATACCATAAAAATATACGACGAAAACAATGGACTAATTCAAGATAATAACTTATATAAGACTTTATAATAAATATTTTTAGCTGCCATATTTAAATTTTATTTCTTGTATTAAAATACTACGATCAAAAGATCAAGCCAAGCGATTTTTCGTTTGCTGCGTGATACCGTTTAACACTTTGAAATAAGAAAAGTTAGTTTATTACCTTTAATTTGAACTGACGGAAAGGCCAAATGTAACCATAAAATGCCACGAAATATAAGTAAAGATGCGAAATGAAAGGAGGACCACAAGCGAGGCAGTATTCCAAATTTGGGTTACACCGGAAACTCTATTTTCCGGTTACTATGGACCGGTTTAATCTCGCCTAGGCCTCAGTGATGGATGTTTTTGTTTCATGTATAAATACAAATTTTGTTAAAACAGCCAATCATTTATATTAAAGACAGAAAAATTTTATACGCTCTGACCACTATGAAAATAGTTGTGAGAAAGAGAAGATAGGTCGCTGCCGAAACTCAGTGTACTTCTATAAAGTTGTTTTGCATATTCATATCCTTGGACTCAAGTGCCTCCCAAAGGCCAAAACAAGTGGAATTTTATAGCCTAAATTAATCTGTTGTGTTTAACTGACCATGTATGAAACAAAGAAACAAATACAAAAAACAGTTATTGTGAATATTATTGACAAATTCACATGAACGTTGTTATTGATCCAATCAATCGCAATTACCACAAATAGTATTGGATCAGTTTATCCGCGCTATTGCTATTCAAAATTGCTTTTCCTTTTCACATTGGCTGGTTTTCCTTTCTGCTTACAAGTTACAAAGATAACGTAGGAAATAGGAATATTGCAACCGAAGCAAAATACTCAAGAGCCCTTAAAGGTAAATACTTCAGTGACTGATGACCGGAATCATTGGAATGTGTATCCTGTATCCTGGTGTATCAGATAACTAATCCAGTTATAAAGTACCACTTGCATGAGGGCAGTGGGTGTTGGGGGCCGCAGCCTCTCCACTATAATCTAGATTTACACTTGTGAGTGCGCCAGCGAGAGGTCCCCATTTGGTAATGCCCCTCCCCTCCACTTAAAAGAGGCCCTGAGATTACAATACGACGTTACCGGTAAGTCAGTGAGGCCATTAATACAGTACGAAAAAAAATTGAAACCTGCCAACTATTCACTATTGTATTTATTGTTTACGGGTAGGCTGATCATGGCATAAGCTGTTTTATCCATTTTTTTATTTTGACAATGTTGAATTTAAAAGTCAGTCTGCTTATTTTACAGATTATTATCAGCCACGGCAATTCAGGTGGGATGAAATTATATGTGTGTGTACGAGGCGGATAGTTTCCTTGCAATACCGCCAATGTTGGCAATACTGAGATAAATATTGTTATTATTGTTATATAATTTCATTGTGAGATTGTGTTGTCTCAGTGATTATTTTATGACTACGTGCCAGAAATAAGTATGTTGGAATTATATATCGATCTCAATCATAGATAATCGAATATAAAAAAGATTGATAAAAAATTGAACATGAAATTGCTAAAATGTTAAATTAGAAAATTTAGAAAATTTGTTGAAAAGTTGTCCGCTTCTGTTACCTTTATTAAAATTGCACTTCACTTACTGCGTACTAAATGTGGTTAGAAAAGGTCTACTATAAGTCTATATATGTATGTACTACCTAAAGTTCAATGATATGTACGCGAGTGTCCAATTAAATCACACGAACACCTATAAAAACTGATGGAATTTTGACCGGACAAATTCAAGCACGTTCCCTGAACATTGTTAAATTTTCATGCAAGCAAGGCCAAGGGGTTGAACTAGTAACTGCATGCCAATTCTCACCGGTTCGTTACAAACCTGAAATGCCATTGCTAGAAAAGGTAGTTGCAACTGTTGCATGGTAAAGTTTCAGGAAGTGGTCGAACCATGCACTTTTGCATGAGGTTTGATATATAACAAAAATGAGGGTTTCTCAAAAAACCCAAAATGAAGTTAACTGCGATATCGACCTTTTTGAAGGATATATTCAGTGAATTCGATGATTTATGCGCGGTATGAAAAGGCAGTTATTTAGTTTCACAATGTCAGTCAATGATATACATTAATTTCTGTGGTTCATAACAGCAAGAAATGATGATATATTTTTTAAATGAAGATTATTGACAGAGTGATTTTGAGTGATTCAACTGAATTGTGAGTTGAAAAATGAAAAATCCAATTGATACATTCGTTTTCATTCCAAAACGGTTTCAAACACCGCCAATTTACAATAAAAAGTGAAGCTAACATATATTTCCTCAGTTGGATCGTGTGGACAGAGCGTCTATAAAAAGTAATATAGACAAAAACGATTTTGAAAACGCTCCAAAACGACGGTCGTGTACACAGCCTATAGGCTAATGAAGTTCTATATTTTATGCTTGTGCTTGTGCCTGCGTGCTTGTGAGGTACTGAAAGAATTTTTTTTCCAATTCTAGGCTCATATAATGAAAATAAACATTTTTTCAGGAGAGGTTGCATTGAAATTTTAAACTTATTTCGACTCATGTTTCATGCTCCTCCGTTGGAATGGGACGATTTCCTTGCAGAACGTGCGCAATCCTGGGCATTGTATCTAAGTAATAGACAGGTATATATTTATATATAGTTAACAAACGATCTTTACCTGCAATTAGGTTTAGCCATATATATAGATATATATCTTTCCTATATAGGACAAAAATCAATCAGAGATCAAACGTTCGAAATATGGGGATACTGTATATTGTACTGAAGAAGTTGATAAAATAGACGCTGTGTGTTTTAAAGCGTTTGCTTCTTGGTTCCGAGAAATGGACGATAATTATATGGAGCCAAGCGTAAAACGTGGTAACGTACCGCATCACTGTAGCTACGAATATAGGGTTAAATACTTTTTTGACCACTGTGTCTTTCATGTGTTTGCAAATTGATTTCAAAATCATTTAGGCTAACTGATGTGCAATAAAATGTAATTGTAAGAAATATCCAAGTAACGTTGTATATACATTTTGTTTGTCTTAGTCAAGTCATTATAGCTGCTTTATATTTTTTAGAACAATTTACCCAGATGATATGGAGAGGCAGTAGGAAGATAGGGATTGGTGAGGGCGGGCGAGCAACTGGAAAGTTCTATCTCGTTGCGTCATTTTTTCCTCCAGGAAATATACCTGAATATTTTACGGAAAATGTTTTGAATCGCAGTAAGTGACCGAACTTCAAAGCATTGCTCTCTCGACTGGTGTAATATAAATTTGGAAGAATACATGCATTCAGAATATGGGCCAAAAATAGGCAAAAGAATCAATTAAAAAAATTTCAGCTTTGCCCTATTATCTGAAGGTTTACAGTTTAAATGAAAACAACATCATCCAACGTTTAATCATGAAGGCAGTCGCTCCAGGCTGTGGCTTGAGTAAAAGCTTATAGTTATATAGTTCACATATAATTCATACTGTATTCGCATGCCCATGGAATTAATATATGTATTATATACTATAATAAACTAAATATATCCATATGGGTATGCATATATATATTCTACTGAAATCCCTGCATGAACACTGACCTTCGTTTAGATATTTTCTACATTGGCTGATATAGCTAGCTATATTATGTGGCCTATATAATAGGAGATCTCAGTAGAGTCTTGATGCATTCGATAGATGAATGTATAACAATAATATAGCATATATACATATATGCATGGTATTGCTTAATTCTCTAAATAATTGTACTCAGAAAAGAAAAAGTTTCCAAAACATTAAATGTAATATTTTTTATATAAGCCAAAATTCCCTTATCTTGCATCTTGAAAATCTGCAAATTGGCACAACCTGGTACTGGACCAAAAGATCACTCTAATGCAAAACAGGAAGCTTCTTTGCTGACAAACCTATTGGGTGGAAATGCAAATTTCTTTTCCAACAGTTCTGAACCATGTGTCTTACCAAATGCTACGCTCAGTCGCAGATGTGAATACAGAGATGAAGGTAACTATATTTATATAATATAAACAGGGACACCGGGACAGGGGGGCGCAGGGGCAGCTGCCCTTCTTTCCTTTTACACCATCAGGGGTAATTAAGTACAGTCTGGCCTTTTCAGACTTTGTGCATGCGAGCAATATTATCAAATCTTAATGATTTTTTTTGTACTTGTAACATGAGTAAGTAAAAGGCGACTGCACTTCATTTCATTTCACCAACTTCTTTTTTAATTCCGCCAGCGATTGAAGGAAGTTTGCTACAGAGGCAGAAAGAAAAAACAAGAGATGGTACGGGACGTGGTACCAAAGGTTAGACTGTTAAAAAAGTAGCTATCATGCATATTTGCAAATGCGTGTGATCATTGTGATGTGCACATGCAAAGTGATGTGATTGCAAATGCATGTGATGTGCACAAAGAAATGCAATTTTTATTACTTCATTAATGGAGATGTTCGTCCGGTGCATGTCAGTTGGGTATAAAAATAAATTATACTGATTAAAGTTCGGTGAAGTATATAAATTGTCCGGACAGAATTTCAATTCAAACGACAAATTATACCAATTGCAAATGAACTGAAAAATCTATTTTTGATATATTTCTCCTGCAGCAGTCCGAGAACTTTTCGTGCAAGCTCTTGGAAGGATAGTAAATAGCACGAAATATTTTGGAAGAGAAAACAAAGAAGTTGATAAACTGATTGAATCAAGAGGGACTGAAGTTCATGCGGACATCACAAAAAATAAACTGAAACTGAGTAGTGAACAAAGTCAAAGTAGCAATGTGCAGAGACCATCGTTTAAAAACCCGAATACTTTGTCTGTGAGTATAATGGCCGAGAATACTCATATAGCCGGCACACAAGCAGGTAAGATTAATGATCTATTAGTGTATGCCTGTGTCATGTGGTCTGGGTATATCGATAGTCAGCCCGGTTGATAGAAGCAAAATTTACTTTATTTATAGCTAGTAAAGTACTACGAGGAGAGATATTTGTAACCGCCATTGAAGCACTGCGGGGCACATTGAATGATGTAATAAGTTGATCAAGTTCTATTTTATTTTTCACAATTCACATATCTGATGTTTTTAAACATTTTTGCCTCCCAAAAAAAAAAGCTCAAAAATGTATAATGATGTCTCAATTCTTCAACATTTCTAAAACAATGTAATACAATGTACTGATGCAGTAGATAACGCTTCAGTTAACTCTTGGAACGTATCCTCAGTTTGGCGATTTAATATCCGGTTAAAGTTTGACTGACGGATTTCCTTCTAGATCTTTAAAGCTTCATGTCCATTGATAGTTGGCACTTGGCAGTCAAGTTTTTCTTTTCAATTTAGGGATTGAAGAAGAAATTGAATTGACCCCAAGCACAGCGGGCGATGATACGTCGAAAGTAATGGTAGTTTCTGTTCCTGAGCCCATAACGACACAAGACTCGCCTTCAGTGCCAGAAAATCCAAAAGTAGCCGTTCCTTGAGATTCTGACCAGAATTAAATGTGAATGTTTGTACGTTTTAAATATGTTACAGTGCAGTAATGCACGCCTTTAATCGTGTTCAGCTTTCCGTTAAAGCGGATCTAGCGTATGGATGTTGCTTTTGATACGTTTTGCTACTACAATCCTGGTACTATTGGCACAGTACTTGTGACAATTAACCAAAACTTAGTTTGTTGCTTGATAGCCTTGATTGGCTGATCAAGTTGTCTTATCCGCGAATCATAAGTACGTATGGGTCTTAGTTATAGAGCTGGGGATCTCACTCCCTCCCCGTTCTTCATGAGTTTCATCTTACCTGACACAGGCATGTGGATTATACGCTACAATACCATAGACAATCCAAATAACATGTTTTGTCTATGGTTATACGCTACAGAACATACAACTATCCTCAGAAACGGTTCCTAACTGAGGAGGTGTTCCTGACGATAATAGCTTGCTCCTCTGCCTCAGTGCCGTAATATAGCTTTTTGAAATCTGGGCAGGGTTTTACGTTTACCTGAAATTGTATTAGCCCTAAGTAACATAATCATGATAACAGAATAAAAATGTTTCGTTTGGTTTGGCTAGATTACTCGACCTGATAACGGCGGCGATGCTGTCATCACTGCTGTCAGGCGACATCTTTTGAGGACCTTGAGGTCTAATAAATAATGCATGTTTACTATAATCAGGCCTGGTTTAAAGATCATGTCGATTCAATTTCTTCGCGACAGTTTTGGGAAATGGTTTAAAGATTTGCGTTCATTAACCAAGTTGGTTGATGAATCATTTGTAAATAAATATTGGGATGTCGCCCAAAACTCCTGGAAGAGAGCCTCGTGTAACGAAATATTATTGCAGTTGTCTGTGCCACTTTACCACTTGATGCAAGAACAACAACGGTATGTTGCACATATTGGTGTTGATTTCTCTCACGTAACAAGAAAACTACACAGTTTTATAGAAGAGTGTTTGCTTCGTCGTGCAGACGCGGAATGTTTACAAAAGGTGGTTGAATATGAAAGTGTAGGCGAGCTATATACAGCTTTCATCGGCGCTGCTCAAAGATTCTCAACTGTTTACATAAAAGATGACAGCGATGGAAATCTATATTTTGTCTGCAGTAATGCATGGGAATTCTTGAAAGTAAGTGGTGTCTTGTAAAACTGCAGAGGCCTATAAGGATGTGTTAACTGTTAAACGTTTAGGCTGATAATTTTTGACTCTGGAAGAAGACAAATATCCAAGAATAGTTAGAATAGCCGTCTACATAAATGTTCAGCAAATATGATAACGAGCTGATTAGTCTGGACTTTGGACTCGTAGACCAGCTTACAGCAGCCAGTTCACACAGATAAATTTGCTGCAATTTTAGGTGCAAATGGCTTTTAAGTTTTAAACATATAAACCAGTGTTACAAACAGGCAGCCATTCATTACATACTAATTCACATCACTCAAAGGAAGAAAGTCAGGCCTAAACGTGCATCAAGAATGAATGGCCTGTGCTATGTGTAAACTTCCCTCAAGGCTTCTTTAATAGTAGTAACAGGAAGTGTAAAGTAAGGTATGAAAGTTTTGATAGAACCTGATGTTAACATGATATTCATGGTATCATTTTTTTTCATACAAATCAGACAAATAGTACACAGTATTCAGCACATTTTGCCCATTTGATTTCACTACAGAAACAAAACCTCAACCAAAGAGTATAAAATCTATTTTAATATTCATTGTATAAACATAGCATATACTAACGTTTTACTTTTATATTTCAAATGTAAATAAGTATTGAAAAGCTCTAAGCTATGCAGAATTGTATAATATATAGTAATAATAATAAAAACCCCATTCCCATGCAGGTTATTTCATTTCCAGTTGTAAACCCCATTTCAAGTTGTAATAGGTTTGTTGGTAAGACATTTACATAAATGGTTTATATATCTTCTTTCCCAGGAGGCTAACGCTTGTCTATTTCTTTCACAGAATCTAGCCCAAGGTAAAAGTAATGTTGCAACTTGTAATGCTGCGACAAATGTTCAAAATGCTTGCAGAGCAACAAATGATTGGGTTTGTTCTCAAATAAAAGAATTAACTTCACAGTTCATGGATAATGCTGAAAAAATCCTTGTTGCAATGTTTGATGTTTGCAGCAACAAAGAATATTTGCAAGCGCCATGGTCAACATCATCAAACCTGGCATATCTCCTGGGCAAAATTTTAGAATTTGCTGAGCAATTTTTGGACTATATAGCTTCGTTGACCGCTTTGGACATGGAATTTGAGTTGGAGTTGGGTTGGGTAGATATTGGGGTGGATGAATTTGTGGTGATGGATGTACCAAAGAGGAAGAAAAGAAGACCAGTGGGACAACTTTAAGAATGAATATCATTATTGTAAATAGAAACATTAGGGGGTCTAAGTAAATGGTCAATTGCATGTGTATTTTGAATAATGTACAGAGCTTAATATAAAGGGGATAAAATACGGTGTTTTGCAGCGGGAAATATTATGTAAAATATGTTATATTACTATTAGTAATATAATTTTATTTTTCTTGGCTGGTTATGGTCTATTTTTAATTGAGTCGCGTTTAATTGTTGGCGGCTAATATTTTCACGGAGATCAGTGGCGCATCTAACCAATCAAAACGATCAAAACACTGCATCTGGCGTACTGAAAATGGCGGCGAGTGGCTTCAAAATTTTAATTCTGAACAACTGAAATATTTGCGCTATCCAGGTTTATTTAAATTTGGTCTATATCGTGGTGATTACTAAGCAGATGTAATCAACCCCCTACTTCCTCAGTCTTCCCCTTCCCCAACGATAGGTGTTCAGAACGAAATTGAGTAAGATCAAATCTACCATCGTTCCACAGACTACAACATACACAACCTTGGGTGAATGGGTGGTGCAGGATAAGGGGGGGGGAGGTTTGACATAAGTCTGCCGACAAAACATACCTCATAAAAAACGATTGGAATTGCTCGTTGCACTATAAAACATTACTTGCGTTCGAAAATAAACTCACAGATATATACAGTAACAATGAAGTTTCATTACAGACATATAAGAAGTACATAAAAACATACAATCATATCAGAAATATAAAAACAAGAATTGGCAATTATAACTTTGTGCCTTACGTCTATAACTAATCTAAATCCTCGTCAAGATCTGGATTTTCATCTTCTAAAGGTATTAAAGAAGATTTCATTAAAATTATTAAATTCGTGAGTTAAATCTGCACATGCACGCTACTTGAAATATATATACGAAGTTTTTCGTGATCTGATATGTTTTGCTAATCAAATCATTTCCATTTTGACAATCAATCTTTTTACATTCAGACTCGGATAAGAAGTTGAGATTACTGCTAGGCTTATTAAAGTTCGTCATACACGTTTCACTGCCAGGCGCCTTACCATTCATCACGGCCTGTACACGGACCTGTGATTAGAGTTGGAAGACACACTTTCCTTTACCATTCTCTACAACACATTTCTGACCAGGTTGACATATGGAGAACCGACACGGGTTTGGCGGCGGCACTATAAAATCAAATTAGAATATGGCAATATTGCTGTAATATTTCAAACGGCAGCGTGCGCAGGTTTCAACAGTATTGCAGACTGCAGAGGAGCAAACTTCAGAAACTGCAAAATGGCCCACTACGGTGGTGGATTCTTACGTGGATCTCCGCATTTCACTTTATGACCACGATAATAAAAATCGGCGAAGCATCCCCCACAGTAATTATTAATACATTTTGCGATCGGATTGTTAAAACAAACTTTCCCGTCACAAGGAGCCTTTTTACACTGATGAATTGTCAGAGGCGGAGGACAATCTGGAAAGAATAACAAAACGTGATGATGATTACAATAACATAATGGATGATTATCAAATATCATAATAGATGATAATCAGACAACATAATAGATGCATGATAATGATGTTACTCAGCAGCCTCATTTGGTTCCACCGCGACTCATTTGCTGTATTTTTTGTAATTCCTATTTTACGTTCAGTGCAATATATTATTAAGCTGGATGGAGATTACGATTTTATTCTTACCACAGTTGACTTTTACATCACCAAGGTAGAAATCAGCGTTACACCCACCACAGTAGTTATTAACACATTTTGCACCAGGATAGAGTGAGCATTTTGCATTCTGACAGGGAGGAATGACGCAATAGTGTAATGGTTTGTTATAAGGGCACGGCGGTCCTATATATGAAAATATCAGGATAAAAATATCTATACTTGCATGTCGTCGAACAGCAAACTTCCGATGATCTTCACATGGTAAAGTTAAACTGTGTTTTCTTGATTAAGGTTTAGTAATGATCCTTATTAACTTTTACCTGCATGGGTATTTTTTTTATTTCAAGCAATTACATTTTTACCTGGATCGTCACATTGACGTTTGCAATCTACTTTATCAACAAAATTATTTTTGTTTCCTCCGCAACCTCCGTACACGAAATCATCACATCTTTTAGACGCTGTGTTGTAAAAATATCTTACAAAGTATGCCTTACACAATCCAGTTTCAGCTGGCAGTGAACAAAAAACTGAAATTGAAAGAATAAAAAATATAGATGAAGAGTGAATGCAAATAATAGTTTTTACAGATGATGCGAAATGAGTGTCAGGAGATGTTCGAGGAGAGGATAAAGTGAAGTAGAATACTAATAATACAGGGTGTCCCAAAAAAAAGTCCCCGCTATTGAAATGAAGCTTTTGTTGGAATTTGAATGCATGATCAACGCAGTAGTGTGTAAATAGCATAGTTATTAGGTTGAGGCATTCAAATAAAGCGTCTTGCTTTCAATTGGGTTTATCATAATATTAAGGCAATCAGATTCTAACAAAGGCTTGATTTCAATAGAGGGGACATTTTTTTGGGACACCCTGTACTTTATAAATCATCCATCCTTGTATTGATGATATATTGTACTGATCACCGTACCTGGCTGACAAAAAGGCCTTCTATTTTTCACAATGCACTTTGTTCCTTTTGGGCAATTCGATCTTCTGCATGGGTTCACTGTATTAAGAGAAAAAATACTGATATTTCATAGCATTCATTAACACTCCATGGCCACGATCAAAAGTACAGACCATGTATGCACCCAGTTCGGAATTTGTTCACTGAGTTAGTCCTCATATAACCGGGTATCAAGGTCACATGCAAGCATATCTGTGTAACGTACGTAACTAATTCTGCAGGCTTTGCATGTTTTTTTGTGTCTTGTTTTCGCCGGTTTAAACTTTCTGAATTTAAAGCCCTGCTTGCATGGGGACAACTCGAATGTCTTTGAAAATTTTGTAACGGATATTTTGTGTAGGGTGTATAATAGCTGATGCAGGGTCAATTTTTCGCGAATATTTGCAGCAAATTCCAAACGCGGAAATTGTGCATCTAGCTAGTAAAATAAAATAATCCAACATGCTTGCATAGTAACATGAATTTTGAGTGTGAACTTTCTTTCTACATATCATGATATTTTACCTGGTTTTGGTGGCCAGATCCTTAAACTCTCGCTCAGCGCCTATGAATGAAAATATAGGTCGATTACGCCATAAGTTAGGCTTCTCTTTCATGAGAATATTATGATACTGATACCCTCACCCATGCATGCAGCTTATATATGAATAAAATAGGTTGCATGCCATGTGGTTTAGATTAGTTTTAGACCCAAAGTTAAGTGTTTAATTCCTCAAGAATACTTACCCTGCATGCATGGGCATTTAAGACTCTATCGTGTGATGAATACCTAGCTGTATAGTCCGCCAGCATGCATATTCAAATCGAGTCATTTAAGTGGAACAGGCTATAACAAGACTTTTTTCATCACAGATTCAATTCCCTTCGTGTTCGTTTCTATCATGCAGTAAAATTGTAAACCCTATGTATTAATTAATGCAAGGAATATAAAATATAGCGACTTACCATCATCGCAAAAACCACCAGCGTGATGTGCAAAATCGATTGCATTTTTTCTCCAATAAACTAGCAAGCCGTCTTCTTTATAATATTAATATTCGAGATTGTATCTCCTCTTTACAATCATGCAACCTAAAAGATGGTTGATTTATCATTATCAGAACAGTTTTAATCATGTCCTTGATGACGTAGATATTGAGTCATTTGAGTGTGGGGGAAGTGTAATTCTATTGGAGGAGTAGGTATGTTTAAACTTATTTACACCGCGGGATTAAACCGCTTGGAGCACCTTGAAGCATTGACGTATGATGTTTGTGTCGGAAACGGAATGTTGCTTGAAAAATCACCTGTCAATCAGAAAAACAAAACTCAATCAGTCTCACTTTTGATGCTAAATTTATACGCATATGCATGTATATTGGTTATCGATGACTTGTACTACCAATCCTTCTCATATTTGCCAAGTGCTGAATGCATGTGATAATTGTCAGTGTTGAAACGATGATTACAATTATAGAAACTTTAAAAGATTAATGACGTTTACATATACCTATGTTCTAAAGAAAAAATACATTGTATATACATGCATCTTAGGAAGTCGACATTGAGCACACAACAAGGAGGGGAAATGGGCAAGAAAGAGAATAGGGGAAATAAAGGAAAGTCCGGAAACTTACACTTAACAAACGGCTGCATGGTGTTGTTATCTTTGCAAGCAGTTTATAGACAGGCTCTCGTAAAAGTACCGAAGAAGAAAATTGTATTGCAAGGGTTTAAATATGTATAGTTAAAGAAAAGACTCATGATATCAAAAATTATTTTCGCTTATATAAGATGTGACTATTATTACATGTGATGCCATTATACTTTCTTATTGAACGAGCTATACAGGGTGTCCCAAAAAACCAAAATTAATGAAATCAGTTAACCTATTGTTAAAATTTGAATGACTTGTTCACTCATTTTTGCCCCATGAGATTGAACGCAACTTATAGAATAGAAAAGTTTAGAAGGGAGACATGTCGAAGGTCATGGTGCTTGAGTTGTAAATATATTGTTATCCAGTATATTTGTAAATTGTAAATATTGTCAATCAAAATAATTTTGGGGTATATATGCATGAAGACGTTTTGCCTGTCATCAAGATTCCTATACGGATGAAACAGACTGTAGTGGACGATTTTTGGTAAGAAATACTTCAGTTTATTCCTGCTCTACTTATATGAAATTGAGCACTCTCTATAGTATTTCGTAAACCTTGCAATGAGAAACAATAAAACAAAATACAACTGCATGTATATAGCTAGGATCAAAGATTTATTGTAATTCAGTTAATTTGTTTACTCTTTAGTTATGATTCTTAAATTAACATGGAGCAGAAAATATTGTAGTGTTAAACACGCTGCGGCCTTGTCAAGTTCACATTGATTGCTATAGCTACTTGATTTTCATCTGCTGGATCAGATCACTGGTTCACAGCTTGCTATTCCATTACGTACAACACATTTAAAGCCGATGAAACATGATATTGCAGCACATTCAGGAGGAAGTGTTGGAGAGACTGGGACACATTTAGCTTTCCTTCTATTCACTGGTACACATGTTGTATCTTGTGGACAAAACGTGAAAGCACACGGGTTGGTGTAACCTGAAAAAAAGGGGGGAAATATTCATATTTCATTTATATAGAGTATCTGGTTTCGATCAATATATCTTTTTAAATGCTTATTGCAAGTTATCGTTTCGAATCTTTGTACATTGCAGTACATTCTAAGGCGGTTTTCCACCAGGCGGAATTTTTTGATCGAACGAAATTTTTCGCTGGATTTTTTTCGAATCTCAATTGTGAGAATTCGACCGTAGTGGATTCCCTTCACAGGTAAGAATTGCAAAGAAAATCGAGGGAAAAATTTCCTTTGATCGAAATTTCCTTCGATCGCCTAGTGGAAAACCGCCTTAAAGTGGGAGGTAGAATCAAGCATTCTCTTAAAGCATTCTCCGGGGCTTGCATTTATAATTTATTTGCTAACTTTCTTTCTACTGATATTAATACTTTACCTGGTTGTGGTTGCTTTATCCTTAAACTCTCGCCTAGCGCCTATGAATGAAAATATATTGTCCCATCATAGTTAGGCTATAATGAAGCACTTCAGTGAAAATACTTCAGTATATATTTTTAGCGACTTACCACGATCATAAAAACCACAAGCGTGATGTGCAGAATAGATTTCATTTTTTTTCCAATAAACTAGCAAACTGCGGCTTCTGTGAATCTCCTCAATACAGTTAACTCAAATGGCTTATTCATCATTATCGGAACAGTTTTTATCATGTCCTAGTGACGTAAATATTACCATTGCAGGGGAAGTGTGTATATAAGTAATTCTTTTAGAGGATGCTTGTAATGTGTGGAGTTATATTCACACCGGAATTTACACTGCTTCGCCTTCCAGCATCTTAAAACTTTGACGTATTTATATGTTTTTGCCGGAAACGGAGTGTTGCTTGAAAAATCACCAGTCAATCTGAAAAACAATTCCCTGAAAGTGTAATTATAGTCAGTACATGCAAATGCCATTGATTTTTACTATTGCTGTATTGCATATGCTGGGATTCGATTGAGAATCGTTATTTCCTCTTCATGATGTGAACATTATAATCTTATCAAAATAAATATCATAAGGACGGTTAATCTTTTTATGCATGGAAGAACTTATTAAATAATATAGTACGTGCACATGTCAACTACTCAAATCCGGTTTTTAAATAACCATTCATTTAAATTTTCTTACTGGCTATGCTATATGTTTTAATTTATATTATCTAATCTGCGATGTCCATTAGGAATGACAATGATGTATCAATTTATCTCATCATTGCCAAATATTGTCTGAGGCAAAAATAGAATACATGTAACAGATCCAAGGAGGTCATTGAGCACACAACAAGAAGGGGAAATAAGCTGGGAGGAAATAAAGCAAAGCCCCACACCTAATTTTAGTGTGCAGTGATAAAAGTAGATAAAATGAGAAATGTGCAGTGATAAATGGTAAATATATGGTTTTCTCAAAAGAACTCACTCTGCTGAGATGGATTCGTCAATAATTGCCCCCTAAAAATGCTGGAAATCAAGTCATAAGGACTCAAAAAGACAAAAAATTTTCTGTGAGAGGCACTGCAGAAGCCCTAAAACGTCCCCATCTTTAAATGACCAATTTCCAATTAGTACCCATTGTATCATGCTCCGCCCCTCTGCTATACTATTGCGATGACATGTGCATTGTCCAGTGATAAAAAATTCTTAAAATTAGCTATGCCATGTGTATGGAGAGTCCGGAAACTTACACTGATAAATTAAGCATCACCAGGGGCTTGGGAGATGATATGTGAATTATTTAAAGTCAAGGATGTGCATTTTTTCTTTATAACTTAAGAGCCATATACTGATATAGCCATAGAGTATTGTAGTATCGGCTTCCCTGGGTACTTTTTGATAAATAAATGTATGAAGGACTGCCGATATTTGTTGTAATTGAAAGAAGATCCGCTCTCTTATATTATGTGCATGACTGATATCACGCATCATTTTTTGAACGCTCTGTGTATGATAAATGTTTGTGACTGTATATATCCAAGATAAACGTATATAAATCTCCCCTTGGCCTTGGGTGTTCTATTGAAACTTGCATCTGGCTGAAGTCATTGGGTGGGTTGTCCATGCAAGTGTGATTTAGAGAGTTCTGAAATGTATACAATTTTTAGGTAAATGAGCTAGAAACGAAAATAAGAAACTATATATTCCGAGAACAAAGGTTTATTACAATCTGGTATTTAGTTTACTCTTTACCTAGTATGTATTTTACATGGAACAGAAAGTATTGTAGTCTTAGATAAACACGCTTCTTTATCAAGTTCACATTGATTGCTATATTGCTTTCCATCTGGAGAACATACTGGATCAAACAGAGCAAGACACAAAGAATTACATTCACAAACTCCTGTTTGCGTATTACAGAAAGAGCCTTGTTGCTTGCAGTCGGTGTTGGATTGACATACTGGTTCACAGCTTGCTTTTCCATTACGTACAACACATTGAAAGCCGGTGAAACATGATACTGCAGCACATTCAGGATGGAGTGTTGGAGAAACTGGGACACATTTAGCTTTCTTTTTATTCACTGGTACACATGTTGTATCTTGTGGACAAAACGTGAAAGCACACGGGTTGGTGTAACCTATAAAAACACGGAAAAACTACTCGTAGCCTGATGGAATTTATATACTGACAGTATATTTGGTTTTCATCAATGTATCGTTACTTTTTTAATGCTTATTGAATAATCATTTTGAGTTTTTGTTGTTTGTATACTGTACCTTTGGTGGGAGGTGGAATAAAACATTCTCCCAATGCCTAAAACGGCAACAACAAAACAAAATATTATAGTGGTGTTTTGTAATCATCAAGGAAAGCAACCTAATTCAATGAAAGCTATCTATTTCATATAAATTGCATGATTATAAATAATTATTACAGAAAGTATATTTAAATATAATCGGCAAAGGTTTAACTTACCAAGAGAGTAAAGCAGAACGCAAGTGGTAAAATAATTTTCATTTTTTCTCGTATTTTGTATTTAATTGCGGGGGTTATTTTCAGTGTCACAACGTTGACTAACACTGCTGATGTATCTTAAGTTCAAAACTCCTTGTTTTATACACTTAATAATTGCAACACAGAACGCATGCTCTTTATTTTTGGTTGTACATTAGGAAAAGGAAGTCCTGCCTCGTCAACATCGGAAGCAACATCGGAACACTCTACAAATAATGGGAGTAACGATCGATGGCTTACGTCAAGATAAAAAACGTGTGTGATGCAAGAAGGTTATTGAAGGACAACTATTAGTAGTGAGCCGTTCGAGTACATCCGTTTAAAATATCAAAAAATTAAAGAATATTATTCGAAAGCAAATATAAAGATGATTTGAGTGAAATCAGTAACAATCGACAACAAAATAATCTAAGGAGGTCATTCAATGAGTCACACAACATGCATGTGGAGGGGAAATAAGCTAGAAAGAGATTGGGGGGAATAAAGGAGAGTCCAGAAACATACACAACAAATTAGGCATCGCCAGGGGCTTAAGATATTATGTGAGTTATTTAAAGCCAAAGGCAAAGATGTGTATTTTCTCCTTCAATAATTTAAGAGCCATAGAGTATTGTAGTATCGGCTTCCCTGGGTACCTTTTGATAAACTAATGTATGAAGGAATATTTGTATATCTAAGATAAACGTATATATGAATCCCCCCTTGATTGTTCTATTGAAACTTGCACCTCAAGTCACTAGGTGCATGGATAATTATTAGTGAGCCGTTCGAGTACCGTTCCATTTAAAAATCAGAAAATTGAAGAATATCATTCAAAAGCAGGGCGCTGTGTTTTACACTTCAAAAGCAAATATAAAGAGTGAAATCAATAACAATCGGCAAAATCATGTTTCAAAGACAAAGGATCTATTATTGATATTGATCTATATTTCAATATTCTAAGACCAGGCAGGACAAAAGCCCGGTCTTAAATTTTCCTTTCGCTATAATTATCGCTACTCTGTCAGTGTTGACGTACCCTTACCGTGTACGGATCACCGATTTGTATATATAATATTTGTTAGGCATCATGCATCAATCATTCAGGTTGCTTCACTAGTGAAAATAATCGCGTTTTCTCTTCCTTTGCAGTAGAATTTATTTATCACTGACAATCAGGTGATTTACAATTACATACGATAACTATTAACCTCCTATATAAGTTCCTTTTTTTCTTTCAATATTCTTTTTTTCGTGATTTCGTTGATATAACAGAGACTAAAGAGAAACGTTTGTGAATAGAAATAATTAGAATTGTACGTTCTGTGGTTCTGACGCTGTGCTGCTCATGAATCAAGCGTCATGCATGCTAATGAATTAAGTCTTCGAAACTCGGCGGCTCATGACTATAACAAGCAAGACAAATTATTGAAAGGCAAAGCAGTAAAAATATATACTGACCTGCGTTAGATATACTTGTGCCTCAGAGCCTCATCCTACAACAGTAAAAGAAAACATACAATAAAATATGTGACTAAAGGTGGCGATGTGGGCCATGCATGCATGTGGCAGTGCATGTTACACGAAATTTCAAGATTTTAACAGATTAGGAATGAATTAAGATCAACGTCGTTTAATAATTTACTGATTATTGATGTACAGACGTTACAGACTGAACGCGACTAAGTATGCATGCTATTGATCGTCATGGATGTCGATATTCATAAAATAACCAGCTATATATAACCTTGTATATGACACTCGAACAAACCCTACTCATCTCACCAGAATGTTTTTATTTAAAATGACTTCGTACCGCGACATGGAACATTAATAATGGTAGTCTTCTTTCTACATGCAGCAGCATCAAGATTACATTGATTGCCGTATCGTCTACCATCTGATCCACACCTAGGGTCGTGTATAGCTAAGCAAAACCGTTGGCATTCACAAACTCCGGTCTTCTGATTACAAAACGACCCTTGCTGCTTGCATCTACGACTGGATGAACAGGTCGGTACACACATCAGCCGGTTATTTCTTACAATGCATTTCGTCCCACGTAAACACGTGACAGCGGCACACAACGGATGAACGGTTGGCAATGGTGTAATGGGTACACATTTTCCTTCTCCATTTTCCACAATGCATCTTGTACCAACCAAGCACAATGTGGCGATACACGGGTTTGCTAACACTATATATAGAGACACTATTGTTTAATCGCTTATTTCTACTCACACTTTACCCACGTAAATTCATATTTTCGTTTTTTAAAATAAAAAAAGCTTATGAACAGTACATGTAAAACTGTTGTGGGTAAACTCAGTTTGAAAGTAAACACTGGGTTGAGGACAGTCTTTAATACATTGCTCTCACCTGGTCTACATATTGCCTCTCCTAGGATAACTTTGCATTCCATGCTTGCATTACAACTCACGTTTGCACAAAGATCTACAAGACAAACATGATCAACCAAACACACTGGCAGACAGTGTAAATTCTACACTGTAGAAATGTTGTGAAATGTTGTTAAAAGGTTATAGAAAATAAAAGACTAGGTTTTTAAGGTGTGTAATTTCCGGACATGCTGTAAGTTGTTGGGGTTCTTCGACCTTTTATTCCAAAATTTTGCAACAAAACAAGTGCTTATCCATTAACGTTTGGCTGAACTTAACGTTTCCATACCATTGCACTCTACTTTCTTATCATTCACATAAAAGTCAGCATTACAACCACCACAATAGTTATTTTTACATCTTGCTCCCGGATAAGCTTGACACTTGGCATTTTGACACGGAGGAACTAAACAGTTAACGAATTGCTGTCCTGGCGGGCAGGCGCCTATATATGATGATAATTTAGTAAATTAAAATTTACAGTCGACTTGTAAATATTTAATATGAGAAATGGGACGATGAAAATGCAGAACGGAAAAGAAAAGAACGTAGAAAGTAAACACAACCTTGACGTCTGCATTGATTATTACATTCTTCTCTTGTCAGAAAGTTGTTTTTGTTGCCACGACAGCCGCCGTAAATGAATCCTTCGCATCTTCCAGTTTTCCTGTTATAGAAGTAGCGTGGCTTTCTTGCTCTGCATGGTCCGGTTTTACTCGGTAGCAAACAAAAATCTGTGCCAAAATAGCCATGAATAAGTAAAAATGACTGCACGGAGTGAAATAATACCGAGCTAATTCGGCTAAATTAGATTCTCTGCACAACACTACGTCTTATTATTCCACTAGCTACTCGCTATTCAAATTGCAAATTGTTTTGTTAAAATATATTTGAATATTACCTGGCCTGCAGAAAGGTTTGTTGTTTTCTGTTCCACATGTTGTCCGTGGGCTGCACTTCACAGCAAGACATGGATTTTCTATTTTTATTCAACATTACTATTATTATAAAGACTAGAAAAAATTTCAGGTGAAATTCAGACTAGAAATAATTTAAGTTGAAATTATTTCTATTGGTATTGGCAAGTTATTTTGAGGCGAACAAAAAACGGTAATTATATGAAGGGAAAGTAGGAATTTTCTGACTCATCGCCCTCTCTCATAGCTTGCTCCCCAGCGATTTTCTTCCATGCATTATTTTGAAAAGCATGTCTTACAAAGACCTGCTCCTCCCTCTTTACCACTGTCAATACAACCCAGCAGGAACTAATCTCAGCTTGTCTCCCCATGCTTCCAATCATCTGGGCAACGCCCTTACTACATGCCCATACCAAGGGGTTCGTTCTAGTTGATGTTTCAAGGCGACGTATAACTAACCACCATACCTGGTGATACGCATACAGGTTTTCCATTTTCAACTTTACATCTTCCATTACCTCCGCATAACACCAACGCACATAGATTACCTACACCAGGGTAATAAAAAAAGCTTCATCTCTCCCCATCTCTCGCCTAAGACCGGCTAAGGAACATGCATTAGAGGCAAATGGAATAAAAGCTTTTTTTTGTTGAAATATGTGACCATGCATGGACCCGAGATAAACCATTGGTTTAGTCATTAATACACTATATCAAATTAAATTAAAAAAATTGAACCGAGTGAAAAAACAATTTATCGCACGTGCATGGTATACAATTAAAGAAATATTCTGCGTACCCGTGGCAGTATGTTTACAACTCTTTTTGCATTGCATTATCGTCTCAAAGTTGTTTTCATTTCCTTCGCAACCTCCGTAATAAAACTTTTCACATTTTGAAGTTGAACTGTTGTAGAAATAACGTTCTATATGTGCCTCACAAGGGCCTGGAACAGCTGGTAAGGTGCACAAGTCTGCAAAAAACATTTTAAGGCAAATCTTGTCATACAAGTCAATAGATAATTCTCAATTTAAATATGTTCTGTTTAATAGGACCAGAGAGTGTGGAAAGAAGCTTAATTAGGGGGTCTATATTAGTGTAATCATGTTCAAATAAGTGTTGAGACGTTCGCCATCAAAATAGATCATTCAGACATATTAATATACGCCCCAAATTAAGCTTCTAACGACGGTCATGTTCAGGACTGCCGCAAGTCAATCGTTGGTTTTGTAGTTTTGCATCAACCCGGGATTGGGCTAACTGCAGCTTTTTAACAATTCTATCAGTTTTATTTTCATCAGAATTGTATATTTGGAATAAAATGAATGAAATTAGATTGATTACCTCTGTCAGTTTTGCAAGTTTCTTCGCAAAACTCTTTTGTCTTGAAATTATTTCTATTACCACGGCAACCGCCATAATAAAACCGTTCACATTGTCGTGTTTGTGAATTGTAGTAAAATCGTAAAATTCTGGCTCTGCACGGACCAACAATTTTTGGTAAAGAGCACGCAACTCCTAAAGGTGGAGAAATACTCATAAAGACCGAAGGCATATTCTTCACGCATCTCAATCTTTGTTTTCAAGACTGAAATGTTTTCAAGTCATACTAAAAGGACCTTTACCTCTTAATACACAAACAGCTTTCTGTTTCACAACTTTGCATATACCTCCACTTCCACAGGATTTGAACTTACAAGGATTAACCTTTCTAGCTGTATAAGTCGAAAAAGTCACTTTGAAAGCCACATTTTATTGGTATTAAGTTAATAATTTGGGGAGAAAAATGCCTTTTCTTTTCAATTATTTCTCAATCTAAGGAAATTTTCATGGAAAGTTACCCCATTTTGTTAATAATCGGCCCTGAGCCGGGTTATACACTACAGGAAATGCAGAAACACTTACCTTGGTTGCAGTCAACTTTTCTTCCTCTGTAAAAGTATTGAGAATCGCAGCCACAAAAGCTAACACAAATGGCTTTAGGATAGGCTTTGCATGACGGACGGAAACATCCTGGGACTAAACAATTGACCGGTTCTTTTATTTGACATGTTGGACCTACATTTGTAACAGAAAACTATAACCGTTAAGAGCTTGCAGCATAGGTCTAGGTGGTGAAAATATATTCATAGCAGGATAGATAGTAACGAGCTCCCTCACACCTAGACCCATTGAGTGGAGGGTCTTAATCTTCTCGTTTCAAATGAAACGTTTCCGTGACGGTATTTGTACATAAGAGTTTGATTTTGAATATTTTATCTTAATTCTTAAATACTGAATTCCATTCATTCAGAACTTTCTCATTGATGAGAAACATACGAGAGGGACAAAATTTAAATCCTACATAAGCACTGTTGAGTGTGAATGAGCTTTTGATCACAGGTTTTAAGGGAAGTGTCCGGGAGGGAATGGTAAGAGACAGAAATTAAGTTCAAGTTAGGGCTCCATTTTCCTCCGAAAAGCTCTGCCTAGTTTTTTAAGTGAGTTGTTATACCCATATAAGACTTTATATTCTTACATTTTCCGAGCTTCACAATTTTAATACTCTTCCTGCTTCTCAATCTTGCACGATTAAGCTCACAGACACCCCGATAGGTTTTTCCATCAGAACCACATATGATTGGGAACTTGATACGACATGGTCTGTACCTTCGTCTTAATCCTAAATTATGCATATATTTTGAATTATTAAAGGCAATTACCCGCCACAATAATAGATGATTTTTCCAAGTAGAGACCAAAATTAAGGACATCAATCCTCAGTCGAAGGAATATTCAGGTGCGTCGCATGCATTTTGGTAACCAAAATTTGAGTTATCATACTAAATTTCTTATTAATTCTTCCTGCATTCTCAAGAAACATCTTACATGTGCATCATCCAAGCAGTACTGAGACCTAATTTTCGTTCAATGGGGTTATATACCAGAACAAGCTGAGAACATTTCTCTGATAACGCACTAAAATAATACGCGTTAATAAGATATATGAACGTGGTCGCCTCATGGACTCGCTGGTGTCACTGCGTGCTCGAACATGATCGGAGTCACGATCCAGCCATGCGGCAAAGGCACGACTCACGAGTATGACAGCGTTAAATGGCTGTTACAATGATCCATTTTTTTGGCACGAACTCTAAATTATGCTGTGTGAGGACGCGTACTTAAAAATTTCCGGCTGCGAACCGGTTGCGTCTTTGCTATTCAAAATACGCTGAAACACTCTTCTTCGTGCTTAATCCGGTGTTTGTCACATTGCCGGGATGACGTATTTATTTAAACCTTGTAATACGTTGGTGTTTTTCGTTACCCTAATGCATGGTGATCGCAAGCTCGCAAGACCCACATTACACAAATTAATAATTTTCCTGCACTACACAGCCTATACTTGAATATATCTAAAGTAGGAAACAGCTCGGGATGATTATTCAACGTTAATGAGGTCCCCTGTGGAGTTATGATTGCTATAGCTCTGTACGAGTAACCTGAAATGAAGATTTTCAAGTTTTTTAATTTAATCAAGACTATAAAAATGATTTCGTTCTTCGTGTAATATAATGATATTGAACACTGATCTTGTGTTGATGAAAGCAAGTTCATATCCGTTGCATCAGGATAGTTGCTGCCGGCATAGCCTATAGCTGTTATTTAATTAATAAAATGACTATCGAAACTGCATGCCATAAACTTACCAAAACCTAAACCTCCTTTTCGGAAGCCATAACATTGTGTGAATGTCTGAAAAAAGGTGAAATAGTAAATTGTACGTTTCTACGTTGCATAATCCGGTTGAACTGAAATACATCAGATCAGTGACGCTACAGACTTCACTGAATGACGTCGTTAAAAATTTCACTGAAAGAAACTTACGAAGACAATCAAAACCACTGTGATATGAAAAAGAGACTTCATTTCGTCCTCTGTCAGGTAACTAATAAAACTTCGCCTTCAGTGTCTTGACCTTATGCCTGGGTTCAGTTTTATGACTTTAATTTCCGTCTTTTGTTAAATATCTGATTTTCTTTGTTCATTTTTCTCTGGCACAAATATCCGGATGTACCTACTTGTTGTCCAACAATATTATTTTACCATAACAGATATATCGTTCAGTGTTCATACACCGTACAAAATGCGGGGTTAGGGGAATTTTAATTGTAACTGGAACCCATTTTTAACTATAAATGGCCTCTGTATGCAAGTTACGAACTGACTTATACGAAAGATCTATTGCCTGCTTGACAAGAAATAACTATTAACAATGCATATATGTGTTTTGTAGTGACATGTGTCAATAATTCTAGTTTCCCCTGTGTAGATTTTCTTTGCTGACGCTCTTAAATGCGCTGATTACTAAATGAATGGAATCCGCTGCTTGAGAAACTCTTGTGAGTCATTGCGTCAGCAATATACGTTTTGTCGATCGCTATAACGAGACAACGGAAATCATGGAAGAACGATTTTTAACTTCCCATGATAAGAATGCAGATGTTACTATTTCCCCCCTTTCATCGTGGTTATTATAAAAGCATTGATACAGTGTTAATACATCACCATATATACCTGCAACATCTCACTGGCAACAACAATAAAGAAAGACAGTTCAAAAATGAAGCTTGGTTTAGTGATTCTCATCGCATTCGCCTTAATGGTATGGATATTTTTTGCTTTTTTAAAATCGATATGCTGCATTGTAATGTCATAAACGAGGACTGTCCTTAGTGTCCTTTTTCTTGATTTGGCATAATGTAAATGCATAATTTAAACATGCAGGGTGACATTGCGTGTCTCTATGATGAAATTTGTTTACTTTTTTCTTGCTGTTATATTATAGGTTATTATTCAAAATTCAGTATTTATTTCTTCTGCCAGACTTAAGACATAATTTTCTCATTCAAAATCTTTCCACACACCAGGCTGAAACAACTGTAGCGACACCAATCAGACCATGTCAGTTAGTGTATTGCTTCATTAATCCTTGTCAGAACGCCTCATGTCCAAACTATCAGGAGGCGATTTGTAAAGCTGATTACTGTGGTGGTTGTTACGCTCGTTTCTATATTGGTAAAGCGGATGTGACGCATCTTTGCTCACCGAAATCATATCCTGAGCATTCCTAACTTCTACCCTAAATAAATTTGGTAAGGTTTTGTTTTGCGTCTAATATACTACTACATTTACATAAGTTGATCTTGGCATCACCTCTGTACTTTGTGTACTTAGTCTAATACGATTTCTTGCTTTTCTTCTCTTATAGATACAGATAACTAATCTTGTGCGTCAAGACTGAAAAGGTCTACACAGAATATTATAATTACAATAGTTGTTTCTTGTGTATAGCTTACTTTTGCTGGTACCATTTACTGTTTTATTACTAGGAGATAAATTAGAAAATATAATTATGATATGTCTTGTGAACTTTGCAATTAAACTATTCGCACCTGCAGTTACTCTTTCATTGACTATAGTTTGAGTCAAAATATCATGCCTGTTAATACTGCGACTTGGCGGCTTACTGCAACGTAATTTGCGAAACAATTTAGGCTCTACGTTTTAATTACTGGGAACTGAAACCCACGTTTTTCCTCCCTAAAAATACATTGAATTGACCAACAGCCTGCTTTCCCCCCCTTGCCTAATTTAGTCTGTAAACACTGAACAGGCCCTTTCGCCATTTCTACGGGATATTTTGACATTCCACGCAAAACGTAGAAAAACACACAAGAAAATCTAGGTATGAAATACCTCTTTTAAAATTGTTTTAGCAAATACTCGTTGTTATGGTTAAACGTCGTATTTCGGTCGCGTCGAATGCAATCCAAACAATAGATAATGAGATGATAATGAAGCTTAATGAGGTTTATCATCTCTTTATCTATTGTTTTAATTGCATTCGACACGACTTATATGTACAATATACAGGGTGTATCAAAAAAAAGGAGACCTTTAGAAATCAAGCTATTGTTAAAATTTGAATGCTTTTTCAATTGCATTTGCACATATGCTAAACCGTAGTGCGTGAAATATTGATGGCATGCATGCATACATTAGAAAAAGGAGACCTTTAGAAAATGAATTGACGTTTGTACACAAGATTGTCTGCTCCTGGGAATTTGAAAATAACTTTAATAGCATAAGGAAAAATAACGACCCAAAAATATTCAAATGACTAAGCACAAACGACTAAGCACAAAAGCGATAACAGTATGCGTGGTAAATTGCTTTAGCTGTTCCTTCAAAACACGAACAAATCATTTGTTCATTAATTTTTAACACTGCGTGCGAGCATTAGGGCTGTTCACATGAGTTAGAATTGACTTTGAATCCGGAATGGCTCAGCATCTCATTTTACAAACTTTGCCTGTTAAAATGTTTACATGAGTCAGGAATGAATTACAACTTGATCTGACACAGATTCACTTGACATTTCGATCCGGATTGAAAATTACTGATAAAATTGAACATCAAAAGAACTGAATGTCATGGACCATGTCCTTCAACGTGGCCTCAATTTCTCTCAACACAAACTACCGTACGCTTGAGCATATCGCGAACTGCTTTTCTGATGCCGCGGCTGGCTGGGTATAAGTTAAGACTACAAAAACTCTTTGCTCCGAAGTCAGTTGAACCATTTTTGTTCTGGTAGTGTGCTTAGTCATTTGAATATTTTTGGGTCGTTATTTTTCCTTATGCTATTAAAGTTATTTTCAAATTCCCAGGAGCAGACAATCTTGTGTACAAACGTCAATTCATTTTCTAATGTATGCATGCATGCATGCCATCAATATTTCACGCACTACGGTTCAGCATATGAGCAAATCCAATTGAAAAGGCATTCAAATTTTAACAATAGCTTGATTTCTAAAGGTCTCCTTTTTTTTGATACACCCTGTATACAGGGTGAGTCAAAAAAAAGTCCCCCCTATTGAAATGAAGCCTTTGTTGATTTGAATGCATGATCAACGCAGTAGTGTGTAAATAGCATAGTTATTAGGTTGAGGCATTCAAATAAAGCGTCTTGCTTTCAGTTGGGTTTATCATAATATTAAGGCAATCAGATTCTAACAAAGGCTTGATTTCAATAGAGGGGACTTTTTTCTGACTCACCCTGTATAACCTAAGCCTTTGTCAGTTAACATTATGCTAGTTTCAGACGTCGAAATTTTCATGTGCCAAATCGAATGCAAATGAACTTAAACAAAGTCTTTAGTTCATTCGACGTCTGAAACAGGCCTTATTTTATTTTACCTGATGTCTTCATCATATATGCAACTTGGGATTCAGCATGCATATAGCCGGCTCAGGCATTGAAATTATGACAATAGGAAACTTAATATACCGTAGTATCACAATTTTGCATGGGGCACTCATCACATGTACATGCATATATCAAATTGTCAGGCCGACAACCCAACTGAGCATCTGAGTATTTGGGTGCACAATCGTTTAAGAAGACAGTGAAACACAAACATATGTACAAAAATAATGAATCAGCAGCTTCCTGGTCCAGCCAAAACGCTTGCACTGATCGCATCTCGGGCAGATCACAGATGTTCTAGATCATCACATAACTCACATTCGTACATTCAAAGTGGCACGCCAGGTAAGGTATATAAGATGCATTATCGATTTGAAAGAGCCCAGGTTTGACATGATTAAACATAACATGTCCGTAAACGTGTCCTGTGTTCTTACTTTTTTAATTCAAAATTTGAATTTTGAAATATTGTTGTTCACTTGTTCTACACTGCGGAATTTCATACTTAATTGCTTCCTCATGCGATTCCTCATGCGATCGTTAGGCCATGGATTACTTTAAAAACATGCATATGGACATTTGTATTCTTATATATTTCGACCGGAGTTCATGAAATATAAACATGAATGCACGACCATGTCTAGGTATACTCATGCCAATAACAGATCAGTTAGAAGTATTTGGAAAGTTAGCTTTCTGGCAACTAATAATAAATTAATAGCAAGTAATGCTGATAATGGGCCCGATTTATACCAGAGACGGACTGAGAATTCCCATAACTGCATGGCATTATAATTATAAGCGGGAAAATTTGATTTCAATTGGCGGTTAACCATTTTTGGCTGACGATAACTTGGTCATTTTTGGTCGTATTGATATACCAAAGATATGATCGGAAACCTAATAGGCTAGTGTTTATATTGCCATATAAAAAAATATCGTTTACTGTAGTATCTTATATACAGCAGATTCAGCAGTCTGTCAAATTTGGATTCCAATTTTTTTTTTCACTATATTTTCGTATCATATTTCTGAAATGTTTGCACACGTAGGCGTTTGTATGCATGCGTTGTCGGCTATATATCAAATTACGTTGCTTCTATAGCTTCACTAAATATGCATGCTTTTGGATGAATATCCTGATGACTGTGCTAATGTTTACTGACACACAACTAAAAAAATGACGTTGAAAAGGAACTTTATTTGGCTGCTAGTGTTGATTATTTCAGTGTTTTGGATAAAGACTGAAGGTAGAGTATTATCAATCGCTTACAGTTATATATACGCAACATGCACGCATGTGATGGCCAAATGGATGTAAAGTTATATACTGTATTAACTTGTCAGGGATTAAGTTTGAACATACAGAAATGGATTTTATTACGAACTGTTCGATTACTTCAAATCATGGAATGAACTATGCATTGATCTCTGCAACAGTTATTTTGTAAATTAGTTAGGTCACTGCATGGTAGTTACACTACGGACTTTAGTTTGCAGCTATAGTTTAATTTGTATTTCTACTTCCTTGTTCGCCTTTCTAACCGTTTGATTTATTTGGGTTCTGGACCGTACATCAAAGTATAACTTTCTATATATATTAGATAAATTTAGCTTGCCTTATGCCTCTATATAATGATGTATGAGATGTACTGCTCTGTAATATGATTGCTGAATTTTTATGAAGACACTAATATTTGATGCGACAAGATGTGACCTTTTTATACTCGTAATCAGCAAAACTAAAAACATGCATGGAATTTACAAAACAACTGCATTGCTAGTACATAGCAATAAATACATCGAAGGCGTTACGGTTCTTATTAAGTTCTCCTGACCCGTATATCTACATCATTTTGTAGCATATATGCATGTGCCAATAATTTTTCTTTATAAATTGGCTACGTAAACGTAAAGTCGTAAATATGCAGCCGTGTCGGTACAAGCGGAAAATAGGCATGCAATCTTAGAAACTCGTTCCTAGAATTTCAGTGCTAGTCGGGATTTTTCAAGCAAACAAATGCTTTTCTAAAAATTGTTTACTCTGCCATCTGGTTTCACGGTTTCTACTGCATGTCTGCATTTGAAAAACTATAAATTTCAAAATTTGTTTCGGGGCATTTCACAAACTGCATGGGGAATATTAACATCAAGCTAATAATCATGATTCATTTACCCTCACCTATCCCGGCATTACCATCATATACGTGCACATTACAACGCTTGTCAGCCACCTCTTTAGCTCAGTGGCAAGAGCATTGCACCGGCATCGCGAAAGGCTTAAGCGTAGGTTCGATTCCTGCCGGAGGACCGATAGTTGACTCATTTTTCCATCAACAGTTCCTGGCTTGAATTTGAAGTGTGTATAATTCGGTTAATTCCAGTCGAAATTAAGCCCTTTGAATACCCTTTGACCCTATAGAATTTACCTGCTTCGAGTGCAGTGCCAAAAATCAAAATCGATTTACTCTCAAGCTAATATTTATAATTATATTTATATCATGCAAGTAACTTCATGGATTCGAATGGCGTTCAAGTAAACATTATAAGCGTTGAATTGAGGCAAACGTTAATCGGATTTCGCCGCGAATGCGCATGCGTGGGTTATGTATTTGCCGTAGTCAAAATATGGGGAATTTTGTATCATTTTGTCACTCATGCGTACAAAAGCCTTAATCTTTCTAAATCATTTAATGTAATAAAATGTATTGTAATTAATGTAATGTCGACGAGAAGACAGGAGGATTTTAAAATATGTTACGGTTACCATGTTTCACCGATGAACAACGCCCAGTAGAACTTTATTTTTGTGCTAGCCTTAGTTGTGACCTAAATCATTGCAGGAAAATATTTTTGAGCTGGTTTGGATTAGAAGTTTTAGGTAAGGTCTTGACTTTGCCTTGTAAACAAGCTTTGTTTAAAATGGCTACCCTTTTTTTACATAAGGAAAAAGTTTTGCAATTTTAAAATATGTTTCTCCGAAACTAGATGTTATTAATCCCGTTTCCCAGCCTTTTAAAAGAAATTGAAAATCACCAATTTGTGGCCAGACACTGTTTTGTTCGAAAAATACACAGACGGGAACGGGGATGAGAACTCGAGGACAACAAATATAACAATGAGTATATAAGATAAATTAACATTCGCGCACTAGTATAGAATTGGCGCACGAATAAATTCGCGAAATTTATTTTTTTTAAGTTAATTTTTTGTAAATGTTAATTTAAATACGAAATAGTATTAATATGGTAATGTAACAACAGACTAAGGAATTTTTCGGTGAGAATTAAAGAGTTAGTGATGTAATTGCAGTTAAAAACCAAATTACTGAAGTTAGTACTTTTTAATAAATTACCCAAAGCGACAACGAAGTCTACAACAAAAGCTGTGACGACAACTCCACAGTCGACAAAAGCGACAACACAGTCTACAACAGAAGCCGTGTTGACAACTCTACAGACAAACACGAGAACGAAGTCTACAACAAAAGCCGTGTCGCCAAGTCCACAGACAAACGCGACAACGCAGTCTACAACAAAAGCCGTGTCGACAACTCCACAGACAAACGCAACAACGCAATCTTCAACAACTGCCGTGTTGACAACTCTATCCTCAGGAACAACCCAAACAGAAGGTGAGTCAATCATTACATGACACAGTCTATTTTGATCCAAACTACTCTAATGTCTTGCATTTATACACTGGCGGTCAAAAAGAACTGCTCAAAACAAGTCTAAATGCTCTCAAATGAACGTAACTGTCCCTCTAACAATATATACGAGTAATATAGACTAGATTACATGCTAAGCTATATGAAATATTATTATTTTGTTGACCCTCCTTTGGCCTTACAATTGATGACGGCCTTACACCGGCGTGGCATACTTTTTGTTAAAGTGCTACTGCAACGAAATTTTCGACCCTATTTTTATTAGCCTAAACACATATTCCGTCTTTTAGATAGATAGATAGATAGTTTAATAATTCACACACATTGCAGTTACATATGACTGAATTACGTGGTGATTACAGGTGAGAGTAAGCTAAAAACTATGTTTATATTTGCAATAGTTGAGCTAGTATAGCTATAAAAATTTACAGTATAGTATATAGTTTATATAATAATTTAATTATTTATTTTGGCAACTACTAACAATAAAAGAGTTTTTGTCTTTTTGAACCGGTCGGTAAGAAATTTGGGGATGTAAAAATGTTTCTCCGTACGCAACTCATACGTTAAGGGAGATTCCGATTTACACACTAACTCGTTCAATTTAAAGCTTGGCTTATTTATTGGCTTATCAGCTAAAATTTGATTAAAAAGTTTCTTATATGCGGATTCCCTTTCGTGCGTGTAATGTTTCCAACCCACTTTCGATCAATCCATCCTTGCAATGTGCAGACGGATAAACAATTCGGAGAGCTCGTTTCTGGACGCGTTCATTTCATCACTGAGGTATTTTGGCAGTGCATAATGAAACACTGTTGAAGTGTATTCCAAAATAGAGCGAATACAAGTGGAGGATTTTGAAATAATGTTATTGACGTGTTTATTCCATTTCAAGGTCGGTGTGATGGTAAGACCGAGTAGTTTCGCCTCTTCTACAACTTCTAGGGGTTCCCCATTGACTTCAATTGGGGGGAATGAGCTCCTGACTTTTTTAAAATCAATACGCAGTTTTTTACACTTTTTCTGGTGAAGTTGGAAGTGATTTGCCTCAGACCATTCCTGAATATCCGTGACAGCGTTCTGGATATTACTTGGGGCGGATTTCGGTACGGATTCTGATATTGTGACAATGATATGATGTATGTGCGCGCGAAGTATCTTCGCATTGATGATAAAATCAGCCTTTGCCTATATATCTGTTAGCTTTCAACTTTTGCTACGATTTTTCAGACATAAAATGTATGCACAGAATCTTCTTTCAATACTCTTTTGTTTAAGGGATCTTGCTAAACAAAAGTGATGTACGAATCTTTGAAATCGACTTAGCCGCGCAAAGAACCGCGCGACGAGGTCTTCGTCGACGAGGCTACTTAACACTAGTATTTTTACGCCATGCTAAGAATCGGTACTCTTTTCTACGTCACAAACCACAATATGGCGGAGCAAAAGTTCGCACAGGAAGTGGCAAAAATCGCGACTTTGGAGAGCTATAAAAATCTTTTGAGAAAGCCAATTTTGATTCTGTTTTCAGAAATGAAATCAGGAAAGTGAGCACTTTAAATTGAGCCAATAAAAAAGGGGTGGAAAATTTCGTTGCAGTAGCACTTTAAGGTGGTAATCGTGAACAGTCAAAAGAAATTCATCCTATGGACAGTCTTTACAGCAAGCCATAAATCATGGACGCTTTATGTATTAATTCCTTTCTTGCACTATCCCCTTGACATTATCCTACAGATTTTCAATAGGGTTAAGGTATTTTGACTGTGCAGGCCAATCCATTTCTGTCACTCCCTCTTCCTGAAACCATTTTTGACTATCTTGGAAGTGTAGCAGGTTGCATTACTGAAATATTTCTTGAAATAACGGAATTATCCAAAATGCCTATGAAGCTCTCTCCTATATTCGCTTCTTCTTTATGAATTTGCATCTAAACAGTTCTTTTGAACCGCTAGTTTTCAATAAAAGATTGATTGTTACGATTCCTGTTACATACGACAATAGCAACATTTGAGCAGTTCTTTTCGACCGCCAGTGTAATTGTGCGTACATGTTACAGCTGCTTCCGCGCATGTGGGAACTTTGCTTACATTTTTTGTTTTGGCCTTAGTCCCTTTTTTTTTATATAAATTTATTAAGATTTTTTTAACTTGAATCCGCGAAATTATTGCTTTTTTATTTTGTCTGAACCGTTTCTTCTTCTGTAGACATTAATGAATGCGCAAACAAAACCAAGAATAATTGTGATCAAAATGCTTATTGTAACAACACGGCTGGATCTTACTACTGTACTTGCAAGAATGGATATAGTGGTAATGGCACAACATGTACTGGTGAGTGTGTTTCCGAGAATTTGTTTGGATTTTGTTTGTGAATTAGAATTTGTGATTTTTTATAATTTTTGGTACACTGTAGACATTAATGAATGCGCAAACAGCAACTTGAATAATTGTGATCAAAATGCTTATTGTAACAATACGGTTGGATCTTACTACTGTACTTGCAACAACGGATATAGTGGTAATGGTACAACGTGTACTGGTGAGTGTGTTTCCGAGAATTTGTTTGGATTTTGTTTGTGAATTAGAATTGTCATTTTTTATACTTTTTTTGGTACACTGTAGACATGGTGAGTGTGTATTCTGCGAATTTGTTTTTATTTTTTTGTGAATTAGAATTTGTCCTCTTTTATACTTTTTTTGGTACACTGTAGATATTGGTGAATGCGCAAACAGCAACCTGAATAATTGTGATCAAAATGCTTATTGTAACAATACGGTTGGATCTTACAACTGTATTTGCAACAATGGATACAGTGGCAATGGTACAACATGTACTGGTGAGTGTGTTTCCGAGAATTTGATTTGATTTTGTTTGTGAATTAGAATTTGTAATTTCTTATACTTTTTGCTACCCTGTAGACATTAATGAATGCACAAACGACACCTGGAATAATTGTGATCAAAATGCTTATTGTAACAATACGGCTGGATCTTACTACTGTACTTGCAACAACGGATATAGTGGTGATGGTACAACATGTACTGGTAAGTGTGTTTCCGAGAATTTGTTTGGATTTTGTTTAAGAATTAGAATTTGTGATTTCTTATACTTTTTGCTACACTGTAGACATTAATGAATGCACAAACGACACCTGGAATAATTGTGATCCAAATGCTTACTGTAACAACACGGCTGGATCTTACAACTGTACTTGCAACAACGGATATAGTGGTAATGGCACAACATGTACTGGTGAGTGTGTTTCCGAGAATTTGTTTGGATTTTGTTTGTGAATTAGAATTTGTCATTTTTTATACTTTTTTTGGTACACTGTAGATATTGATGAATGCGCAAACAGCAACCTGAGTAATTGTGATCAAAATGCTTATTGTAACAATACGGTTGGATCTTACAACTGTATTTGCAACAATGGATACAGTGGCAATGGTACAACATGTACTGGTGAGTGTGTTTCCGAGAATTTGATTTGATTTTGTTTGTGAATAGAAATTTGTCATTTCTTATACTTTAGGTTGTTGTATATATAAATATATTTTCAATCACTTTAGAAACAAAAATGTCACTGGAGAACTTCGCGAATTTCTTCCTATCTTGTTTGTGTTCTTACCTTTTTCATATTTTGAAATTCTTGAAATCATACTCGTCATACCCAGAAGTCGAGTTTGCAAGCCCGATTTTGACGGTATTAGCCCTGGTATTAGCCCCCTCCCCTCCTCCCCTCCTCCCCTTCCGAGATAGTTGTAAAAATATATAAAACGAGTAATAAGATTTTTTGGCCTAAATAAATCCAAATTTGCTATGGTATACTGTATTGCTATTTATTTTATATGAACTGAATCTTTTATAACAAGTTTCGCATGTCAAGAATTACGTCTATAATTCGCAAATATTGATTGTTTCTTCGTCTTTAGAAAAGCGTCATTTTTAACAAGCAGCTAACAATTTTACCTTTTCATTTCTGTAAACTTTTGTTAAAGCCAAAAATATTTTGGCATTTGATAAATCCACACATGTTTTCTGTTAAATTTGCATGCCAGAATGTGTGAAAAGTGGATCATATTTGGCCTAAGCGCCGTTAAACAGGCAGTGGCGTAGCCAGCCTGACGATTTTGTCTGACGAGTTATTATAATTATTCATGTCTTTAGAAATTCATTGTTTTCACAGTCAATGAACACTAAAATATTAGCATAGCGGGACAAATCGACAAGCTGGCTAGGCTACTGTAAACGGGACTGATACAACCGGCCCCAAGTGCAATCATAACTTCGATTCTTTGTTGGACCAGGAACTGGTCCCTAACCGCTGCTAATCTTCTTGTTGTTGTTGTTGTTGTTGTTAGGGGGCGACGCTCTTTAAAAAAACCCTAAGGCTCTAGCATTACTTGTTTGATCGGAATGAAACTTGGCACAATTATTCTAAGCAATATTCCGCATCGATTGACGGAGTTCGAATTTTTACTTTTGACCGTTAAAGCAAGTTATAAGCAATTCTTGACTATATGTGCAGCAAATAATATATACATATCATTAATATTCAGCCTATATATCATTAATATTCAGCCTATACAGGGTGTATCAAAAAAAACGCAACCACTTAATATTCATGAATATCCTCTTTGTTCTACAACACAAAAGACGTTTGGCCCCTGGAATGCGAGAAAGCTTGTAATCATATTCTAGCGGCACAATCGTCGGTAAACAAAGTCGGGTGCGTAAACCAACGAGCTGAATTGAAAGTATTTAACGAGTAAAATTTCATTTACAATTTATTTTACAAGGTCGACAGTTAGCATTCAAGTTATCATGCACGACAATAAAAACTCGTTGTTCGGTTGTTAGCTGCACCATTATTAGTTTAGCTGATTTGACTATTAGCATGCAGTTGAACTGTACGATTAAAATCCCAGGGGCATAAAATCTATTGAGCTTATGAACAATATGAATTTTAGAATATTAAGTGGTTGCGTTTTTTTTGAGACACCCTGTATATAAGAATACGCAAACGATTAGAAATACATTGTTCTTTCTATTGTTGTAAATACAATGCAGTTCAGAAACTCGGTCATGCAGTTCCTGGTCCACTATACAGGGTGTATAAAAAAAAACGCAACCACTTAATATTCTAAAATTCATATTGTTCATAAGCTCAATAGATTTTATGCCCCTGGGATTTTAAAATGGCTTCTAATCGTACAGTTCAACTGCTAATGGTCAAATCAGCTAAACTAATAATGGTGCAGCTAACAACCGAACAACGAGTTTTTATTGTCGACCTTGTAAAATAAATTGTAAATAAATTTTTACTCGTTAAATACTTTCAATTCAACTCGTTGGTTTACGCACCCGACTTTGTTTACCGACGATTGTGCCGCTAGAATATGATTACAAGCTTTCTCGCATTCCAGGGGCCAAACGTCTTTTGTGTTGCAGAACAAAGAGGATATTCATGAATATTAAGTGGTTGCGTTTTTTTTGATACACCCTGTACAGGGTGTCCCAAAAAAAACGAAAACTATTGAAATCACTCATTGTTAAAATTTGAATGCCGTGTTCACGAATTTTAGCCCGTGGGGATTTAATGCAACTTATAAAATGCTAAATGCTTTGTGTTGCTAGAGAAAGAGGACATGTCGAAGCTCATGGTCCTTGAGATGCACATTTAAATAAGGTTATCCATATTTGTAAATTGTAAATATTGTTAATAAATATCATTTTTGCGAACAAGCAAATTTTACAGCATCATATGCATGCATAAAAATGCTTATGGCAACCCCGATTTATACACTTGTGGGCCCAACACTTGAGTGTTTAGGCATTCAAACTCAACCGCATAACAATGGCATTGTTATGGGTGATTTCAATAGTTTTCGGTTTTTTTGGGACACCCTGTAGTACGATCGTACTTGTTATAAACGTATTATTGATCACTTTATACCTAGCTATATAAGATCACTGAGCTGAGCAGATATTTTTCACATTGACTGTAGACATTGATGAATGTTCAAAAAATCCTTGTCATAAAGATGCTTATTGTAACAATACGATTGGATCCTACAACTGCACTTGCAACAAAGAATACGTTGGTGATGGTAAAGTATGTAAGGGTGAGTGCACAATTTCATTATTCTCATCAGTCCGTAGCTCATTTCTACAATTTTTAGAACCTTTATATTAAGGTTTTCCTACAGCGTATATCTAGCTGGCTGAATGGATATAATATATTTTATTTTTTCCTGACAGTTTAATATGTGTCCTTTTTCTTCAGTCGAATAATTTCGTTCATGCATTCATTTGCATTTAAAAAAATGTAGCTAAATTTTGCAAGGTGAATTATAAAATATCATTTTGTTATAGAAAGTTTGATAAAGTCAGTTCTAATAAAACAAAATCAAAATTTATAGAAGAGTAAAATAATATGAGATCACGTTTACTCAGTTCTCTAATTTTCATTGGACAATTTTCATTTTTTCTTAATGTGGATTTTGTTTCCTGTGTGTGAAAAAATTTACTTAATCATACATGGGAATATATTTACAAATTATCGTTTTTCACCGACCCTACTCATTTTCGATATGAAGGAAACTGCAATAACTTGCAACTACAGTATAAAAGTAGGTTTTTTAAGTCTTACATTATATAACTTTTTATGCGTAGTGTTTTCTAAGTGTAGGCATCTTACTGACGTGCGCAAAACAACGATATATATAGTTTATATGGTCATCATGAAAATGACCGAATTATGAAGCAATGATTATGAAGCAATGATTATATGAGCAGGCTCAGTCATGAATGAGCCAATCTACAAATCACTTTCATGTACATAACAACAACGACTTTATGACCTTCAATTGTCACTTCCGTATATTAAGTGACGTACAGATTATTGCTCAAAGATAAAACGCGAATGACAATGAAAAATTAAGTTTAAATTTCATCGAATTTATGGATTTATTAACTATAAAGTTACGTCTAACTACACTTATTGGTGGCCTAGTGATATTTTCCTGTATAGCTTGGTCTGCAGCACAAGGAGCCAGAGGTACTATATCTGGTTTTATCAGTGAGATTTTTTTTCATGATATTTTTTTTCTATGATTTTTTATCTAAGCTTGTATAGATAAAAAGCTGTATATGTTTAAGCTTCGTATAATTCGCATGCAATAAACTCTTCAGTCACACTTCTTTAAAGTAAAATAGTGCCATGCAAGTAACCTGCCATATATCGTATATATATTTTATACTTGGCATTCTAAATCAGATCAAATCGAAATAAATTTGATGGAATGAAAATTGAATGAGTCTAGCGAATCATGTTTTCGCCTGTAAAAGCGATCATGTAGCTGTTGATAATGTCTGAGAGGTCTTTTAGTGCGGCTGAAAAATTTTTGCAAGGCATTTTGTTTTATTTAGAATTTTATTCAATATACAGCTCAAAATGGAAGCTATCTACTTCCTGGTGTAAAAATGTGGCAAATTATAAACGATAACTATATTAATGCAAATTAAACCCGGCGCACACTACAGTCTACAGCTTTATGCTTAGCCAAATGTCAGGAGTGCCCAATTGCGTAAGGAGATAGCTCTTATATCTGTGCAGGTGCCTTTATACGAACGGCTGTTGTCACTCGTGCCACGTACGGCAAATATTAAACACGTTTATATAATAGTTTATTTTTCGTCTAAAGTATAGACGCAACCGCTGTAGTATTTTCGCGTGCGCTGTAAGGCCCATTTTTCACTGGGCGAATTTATTCGGGCGTTTTGTTTGTTTCCAATTGTGTAAACGTTTTGGTTTAAAAGTTACTAACAATTTATTATGTTTAAAACGTAATGCAATGTTCACCGCCTATTCACGCATCAAACCGCAAGGAAATAATATAACTTTTATACAATATTAACTATTCCAGTCCTATATCAACGTGACTACGCAGTAGCTTTTTTGCCAATTATCGTACTCTCATTTATTTTCTTAACGGATTTTAGCTGACTCTGTGGTTTCGTGGATAACTTGGGGGGGTGGGTGCATGGGAGGTGACGTTCCAAGGACCATACACGCTTCCTCGAGTCTCAGCTAAACGACCAACTAAAGAAAAATCTCACTTCTCTTTATCAAAATCTATATAAAATCTTCATATTTTGTTCCACTTTCAGATGCTCCTAATGTTATTCTCTCGCCAACACCCAGTCAGGAAATACCATACAAAAAGACAGCAATATTCACCTGTATTTTTGATGGAAATCCTGCCCCAAACATTTCCTGGAGTTTTGCAAACAATCCTTTACCAAATTCTGCAAACATTCAATTACCAAATTCTACGAACACTTCTTTAACAAATTACGCAAAACATGTGATATACACAAATGGAAATAAAAGCATCTTGTTGGTTAGAAATTTAACAAGCAATGATTCTGGGAATTACACGTGTCTTGCAAAAAATTCTGTTGGAAACGACTCAAAAACATCACAATTGATAGTACTCAGTAAGTAGAAACTGAATCAGTCAATTATTTATTCAAATTTGTACTGGCTGGTAAGGTCGGTATGACTATATTCCAAATCAAGGTTCAATACAAAATTGTTAATATATTTAATATTTTCTATCACAGGTCCACCTGATGCACCTATCAACCTGACAGTGATTAATAAAACGAAGAATTCGATATCCATTCGCTGGAGAGAAGGTTTATTTAATGGCAACCGTCCTATTCAAAATTTCAGTGTAAAATTATTGACAAAAACACCAAGAAACAAGTCCCTTGCTTGATTTCACCCACTGAAAACTCTACATTGTGTCTTCGCTTGTATCCAAACTTTGCAGTTGCCCGTCTAAATCCATTTACAACTTATAATTTTACCATATGTTCTATTAACTCCATTGGACAAACCTGCACGGATGGAAAATTCAGTGTGACGACCTCACAAGATGGTTAGTTTGTTAGATCTTTTATTCTCGATTATTTTGAATTGTTTGTTTAAATATTTTTGTAATGAGAAGATGGGGACATGCAGTGACGTAGCCTAATTTCTGATTTAATTTCTTCCAGCACCTGGAAAACCACGTAATCTTACTGTTATGCCCAATTCGTCCGAAAGTCTTTATATCTCTTGGAAACCACCAGTAATTTTAAATGGTATCATCACAACATATGAATTGAGATTGTGTCTAACTCGCGATGGAAATGGAAATGACTTTGAGCCTTGTGTCCACCATTTGTCCAACATCGCCTTACCAGCAAACGCACGTAACTTTAATGCCACTAAACTGTGTAAGTGATTCAGACGTTCATTTTCAACTATACAAGAATTTTTTTCTTAAAAGAATAGTTATCCCGCCTATGACGAATGCGGCTCTTTGTGCATGCTGAGGCGTCTCGCGATTGGTGTTCGGCAAATTTATTTTATTTCCTTTTTTTTATTGTATCCGTTATTCAAGCAAATATTTATTATTTTAGCAATTGCAATAAAAACCTGTACAAGTGTACCTACCTCTACATTTCTTTGTTTCATTAGGTGCTTTTTGTAAATACCGAATTCAACTCAGAGCAAAAACAATCAAATTTGGAGAGTTTGTGTCAACAACAGGAAGAACTAAGGAAAGCGGTATGATTTAAGTTGTGTTGTTTAACATGGGTCATGATTGGATACGTTTAGGAATTGGTAGGGCCAGAATAGTGTTCTCTCAAATAGTGATGCTCATTGAATATAGGAAGTAAACAGTAGGGCTAATGTAAGTCCCGCAGACAAGACATTGAACTAAGATTCACGAGTTAAGATTCACTTGGAAACATTTCGGGACTACCACCCAATGTAATATGGACACTAGTTTTCGACTTCAGTAGCCTTACTATTTATTTCCTTATGACAGATAAGTATTTTGCTTAAATAACGTTTCCTTGCTTTTTGCTGGTAATTTAGTGTCCAGTGAACCCACGAAGGTCAGTTTAACTCCGTTGTCACACCATCAATTGCGACTTTCTTGGAAAGCACCGTCCAATAAGAATGGCAATATAACTGGTTATAAAATCACTTGGAAAATCGTGGGCAATGACACTAATCATCCTGTTGATGGTGAATTGAAAACGAAGATTGTTAGAGATGATGTGTTATCATTTGATATAACAAATCTGAGTAAGAATACCTTCAAATAATCTGAGCTATATATATCTGAGCTACATGTCGTTCTCTTCATTACCTTTAATTTTCACGAAACTTGGGACATTGGACAAATGGGACAAATCTACCACTGAGGAAATAAATACCCAAATTTCTGCAAAATCGACCTGTCAATATATGAAGTACAATTTTTGCCATGAAGTACAGGAAAAGGCAAAAGAAATACCGCTGAGATTGTAGGTTTGTTACGAAGAAAATCGGGTGAACTAGGTTGTGGAGCCCCCTTCAATAGTTCGGTCAGATCCTCAAATGTGAGGTTCACATCTTTTCCTGTATTAAAATACTGTAAAGATTTCCTAATGCTGCTTCTGTAATAATATCTTTCACATTTTTAGCGGCCCATTCCGAGTACATTGTCACCGTGAATGCTATAAACGGCGCTGGAAATGGTTTAATTGTAACCAAAATGGCTTGTACTAACGAACACGGTTTGTTTCATTGTCTTCGTATATCTAAACACCGATCTACACGATCTACAGAATTGATTTATTTAAGTGGTCGAAATTCAAAAGAAACAGGCGAAATATTTCGCATTTCGCCAAGAAAAACCGCCCGTGGAATTAGGCCCTTAGATCACCTCCAAAAAGAAGTCATAGCTATAAGTTTAAATATACACAGATTTCATGCTCACCTAACTTATCATCCAACCATAGAACCGAAATGTTGTATTGTCAAATTATCAAACTATATATTTTGCTGTTAGTTCCTAGTGCCCCCACCAATGTTAAGATAATTTCCGTGTCGTCATCTCAACTAAACATCACGTGGCAACCACCAGCCGATCCCAACGGGGTCATCACTGGATATTATATAACATGGAGGATGATTAAGAACGACTTGAATCAATCTGTTAGCGTTTTGACTCGTATTTCGTCTGCACTGAGCGCAAAAACCAGGATGCACTCGATTCAGAATTTAGGTAAGAATTTAACATTTCGATGCATTCGTAGACCTTCATAGTATCGTCATTGGTATGAATTTCTAATCAATAGAGTGCCTTCTTGTGAAATTTGAGAATTTGAGTTTAAAAAATTAGTTTTTACAAGTACTTCGCTTAATTCTTTTTTAAGGAATGATTAAATATGAAATGTTGATCCAGGCATTTTTATTTAAATATAACAGACAGTTTATATGATGTTTGACTCGCGTCGTCGTTGTCTTCTTAGAACCTTATTCGGTGTACAACCTGTCTTTAAATGCTCAAACACGTATTGGAAATGGTCCTCAAGTTTTTGTCAAATCTCGAACAAAACAATCACGTATGTATGACCAATTGATCACAGACTTTTGAATAATAAAAACAACATGCATGGGTAGGATATTTGCCGGAAAGCATTCCTGCGAAATATCTGCACAAAATTCATTTAAAACCATTTCATTGCATGGATCAGTGACATTGTCAACAGATTTTTAGCAAACTAAATTACTAAAAGAGTATTAATCCATTAAAAATGTTTTTACCTGTTAATGACTAAAAGAGTTGTTATCTCATGGTTTTCATATAGTACCTGGTGAACCAGGAAGTGTTCAGCTGATACCAGTTTCAGAAACTGTACTCAATCTAACTTGGAAGTCACCGTCTGATCCTAACGGGATAATAATAGGATACCGTGTTATTTGGGAGATGATAGAAGATGACAAAAACATGTCCGTTTCTCAAAATTCAAGAGTGAGGGTTATAAATGATGGAACTGCAGTATCGTATCAAATAGAAGGACTGGGTAATGGAAATGGTGCAAATTATTTCAGTTTTCACAAGACTCGTTTTAATATATATTCCAGTATAACAAAGCTGCGTGTATTCATGGCGACGTCTTACTTGAATGACTTCTTATCACATATGCACCATGCAACTGTCCAAAGAAGATAAAAAACTTTTCCGTTGCATGGTTATATGAGTATTCTCGCAAAATGTTTTTAAAACCACGCGTTATTGTGTGATTCTGCACATCACATCTTGAATATTAATATTTTATTCTTTTGTCTTTAGCGGCTTATTCGGTATACAACGTGTCCCTAAATGCTATAACTAGTATTGGAAATGGTTCTAAAGTTAATGTCACATCTCGTACCAATGAATCACGTATGTATATGACCATCGATCTTTGATCCCTTTTATACACACAAAATTCCTTAGCTTCCAAGTCAATTGTTGACATTCATGACTTTGAAATAAGTCTGAAGTATAGAAGGCTATAAATTTGTTTGATACTTTTTCCTTTTTAATCATGGATTAGGGACAATGTGAACGGATTTTAACAAACTAAAATAAATCCTATTAATCCTTTAAAAATGTTTTAACCTGTTAATAACTAAAAGAGTTGTTTATCTCGCGGTTTTCATATAGTACCTGGTGAACCAGGAAATGTTCAGGTGATACCAGTTTCAGCAACTGTACTCAATCTAACTTGGAAGTCACCGTCTGATCCTAACGGGATAATAATAGGATACCGTGTTATTTGGGAGATGATAGAAGATGACAATAAGAACACGTTTGTTCCTCAAAATTCAACAGTGAAGATCATAAATGATGGAAGCGCAGTGTCGTATCCAATAGAAAATTTAGGTAATGAAAATGGCGCAAATTATTCTAGTCATCATAATACTCTTTTAATATATTCCCATATATAATCAAGCAACTGCCCAAAATTGAGAAAAACAATGACGTTCTGACCTAATGCCCTTCGTTAGGGGAGTTTATATGATAATCATTTTGATATTGGTGCATGATATTTCTGGTAAACGTATTTATCAAACCATGTTATTGTGTGATTCTGTGCATGCATCATATCTTGAATGTTAATATTTTATTCTTTGTCTTTAGCGGCTTATTCGGTGTACAACGTGTCCCTAAATGCTATAACTAGTATTGGAAATGGTTCTAAAGTTCATGTCACATCTCGTACCAATGAATCACGTATGTATGACCTATTAACAACAGACGTTTTAAGAATAAAATAACATGCATAAGTATAGGTAATATCTGCAAATATTGATGCGAAATATCTTCAGAAATGCATTTAACACCATTTCATTGCATGCAGATACCCTTGTAATTTGGCATATTTAAAACATAAATATTCAGTTTATTTAGGTACACCAGGGTGTATTTATTACTCCAAAGCTTTTGGTCCGTGAACCACGGTCTTTCTTGCATGGTGCCATTAACTTTTAAATTGAAATGCCAGAAATCAAGTCACGACAATCTGTAATAAAAGGCAACGTGAAAGATTTTGAAAGTTAATTGCACCACACATGAAGGATGGATAAACAATTATTTGTTGCTCACGGACACCGTACCGTTTTTACCTTTACCGTAAAATGTTCAATATTTTCCATCACCATGAAATTATAGTTAAATATAAAGAGATTTCATACTCACCTAAACTATCATCCGATCATAGAACTGAAACTTTACAAACTATTTTGCTGTTAGTTCCTAGTGCCCCGCCAGTGTTAAGATAATTTCCGTGTCGTCATCTCAACTAAACATCACGTGGCAACCACCAGCCGATCCCAACGGGGTCATCACTGGATATTATATAACATGGAGGATGATTAAGAACGACTTGGATCAATCTGTCAACGTTTTGACTCGTATTTCGTCTGCACTGAGCGCAAAAACCAGGATGCACTCGATTCAGAATTTAGGTAAGAATTTAACATTTCGATGCATTCGTAGACCTTCATAGTATCGTCATTGGTATGAATTTCTAATCAATAGAGTGCCTGCTTGTGAAATTTGAGAATTTGAGTTTAAAGAATTAGTTTTTACAAGTACTTCGCTTAATTCTTTTTTAAGGAATGATTAAATATGAAATGTTGATCCAGGCATTTTTATTTAAATATAACAGACAGTTTATATGATGTTTGACTCGCGTCGTCGTTGTCTTCTTAGAACCTTATTCGGTGTACAACCTGTCTTTAAATGCTCAAACACGTATTGGAAATGGTCCTCAAGTTTTTGTCAAATCTCGAACAAAACAATCACGTATGTATGACCAATTGATCACAGACTTTTGAATAATAAAAAACATGCATGGGTAGGATATTTGCCGGAAAGCATTCCTGCGAAATATCTGCACAAAATTCATTTAAAACCATTTCATTGCATGGATCAGTGACATTGTCAACAGATTTTTAGCAAACTAAATTACTAAAAGAGTATTAATCCATTAAAAATGTTTTTACCTGTTAATGACTAAAAGAGTTGTTATCTCATGGTTTTCATATAGTACCTGGTGAACCAGGAAGTGTTCAGCTGATACCAGTTTCAGAAACTGTACTCAATCTAACTTGGAAGTCACCGTCTGATCCTAACGGGATAATAATAGGATACCGTGTTATTTGGGAGATGATAGAAGATGACAAAAACATGTCCGTTTCTCAAAATTCAAGAGTGAGGGTTATAAATGATGGAACTGCAGTATCGTATCAAATAGAAGGACTGGGTAATGGAAATGGTGCAAATTATTTCAGTTTTCACAAGACTCGTTTTAATATATATTCCAGTATAACAAAGCTGCGTGTATTCATGGCGACGTCTTACTTGAATGACTTCTTATCACATATGCACCATGCAACTGTCCAAAGAAGATAAAAAACTTTTCCGTTGCATGGTTATATGAGTATTCTCGCAAAATGTTTTTAAAACCACGCGTTATTGTGTGATTCTGCACATCACATCTTGAATATTAATATTTTATTCTTTTGTCTTTAGCGGCTTATTCGGTATACAACGTGTCCCTAAATGCTATAACTAGTATTGGAAATGGTTCTAAAGTTAATGTCACATCTCGTACCAATGAATCACGTATGTATATGACCATCGATCTTTGATCCCTTTTATACACACAAAATTCCTTAGCTTCCAAGTCAATTGTTGACATTCATGACTTTAAAATAAGTCTGAAGTATAGAAGGCTATAAATTTGTTTGATACTTTTTCCTTTTTAATCATGGATTAGGGACAATGTGAACGGATTTTAACAAACTAAAATAAATCCTATTAATCCTTTAAAAATGTTTTAACCTGTTAATAACTAAAAGAGTTGTTTATCTCGCGGTTTTCATATAGTACCTGGTGAACCAGGAAATGTTCAGGTGATACCAGTTTCAGCAACTGTACTCAATCTAACTTGGAAGTCACCGTCTGATCCTAACGGGATAATAATAGGATACCGTGTTATTTGGGAGATGATAGAAGATGACAATAAGAACACGTTTGTTCCTCAAAATTCAACAGTGAAGATCATAAATGATGGAAGCGCAGTGTCGTATCCAATAGAAAATTTAGGTAATGAAAATGGCGCAAATTATTCTAGTCATCATAATACTCTTTTAATATATTCCCATATATAATCAAGCAACTGCCCAAAATTGAGAAAAACAATGACGTTCTGACCTAATGCCCTTCGTTAGGGGAGTTTATATGATAATCATTTTGATATTGGTGCATGATATTTCTGGTAAACGTATTTATCAAACCATGTTATTGTGTGATTCTGTGCATGCATCATATCTTGAATGTTAATATTTTATTCTTTGTCTTTAGCGGCTTATTCGGTGTACAACGTGTCCCTAAATGCTATAACTAGTATTGGAAATGGTTCTAAAGTTCATGTCACATCTCGTACCAATGAATCACGTATGTATGACCTATTAACAACAGACGTTTTAAGAATAAAATAACATGCATAAGTATAGGTAATATCTGCAAATATTGATGCGAAATATCTTCAGAAATGCATTTAACACCATTTCATTGCATGCAGATACCCTTGTAATTTGGCATATTTAAAACATAAATATTCAGTTTATTTAGGTACACCAGGGTGTATTTATTACTCCAAAGCTTTTGGTCCGTGAACCACGGTCTTTCTTGCATGGTGCCATTAACTTTTAAATTGAAATGCCAGAAATCAAGTCACGACAATCTGTAATAAAAGGCAACGTGAAAGATTTTGAAAGTTAATTGCACCACACATGAAGGATGGATAAACAATTATTTGTTGCTCACGGACACCGTACCGTTTTTACCCTTACTGTAAAATGTTCAATATTTTCCATCACCATGAAATTATAGTTAAATATAAAGAGATTTCATACTCACCTAAACTATCATCCGATCATAGAACTGAAACTTTACAAACTATTTTGCTGTTAGTTCCTAGTGCCCCCGCCAGTGTTAAGATAATTTCCGTGTCGTCATCTCAACTAAACATCACGTGGCAACCACCAGCCGATCCCAACGGGGTCATCACTGGATATTATATAACATGGAGGATGATTAAGAACGACTTGGATCAATCTGTCAACGTTTTGACTCGTATTTCGTCTGCACTGAGCGCAAAAACCAGGATGCACTCGATTCAGAATTTAGGTAAGAATTTAACATTTCGATGCATTCGTAGACCTTCATAGTATCGTCATTGGTATGAATTTCTAATCAATAGAGTGCCTGCTTGTGAAATTTGAGAATTTGAGTTTAAAGAATTAGTTTTTACAAGTACTTCGCTTAATTCTTTTTTAAGGAATGATTAAATATGAAATGTTGATCCAGGCATTTTTATTTAAATATAACAGACAGTTTATATGATGTTTGACTCGCGTCGTCGTTGTCTTCTTAGAACCTTATTCGGTGTACAACCTGTCTTTAAATGCTCAAACACGTATTGGAAATGGTCCTCAAGTTTTTGTCAAATCTCGAACAAAACAATCACGTATGTATGACCAATTGATCACAGACTTTTGAATAATAAAAACAACATGCATGGGTAGGATATTTGCCGGAAAGCATTCCTGCGAAATATCTGCACAAAATTCATTTAAAACCATTTCATTGCATGGATCAGTGACATTGTCAACAGATTTTTAGCAAACTAAATTACTAAAAGAGTATTAATCCATTAAAAATGTTTTTACCTGTTAATGACTAAAAGAGTTGTTATCTCATGGTTTTCATATAGTACCTGGTGAACCAGGAAGTGTTCAGCTGATACCAGTTTCAGAAACTGTACTCAATCTAACTTGGAAGTCACCGTCTGATCCTAACGGGATAATAATAGGATACCGTGTTATTTGGGAGATGATAGAAGATGACAAAAACATGTCCGTTTCTCAAAATTCAAGAGTGAGGGTTATAAATGATGGAACTGCAGTATCGTATCAAATAGAAGGACTGGGTAATGGAAATGGTGCAAATTATTTCAGTTTTCACAAGACTCGTTTTAATATATATTCCAGTATAACAAAGCTGCGTGTATTCATGGCGACGTCTTACTTGAATGACTTCTTATCACATATGCACCATGCAACTGTCCAAAGAAGATAAAAAACTTTTCCGTTGCATGGTTATATGAGTATTCTCGCAAAATGTTTTTAAAACCACGCGTTATTGTGTGATTCTGCACATCACATCTTGAATATTAATATTTTATTCTTTTGTCTTTAGCGGCTTATTCGGTATACAACGTGTCCCTAAATGCTATAACTAGTATTGGAAATGGTTCTAAAGTTAATGTCACATCTCGTACCAATGAATCACGTATGTATATGACCATCGATCTTTGATCCCTTTTATACACACAAAAAATTCCTTAGCTTCCAAGTCAATTGTTGACATTCATGACTTTAAAATAAGTCTGAAGTATAGAAGGCTATAAATTTGTTTGATACTTTTTCCTTTTTAATCATGGATTAGGGACAATGTGAACGGATTTTAACAAACTAAAATAAATCCTATTAATCCTTTAAAAATGTTTTAACCTGTTAATAACTAAAAGAGTTGTTTATCTCGCGGTTTTCATATAGTACCTGGTGAACCAGGAAATGTTCAGCTGATACCAGTTTCAGCAACTGTACTCAATCTAACTTGGAAGTCACCGTCTGATCCTAACGGGATAATAATAGGATACCGTGTTATTTGGGAGATGATAGAAGATGACAATAAGAACACGCACGTTCCTCGATATTCAAGCGTGAAGATTATAAATGATGGAAACGCAATGTCGGATCAAATAGAAAATTTGGGTAATGATAATGGCGAAAATTATTACAGTCATCATAATACTCTTTTATTATATTCCCATATATAATCAAGCAACTGCCCAAAATTGAGAAAAACAATGACGTTCTGACCTAATGCCCTTCGTTAGGGGAGTTTATATGATGATCATTTTGATATTGGTGCATGATATTTCTCGTAAACTCATTTTTCAAGCCACGTTATTGTGTGATTCTGTGCATGCATCATATCTTGAATGTTAATATTTTATTCTTTGTCTTTAGCGGCTTATTCGGTGTACAACGTGTCCCTAAATGCTATAACTAGTATTGGAAATGGTTCTAAAGTTCATGTCACATCTCGTACCAATGAATCACGTATGTATGACCTATTAACAACAGACGTTTTAAGAATAAAATAACATGCATAAGTATAGGTAATATCTGCAAATATTGATGCGAAATATCTTCAGAAATGCATTTAACACCATTTCATTGCATGCAGATACCCTTGTAATTTGGCATATTTAAAACATAAATATTCAGTTTATTTAGGTACACCAGGGTGTATTTATTACTCCAAAGCTTTTGGTCCGTGAACCACGGTCTTTCTTGCATGGTGCCATTAACTTTTAAATTGAAATGCCAGAAATCAAGTCACGACAATCTGTAATAAAAGGCAACGTGAAAGATTTTGAAAGTTAATTGCACCACACATGAAGGATGGATAAACAATTATTTGTTGCTCACGGACACCGTACCGTTTTTACCCTTACTGTAAAATGTTCAATATTTTCCATCACCATGAAATTATAGTTAAATATAAAGAGATTTCATACTCACCTAAACTATCATCCGATCATAGAACTGAAACTTTACAAACTATTTTGCTGTTAGTTCCTAGTGCCCCCGCCAGTGTTAAGATAATTTCCGTGTCGTCATCTCAACTAAACATCACGTGGCAACCACCAGCCGATCCCAACGGGGTCATCACTGGATATTATATAACATGGAGGATGATTAAGAACGACTTGGATCAATCTGTCAACGTTTTGACTCGTATTTCGTCTGCACTGAGCGCAAAAACCAGGATGCACTCGATTCAGAATTTAGGTAAGAATTTAACATTTCGATGCATTCGTAGACCTTCATAGTATCGTCATTGGTATGAATTTCTAATCAATAGAGTGCCTGCTTGTGAAATTTGAGAATTTGAGTTTAAAGAATTAGTTTTTACAAGTACTTCGCTTAATTCTTTTTTAAGGAATGATTAAATATGAAATTTTGATCCAGGCATTTTTATTTAAATATAACAGACAGTTTATATGATGTTTGACTCGCGTCGTCGTTGTCTTCTTAGAACCTTATTCGGTGTACAACGTGTCTTTAAATGCTCAAACTCGTATTGGAAATGGTCCTCAAGTTTTTGTCAAATATCGAACAAAACAATCACGTATGTATGACCAATTAATCACAGACTTTTGAATAATAAAAACAACATGCACGGATAGGATATCTGAAAGTATTCATACGAAATATCTTCACAAAATTCATTTAAAACCATTTCATTGCATGGATCAGTGACATTGTCAACGGATTTTTAGCAATCTGAATTACTAAAAGAGTATTAATCTTTTAAAAATGTTTTTACCTGCTAATGACTAAAAGAGTTGTTTATCTCGTGGTTTTCATATAGTACCTGGTGAACCAGGAAGTGTTCAGCTGATATCAGTTTCAGCAACAGTACTCAATCTAACTTGGAAGTCACCGTCTGATCCTAACGGAATAATAATAGGATACCGTGTTATTTGGGAGATGATAGAAGATGACAATAAGAACACGCACCTTCCTCGATATTCAAGCGTGAAGATTATAAATAATGGAAACACAGTATCGTATCCAATAGAAGGACTGGGTAATGAAAATGGCGCAAATCATTTCAGTTTTCATAATACTCTTTTAATATATATTCCAGTATAACAAAGCTGCGTGTATGCATGGAGACGTCTTATTTGAATGACTTTTATCACATATGCACCATGCAACTGTCCAAAGAAGATAAAAAAATTTTCCGTTGCATGGTTATGTGAGCATTCCCGCAAAATGTTTTTAAAACCACGTTATTGTGTGATTATGCGATTAATATCTTGAATATTAATCGTTTATTCTTTGTCTTTAGCGGCCTTTTCGGTGTACAACGTGTCCCTAAATGCTATAACTAGTATTGGAAATGGTTCTAAAGTTTATGTCACATCTCGTACCAATGAATCACGTATGTATATGACCATCAATCTTTGATCCCTTTTATACACACAAAATTCCTTATCTTCAAAGTCAATTTTCGACATTCACGAGTTCAAAATGGCTCTGAAGTATAGAAGGCTATAAATTTGTTGATAGTTTTTCCTTTTTAAGCATGGATCAGAGACATTGTGAACGGTTTTTTGACAAACTAAAAGAGTTTTAATCCTTTAAAAAATGTTTTTACCTGCTAATGACTAAAAAAGTTGTTTATTTCGTGGTTTTCATATAGTACCTGGTGAACCAGGAAATGTTCAGCTGATACCAGTTTCAGCAACTGTACTCAATCTAACTTGGGAGTCACCGTCTGATCCTAACGGGATAATAATAGGATACCGTGTTATTTGGGAGATGATAGAAGATGACAAAAACATGTCCGTTCCTCAAAATTCAAGAGTGAGGATTATAAATGATGGAACTGCTGTATCGTATCAAATAAAAAAATTGGGTAATGAAAATGGACACTTAATTATTGCAGTCTTTATAATATACTTATTTTTTAATTATTCTAATTTAACCAAGCCCTATATAGACAGACTATTATATAATATTGTGTCACTATCCTTGCCTGACTGAATGATTGGTATGTAAATTTGAAAACTCCAAAATGACCTCTAACCAAACATGCAACAAAACTCTGATGTTCCAGCCTTCGTTGGGAGAGTTGAAATATTTTATTCTTCATAATACTCATTTTGAAATAAATAGGTGCATGATGTTCATGCATGAATGTCGTTTTTCTGAGCTTCCTTCAGCGTGATTTCAAGTATTATTCTTTGCTATTTGCTGCTTATTCTTTGTTTTCAGAACCTTATTCGGTGTACATCGTTTCTATAAACGCTATAACTCGTATTGGAAATGGTTCTGCAGTTTATGTCGCATCTCGAACCAAACAATCACGTATGTATCATCGAAAGTGTAACATGTGCTCATGAGTGCATGGTACGTACTGATATAACGAAACATTATGAAATCCGATGCATAATCAAGTGTTTTTAGTTGTTGAAAGCAACGAGTTCGCTAAGCTTCACTCAGTAGACGCTAATAATGCAGTATATATATTTAATAATTGTTTCTCTCCTAATTTTTATACAGTACCTGGTAAACCACAAAGAGTACAACTTATATCAATTTCTGAAAACGTCCTCAATCTATCTTGGGATTCACCGTCTGATCCTAATGGAGTTATAACTGGATATAGGATTGGTTGGAGGATGATAAAAGATGATAAAAACGTGACCAGTATTAACGTTTTAAGAACAGAGATTGTAATTGATGGAACCAAGAAATCGTTTCAAATAGATGAATTAGGTAATGGAAATGTTGCATGCAATTTGCGTCACTCTTCATCCTACTTATATTTTGAAATGGATGTATAATATTTCCACTATTATCATGGTGAAATAACGTTATTGCGAGTTGGCTTGCATTATCTTGAGTATTTATTGCTTATTCGTCGTTTTTCAGAACCTTATTCGGAATACAACGTGTCTTTAAACGCCATAACTAGTATTGGAAATGGTTCTAAAGTTTTTGTCACATCCCGAACTAATCAATCACGTATGTATGGCTCAAGTTTTTTGCGGCATATATATGATAATGACAGACGATATTTGTTTTGCCTGATGCTAACCGTTACAATAACATGAACGATTGAGAATTTGATCTCAGCCAGTATATAACATCAGAGTTTTACTGTTGCATATCTTTAAAAACCGGGCTCATATAACAGTTCTACTGAATAGTTTTTTCTTCTTCTAAGTAATTCCGCGTCTAACATCTAGATGCATGTCGACGATGTCGTTTATTTACCGTGCATGTATATACTGCAAACTGAGCGGGAACCAACAATCCAACTTCGCGTTTCCTTTCTAGTATGTCAGCCTGGCCTTTTCACTAACTTTGAAATAAGCGTTTAACTTTCATTTATCTAGGACCTGCATACTTATTTGTGACACCTAAGACTCCAACAGTTTTTGAAAACAGTTCTGTTATTCTGTCTTGTAATTGTGGTTGTAAAATCCTGCCATATTGGTTTAAAGAAAATCAACAAATTCATTACGATGAACCAGGAACTCCATACGTTTTGCTATCAAATGGAAGTTTGTACGTCAATGTTTCCAGAGATACGGCCGGAAACTACAGCTGCGAAATAAGAACTTCTTTTTGGAGTGTAGCATCGATGAAAGTTGAGCTAAAAGTATGGTGTAAGTGACTATCATTAATAAACTGTTTTATCGGCGACACCAGAACAAGGTAGAACAGTAACGAAATGTGGTGTTGTTGTTGTTGTTGTTGTTGTTGTTATTGTTGTTGTAGGTGTTCCAAACATTTCTGTAACTCAATTAATGTGTTTTATGATTGTAGATCTAGATGATTGTTATGTAACGGGTGACAGAAATCTTCACCAAGGAGAAAATATAAGCTTGAGCTGCCATACAGACGGAGTTCCATATCCTGCAGTTACATGGTATTTTAAAGGTGAACCAATTGCGCAAAATTCTAGAATATTAATAAAGGGAAATCATTTGAAAATTTTCAATGCTTCGATAAATGATGATGGTGATTACTCCTGTGTTGCGTCCAACCAAGTCGGCAAAGTTTCGCAACTAATTCACATCAGAGTTAAAGGTTTGTATGGTATATTTTAAACATACATTCAGGGTATTCTTAAAGTAAATATTCGAAATATCTCAGAAGCTTACTGCCTTTTCCTGACATGAATGTATAGTACTTATATATAGCTATAGTACCATTGCTGTATTACAGGTATACCTTCTGTTAAAATCTCGACATATATTTCCAAGTATATTGTGGAGGGTACAGATATGCAGTTTACGTGTCATAGAGAGGATTGGATTTCTATTCAGCACATCCAAATAGTCGAACTCGTTAAAGACGGTATTCCTTTATTTAAATGGCGTTGGCGAGGATCAAATATATCCACCCCAGTGATTAATGCAAGACAAAATTACACAGGAAGATACCAGTGTAAGGCAACCATTGGTGCTGCATCTCGTTTCTCTGCACCCTTCATTTTAACAATTGGAAGTAAGTAAGAAAACCTTCCAGATGTGTCATGGAGAATTCTATGAAAATATATAGAATGTATTTAACCGTATAATACAATGTATAGGGTACATGGGAGGAAGGTATATCTAGGAGATCTATTCTATCATTTGTATGATAGAATTTTTTGGCATACGCAAGAGCTGTAAAGGAGAGAAAACTTTTTTTATATAATTAGCTATTTTCACTTCCTTTAAAAAATGTCTAGTTTCATCTGGACCTGTCGTTTTGGAAGAGGACCCAAAAACAAGTGCAACAGGAGTCAAGATCTCATGGAAACCTATTTCAAAAAGGTTTTGGAGTGGTGAGCAAGTAACATTTGAAGTAAATGTATCTTCAGTGGATCATATCTTGAAGAAATCTCATTTGACGAAAACAACCGGTGCAATATTCTCTGGTCTACGCCCCAAAACAACTTATATTGTGTCTATAACTGGAAGAACAGTGTTTGGTCGTTTTCAAAATGTAACGGTTATATTTGTAACGACTAAAGAAAGTAAGTTTGACATATGAAGCTGTGTTCATATTAATGTTGTTCGAGAACGTGTTATTGAAAAAACACATGAAACGACATTGGCTTCTCCTCCTATGAGGACGTTTTCCGATGATGGTATAGGATTCAGTTGATATACCGTCTCAAACCTGGCTATAAAATCTTTGTTGTGCATAGTGAAGACAGTGCATGTCAATGGGTTTCTTGCATGATGAAGCGATCGTCCTGTAAACACAAGTTATAAGAGTTAACTTCACCTTTTTATACAACAGCGGCCCCAAGTCACTCAAACATAATTTTCAAATAGAATACTGACCCTAAAACAACCAATTATCACAATCTATAATACATATTTTGCAGATAAGAATAATATGAAATACCAGCTGAGTATACGGTTGATCGATTATAAATTTTCAAACAAATTATTGGATGAAACGTCGAGTCAGTACAAGAACTTGAAATTTAGACTTGAAAACTCGGTAAGGCACAGAAAAGTTTCCTTTCCTTCGTTTTTTATATGTTGTTCTAACTTTCGGGATTTTTTTTTGTTTATAAGCTCACGGATATCTTCAAAAAGTCTGAAATTGGTTTTCATTACATAAGTTCATGGGTTTTCAGTTTTCAGTAAGTATGACAGCGCTATATTATATAAAATTCTGAAATTTTTGAACTGAAACGTGGCTTGTTATTTGTATTCTCAAGCGATACCTCATTTTGAGGAAACATTTCATAGAATAATAGTTCAGGATTGCAGTGCTACCGCAGTTGCAGGATTCAATAAATAATGACGTTTCTTAAAGAAAATAATTAGTTTTTGGGGCTGGAATAAATCCAATGCTCTTCTGCATGGGTATTCTTAAAACAGAGTAATGAATCAATATTCTGTAATTTTAACATATAGGAAGGGAAGTGTTGTGGTGCTGGTTGTCGTCTCGTTGGACACTCAATTCAGAGAAGATCCAAAAAAACTTGTGAAAGAGTTAAACAAAGCTAACACAATTGCTGGATATAGATTTGACAAATTGTATACAAGGGAGAAAGGTATTATTGTGTCCGTACACTAGTATATCAAAGTATGTATTATGGATAAAATTACTAAAATAGTTTATAACTTTACTATATCAAACACAAAGACGTAGCAACAACTGATATAAAAGCAATTGATATACAAAATATGTCCGCGCATATATTATAGATTTTGATGAATGTGCGAAGAAAGAATTCAATTCCTGTCACGAGTACGCCCATTGTGAAAATGCAGTTGGAACCTACCTTTGTGATTGCTTCAAAGGATTCTTTGGTGATGGGAAAGAGTGTAAAGGTACGATAATATCTATCATATCCATGCTTAATTTACTGAGTAGCATTTAATTAAACCCTAATCGTTTACCAAATTTCAGGCCCTCCGCAAATAACATCAAGATCGCCTTCAAATATCACACAGTTTGTCGAAACCAACGTGACCCTAGTTTGCAACGTGATCGCTGATCCTCATCCTATCATCTTATGGAAACGTGCTGCTTCGGATGGCAAGTTCGTGGAATTAAAACGTACATCAGAGAAATCCGATGGAAATTTTACAATTTTTAATGCACGGTTAGAAGATTCTGGAACATATCAATGCCACGCATCAAACCCACTTGGTTACGACTCCTACACAACAAAAGTAATAATCAAACCAGGTAATCTTGACATTTAAATGATGAATATAGCTTTGAACAACGGAATACAGTTCATTTCTCAGCATACTCTCTCTCGATCTTCTCACAGTCATCGTTGATATTGATGTGGAGATAAAGCTTTCTAACAAAACATTCGTGGAAGATTTGAAAAACAAGTCCTCTCCGACGTATAAAAAACTCGAAAATGACGTTTATACTGAGGTATTTTGTTATAGTAAAAAAAATGGAAATAATGTGCAGGCAGTGCAGCATTGTCTTCATCAACCTAGCTTTCTCCGAGTAGCTATACTTGCATCGTTTAATTAATTGCATCAAGAATCGTTTTTTGTTTCAGCTTTATAATTTTTTCAATAACACTCCTGGATTCGAAGACATAGAAATTCTTGGGTTCACGTACGTAGCCATGCATGCCAAAGTTTGTTCACGATAATTCAATTGCAATGAATTGCAAAGCTATGCAAAAGATGCATTTTCCATGCATCCAGTGTTGATCCATCCATTTGATTTTCCCTTATACAGCAACGGAAGTGTCAAGGTAATATTTCGAGTCATCGTCAAAGTTCTAAAACCGTCAAAAGAATCAAATGATGTTGTTGCAGTGAAGATTGGCCGTAAAATAAATAAACAATTGAAGACAGGTCGTATTGGAAACATACAGGTTGTCCCTGGCGCAATAAAACTTAAAGGTAATTTCCGAGCTACAACAGGAAGCGCTGTGCGGTGAACATGCAGAGTTTACTTAATATTCTCTACGGGAATTAGTTTCATAACACCCGAGTTTTGTGATCGGTTTATGCGAAAAGTTTTTCAGTTTTTTCTCTATCAACATCCAGTGCCACCTCCTCCACCAGCCAACGTCACATATTCCGATATTAAAGAAACAAGGGTTCATATTTACTGGGAACCTCCGGAACTTCATGAGATGTTTTCTATCGAGCAATATTACATCACTTATTTAAAGTATGGTTCGAAGATCTGGTCTAATAACACTATCAATGCTGAACAATTAACCAATACTCAATTGGATAACCTGGAGAGTGATACGTTCTATATTATAATAATAATTGCTGAGAACGCGTACGGCCTTGGTAAAAAAAGCAGCAGAATGGAAATTAAAACTAAAAAAGTGGAAGGTTTGTAGTATTACATGCATGCAATACAAAAAGAAATAAGAGCCATATTATCCATGGTGTCCTTTTGGGCCAGGGACAAATTAAAGTGCGCGGACCCCCATTTGTTCCAGACCTTATCGTCTCCATCGTTTTTGTTTTTCGTGTTTACTTAGCAAGTCCTTGTGGCTACAAGGCGATCGAGCGACATGGGCAAACTTCAACAAGAGCATTTCTTACGCTCAGGCCCATTTTGAGCAGTCTCGGGCATTCTGCTTCACCTCTTTCCTCTCCACTCTCTCGCCTGCTTTGGATACAAATAAAATATCTTAAGAGTTATCATGCACGATGTCAAATAAGTCGTTCAATGATAATATATAACAATAATTCTAATGTTCTAATAGATACTATGATGTGTGATTATTTTAGTTATCCCCCTATGGTACTATATTGGTCCTATAATCGGCCTCGCTGGTGTTGTTGTACTGTTGATGATAATCTACGTTACAAGACGAGTTTTTCATAGCGATGTTTGGAAACTTGAAGATAGGAAATCCGATTCGAACAGAAGAGAAGTGAAAGTAAGTTGATACCTGAAGGATAAGAAGAAGAGCACAATTAATATGCATAGAAAAATGAATTAAAGGAAAAAGTTTATATTTTGTTCTCCTTCATGTTCTCTGAAATAATACCATGCATCTTTAGACATCTTTTCAAATGATCGAAAGGGAAAATGAAAAAGAAAATACTTATCAAAACGTGGCATTCTCAGACGGTGAGATGAATTCAGCATGGAAGGAAATTCTCAGAAACTTGATTCGAATATCCGATGAAGTCCTAATTCCAGGAAATTTCAACTTTCAAGTTGTACGGGGAACTATTTTTTCCCCTCTTGAGGAAAAAAGAACGGCATGTTCTGTTAAACTGCTAAAAGGTGACTCATTATTCAGTTTCTTTTTTAAACATTGTTGTCAGTTTTATATTGTCACATCACATGTGCATGATTGTGATGCAGTTTGGGATTTTATCACTTTGTATTGTGTGAGTATGCGACACTATGGGACAGTTTTGCTAAATATATTGCAATGAACATTATATATATAGAGTGATAAATGATAAACAAATTAACACGCTTTTACCATTTGATGTTTAAGAAAACGCGAAAGTGATTGACCACAATGATCTAATGAATGAACTGACCACCATTTCTGCAGTAAGCGTCCATGAAAATATTATGAACTTGATTGGTGCTTGCACAAGTAAAGATGGTGAGTTAATTATATATAAATATAAATAAATTATTTAAACTGGTTCGGCGTTCTTGTACCGAGTCGTATTGACGTAATTAGTAGAGCCATGCACTGACTTCGTTTGTCATTTGCCTGCGTAAACTTTATTTTTCTCAATAATTTATTTGACAACTGATTTGGATAATTTGCTGATAATTTGTTATGAGTTGAACAATAAAAGAAAAACAAAAAAGTTACTTTCGGCCTTAACTTTAGAGCCTACAACTTGTGAGAATAGTTTCTAATATATTGATTTATAGTCTGTTCTTATTTTCTAGGTCCTTTACTTTTAGTTCTAGAGTTTTGTTCTCGTGGGACTCTCGAGAGTAATTTGAGAGAAAAGAAGAAAAATAAACAAATGTTGACAAAAAAGACTAAAATACAAATAGCTAAAGAAATTGCAAAAGGAATGACACATCTTACAAATTCAGGGGTAAGAGACGCTATTCAATAGTGATTTGCATGCATGCCATCATTATTTTATCATCGTTAAGTATATATAGAGATGGCTGACTAACTCGCAGGTAGAGGCATTTTTCAACCTCACAATAATGGGCTGCATGGTGATTTTTTTCAATAACGCTAACATTTTTCGCTCGAAACAGGGCCTTTTTAGCAGGCTATAGGCAGAGCAAGTGCCTCCCCCCCCCCAACTGCCACCTATGAATTGCAGTTTCTGCCCCACTAGTGAAGGTATGAGTATGTCATTAATCTATGTTTTTTAAGATTGTCCATCAGGATTTAGCAGCTAGAAACATTCTTTTGACTGATGATTTTACTCCAAAAATATCGAACTTCGGTGTTTCGCGGGACACTTACAAACGAGGATCGTACCACAACATTTCTCAGGTAATTTGCGTATAAAGGTGTTCTTAAATATTTCCTTTTAAAAGAAGTTAGACATTTAAGAGTGATCCCAATTTTCGTATGAATTAAGCTTGATGGTTATATATAATCTCTTTCTAGCAAAATTTAGCAGTTCGATGGTTGGCCATAGAAGCTTTAACTAATGGACTCTACACAACAAAAAGTGATGTGTGAGTTGAGAGGAAACGACTATATTTAGCTACCATACTGCATGGACTAAGTAATATCTCTGCCGAGAAATTAAATTAAATTAAATCTGCCGAGATTTAGTACATGCACTGGTTACCGACCCGATATGCAAACGCATTGTTTATACATATACATGGTTTATGTCGAATACCTCTGGCTCTTGATCAAATCCAGAAAGTTCAGAACGCAGTAGCTCGAATTTTCACACCAACGAGTGAAATAGATCTTATAAACAGCAGTGTTGTTTTACCTACAATGGTTGCCTTTCAAAGAAGGGGTTGAATATAATGATAAAAGATGTTATTTATCACAGCCTTTTCTGGCATCGCGATATATATATAATAGATCTTTTGATGTTTATGTACCTATGAGTGAAATCTAAGATCATCCATGCAACTTATAACTTAATTCCTGACTTCCCGAGCCAATCATTGTTTTATTCTTGAAGGTGGTCATTCGCTGTTGTCATGTGGGAGATTGAGACAAGGGGTCAGTATGCATTATGAATTTTTTATTTTATTCCTTTTGTTTGGTTAAAACGAGAAATTTTTGCCATCATGTACGATTTTCTGCGCTGATTTATAATTTTCTCCGTCTTATGACTCTTATCTTAAATATTTTATGTAGGAATATCTACGCAATCATTTAACCAGGTTTATGCATGTGTCCCTTTTATCCCACATTGATCTACATGCGTCTCTTTCATCCCTCATTGATCATGCATGCATGCGTCTCTTTTATCCCACATTGATCTACAATCGTCTCTTTTATCCCACATTGATCATGCATGTAAGCATGCGTCTCTTTCATCCCACTTTCAACTCCTGGGATTTCTTTCACTTTCAAACGATTTACGAAGGTCCACAACTACTTATTGAAGCCTTAATTTTCATAATATTTAATGACTGGTATTATACTGGAGGTTGCTGAAGAGAGTTTCAATAATGATACCTTGTCCACATATTTTAACGTCACAGGCTGCACTCCATATCAAGAATTTGATGTCGAAGATTTTGTCAGCCATGTACGAGAGGGATATCGTTTGTCACAACCGGACGAAACATCAAGTGAAACGTAGGTGGATTTTTATTATTTTTTGGCAAGTATAGAGCTGGTGTACAGGAATCACCATGTATGCAAGGAAATTTTGGCAAATCTGATGCTAACAATTATATTTTTTATGTTTTGAGGTATAATTTTATGCTCCAATGTTGGGACGCAAATCCAAATCACCGACCAACATTCCATGAAGTTGTTAACATCTTGGAAGAGCTTCTTCGAAACAACAAAGTGTGTTAAGAAACACAAGACAAAGCTTTCCTCACATGTTCATGTACATTTTCCTTACATTATAATTAAAATACATTTTATTCGAAGTGAGCTAACATTCAGTTTGCAGAAATCACATACAGTTCACTGCAGAACACAACGTTTCTATGCAATGAATATATATAATCAAACAATTTATATCAGTATTTCATAAACTTTAATGGCATATGATAGTAATCTCATTGGCCATGTTTAGTCAACAGGAGTAAAACGCTACAAAAATAACAGTATTATCGAAATTTCAACGCTAGCGCTAAAGTTTCCTTACAATCATCGTTGAGCTAGGACGCTAAGGAACAACAATCGTAACTCGTAAGCCCTAAAACCAGCAGTTGTTATAATCCAACTCTCTTGAACAACAGCCAAATCGCTAAACAATTAACAATTTTTGCTCAATAAATTGAGCACCCTTTGTTCTTCTCTATTAAGGGAATGTACTAATTATATATAGTTATGCAAAATCTTTGCGATGCATATACGTGCAATACACTATAATTTTACCAGTCAAAATTAAAAAGGAATGATTTTCGGTCACTGATCTCACATGGCTATTGTCTTTTTTGTGTGATAAGTGTTTGCCTATCACGTCTGCGTCCAAGGTGAGTGCTTATTCAAATTATCGTACAAGTTCAGTGTATAATACAAGGCTCTACGATACTGTTTGTTCGACAATTGTATTTCAGAATAGAATGGGTGCCACCTACCCACCAAGTCTTGCTCACCCCCGTAGTGCCCGAATAAGGCCGGCTTCGTTTGCTGTTAAATATCTGACTGGATCAGTATTCTGAACTACGACAGTGCGAAAGTTTGCAAAATCGCATCGCGAAAAACAGGATTTCAAACCTTCATTTCAACACGGAAGTTTTTCATGACAATTCACTGAAGTGAAACCGGAATATTTTGAACCGAACGAGACCGCCTACCCACAGAGCGACGAATTATAGATGGAGAGTCTGGAAAAAAATATTCGGGAAACTTCTAATTCAAAACATTTGTTTCTGAGGCTGAGACAACTCCTCGTGTAAGCTGTAAAAGAAAATTTTTGTGAATCTGCAAACAGACAAATTAAATCGTTCCGGTAATTTCGACCGTATTGTATAAACCCTTCGCAACCTGAATAGCTACTTCAAAAACAAGAAATCTATTGGTCACACGAATTGTCTATTTTTCGCGCGAAGCGACATTTTACTTTTGTTCCAGAGCTCTCAACTGCAACCATCTGGAACAAATTGCTCAAATACAAAGGAATAAAGTCGCTTTGCGCGAAAAATATCGCTAGTGGAAAAGCGGCTTTAAACGAGGTGAGGTCTCAGCTGCATTCTCGTATCGTATTTCTGGAATGTGTGCTTGTGTAGGCGTTCATAATGTCCTGTGATGTCCGTTGATATCAAATTACGTTGATTTTAAGCAGCCACGGCCTTTGATGAACATATACTGAAGACTATTTGCCAATGTTTACTGACTGTTTACTGTTTGTTGAAAATTTTAGTTCAAGGCGAAGAGAAATGAAACACGACTAAGATGGCGTTTAAAAGGAACTTTTTTTGGTTGCTATTGTTGATCATTTCAGTGTTTTGGATAAAGACTGCAGGTAGAGAATCATTAATTGCTTACAGTTATACACAACATGCACGCATGTTAATAATGGCGAAATTGATATAAATTCACTGTATTTACTTATCTGGGATTAGGGATTAGGCATACAGAGATAAGTTTTATGAAAAACTGTTTCATTATTGTAAATTAAAGGATGAACATAGTGAAAATCTACATAACATCGTATCTCCTTAGACAGTTCCCTTTTCTTTCTCATGTAATTAATATGGGTTCAGTTGCAGCTCGTTTGATGTATATTTTACTTCCTTGTTCGTCTTCTAACTGTTTTAAGGGTTTTTTTCTGTTCTGTACAAAGTTAAGGACATGAATTTTCTATTCGATTGTCTTATGCACGCATTTCTATCTACATTTCATTATTCCTGTTATAAAATGTAAGAGTCTTATAACTGAACTATCTAAATGTCAATAAAGACCCGAATATTTCATGCAATAAGATCTGACCTTTTCCTCGTATTCAGTAAAAAAATGCGTGCATTGAATACCTAAACAACCGCATTGATATTATCTAAATGGCAATATCGAAAGCGAAAATAGAGGCTAAAAGTAAAGTGATTTGCTATATCATTGGAGTTGGAAATGCTCACAAAATCACTCGCGCGTGCTACGAATAGTTCTATGTTTTATACTACAATTTCAGAGAAATTTCAACAACTTTGTCAACCAGAATAATATGCACTTAATGTATGCTCCCGAGGGAAATAGTGAGTTTTGTTTTCCCAAGAATCTGAATGTTTCTCGAGACGAAGTCGAGGGAATCATTGAGACTCGAGGGAAAACAAAACTCACTATTTCCCGAGGTGTAGCGAACATTAAGTGTTTTGTTATATAGGTACAAAAACATACACGACAATTTCTTCTCAAAAAACTTTGTTATGACAATATGCGGGCAACAATTTTTCAATTGTTTCCCTGGCGGGAAACATTGTATTTATTTAAAGTCATGTGACTACGAATGAACCAATCGCATTTAAAATACACAGAACCTATATAACAATCTTTATTAAACTTGGTTTGAAATTACTGCCTTCCTAAATTCCAATTAATTTAAACGGAATTGATGAATAACTTCAAAGAGATGTCATACATTGGTTGATAAATAATACGTGCCTGGAAGTACAAAATCCGCCCATTTACCTTTCAAAAAACACTTTAAAAAGCTTCAGAAGCACTAAAGCAAGCACTCTAAAACGTTTTTCTGTCTGAAGGACCTTTTACAATCACTTTCAATCAATTTTACGAGTAAATTTTCTGTATATTTTCAAGAAGATTTAATTTAGCTAGTTTAAACGTAGCTCAGTGGTTTAAACTTGTCTAAAACTCACGCATGCGCATCGCCCGACGTCCATGACATAATTGCGGACAACTTTAATTTCGCATCTGCACCGGTTATTTGGATTCCTGGACCTAATAAAATCTCCGGGCGGAACTAGTACCCTTGCCGGCGCATCATTTACAGGGTAAAACTTACGCACAATTTTAGATTTCGTACAGAGGAATTTGGTACGGATGAGATTTGGACCATCGTTTTTTTTAAATTTGTTTCATTGTATTTTCTCTTTTAAGATGATTTCTGTGTCCAGGAGTTTTTTACCAGACGTATGTCCTATTTTAGCTCGTCGGTTGTCAACTTGTACAGTTCTATACTTAAGATATAGAATGTAATAAGTGGAAGGCATCTTTGGCCCCCATGCCCCTGGATGTAAAAAGGCAAGGGGGGCTGTTGTCCCTAACATTTTACGTTTTTTCTTCCGTTGATAAATAGCAAGTATTAAAAACATGTATTATACCCATATTATGAATTCCAGTTTCACCCATAGAAGCAGTTGATACAATTTAAATGGCTCACTACTAATAATTGTTAATGATTCGATCCCATCAAAACTCTAGGCCCTTATGGTAAGAGCTGTTTTTCACTTCAACCAGATCATAAGCGCCCTGAACCGGATCGTAGCGAATTGTAGCGTATTCCTTAGTTTCAAAGTAATTAGTTCTATCCGAGTGCCCAGGAAAGAATGATGTACTACGTGTTGATGTACTACATGATGTACTAAACACTTCTCTTCTTCTAGCATTGAACACTACATGGCTAAAAACAACAAACTAATAGATGCTAATACTAATGTGATATGAACTTTTAACGCAAGGCCATTTGAAGGCGTTGTAAATAATCTCTATCCCGACAAGTGGGATGAAATGCTCTCATATAAACACAGGACAAGTTTATCCCTTTTTCCGGACTGTCTCGCTGACCGAGCTATAATTCTGTGTTAGTTGAACATTAAGGAAATAAAAAATTGGGCGTGCTAGTTAACGAAAATGAGCTTGGTGTGGGCGTGGTCCAGACTCTCCGAAGTCATAATTGATATAACTCTCTCTTTAGTCACACCCCTTCAATATTCTTGAAAAGTGTGAAAAATATAGACAGCACAAACATCCTTCAAACTACGTTAAACTGTTCATTGGGTTAATAGCAAAATTCTTCATCGCGCGTAGTCAGCATACAAAAATTAATGCAATCGATTATTGCAACTTTCTTGCCTCCAGTTTTTCTTTGCACCAACGCTGATATTCTCAATTTTGTAGACCACCGAATGAACATTTCTCATGATAGATCAAAATTCTTATTGGCTTTACTATTAAAAATCAACGAATACTCCATATATAAGTCGTTAAGACAGCAATGATTAGCTCTGTCCAAACAATCCTCCTGCCTACACTTAAAATGAGGATGATTCTCTTTTTATTAATTAGCTGCGGATGTTGATGAATGCGCAAACAAAACCCAAAATACTTGTCATGAAAATGCACAATGTACGAATACGGTGGGATCATATACCTGTGCTTGCAACACTGGATATACTGGTAATGGTGTAAAATGTGATGGTGAGTGTGTATTCTACGAATTTGCACATTTCTTCTTTAATAATCTTAAACTTCATGTTCTATATATGTATATAAATATATATCCATATTTTCAGCGCAGAACGTTATTTATTCATATTTTTCACTCATTGCGTGTAGACATTGATGAATGCGCAAACAAAACCCAAAATACATGTCATGAAAATGCACAATGTACGAATACGGTGGGATCATATACCTGTGGTTGCAACAAGGGATATACTGGTAATGGTGTAAAATGTGATGGTGAGTGTGTATTCTTGCGAATTTGTACAATTATTCTTTAATAATCTTAAACTTCAGGTTCTATATATGTATATAAGTATATATCCATATTATAAGCGCAGAACGTTATTTATTTATATTTTTGACTCATTGCGTGTAGACATTGATGAATGCGCAAACAAAACCCAAAATACTTGTCATGAAAAAGCACAATGTACGAATACGGTGGGATCATATACCTGTGGTTGCAACAATGGATATACTGGTAATGGTGTAAAATGTGATGGTGAGTGTGTATTCTACGAATTTGTACATTTCTTCTTTATTAATCTTAAACTTCAGGTTCTATATATGTATATAAATATATATCCATATTTTCAGCGCAGAACGTTATTTATTCATATTTTTCACTCATTGCGTACATAGACATTGATGAATGCGCAAACAAAACCAAGAATACTTGTCATGAAAATGCACAATGTACGAATACGGTGGGGTCTTATACCTGTGCTTGCAACAATGGATATACTGGTAATGGTGTAAAATGTGATGGTGAGTGTGTATTCTACGAATTTGTACATTTCTTCTTTATTAATCTTAAACTTCAGGTTCTATATATGTATATAAATATATATCCATATTTTCAGCGCAGAACGTTATTTATTTATATTTTTGACTCATTGCGTGTAGACATTGATGAATGCGCAAACAAAACCCAAAACACATGTCATGAAAATGCACAATGTATGAATACCGTGGGATCATATACCTGTGCTTGCAACAATGGTTATACTGGTAATGGTGTAAAATGTGATGGTGAGTGTGTATTCTACGAATTTGTATATTTTTTCTTTAATAATCTTAAACTTCAGGTTCTATATATGTATATAAATATATATCCATATTATCAGCGCAGAACGTTATTTATTTATATTTTTGACTCATTGCGTGTAGACATTGATGAATGCGCAAACAAAACCCAAAATACATGTCATGAAAATGCACAATGTACGAATACGGTGGGATCATATACCTGTGGTTGCAACAATGGATATACTGGTAATGGTGTAAAATGTGATGGTGAGTGTGTATTCTACGAATTTGTACATTTCTTCTTTATTAATCTTAAACTTCAGGTTCTATATATGTATATAAATATATATCCATATTTTCAGCGCAGAACGTTATTTATTCATATTTTTCACTCATTGCGTACATAGACATTGATGAATGCGCAAACAAAACCAAGAATACTTGTCATGAAAATGCACAATGTACGAATACGGTGGGGTCTTATACCTGTGCTTGCAACAATGGATATACTGGTAATGGTGTAAAATGTGATGGTGAGTGTGTATTCTACGAATTTGTACATTTATTCCTCATTAATCTTAAACTTCAGGTTCTATATATGTATATAAATATATATCCATATTTTCAGCGCAGAACGTTATTTATTTATATTTTTGACTCATTGCGTGTAGACATTGATGAATGCGCAAACAAAACCCAAAATACATGTCATGAAAATGCACAATGTATGAATACCGTGGGATCATATACCTGTGCTTGCAACAATGGTTATACTGGTAATGGTGTAAAATGTGATGGTGAGTGTGTATTCTACGAATTTGTATATTTTTTCTTTAATAACTTAAACTTCAGGTTCTATATATGTATATAAATATATATCCATATTATCAGCGCAGAACGTTATTTATTTATATTTTTGACTCATTGCGTGTAGACATTGATGAATGCGCAAACAAAACCCAAAATACATGTCATGAAAATGCACAATGTACGAATACGGTGGGATCATATACCTGTGCTTGCAACACTGGATATACTGGTAATGGTGTAAAATGTGATGGTGAGTGTGTATTCTTGCGAATTTGTACAATTATTCTTTAATAATCTTAAACTTCAGGTTCTATATATGTATATATATAATATCCATATTATCAGCGCAGAACGTTATTTATTTATATTTTTGACTCATTGCGTGTAGACATTGATGAATGCGCAAACAAAACCCAAAATACATGTCATGAAAATGCACAATGTATGAATACCATGGGATCATATACCTGTGCTTGCAACAATGGTTATACTGGTAATGGTGTAAAATGTGATGGTGAGTGTGTATTCTACGAATTTGTATATTTTTTCTTTAATAATCTTAAACTTCAGGTTCTATATATGTATATAAATATATATCCATATTATCAGCGCAGAACGTTATTTATTTATATTTTTGACTCATTGCGTGTAGACATTGATGAATGCGCAAACAAAACCCAAAATACATGTCATGAAAATGCACAATGTATGAATACGGTGGGATCATATACCTGTGGTTGCAACAATGGATATACTGGTAATGGTGTAAAATGTGATGGTGAGTGTGTATTCCACGAATTTGTACATTTCTTCTTTATTAATCTTAAACTTCAGGTTCTATATATGTATATAAATATATATCCATATTTCAGCGCAGAACGTTATTTATTTATATTTTTGACTCATTGCGTGTAGACATTGATGAATGCGCAAACAAAACCCAAAATACATGTCATGAAAATGCACAATGTATGAATACCATGGGATCATATACCTGTGCTTGCAACAATGGTATACTGGTAATGGTGTAAAATGTGATGGTGAGTGTGTATTCTACGAATTTGTATATTTTTTCTTTAATAATCTTAAACTTCAGGTTCTATATATGTATATAAATATATATCCATATTATCAGCGCAGAACGTTATTTATTTATATTTTTGACTCATTGCGTGTAGACATTGATGAATGCGCAAACAAAACCCAAAATACATGTCATGAAAATGCACAATGTATGAATACCGTGGGATCATATACCTGTGCTTGCAACAATGGTTATACTGGTAATGGTGTAAAATGTGATGGTGAGTGTGTATTCTACGAATTTGTACATTTCTTCTTTATTAATCTTAAACTTCAGGTTCTATATATGTATATAAATATATATCCATATTTTCAGCGCAGAACGTTATTTATTTATATTTTTGACTCATTGCGTGTAGACATTGATGAATGCGCAAACAAAACCCAAAATACATGTCATGAAAATGCACAATGTATGAATACCGTGGGATCATATACCTGTGCTTGCAACAATGGTTATACTGGTAATGGTGTAAAATGTGATGGTGAGTGTGTATTCTACGAATTTGTATATTTTTTCTTTAATAATCTTAAACTTCAGGTTCTATATATGTATATAAATATATATCCATATTATCAGCGCAGAACGTTATTTATTTATATTTTTCACTCATTGCATGTAGACATTGATGAATGCGCAAACAAAACCCAAAATACATGTCATGAAAATGCACAATGTATGAATACCGTGGGATCATATACCTGTGCTTGCAACAATGGTTATACTGGTAATGGTGTAAAATGTGATGGTGAGTGTGTATTCTACGAATTTGTATATTTTTTCTTTAATAATCTTAAACTTTCGGTTCTATATATGTATATAAATATATATCCATATTTTCAGCGCAGAACGTTATTTATTTATATATTTCACTCATTGCGTGTAGACATTGATGAATGCGCAAACAAAACCCAAAATACATGTCATGAAAATGCACAATGTACGAATACGGTGGGAGCATATACCTGTGCTTGCAACAATGGATATACTGGTAATGGTGTAAAATGTGATGGTGAGTGTGTATATTCTTGCGAATTTGTACAATTATTCTTTAATAATCTTAAACTTCAGGTTCTATATATGTATATAAGTATATATCCATATTATCAGCGCAGAACGTTATTTATTTATATTTTTGACTCATTGCGTGTAGACATTGATGAATGCGCAAACAAAACCCAAAATACTTGTCATGAAAATGCACAATGTACGAATACGGTGGGATCATATACCTGTGCTTGCAACACTGGATATACTGGTAATGGTGTAAAATGTGATGGTGAGTGTGTATTCTACGAATTTGTACATTTCTTCTTTATTAATCTTAAACTTCAGGTTCTATATATGTATATAAATATATATCCATATTTTCAGCGCAGAACGTTATTTATTTATATTTTTGACTCATTGCGTGTAGACATTGATGAATGTGCAAACAAAACCCAAAATACATGTCATGAAAATGCACAATGTATGAATACGGTGGGATCATATACCTGTGCTTGCAACAATGGATATACTGGTAATGGTGTAAAATGTGATGGTGAGTGTGTATTCTACGAATTTGTATATTTTTTCTTTAATAATCTTAAACTTCAGGTTCTATATATGTATATAAATATATATCCATATTATCAGCGCAGAACGTTATTTATTCATATTTTTCACTCATTGCGTGTAGACATTGATGAATGCGCAAACAAAACCAAGAATACTTGTAATGAAAATGCCCAATGTACGAATACGGTGGGGTCTTATAGCTGTGCTTGCAACAATGGATATACTGGTAATGGTGTAAAATGTGATGGTGAGTGTGTATTCTACGAATTTGTATATTTTTTCTTTAATAATCTTAAACTTCAGGTTCTATATATGTATATAAATATATATCCATATTTTCAGCGCAGAACGTTATTAATTTATATTTTTGACTCATTGCGTGTAGACATTGATGAATGCGCAAACAAAACCCAAAATACATGTCATGAAAATGCACAATGTACGAATACGGTGGGATCATATACCTGTGCTTGCAACACTGGATATACTGGTAATGGTGTAAAATGTGATGGTGAGTGTGTATTCTTGCGAATTTGTACAATTATTCTTTAATAATCTTAAACTTCAGGTTCTATATATGTATATAAGTATATATCCATATTATCAGCGCAGAACGTTATTTATTTATATTTTTGACTCATTGCGTGTAGACATTGATGAATGCGCAAACAAAACCCAAAATACATGTCATGAAAATGCACAATGTATGAATACGGTGGGATCATATACCTGTGCTTGCAACAATGGATATACTGGTAATGGTGTAAAATGTGATGGTGAGTGTGTATTCTACGAATTTGCACATTTCTTCTTTAATAATCTTAAACTTCAGGTTCTATATATGTATATAAATATATATCCATATTATCAGCGCAGAACGTTATTTATTCATATTTTTCACTCATTGCATGTAGACATTGATGAATGCGCAAACAAAACCAAGAATACTTGTCATGAAAATGCACAATGTACGAATACGGTGGGATCATATACCTGTGCTTGCAACAATGGTTATACTGGTAATGGTGTAAAATGTGATGGTGAGTGTGTATTCTACGAATTTGTACATTTCTTCTTTAATAATCTTAAACTTCAGGTTCTATATATGTATATAAATATATATCCATATTTTCAGTGCAGAACGTTATTTATTTATATTTTTCACTCATTGCATGTAGACATTGATGAATGCGCAAACAAAACCCAAAATACTTGTCATGAAAATGCACAATGTACGAATACGGTGGGATCATATACCTGTGGTTGCAACAATGGATATACTGGTAATGGTGTAAAATGTGATGGTGAGTGTGTATTCCGAGAGTTTCATTTGATTTTGTTTGTGAATTGGAATTTGTGATTTTTTATACTTTTTGGTTGCTACACTGTAGACATTAATGAATGCGCGAACAGCAACCTGAATAATTGTGATCAAAATGCTTTTTGTAACAATACGGCTGGATTTTACAACTGTACTTGCAACAACGGATATAGTGGTAATGGCACAACATGTACTGGTGAGTGTGTATTCAGCCAATTTGTTCTGATCCTTTTTGTATTTTTACATTTTTTTTCCATTCTTTTCATACACAGAAGTTGAGTTTGCAACTCGATTTTAAGGGTTAGACCCAGTGACGACCCAGTCTCCTCTCGCCCTCCCGAGAAGGTTGTAATTTTGGACAAGCAGCTAACAATTTTATACCTTTTCATTTCTGTAAACTGCTGTCAAAGCCAAAAATATTTTTGCGTTTGACAAATCGATACTGACGACACATGTTTTGTGTTAAATTTGCATGACAGAATGTGTGAAAGGGGCATGCAATCATTTTCTGCTAAGCGCTGTTAACGGGACTGATACAACCGGCCCTAAGTGCAATAATAACTTTTGTCATAACTTTGGTTCTATGTTATAAACGTATTAGTGATCACTTTCATACCTAGCTTTATAAGATCACAGTGTAGATATTTTTCACATTTACTGTAGACATTGATGAATGTGCAAAAAAGCCTTGTCATAAAGATGCTTATTGTAACAATACGATTGGATCCTACAACTGCACTTGCCACAAAGGATACGTTGCTCATGGTAAAGTATGTAAGGGTAAGTGCACAATTTCATTATTTTTTCATAGTTGTTTAATGCGTTCAGTTAAGTCTGGTTCTTATATGTCATCGACAGTCGGCAATGCATTGTTTGTGGCTGGTGACGAAGAACATCAGTTATGCAAAATAACAAAGCACTCGATGAAATTGATAAACTTAGATTCAACAATGATGACCGCAACAATAGCACCGACCGTCTGGTGACATATCAGACCTAAGTCTTTAGCACATTGTTGGCATTTGCATTTTTTTATTAATCCTGATGTAGCAATACCAAATTAATAATTGTTCAGTTTACTGTATGGTTGATGGATTTATACTTATCAGTTCTCGAAACCTTTTTAAGGTTTTGATAAATATCGCCGACCGTCGGGTGACGTATCAGATATGCAGGCCTGATGTAGCAATACCAAATTAATAATTGTTTCACTGTATGGTTGATTTATACATATCAGTTCTCAAATTTTTTTTAAACAAGGTTTTGATAAATGTTAGCCTGCTCCACAGACCCTGGTCTGCGATCAGACTGGATAAATCATTTTAAAAATGTTTGAAACTTTATAAGATTTCAAATATATGAAGCATGATTCTTAAAAAAATATATATAAAATGATAAAACAACAAAACCAAAAATATACAGTAATAAAATAATAAGATATGGACCAAGGACAAAGGCTATAAAGAAGTCATTTAACCTGCTTTCGTATCATTTAGAATATGTCCTTGGGCAGACCTTTAATAGCGTCTTCTTTATATAGGCCCTCCAGTGTTTAATAGAAAACCAGAAAATAAAACTGTGAAAGAAGGAAGTATGAATGTTAGTTTCAATTGTAATGCTACAAGTTTTCCAACTCCAAAACTGGCGTGGCTCAAGGATGGTAAAGTTATCAAGCAAAACTCTACGAATTTCGTACTGAGTAAAGACATGGGAACCCTAACAATAAGAAAAGTTCGGAAAAGCGACGCTGGATTATATGTTTGCAACGCAACGAATGAGGTCAAATCTGTTGCAGTGGATGCTTATCTCAACGTGCTATGTGAGTTGAATTTTCTTACGAAAACATATCAGTTATTTTTTTCTTAATATTAATGTGGATTTTGTTTCCTGTGTGTGAAAAAGCTAACTTGATCATACATATGAATATATTTACAAATTATCATTTTTCATTGGCCCAACTACTAGCTACTGATTTTCGATATCAATGCAAAATCGACTTATGCATTTTGAACAAGCCATCAAAAAGGAAACTGCAACAACTTGCAAGTTGCAACTACAGTATAAAGTAGGAGTTTTAGGATTTCCATGATGGCATAATGCTTTTTAAGTGTAGGCATCTTACTGACGTACGCATTATATGGTCGTCTTGCAAATGACCGAAGTATGAAGCAATCATTATATGAAGCAGATTAATAAAAAAATGCGTAATTTAAGGTATAATGCGTAGTTTAATTTATAGCATATATAACTAACTACCCAATGAAGCCCCTGGGTACGAGGTTGCTAACTACCACCAACGCAAATCCTCGCAAAGCTACATCAGTTATGTAACATAAGTAGGGCGCAGTAAAACACTGTTTTACTGCCCCCTGAACATAAGGAATACCTCATATGCATTGCGATATATATATATTAATAAATGCAATAAATGAAATATATTAAATTTCATAGCTTACAATGTACGAATGGTAAAAATGTAGCAAATTAATTCTTTCACTCTGGTTATTGAATAAAAATAAGACGTATTTTTCATCAGTTTTCGGTCAAGTGAGCCTTATGAATCGAATAACGACTATGAATCTAATATAATTCACCACAGTACAATTGTCGACAAGCGATAATAATAAAAATATTTCTGGCTACCCCCCGTCACGATGATTCATAATAAAATGAGCAGGCCCAGTCATGAATGAGCCAATCTACAAATCACTTTCATGTACATAACAACAACGACTTTATGACTTTTAATTGTCACTTCCGTGTATTAAGTGACGTACAGATTATTGCTCAAAGATAAAACACGAATGGGAATAAAAAATTAAGTTTGAATTTCGTCGAATTTATGGATTTATTAACTATAAAGTTACGTCTAACTACACTTATTGGTGGCTTAGTGATATTTTCCTGTATAGCTTGGTCTGCAGCACAAGGTAGTAAAATGGCTCTGTCGTGAGATTTTTTGTTCCTAAAATAATAATTTTTTTATTAAACTACTGAGGTTTATATGTTTTATATTCGTATGATTCGCATGCAATAGACTCTTCCGTCACTCCGCCAATTCTTAAAAATAAAATACCTAATAGTGCCAGTAATCTGCTATATCGTATATATTTTATATTTCACATTCCAAATCAGATTGAATGTCAAGTCTTGCGAATCATATTTTCGCCTGTAAAAGCGATTACGTAGCTGTTTATAATAATGTCTGAGAGGTCTTTTAGTGCGGCTGAGAAATTTTTCGCAAGACATTTTATTTTATTTAAAATTTTATTCAATATACAACTCAAAATGAAAGCCATCTACTTCCTGGTGTGAAAATGTGGCAAATTATTAATTTAATGAAAATCTTATGAATGTATGTTTATGCATACATAACATCATAGAAGACCAGGGCCAATGCTAATGATAAATTATAATAATGTAAAGATTATATAGTGCAATCAAATAATATTAATATAGCCTTCATGTGCACGTCCCTCTCATTGTAAAACTAGAAAACAAGGAAATAAGGCCATTCAAGGTACATATGGATACAAGTTGTACAAAAGTAGGATAAGAAGGAGTATTTAAGGAACAAAAAATAATTTAATGAGGTATAGGTATATTTTAGCTAATTACCTGACAATATGTCCATGGTGTCAATCAAACATTAATTGAGGGGACCATATTGATATATTCTATTATGCCAGTCTGATTTCTATTGTTTTCAAAAAAAAATAGCCAGGCATAGCAGAATATATGAATATGGTCCTACTCAATTAAAGTTTGATTGATGCCAACGAATGGATTTATTATTAGCCAACATAAACAAGTGATGCACAACAAAGATTATCCTGACTATCCTGCTTTTGAGGTGTAACCTCAAACTAGATGTCTATGTACTAGTTCTTTATTCTCTACTGATTTTCTTTGAAACTGATTGTTAATAAGGTGAATAGAAATTAACATATAATTATGACTATCCAACCCAATTTTGCTTTAGGCCATGCTGCCATAGGCACACATCAGAGAGGTGTGCCATACCCACTCAGCTCTTGTGACAATAGCCTTAAGCGTCAGTCTGAAGACCTGTAAAGGACTAAGAAAGTTAGTCGGGAAACCCATTTGGGATAAGATATTTAATATGACTTAAATCTTTTGAGCTTTTGACTTGAATAATGAAATTGTAGCTTTGATCACTCCTCAGGTGTCTCCACTAAAATGATGCCTATTCCTGTAAAATATAACCTTATAATACTTGGCTTTTCCTATCAAATAACAACAGTACCAAAGTTGATCCAAAGATCGACTTAGGACACTCCTTGATATTTTGTTAATGTGCGCCCCTGCACACTGCCACTTTTCCGTTTTAAGAATTTTTTGGGGTATGCAACTGGTTTAAAATTAAAATGTTAACATAGTCCATGCAAACCTTAATTTCATTATATACCAGTTCAAACTTTGTTTTGTCTAATAAACTATAAAGAAATAAGGTGTTCTTTGGCATAGAGGGTATATATACATTAGGTTGTGTTTTGACAGGGAATAATATGCAGAATATTCCAAAAAGAATAGTGAAAAATTGCAAGAATTCTATTTAAAAAAAATTCACATGATTATAGGTTTTTTAACATATGTTTTATTCAGTAGTTCATGGAATGAAGTAGTTTCCTTATAATGAATTTGGTATCAAACTAAAGGAAAAATTATTTTTATATTTTGTTCAATTTTCAGTTGATCCTGATGTTACTCTCTCGCCAACACCCAGCCAAGAGATACAATACCAAAAGACAGCAACATTCACCTGCATTTTTGATGGAAATCCTGCTCCAAAAATTTCCTGGAGTTTTACAAACACTTCCCTACTTAATTCTGCAAACATGAATTTACCCAATTCTACCAATAATACTTCAACTAATTCAACGAACACTCCTCCAACCAATTCTACAAAAAATCCTGTATCTAATTCAACAAACAGTCATTCATCCAATTTTACGTATACTCCCCCAACCAATTCTACAAAAAATCCTGTATCAAATTCAACAAACGGTCATTCACCCAATTCTACACACACTTCTCCGGTCAATTCTACGAATATTCCTGTGTCAGACAGCAATTTACACAATTCTACAGAAAATTCTCTGAGCAATCATATTACCACTCTCCTGACTAACTCTATAAAATATGGTATAAATACCAATGGGAATAAAAGCATCTTGATTGTTAGAAATTTAACAAGGAATGATTCTGGGAATTACACGTGTTTTGCAAAAAATTCTGTTGGCATCGACTCAGAAACATCACAATTGATAGTACTCAGTAAGTAGAAACTGAATCAGTTATATTGCAATTTTCGGACGGGCGCTATTTTTTCGCCTCTGATAGTCATACCTGTACAAATTAATTACGTTCTCTACAGGAATTGTACAATTATATTTCCTGTATATGTAATATAAAACGTCTTCATATATTAATATTTTATTAAAATTGTACATCGTAAATATATTTCTTATTTAAGGTCCACCTGATGCACCTATCAACCTGACAGTGATTAATAAAACCAAGAATTCAATATCCATTCGCTGGAGAAAAGGTTTATTTAATGGCAACCGTCCTGTTAAAAGTTTCAGTGTTCAAGTCATTGACAAAAACACCACGAAACCAGTCTTTTGCTTGATTTCGCCGAATAAAACTTCTACATTGTGTACTTCCTTGAATCCAAACTGGACATTTGTAGAACTAAAAATATTTACAACATATAATTTTACCATATGTTCCATCAACTCTATTGGAGAAACCTGCACGGATGGAAAATTCAGTGTGACGACCTCACAAGATGGTTAGCTTGTTAGATTTTCTGTTCTCGAATATTTTGAATTGTTTGTTTAAATATTTTTGTATTGAGAAAATGGGGACATGCAGTGACGTAGTCTAATTTCTGATTTAATTTCTTCCAGCACCTGGAAAACCACGTGATCTTACTGTTATACTCACTTCGTCTTCGTCCGAAAGTCTTTATATATCTTGGAAACCACCTGCAATTTTAAATGGTATCATTACAATATATGAATTGAGATTGTGTCTAATTCGCAATGGAAATGGAAAAGACTTTGAGCCTTGTGTCAGTTTGTCTAACATCACCTTACCAGCGAACGCGCGTAACTTTAATGCCAGTAAACTGTGTAAGTAATTCTGACGTGCATTTTCAACTATACAAGAATAGTTATCTTAGAAGGAATAGTTATCCTATCCTCACGAAATCCCGGTATCCGTTACTTGACTTACTTATAAGAAATTCATTCAAGATTTTGATGGCATTGACAGCAATGGCAATAAGAACCTGTATAATTGTACGTATTCATCTCTTTCCTTCATTAGGTGCTTACTGTAATTACCGTATTCAACTCAGAGCAAAAACAATCAAATTTGGAGAGTTTGCGTCAGCAACAGGAAGAACGAATGAAAGCGGTATGAATTAAGTTGTGCTGTTTAATATGGGTCTCAATTGGATACGTTTAGAACAGGGTCAGAATAGTTTTCTCCGAAGCATTAATCTCACTCAAACATGCGTCAGTGCGTCACTGACTGCAGTATATGAATTAGACACGCGTTTTTGGGAAGTAAACAATACGGCTGCGTAATTCTCGATATTTTTTTACAGCCGAGACATTTAGGGTCTTATTAGGCAGAACTAACATTAATTACCCTTCCGTTACAACCACGCAATGTATACGTTCGAGGAAACTAGTTATTAGTTTTGACTTCAGTAGCCTTATTATTCATTTTCTTATGATATATGGGTTATTTTGCTTAAATAACATTCACTTGCTTTTTGCTGGTAATTTAGTGCCCAGTCAACCCACGAATGTCAAGTTAACTCCGTTGCCACACCATGGGTTGCAACTTTCTTGGGAAGCACCGTCCAATAAGAATGGTGATTTAACTGGTTATAACATCACTTGGAAAATCGTGCGCAATGACACTAATCATACTGTTGATGGTGATTTGAAAACGAAGATTGTTAAAGATGATGTGTTATCATTTGATATACCAAATCCGAGTAAGAATACTTTTGCGCTTTCAGCAAATGTAAAAAAATTCTAAGCTGTGCAGGTTATATAAACGTTCTCTTCATTACCTTTAATTTTCGCAAAATATAACATGGGACATTGGTCGCAATACGGCCACATTCCCCCAACTTGCAGCAAAATTGACCTGTCAATCATTATGAAGTATAATTTTTTTTTCCATGAAGTACAGGAAACAAAGTGAGATTGTAGTTTGTTACAACGAAAATTGGGTGAACTGGGTCGAGGATCCCCTTTTAATAGATCGCTCAGATCCCATGCATAACTGAGGTTGCCATCTCCTGTTTAAAGAAAATGCATGTGTGGATTTGATAATACTGCTTCTGTAATAACGTGTTTAACATTTTTAGTGGCCTATACCGAGTACATTGTCACCGTGAATGCTGTAAACGGCGCGGGAAATGGTTTAATGGTAACCAAAAAAGCTCGTACTAACGAACACGGTTTGTTTCATTAATTCAGCGTTGTATCTTATTTTAAATTTTTTGCGAAGTTAGTTAAATATACAGAGATTTCATAAATTATCCAACCATAGAACTGAAACTTTTCAAACTATTTTGCCGTTAGTTCCTAGTGCCCCCACCAGTGTTAAGATAATTTCTGTGTCGTCATCGCAACTCAACATCAAATGGCAACCACCAGCCGATCCCAACGGGGTCATCACTGGATATTATATAACATGGAGGATGATTAAGAACGACTTGGATCAATCTGATACTAACAACGTTTTCAATAGTACTTCACTGAGCGCAAAAACCAGGATGTACCCGATACAGAAATTAGGTAAGAATTTAACCTAAAGATAAGTTTAAACCTCAAAAAAATTAAGGTGGCTCCCTAACAATTTAAAGTGCTGCAAATGATGAGTTGGATTTAATTTCTTCGATTAAGAAGTCTCTTATAGAATATAACACTGCACAGCACATATCCATCAACAATTTTTACAAAAATAACATCAACAATGTTGGTGGCAATTAATTTAATATCAGCAAAATTTTACTTTTTTAAACATCTGAATTAGGTTAGGTTATCTCAATGTTCTAGTCCATAGAGCTTATTTGTGAAATTATAGAACTAGAAAACAAGTACCTCCTTCGCCTAATTCGTTTTTAAAAATTATTAACAGCGCGAAAAGCTTGCATTGCTTATAACAGACGGTATATGATGTTTGACCGCACGTTTTTGTGTTTTTAGCACCTTATTCAGAGTACAACGTTTCTATAAATGCTATGACTAGTTTTGGAAATGGTTCTAAAGTTTATGTCACATCTCGTACCAATGAATCACGTATGTATGACCACCGATCTTTGATCCCTTTTATACACGGAAATTCCTTCGCTTCAAATCAATTGTCGACATTCATGAGTTCAAAATGGCTCTGAAGTATAGAAGGCTATAAATTTGTTGGATAGTTTTTCCTTTTTAAGCATGGATCAGTGACACTGAACGGATTTGTAACAAACTGAAAGAGTTTTAATCCTTTAAAAAATGTTTTTACCTGATAATGACTATATAAAAGAGTTGTTTATCTCTTGGTTTTCATATAGTACCTGGTGAACCAGGAAGTGTTCAGCTGATACCAGTTTCAGCAACTGTACTCAATCTAACTTGGAAGTCACCGTCTGATCCTAACGGGATAATAATAGGATACCGGGTTATTTGGGAGATGATAGAAGATGACAAGAAGAACACGCCCAAACCTCAAAATTCAACAGTAAAGATTATAAATAATGGAAGCGCAGGATCGTATCCAATAGAAGGACTGGGTAATTAAAATGGCGCAAATCATTTCAGTCTTCATAATACTTTTTAATATATTCCGATATATAACCAAGCAACTGCCCAAAATTGAGAAAAACAATGACGTTCTGACCTAATGGCCTTCGTTAGGAGAGTTAAAATGATTATCATTTTGATATTGGTACATGATATTTCTCGTAAACTTATTTATCAAACCACGTTATTGTGCGATTCTGCACATCATATCTTGAATATTAATATTTTATTCTTTTGTCTTTAGCGGCTTATTCGGTGTACAAGGTGTCCCTAAATGCTATAACTAGTATTGGAAATGGTTCTAAAGTTAATGTCACATCTCGTACCAATGAATCACGTATGTATGACCATCGATTTTTGATCCCTTTTATACACACAAAATTCCTTAGCTTCAAAGTCAATTGTCGACATTTATGAGTTCAAAATGGCTCTGAAGTATAGAAGGCTATAAATTTGTTTGGTAATTTTTCCTTTTTAAGCATTAATCAGTGACACTGTGAACGGATTTTTTACAAATTAAAAGAGTTTTAAGCCTTTAAAAAATGTTTTTACCTGCTAATGACTAAAAGAGTTGTTTATCTCATGGTTTTCATATAGTACCTGGTGAACCAGGAAGTGTTCAGCTGATACCAGTTTCAGCAACTGTACTCAATCTAACTTGGAAGTCACCGTCTGATCCTAACGGGATAATAATAGGATACCGGGTTATTTGGGAGATGATAGAAGATGACAAGAAGAACACGCCCAAACCTCAAAATTCAACAGTAAAGATTATAAATAATGGAAGCGCAGGATCGTATCCAATAGAAGGACTGGGTAATTAAAATGGCGCAAATCATTTCAGTCTTCATAATACCTTTTAATATATTCCGATATATAACCAAGCAACTGCCCAAAATTGAGAAAAACAATGACGTTCTGACCTAATGGCCTTCGTTAGGAGAGTTAAAATGATTATCATTTTGATATTGGTACATGATATTTCTCGTAAACTTATTTATCAAACCACGTTATTGTGCGATTCTGCACATCATATCTTGAATATTAATATTTTATTCTTTTGTCTTTAGCGGCTTATTCGGTGTACAAGGTGTCCCTAAATGCTATAACTAGTATTGGAAATGGTTCTAAAGTTAATGTCACATCTCGTACCAATGAATCACGTATGTATGACCATCGATTTTTGATCCCTTTTATACACACAAAATTCCTTAGCTTCAAAGTCAATTGTCGACATTTATGAGTTCAAAATGGCTCTGAAGTATAGAAGGCTATAAATTTGTTTGGTAATTTTTCCTTTTTAAGCATTAATCAGTGACACTGTGAACGGATTTTTTACAAATTAAAATAGTTTTAAGCCTTTAAAAAATGTTTTTACCTGCTAATGACTAAAAGAGTTGTTTATCTCATGGTTTTCATATAGTACCTGGTGAACCAGGAAGTGTTCAGCTGATACCAGTTTCAGCAACTGTACTCAATCTAACTTGGAAGTCACCGTCTGATCCTAACGGGATAATAATAGGATACCGGGTTATTTGGGAGATGATAGAAGATGACAAGAAAAACATCTCCGTTCCTCAAAATTCAAGAGTGAAGGTTATAAATAATGGAAGCGCAGTATCGTATCCAATAGAAGGACTGGGTAATGAAAATGGCGAAAACCATTTAATGCTCTTTTAATACATTCCAATATATAATCAAGCAACTGCCCAAAATTGAGAAAAACAATGACGTTCTGACCTAATGCCCTTCGTTAGGAGAGTTAATATAATGATCATTTTGATATTGGTGCATGATATTTCTGGTAAACTTATTTATCAAACCATGTTCTTGTGTGATTCTGCACATCTTATCTTGAATATTGATATTTTATTCTTTGTCTTTAGCGGCTTATTCGGTGTACAACGTGTCCCTAAATGCTATAACTAGTATTGGAAATGGTTCTAAAGTTAATGTCACATCTCGTACCAATGAATCACGTATGTATGACCATCGATCTTTTATCCCTTTTATACACGCAAAATTCCTTAGCTTCAAATCCATTGTCGACATTCATGAGTTCAAAATGGCTCTGAAGTATAGAAGGCTAAAAATTTGTTTGATAGTCTTTCCTCTTTACTCCGGCGTGAGCGACGGAGTTGAAAATTCGCCTAGGTTTTGTTGTGTTTTTTTAAATTTTTTTCGTCGTCGCAAGTGTGTTTTATCGCGAAATATAGTAATTGAAAAGTGTATGTGACCTAATTTATATACGTCACAGTTTTGTCTCCCAAGAGTTGTGGTGCACAGCTTTGGCTAATTTTCCGAAGCGCGATTCGATTTCGCTCGCATGATACGGCAATTCCTCCAAGAGGAACAAATAAACCGTTCTTTTGATGCTGTTCGATTAAGTTTATATTGAATTGGCGTAAGAATATATTTAATACATGTAGATTCTGGTCCTATTTTAATAATATCGCTGCTATTTTGCCGTTTAACAAGATGATGTGGTCGTGTATGGGTGCGTTGACACGTCGTAGTTTGCACAAGATTGAAGATTTAATATAACTATATAAGCACGAATTCCAAAGGCAAAGTGTAAGACAAAGTGAACGTATCATGCGGTTCATTTACATTTTTGAACAATTGATCTTCTATACTTTTCAAAGTAGCTACGATGTGCTTCTGAATTTCGTGATCGAACAACATTTAGGTTCGCAAGGCATCTGAATGAGTATGAACTGTATTGTTTATGTTCTGAAGCTTTATATTGAAGACTTGCACGTGCGCCGGAGTTAACACCAGAACAAGCGTCTTGTTAATCATAGATCAGTGACACTGTGAACTGATTTTTGAAAAACTAAAAGAGTATTAACCCTTTACAAATGTTTTTACCTGTTAATAACTAAAAGAGTTGTTTATCTCGTGGTTTTCATATAGTACCTGGTGAACCAGGAAGTGTTCAGCTGATACCAGTTTCAGCAATGGTACTCAATCTAACTTGGAAGTCACCGTCTGATCCTAACGGGATAATAATAGGATATCGTGTTATTTGGGAGATGATAGAAGATGACAATAAGAACACGCACGTTCCTCGAAATTCAAGAGTGAAGGTTATAAATAATGGAAGCACAGTATCGTATCCAATAGAAGGACTGGGTAATAAAAATGGCGCAAGTCGTTTCAGTCTTCATAATACTCTTTTAATGTTTTCCAATATATAATCAAGCAACTGCCAAAAATTGAGAAAAACAATGACGTTCTGACCTAATGGCCTTCGTTAGGAGAGTTAATATGATGATCATTTTGATATAAAGGCATAGTGTCTCTCGTAAACTCGTTTATCAAATCATGTTATTGTGTGATTTTGCGCATCATATCTTGAATATTAATGTTTTATTATTTGTCTTTAGCGGCTTATTCGGTGTACAACGTGTCCCTAAATGCTATAACTAGTATTGGAAATGGTTCTAAAGTTAATGTCACATCTCGTACCAATGAATCACGTATGTATTACCATCGAATTTGATCCGTTTAATACACGCAAAATTCCTTAGCTTCAAAGTCAATTGTCCGGCGACATTTATGAGTTCAAAATGGCTCTGAAGTATAGAAGGCTATAAATTTGGTGGATAGTTTTTCCTTTTTAAGCATGGATCAGTGACACTGTGAACGGATTTTTGACAAACTAAAAGAGTTTTAATCCTTTAAAAAATGTTTTTACCTGTTAATAACTAAAAGAGTTGTTTATCTCATGGTTTTCATATAGTACCTGGTGAACCAGGAAGTGTTCAGCTGATACCAGTTTCAGCAACAGTACTCAATCTAACTTGGGAGTCACCGTCTGATCCTAACGGAATAATAATAGGATACCGTGTTATTTGGGAGATGATAGAAGATGACAATAAGAACACGCACGTTCCTCAAAATTCAAGCGTGAAGATTATAAATAATAGAAGCGCAGTATCTTATCCAATAGAAGGACTGGGTAATAAAAATGGCGCAAGTCGTTTCAGTCTTCATAATACTCTTTTAATGTATTCCAATATATAATCAAGCAACTGCCAAAAATTGAGAAAGACAATGACGTTCTGACCTAATGGCCTTCGTTAGGAGAGTTAATATAATGATTATTTTGATATAAAGGCATAGTGTCTCTCGTAAACTTATTTATCAAACCACGTTATTGTGTAATTCTGCACATCATATCTTGAATATTAATATTTTATTCTTTTGTCTTTAGCGGCTTATTCGGTGTACAACGTGTCCCTAAATGCTATAACTAGTATTGGAAATGGTTCTAAAGTTAATGTCACATCTCGTACCGATGAATCACGTATGTATGACCACCGATCTTTGATCCCTTTTATACACGCAAAATTCCTTAGCTTCAAATTCAATGTCAACATTCACGAGCTCAAAATGGGTCTGAAGTATAGAAGGCCATAAATTTGTTTGATAGTTTTTCATTTTTAAGCATGGATCAATGACACTGTGAACACATTTTTAGCAAACTAAAAGGGTATTAATCCTTTAAAAAATAATTTATTAATCTCAAAATGACTAAAAGAGTTGTTTATTTCGTGGTTTTCATATAGTACCTGGTGAACCAGGAAGTGTTCAGCTGATACCAGTTTCAGCAACTGTACTCAATCTAACTTGGAAGTCACCGTCTGATCCTAACGGGATAATAATAGGATATCGTGTTATTTGGGAGATGATAGAAGATGACAAGAAGAACATGTCGGTTCCTCAAAATTCAAGAGTGAAGATTATAAATAATGGAAGCGCAGTATCGTATCAAATAGAAGGATTGGGTAAGGAAAATGGCGCAAATTATTTCAGTTTTTATAAGACTCTTTTAATATATTCCCTTATAACCAAGCAGCGGGTATGACGGCGTATATTCTTATTAAATATGCACAAAAAAGGCTTCTGTTAGGGGAGTAAATATTATGATTCATAATTTAGACCATTTTGAAAAAGGGGGGAGTGTGTCTCGTAAACTCGTTTATCAAGCCACGTTATTGTGTGATTCTGCACATCATATCTTAAATATTAATATTTTATTCTTTTGTCTTTAGCGGCTTATTCGGTGTACAACGTGTCCCTAAATGCTATAACTAGTATTGGAAATGGTTCTAAAGTTAATGTCACATCTCGTACCAATGAATCACGTATGTATATGACCATCGATCTTTGATCCCTTTTATACACGCAAAATTCCTTAGCTTCCAAGTCAATTGTTGACATTCACGAGTTCATAATGGCTCTAAAGTATAGAAGGCTATAAATTTGGTGGATAGTTTTTCCTTTTTTAGCATGGATCAGTGACACTGTGAACGGATTTTTGACAAACTAAAAGAGTGTTAATCCTTTAAAAAATGTTTTTACCTGCTAATGACTAAAAGAGTTGTTTATGTCTTGGTTTTCATATAGTACCTGGTGAACCAGGAAGTGTTCAGCTGATACCAGTTTCAGCAACGGTACTCAATCTAACTTGGAAGTCACCGTCTGATCCTAACGGGATAATAATAGGATATCGTGTTATTTGGGAGATGATAGAAGATGACAATAAGAACACGCACGTTCCTCGAAATTCAAGAGTGAAGGTTATAAATAATGGAAGCGCAGTATCGTATCCAATAGAAGGACTGGGTAATGAAAATGGCGAAAATCATTTCAGTCTTCATAATACTCTTTTAATACATTCCAATATATAATCAAGCAACTGCCCAAAATTGAGAAAAACAATGACGTTCTGACCTAATGCCCTTCGTTAGGAGAGTTAATATAATGATCATTTTGATATTGGTGCATGATATTTCTCGTAAACGTATTTATCAAACCATGTTCTTGTGTGATTCTGCACATCATATCTTGAATATTAATATTTTATTCTTTGTCTTTAGCGGCTTATTCGGTGTACAACGTGTCCCTAAATGCTATAACTAGTATTGGAAATGGTTCTAAAGTTAATGCCACATCTCGTACCAATGAATCACGTATGTATTACCGTCTATCAAATAGTGATCTCCCTCATTGTATTTAGAAAGTGAACAATACAGTCGAATACTATACAAATACTATAAAACGGCTACTGCAGGTCCCGCAGACAAGACATTAAGCGTCTAATTAGCCGGGGCGATAATTAACGCTCAGTTGGAAACATTTCGGGACTACCACGTAATGGACACTAGTTGACCTCAATGGTTTTGACTTCACTACCTTATCTTTTTCATGATAACATTAAATAACGTTTCCTTACTTTCGCTGGTAATTTAGTGTCCAGTGAACCCACGGAGGTCAGTTTAACTACGTTGTCACACCATCAATTGCGACTTTCTTGGAAAGCACCGTCCAATAAGAATGGCAATATAACTGGTTATAAAATCACTTGGAAAATCGTGAGCAATGATACCAATCATACAGTTGTTGGTGATTTGAAAACGGATACAGTCGGAGATAATGTGTTTTCATTTAATATAACAAATCTGAGTAAGAATACTTGTTTTGCACTTTCAAGAAATGTAAAAATCTATGAGCGTTTTACAGGTTATATAAACGTTCTCTTCATTTCCTCAATTGCCTATAATTTTTACAAAATATAACATGGGACATTGGTCAAAAATACCCACTTTCCCCCAACTTCCAGCAAAATAGACCAGTCAATACTGCTTCTGTAATAATTTCTTGAACATTTTTAGCGGCCCATTCCGAGTACATTGTCACCGTGAATGCTGTAAACGGCGCTGGAAATGGGTTGGTTTAAATGTAACCAAAAAAGCTCGTACTGGCGAATACGGTTTGTTTCTTTAATTCAGTTTTTATCTTAAATTCAATTTTTCTGAAAGTTTCTAAATGCATGTAATATGTCATATGTCGGCTGCTGGCTGATTGCCCTCGTATCCAAATCATCATGAAGTCCAAGTTAAGAATTAAACAAGAAACCATGCATCGTTAGTTTAAGGCTGAAAAGTGAAAACTAATTGCAATTTTATTATTATTGGATGTAGCTAGCTGTATTGATAAATCGTCCATTTTATTTAATTTCATTTTATAAGGGATTCGTGCGTTTTCGAAAATCCAATTTAGGCATTAACGTATCCTAAAGTAATCTTTAGGCTTTAAATAAGACCTCTTTTGTATGACTAATACGGATATATAAGACATTAATATATGTAACGTTTGTGTAGATAACATTTATATCTCGCATATAAACGCTCATAGTCGGGTGATTTTGATATTTTCCGCAATTGTATTCGTGATTTGTTGTTCTCGCAGACACTGTACTGTATTCACCCTTCCCGCCAAATGTCATTATTTCATATCACCATTAGAATGTTATAGTTAAATATTCACAGATCGCAAATACAAGATTTTATACTCACCTAAACTATCATCCGATCATAGAACTGAAACTTTACAAAATATTTCGCTGTTAGTTCCTAGTGCTCCCACCAGTGTTAAGATAATTTCTGTGTCGTCATCGCAACTCAACATCACGTGGCAACCACCAGCCGATCCCAACGGGGTCATCACTGGATATTATATAACATGGAGGATGATTAAGAACGACTTGGATCAATCTGATACTAACAACGTTTTCAATAGTACTTCACTGAGCGCAAAAACCAGGATGTACCCGATACAGAAATTAGGTAAGAATTTAATGTAAAGATGAATTTAGCGTGTGGCTCCCTAACATTTTGAAGTGTTGCAAATGATGAGTTGCATTTAATTTTTTCGATAAGAAGTCTCTTATAGAATATAACACCGCACATATCTATCAACAATTTTTACAAAAATAACATCAACAATGTTGATGGTAATTAATTTAATATCACCGAAATTTTACTTTTTAAACATCTGAATTAGGTTAGTGTATCTCAGTGTACTAGTCCATAAAGCTCGTTTGTGAAATTATGGAACTAAAAAACAAGTACTTCGCCCAATTCGTTTTAGAAATTATTAAATTTAAAATGTTAATCCAGTCATCTTTATTTAAATCAGCGCGAAAAGTTTGCATACCTTAAAAATAACAGACGGTATATGATGTTTGACTACACGTTTTTGTGTTTTTAGAACCTTATTCAGAGTACAACGTGTCTATAAATGCTATGACTAGTTTTGGAAATGGTTCTAAAGTTAATGTCACATCTCGTACCAATGAATCACGTATGTATGACCTATATTAACCAAAGACGTTTTAAGAATAAAATATAATGCATAATTGTAGGTGATATTTGCAAGTATATATTGTTACAAAATATATTCAGAAATGCATTTAACACCATTTCATTGCATGCAAATACCCTTGTAATTTTGCATATTTTAAACATAAATTTTCAGTTTATATGTACATGCACCAGGTGTTTTTATTTCTCCAAAGCTTTTGGTCCGTAAACCATTAGTGCGATAAATTTTCAAATTGAAATGCCGGCAATCAAATCACGACAATTCGTAATAAAAGGCAACGTGAAAGATTTTGAAAGTTGCAATACACAGATGAAAAATTGATAAACAATTATTTTACTTCCGTTATTACACTGATTTATAGGTTTACCGGACTGGAAGGTTTAAAAAATGTAGGTGCTTTCCCTACAAAATTACTGGAAGATTTTTCACAAAACAGCAACTTTGAGAAACAAAATCATGGTGTCACTATTTAAAGCCACTCCCAAGCCTACAACTATAACTCAGTTGTGTATCTCGTGGTTTTCATATAGTACCTGGTGAACCAGGAAGTGTTCAGCTGATACCAGTTTCGGCAACAGTACTCAATCTAACTTGGAAGTCACCGTCTGATCCTAACGGGATAATAATAGGATACCGTGTTATTTGGGAGATGATAGAAGATGACAAGGAGAACATGTCGGTTCCTGAAAATTCAAGAGTGAAGGTTATAAATAATGGAAGCGCAGTATCGTATCAAATAAAAGAACTGGGTAATGGAAATGGCGCAAATTATTCCAGCCTTCATAAGACTCGTTTTAATATATTCCAATGTAACCAAGCAGCGTGTATAGCGACGTAGATAGTGTCTAAAAGTGCATAGTGTCTCTCGTAAACTCGTTTATCAAACCACGTTATTGTGTGATTCTTCGCATCATATCTTGAATATTAATATTTTATTCTTTGTTTTCCAGAACCTTATTCGGTGTACAACGTGTCCTTAAATGCTATAACTAGTATTGGAAATGGTTCTAAAGTTAATGACACATCTCGTACCAATGAGTCACGTATGTATGTTTTATCCGTGGTTTGATCCCTTTTATACTCGCGAAATGCCTATGTGTTTAGCTTTTAATCTTAGTTTTTAATTAACGTTTGATCATGCAACGGGATAATTATAATAGGATACGGTCGCCAAATCCCTTGACCTTCGACAATTGTCGACATGCATGCGTAGAACAACTAGTACTGTACGATATTTATAAAAAATATGCAGCACAACATTAAAAAACGCAGTAGAACGATTTTTAACGACAAACTAACTTTTAGGGTGAAGGTTAACGGTTAGCTTAGAACCCGCTAAAAGTCGCCTTGTAACGTTTTCATGAATACTGTTGATGAGCGAAGATCTGCGACACTTTCAACAGAATTGACTTAATTACGCCTCATTACCCAGCATTACCATCTTATTTTCTGTTCCTTTTGTCTTTGTTGCCTCCAACTTGACCAAAATGCAACGTCTAAAGCCTGCCACGCACGATTATTAAACATGTTGAATATTCGGTGCAAATAGCACGCATGAAAAAAAGCTTGCAAAACCTTGCCGCACACTCAGGGAGAACTTTCTTACGGCTGATGTTCACGAGTGCCTTTTTGCTCAACCTAAGAAAGAGTTTCCCAAAAGAAGTTTTAAATATAGAGAAGCTGTATTATGGAACAGTCTTCTCAACAAGTCTTCTCAATCGATTCGTTGTTTCAAGAGGCTCATAAATTCAAGCAGTTAATAAGCAGGCCGATCTATATTTATTGTGTCAACACTTATTTGCATATATCATATAGCTCATAGTGTAATTAAGTAGACGCCTCCCGTGGCAATCAGTGGTAACTGACTGGGCTAGTGACTGCATGTAAATAACATTTTTAATAATAATAATAATAATAATAATAAGTAAGCGTTTCGTACGCGTTGACAATTAACAATAAACACTCGTTGTTCCGCGGTCAGGTGAACCATTTTCTTTCGAAGCAATAACAAGGCTAATTTAAATTTAATCATCTTCACAATTTCCAATTTTTCGTATTTAGCATTTTATAAGTTGCATTAAGTCCCCATGGGGTTAAATTCGTGAACACGGCATTCAAATTTTAACAATGAGTGATTTGAGACAACCTGTAGAGCGCTTTCGTTAAGAAGATAGATGTAAATAACGATATACTTGAATGCAGAGTTCTTGAAACATTCTAAAATACCAGTAATCTGTCTGTGACCGAAAAGGCGAAATACAACAGGACCGGTCTTGCCGTTTTTTCCGTATAAAGGAAAGGGTCCATAGTTGAAATAAAATAAACTATTTACATCGAAATATTTCAGTTCTGTTGTTCGACAATTTTGTTTTGAATAATGGTATTTTTATGATGAAGAGGCGTGCATCGTGCAATTATTCAAAACACTGGTGATCCGAAACGAATTAGATGCGTGGGATACATTCTTCTTCTGGCTGAATTTTGACTCTTCACAATGAGGAATGAAAAACGTTCATTCAAAGCAATCACGTTTATATTAATTTGTGCAGTTATCGGTTTCATTTATTTCTTTTATAACCACAACGATTTTAAACAAACGGCAAGAAAGCAATCGTCAATCCTTCCGCCATACCAAGCTAATGATGTGTTTGCTGACATAGTTGAACAGTCGGGTGATCAACAAGTTGTTGTTAACATACAGAAAGACGGAAAGTACAGAGTCTTAGGCGAAAACTTTACGTTCAATTACCAAGCACGTCCAAGATCATTTCAAGTTTACAACAAGGTCAAATACTTCACCCAAACAGTAGAAAAGCGAAATCGAATAAAACAATGGGATGGCTACCTTCGAGTGCGTATGTTTGGGGAAGAATTGTCGAAACAAATGCGGCTTTTTTTAGGCATTGCCAATTTTCATGGCTTCGAGAAAATGAAGATCGTAGCACCACGTTTCAAAAATGGAGTGGCGCGTAGTGATGGACCTACACCGTTTGATGCTGTATATAATCTTGACGAACTTAACGAAATACGTGCCAAAAACAATTATCCACCTATTATTACAGACAAGGAATACGATGAAGCATGTAAACACGAAAAACCTATATATGATATAACTTTTAGTTATGGTAGAGTTAGCCAAAGTATTAAAGATAGGCTTTTCAAGAATGGACAGACGAAAGGTTGGATTGATTGTAATTATGCATATCCCCGTGTTAATCAGAGCGAGCGTAGAAAGATATGCGTTACGTCTCATTTCGATATCACCACTTTGAGAGAGACCGTTCTTAAAAATGTCAGATGTATCGAGGTTCCGTATTGGTGTGACCATGGCGGGCTTTACAAAATCGGTGGCCCTAGTCGTTTAAGTCCCGATGAAATATTTCACTATGCACTCAACCCTAGTGACATGATAGTAGACGAAGCAAATACGTTTATCGATCAGCATCTCAAACGACCGTATGTGGCAATCCATATGCGAGCTAATCATATCAACATTAAACCGTCTACAATTAATCGCTGTTTTCAACTTGCGATGAAAGTTGTTGATGCACTGAAGAAAAAAAGAGGAGTAAAGTCAATCTACCTTTCAACTGACATGAGCGAATATGGTGGAGGGGGTTCGTATCATCCTGGGCACGAGGAATATTTTGCTGCCATCAGCGGAGCTGTTCGATACACTGCGAATGCTACGGGGAAAATGAGTGATATTTCACGATCTAGTATGTCGATTATTAATGTTTTACTTCACAGGAAAAGTGATCATCTAATTGCTGTTGGAGCTGGAAGTTTCCATGGGTTCGTCATGGGTCAATTTCTCCGTGAACACTTTGAAAAAGATCCAAAATTGTGGTCTCTCATTAATATGTGCGAGAATGCGAGAGGACGAGGAATGACTAGGGATGGTGACTACTCGAAGTACAAGAACACATGACCAGTTCCAATGTGCGTTTGTCTTTCAAAAAAATATTTGGCGTTCATTTGTATTAACTATGTTTAATTTTTATTTTTAATATAACGATGTTCTTGCATATATAATTGCTAGACTCATTGTGAATGAAAAATAAAGCCTTTTTTGTTATTTTCCTTGAGGCACTATATAATGGCCTAATTGTTCATTTAATCTACCAACCTTTATTTTCATTAAAAAGGCCTCGTTCAAGTGAATTGACCGCTATCAAATTAGTGGGCAGCACTGACTTGAAGAAATACACTGAATAAAACCGATGGTGAATATTCCAGAAGCTCAAAACAGGAAAAATACTTTACAAGCAGTGGCGTAGCCAGTCTTTAGAAATTGATTGTTTTCACAGTCAAGAACGCCAAAATATACTAGCGTAGAGTGGCGGGACAAATCGTCAGGGATGGCTATGCTATATTGTTTACAACTGCAAGCGACGCTATATTCATCGCATGACTTTAAGATAATGCAAAATTCCTTACCATAAAAAAATTGTCGTTAAAAAAATAGCTCTGCTGATCGTGTGCGGCGGGCTTTTTTTTGCATTTTAAGGGCTGTTTATATGAGCCCGGTTACCCGAGATTCAACGAAGCGTGAGGGGACTTTGAGGTATTGAAATAGGTCTTTATGACACCAAACAAGCACATGCTATTGTTCTGGTGATTATACGGTAACATGTACCACGTTAACACTGTCTTCCTTGTTGATGATATCGGATAGCCAAAGTAATTGACAAAATACTTAAGTTCAAAATATGTCAGGACTAGGTAAAGACATTACCAAAATCTTGCCCCAGTTCAGGTCCACCTGCTGTTGGCCTGGATTTTGTGCCCTAGACCAGGTCCAGACCTGCATGGTCTAGGCCGGATAAAGAACGTTCACATCTAGGCCTATAGGTCTGGTCCAGGCCAGGTCAAAGCACGTAGTGTTATATACTTCCCTTTCTTCCGACACCATCACGCTCAGTGATCATATTTCCCTCTTGTTTTCACATTGCCATTCTTTTTCTGTTCTTTTGACACTGCCTAATGCCCATGCTGATACTTTCCCTCTGGTTTTGACAATATTGTAAGATCACGTTTTGCATGAAGGTTCTACAGCTGTATTATAGGAATCGATTTAATTGACTTATAATTCCAGCCCTTTTCTTTTCTGTTATTATAGTACCAGGCATTCCTAGTAATCTGCAGTGTGGTCTGTCCGCCAGTAAATCTTTGAATATCATTTGGTCGCAGCCTAGCAATCCAAACGGTAAAATACGTCAGTACAGTGTGTTGTGGAGAAAAATTAAAGACAAGAACGAAGAGGAAGACGTCCCAGAAGGGAAAGTAAGATTCCTGAAAACCAAATACGAAAATATCACAGAAGGTGGACTTGGTAAGTTTTGGTGATGCATACAAAAAACTTATCACGATAAGACATTAATTTTGTTTATAAATTGGACAACTTTTATATTACAATTCGAAATACTGTTTCAAAAAGACTTAATACCAAATATTTCAATACAATTAAAGCGTCGTCTTTTTTCCTGAAATATGGCCCGATTTATACTAGAGAAGGATGATCCGTCTGGACGAACGATCCGTCCGACGATCATTCGTGTGAGTCACTGAGTATAAACACACGACACACTATGTATAGACGAACTATCTGGACGAATATAAAGTGCACGGGAATTGGGAAATTATTTATGAATTATGTGGTAAAAAGAGTGCACAAGAGAGCCGTTGTATTTATATACTAGCCGACGAATGATGCGTCCAGATAAACTACTCATTCAAATTCGTCTAAATTGACGAACTATGCGGATAATTCATGTTGACGGGTGATACGTATGTTTGCCAGTGTCTACATGCATGCAGACAAACAAACCATCTTTCGCTTGCCCAAGTTCGCCCTGACGGACGTATATCACATGCAAGAGATCGAATAAACAACATTTGAACGAAATTTTGCTGTGCAATGCGTATGATTGAATCAGAAACGGCGTTGAAAATGATCGAGACTTTTTGAAAATGATCGAGACCGATTTTTTCAGTTGTGGTTTACATATATTTACATATCAGTTAATTTTTTTTAGAACCTTTCACAAGATATAAAGTTAGTGTTTCAGCTCGTACTCTTGAAGAGCTGGGTTATGGCGCAGCAGATGAGATACAATGTGATACTGCAGAAGACGGTATGAAATTATAACAATTTTATACACGATTCTGATTAGTCAATCCTATCTATATTATAACTATATAACTACACTTGTATAGTGTTTTAAAACAAGCTCCAGAAAAAACTATATATGCAGAGCTTTTGGTCCTTTATTTTCGGTCCCGAAAACATTATATTGCACTGAAGAAGGATATATAGGTACCCTGAAGGGGTAGTATAGAATAGGTGTCCTAGGGGAAGGATAGGAAAGTATAGAATAGGACAATAGGTGTCCCGGTGTCCCCCACCAAAATTTTGTAATAATACACGTGGTGTTTCTGCAAATTTCATGATGATTTAAATTAGATCGTGTTTAGTGTAAATACGTAGTTTAACTTCTGCGTGTTCAGTTTTCAGTATATAATTGTGTTTTTAGTGCCGAGTGGTATCCCCGCTAGTGTAGAAGCCGAGCATTTGGGTCCGTTTAGAGCTAGAGTGAAGTGGAAACGCATTAAAAAATTAGATTGGCAAGCAGCGAGCATCAACTACATTGTAACCTACACACTGGAGAATGGAGCTAAGCCTGAACCACATCAAAAAGTCGTTCCCTCGAATGAATTGGAGGTCGAATTGTCCGGATTATTTGAAAATTCTACATATTCAGTTCATGTTTTGGCAAATAATACTGTTGGCGATGGTGGCAGAAGTGAGAGTGTGACTTTCAGAACTAACTCGTGTAAGTGTCTCATCGTTCCCAATGAGTTACAGTCAAAATGCTCCAAGCGCGCCATTATATATCCTCCTCGGTTAACTGAGATCTAATTCGATTTGCCTTGCAATGTTAATGCAAGACTTATTTATCAAACTGAATGTTGTGGAAAACCCTCGTCACGAGTGGCAGCACTCTTGAAATATTTGTGGAATTCCTCAACATGACATTCCTCAACTTTAGTAAAATGTTTGAGTAACTTAGGATGATATACTCAACAAGCTGAGTAAATATACTCACATTGAGTAAAAAACTCGATTTTACGATAAAACTTAATAATTTACGCAAACATTGAGTAAAATGATTATTTGCAATTACATTTTACTCATGCAGGTCTGAGTAAAATGAATGCTTCAGTTAAACGGTTTTACTCAAGTATTGAGTGAAATTACTCAACATGATCATTTGCTAGTAATTTTACACAATTCACGAGTAAGTGAATAATTTGCGTAGTGGAAGCACTGCGAATGTATATGATTGTATGAATTGTAGTCTTGGGTAAGAAAAGCTATAAACACCATGACCACATGACTTTTAAACGTACATTACCGTATTTTATAAATTATAAATTTATGCAATATAAAATTGTTTCACTCGTGGTTGCGTGTAATTTCTTTACTTACATCCGAATTTTTTCCTAATCTGTTTGGTCGACTCACTTTACTCGCATTTTGAGTAAATTTACTCAAAAGTATATGTGTAACTGTGGACGCATTCACTTTACTCACTTTACTGAGTAAATCTACTCAAGCAGAATGAGTAAATTTACGCAAAAGTATGTGCTACTGTGGACGCATTGTTTTACTCAAGTTTTTGAGTAAATCTACGCAAAAGTTTTTTGCAGCTCTGATTTGATTAGCCATGCAATGTTAATGCAAGACTTATTTATCAAACTGAATGTTGTGGAAACCCCTCGTCACGAGTGGCAGCACTCTTGAAATATTTGTGGAATTCCTCAACATGCATGACAACAATACTAGCCAACATCTAAACAATGAAGACGTCATATACGAATAAATACTTCTTGCAGTTAAATGACATTCAGAAATGAATTTGGACAAAATATTCAGTACTTCGAAGCAAAAAATGCGTTTCGAATTTTGCGATTTTACGAGTTCTGACACACGGCTAATGCATGACGGCGAATTGTGCATAAAGCATGCATGATTTGTGTGTTTGATAATTTTAATAATTTAACAATTTGTCTGTATTGAGGTTTATCTGAAATTATATTAACAGACAATACCAGTTTTTCTAAAAAGCATTCAAACCATGTATATTTTACCTTATTTTAGCTTTTCATCCTGAAGAAGTTACAGAAAACACCATTACAATCACTTTGGAAAAATTTGAGAACGAAAACGTCAGGTAGGCGCATAAAGCCGCATACATAACGCCATCGAGCGTTTTCACTTTTGTTTTAACGCCAAACGGTTTCAGGCATCAATTAGGATAGACGCTGGACTCTAATTTGTGGAAAAAAAGAAAATAACTTCTTTTGGTTATGTCATAAATATTCTGTTTATATGTTGATTAGGGTTGCCAGATTATAGAAAAAACGAGCTAAACAACTTTCTCCTATTGGCATTTACTCTGTTTATAGCAAAGAAATATGAAAACCGAAGGGCCGCCTATAAATAACAATGCTTGGCATGTATTCAGCATTCCAGTAATCTATACAGACCATCCCTGCATGATGTGGATACTGGATAGCCGAACCTCTTGTCACAGAATATTATACACTTAATGTATGCTCCCGAGGGAAATAGTGAGTTTTTTTTCCCAAGAGTCTGAATGAAACATTGAGACTCGAGGGAAAACAAAACTCACTATTTCCCGAGGTAGTGTACATTAAGTGTTTTGTTGTATAGGAACGAAAACATACATGTTACACAACAATTTCATTTAAAAAAACCCACTTTACTTTGTTATGACAAGAAACGGGCAACAATTTTTCACTTGTTTCCCTGGCGGGAAACATTGCATTTATTTAAAGTCATGTGATTACGAATGAACCAATCACATTTAAAATACACAGCATTCACCTATATAACAACATACATATAGTTACTATAATGTCTAATCTGTATTATTGTGTTGAGGTGACGGTTGATTATGTTTTACCATTTTTTAGAATCTACCAGATTATTGCACTGCAGGTTGTCAAAATAAACGGAGAATATCAGGAGTTGCCTGATATAACAACTCTAGAAGTAACCCGTTATTACCATAACAGAACAGAAAACGAACCGTACATCACCGCAGAGTTTGGACCAAGCGAGTTTAAAAAAAAATTCATTATTGGAGACGGAAAGTCGTACAACGCAAGGAGAAAGAGAAGACAAGGTCAGATACAAAACATGCGGGCATTTATTTTATTGGCTACAAATTGTAAATCAAAGCATATTTTTTTAGTTTAGAGTCTAGTGAAGAAAATATATAGTGTATACAAAGTACATCTATAATCATATACCTGTCCAGACAAGAAATATTAGTTTAAATATCAGTTTAAATTATAAAATATGCGTCTTCGGCACAGTGAAACTCGTCAACCATTGAAACAAACCTGCTAAGTTGATTTTAAATTAAGTCCATGTTGACATTGGTAACTTGTTTCAGTAATACCGATAAAATTGAACTACGAACAACCGACACTTTGATTTTTGATAAATTTAAAATGATATATTAGACGTTGCATGGTCTGTTTTACGTATAATTTAGATATTCAATTCTAAGATCTCATTGCTTTCTCGGATTTTTTCCAAATTTCATTTAAAAACGTCTTTGTGCTTCTTTGTAGCTCCCAATGATATTGAAAATGGAAAACTCGAAAGTGGTGCTGAATACCGTTTTTTACAACGTGGCTTAAATAAAGATCGCAAAGTTATTGAAAATAAAAAATGGACTCCTCCATTGTTTACACGAAAGAAAATTGGCCCAGATGACGGTGGCCCAGGTGGCGGTGTTATTGCTGCTGTTGTGGTGGCTGTTATCATAGTTATTGTGCTTGTATCAGTCGTCTTGGTGTATGTCAGAAGACGAAACAGTAATGGTACTTATTATAGAAGAAACGATCAAGAAGGTAAATATTTTTGCGTATTGTATTTAATATGGCATTGATTATAGGAAGTGCAGTGTTGCTATTATATAGGGCCCGGTTGTATAAGATGATAGTTAACCTCGTTTTTAACTATATACTTAGTGCAGAATTGGGCAACTATAGATAGAGTAATGAGTAGAGCTATGTTATAGAGCCAGGTCCAAGCCTGCATAATCTAATATAAATTAATAAATAATATAAATTATTGGTTTCTTTTGTTATCGATAATTATGTTATCAGATTATCAGATTATGTTATATTATTCTAAATGAAGAATTCAAAACTTTCGTAGATAAAGGTGGCGTCAATCTTGGTTATCATTCAGGAGAAGTTATCCCAGTTGCTAACTTCAGTGAGCATTGTAGAATACTTGCAGCTGACTCGAATTATAACTATTCTCAAGAATACTCACAAATACCACGCAAGAACGCCAGCCACACCATGCACCATGCTCAAAATCAGGAAAATCGTGAATGTAACCGTTATAACAACATTCTGTGTTACGATGTCACTCGTGTTGTTTTGGAAACTGATCCTGAAGGCAAGGATTATATCAATGCAAGTTTCTTGCAAGGTTTTGAAAAGGAAAAAGCGTATATTGCCTCACAAGGGCCATTGGAAAATACATGCGAAGACTTTTGGAGAATGGTTTGGGAGAACTTCACCAGTACAATAGTAATGGTGAGTGGAAACACGCCAAACACGTGTCTGTGTCCCGTTAACCAGAACTCTTTGGGATGAGAACATTTTGTATATGAAAATAACGTGGTGTATTAAAGTATTGAGAGGTCTTCTCTGTAGCGTGCTCTTCTTTTTTAATAGGTAACTGGTTTGGAAGAAGGTCGTAAAATCAAATGTCACCAATACTGGCCATCGTCTGAAAGTATGGAATATGGGCAATTTGTGGTTACCCTAGTGGAGGAGATTGAACTGACTGACTATACCATCAGAAAATTCACACTTAATTCACGAGGTAAACCGCAATTTAATATGTATATAATGCGTGACGATTTGTCGATATTTTCCATTCAGCGCTGCTAACATCATGACGAAGCCCACTGGTTCAACAATCATGACATGCTATATTGTGAATCATATTTTAAATAATCTTTTTACTAAAGGTGAACGCCAAGAACGTTCGATCAAACAATTTCATTACACTGCCTGGCCTGATCATGGAGTACCGAGCAGTCCCAGCTCTTTATTGAATTTCGTACGCAAATCATCCGCCGCAAATCCCCCAAATGCAGGACCAATGGTGAGTTCATTTCCCCCCCCCCAAATCTACGTTTCGTTTGAAACATTGTAATCTTAGGCGGCTGTATATATAAGTAAATTTATATTAGTAGGAAGTAGATTTATCTAACATTTTCCTTTGAAAGGTTGTCCATTGCAGTGCAGGTGTGGGTCGTACTGGAACCTACATTGTAATTGACACTCAGTTAAAACGTATTGCGAAGCACAAGACTATTGATGTCTATGGAAACGTTCAAGCGTTGCGAAATCAACGTTTGATGATGGTTCAAGTGGAAGATCAGTACATATTCATTCACAATGTACTACTTGAAGCCATTAATAGCGGTGAAACTGAAATTCAGGTTGAGGATTTCCCTGAAACAATGAAACAAATGATGAATGTGAATCCTGAAACAGGTACACTGCATGTCATTGTAAAAAAGTAGAGCAGAGTAAGGGAGTGGACGTGGAGTGGAGAGGAGTGGAGTAGAGTGGAGTGAAGTGAAGTGGAGTGGGGTGGAGTGGAGTGGAGTGGAGTGGAGCGGAGCGGAGCGGAGCGGAGCGGAGCGGAGCGGAGCGGAGCGGAGCGGAGCGGAGCGGAGCGGAGTGGAGTGGAGTGAAGCGGAAGATTCTTCGAAATGTCGAAGAGTTTTTTTGCTATATTAGACAGTTGTTCTGCGATGATTAGTAATGTTCGTCTCAGAAAGTACATAACCAACATGTTATTACCTCATTCTTGCAGGAGTTCCTCGCGTCGAAGAAGAGTTTCAAAGTCTGGGACGAGCTGTGATCCCACCAGTGCAGTTTAAAGCGGCCAATATGAACTGCAATAAACAAAAAAATCGATATGCAAACGTTTTGCCGTATGACGATTCCAGAGTTAAATTATGTCTAATTCCTGGTGTTGAAGGCTCCGACTATATCAATGCCAACTTCATTGATGGCTATATGAAGAAAAAAGCTTTCATTGCCACGCAAGCACCTATCCCGGATACCATTTCCGATTTTTGGAGAATGGTTTGGCAGGAATCGTCTCTAACAATTGTCATGTTGTCAAATGAAATGGAAAGTGGACGAGTAAGTTTGATAATTTTGCGTAGTTTTTTATTTCTCCGTTATTTACCTGTTCGTACCGCAATAATAATTCACATTTATTTCATGTCGGTTATAAATATGGAGGCTTGGAAATGGTGCTTTTCATCTCATTCTTTAGAAGTGTGAAACTACTATTTGTGCTTTGATTCGTCTATGTTCCATGCAGTAGAAACAAAAGCTAGCACAATATAAAAAGCAACGTATCCACATTACCCGTTGCCATTTTTTGCGCTGAATCCGTTAATGATTTTACCGTTTGTTGACATTTTATTAGATCAAAGTGCACAGATATTGGCCTAACAAAGCTCCAGCGGTTATTGGTGATCTCATGGTTGAGCTGATGGGAGAACAGAAATACGAAGAGTACATCTTGCGAGAGTTCAAACTGACAAATACAAAGGTAATTCTAATTTCGTGTGAAGTATCTTTTAGAAATAGTAAAGTTGTCGTTATCACGCTACCTGAGAGTATAAACATCAAAGACAACGTGAAATTGGCGAATAAATGGCGTGATGTGCGTAAATATGGACGCGCGACGCCATTTACAACGTCTTTGACGTTTTCGTTCCCTTGCTAAATCTCTTTTTCCTGTGTCCTGGTGCCAAACTATCCTGGTGATTTGATCTTCTTTTTTGATCTGCATGCATTATTCACAAGATTATACTAAATATTTTGCAACTCTAGCTTCATGTAGTACCATATCGCTAGTTTATTTACAAACATTTGACTGGTTTAGGAGAAAGCCTCTCATGTGATTCGTCAGTATAACTACACCACATGGCCGGATGTTGGTTCACCAGCGTCGTCTGCTGGTATGATAGATCTTATTGGTCAAGTTCAGAGATGGCAACAACAGTCTGGAAACAAAATCATCACTGTACATTGCAGGTATGGAAAAATAATCAAATAACGGTCTTTGATATAACTTTGGTTTTATACGTCAAGATGTTGGATTAGGAGAATGTCTGCATATCAAATATGGATATATATCGCTGTATAGATAACGCCACTGATTTCCCGCGGTGTGATAACTGCCTGTTACAGCTTCCATGACAGGGAATGTCATTGATTAATGTTTTTTTTCAATTTTAGTGCTGGTGTTGGCCGCACTGGTGTTTTCTGTGCTCTTTCAAACCTCATCGAGCGTTTGAAAACCGAACACGTGATTGATGTATTCCAAACGGTGAAAACGTTACGTCTGAAGAGACCAGCAATGGTACAAACAAAGGTATGTTGATTCCTAACGTTTACCAAATTTTGTTCTGTTTAACACTCGTGTTAGACATAAATTAGATGACATGTCTTTATAAACGTCATAAAATGAAAACTTTGCCTCCTCGTTCCGGAAAAGTAGCATCTAATTATTTTCGGTCGTCAAGTTTACGGTTTAAATTTGGAAAAATCCTGTAAGCAACTGAACCTTGCCAGCGATTATCTTATCCGCTTTTAATTATTTCTATAAGTAATTTCTGTGTAGTCCGTGTAGAGACTGGAAAAAGGTATTTTAAACCGTAAAGATGAGGTAAACTGTTGTTTAAACGACTTGCATGGCGGTGATCATCACTGTATCATGCATAATTAATGTATACTGGAATATATATATTTCACTACGATTTGATATGTCTTGTTGTAGGGATTGACAAAAGTGCCCAAATATATCAATTGCACAACGTGTTGGGGGATAAAACCCTCCCCCCTTCGCTGCCATTTTTTAAACGAGACCGATTGCATAAATGGCAACATTTTTACCGCCACCAAAGACGGAGATTATCATTTATCGATCTGTCTAGACCACTGGTGGTCAAAGTGTTAATAACGTTCAACTATGGTCATTAACAAGGCAATAATTGCATAAAATTTTAAGGTTCTTCAAAACTGTCATCACTCTCTTCATAGTCACAATTGTAAACGCGGAGAGTTATAAAAACCTAACTCTCGTAGTGTTTTCATATTTTCATTGTGTTAGAGACAGAGTTACGTGAAATATAACTCTCTTATATCAGTGATAGGAAACATTAGAAGGATCAAGAAATTGGGCGTGGTCAATAGGGAAAATGGGCATTTTTTAAAAATACTGGCTTAAAAATACACTGTACCTTCACGAACATGTCTGTAAGAAAGATATGCTGTAAATGTGTCATCATCCATAATAATCATAGTTCTTTCCCTGGCACGTGTTTCTGACGCCTTTAAAAAATAAAGGCTACAAAATCTTTGATTGGTATAAAGCGTATTTAAAATAGCGTGGTTAAAAACGTTATAAAATTTTCGTCTTTGAACGAAGCCGATGTCCTATTGAAGAGGGGGGAAATTAAAATTTGACAAACCCAAATAGATAGAAAATCATTGCTATTAAGCTTTTCCTTAGTACCGCGTATATTCCTATGTTATAGTTACTGAAACAATAGTTGCAGTTAGTTAAGACGAATATAAAGTTCAAGTATACTTAATAAAATCCTAAATTCTTGTTTTTCATAGGAACAATACGAGTTCTGTTATCAAACTATCCAAGAATATTTGGACTCGTTTGAACTGTATGATAATTTTAATGTGGGTTAGACTCATTTAGAGGTAGTGTTGGACCTATTTTATCTGATAATTATTGAATTCATCCGCGAAGCTTCTAATCAAAATTAATGAGAAAATGAATAAAAAGCACATGGGAGATATTTAGGAATATGAAATAAGAAATTGATAAAGTTTAGCTAGTAAGAACGAAATGGATTTGTATTCTAATTACGGAAGAAACTCTGCATAATCAAAATTTAATTTATGAAGCTCTTACACAATTAGCAAGCATGTCTAAAGAGATTGTACGCAATATATAAGCAGTATTTTGTAATCAAACTTTTGTAATTTAACATAACGCATTTTTATACTTGTAAAACTCAATAAATCGTATTTTTCATATCATTTTCAACAAAGCCGGGTATACGATGGTGCTCTTTTAATAATCACCACACAAAGATTACACTCACGACTCAACGTTTGGACCTGTACACTGTGCAGTCTAGTGTCTCCATCAGGATTGATCTGATGTTCAGTGACACGTTGCTCCTTACATACTCTCAACATGATTTTTTGGCAAAACTACTACAACTTCAGCTATACATAATATTGTAGATAAGGTTTATTTTTCGATCTAACGTTTATATGGTCTTACTCTCCCCAACAACAGCTGCATGATATATAAATTTCAGTTGTGGAACATATATTAATACATTATACTACTCTCGTACACAATGTACGATCGAATTGAATTGGAATGTCAAGTTTGAAAAATACAGTAGTTTTTATTTCCAACCTCTCGATTTTATGCCTTTTCTCTACTACGCATATCATGCAATACTCTGAAATTTCTGTTCGATATCCATTAATATTTCAAGACGTTTACTTCTTCAATTTAATAAGTTTATTCCGTATTTTATTCATATATACTTTCTGTGCATGACTAAATTGAAACTCATCAAAATCAAAGCCATGTTGAAATATTAATATACTTTGCATGGATCAACATGGTTTTGATTAAATTTGAGATATTTGGGACAGTTTATTGTTTCACTCCGTGCAGCTGCAGTCTCTAATCCTCAACCAATTTGATGAGTTTTGTTCATTCAGTGACCTAGGTAACTTGTCTTGCACAACACAAAAAAACAGCACACGAAGTCTTGTAATGTGGAACTCGTAAACAGTAAATAATTGCATCAGTACATAAATTTAGGTTAAGAAAAACCCAAAAAATCATTCCCAATTCATCGCCGTTTCTAAAAAGGTTATAATCGATGTCTTCAGAGAGATTTTTATATTGATGAACGGTAAAGGGCGCACAAGTCATTAGAGAAACTAAAACTATTCCAGCTGATGTAACGAGAAAATTTTTTTGTTGAAGGATTCGTTTCTGTTTCAAAGCTGTATTTCCTGTCGGGTTGCTCCCAATACCACTAAGTAATTGTCGTTTAAGGGAAAAATATGCAAACATGTAGGACGTTGGGAGCGTTATCAGAAGAAGACCATTGATAGCAGTAACTGCATGAAACACTTGATGGTGTTTAGGTATTGTGTACAACCCAATCGTTAGTGATGTACAAAGAAACCATGTCAATCCAATAGTCCAAACGATCACCTGGTTTGTTATCATTATTTTAAATTTGAGAGGAGTTGCTATTGCTCCTAAATGTTCCATAGATACAAGAAACACGGTCGTATATGAAACAAGCAACACAGCGTATCCTGCAGCAGTCAGAAGTTTTTGTAGAGTGTGAGTAATCTCATCGCTTCTAACCTCCTCAACAAAATATCGGTAAGAGATGCGTGTTATATTCACCAGAGCTGCAATAAAATCTGCAACAATCAAATTATTAATGAGAAATGTAGGACGTTTCCTTAAGCACTTCTTTGGATCTTTCCAAATAACAAACAATAGAAAACCGTTCACCAGTAAAGCCACCACGCACAATGTACAGAAAAATGATACCGAAATTGTCCATTTTGATAGCAAACGGTAAAAATTTAAACTTGTACCGTTCGAAATACTTCCTGATATATTGCTTGGCATAGCGCTATAGTTCTCGGTTGAGAAAACATAAATTTGTCAGCTATTCATGTATACATTGCCATATGGTTTCATCATCGTCATTCATCAAAATTGTCATTTTTTACAGACAGCGCGATTGACGGCTGATAGCTACGGGTTTTATTAAATAATTATGCTCATGCATGATTCTTTAACTAAACTTTTAGTTAGTATACTCTCGCCATGTTTGCTTGTAGCTGGCTTTTAAACAAAATTCACTGTTCGATTTTCTTTCTAATTCTGATCAGTCGAGGTGAACCGATTGGATATAGCCTGCATGGCTAGTTTCGGTTGCCCTTGCAAAGTAAAGCTGCACACGAGTTTCTGTATTGAGGGATTCTTAGGCAATAAAGAAAAGGATCCAAGAATACATTTAAATGAATGGTCATCCACAAAAAGAAACCTAACTTGTCCTTTTCTTCACGCATGTTGTAGCCCTCATTTTCTGATGTTTTCAAATAGTGATGAAAGGTAAAAGGTGCACAAGTCAACAAATATGTCAGCACAAGAAGAGCTGACGTTAAGAGAAAGTTTCTTTGTTGTAAAATTCTGTTTTGCTTGCGAGATTTGTCCAAACAACTGCCTGCTGTTTTTATTGCTTTCGATTGTTGTCTTAGTGAGCAGAAAGCTCGCACGTACATCGTTGGTAGGGCCAGAAACAGTAAAACACAACATGCTGTTATCCCGTGATAGAGTCCGTTATTTCCAGGTAAACGAAACAATATAAACAGAAAAGTTGTACAACCCAACCAAGTTGAAATAATGACCAGCGACACATGTTTCCTTGTGACGAGAACTTGAAACTTGATGGGGTGTATAATGGCAACAAAAATGTTCAATCGATATGAGGAAAATCGTGAGAAATGATATCATCAACGCATCATAGGTGCCAATCAGTGTAACAATTTTTACCAGCCTTGGAATGTATCTTTCTAACCAAATATTGTAAGTAAAGTGGGTAATATTAATGACTGCAGTAAAAAGATCGGAGATTATTAAACTGGTAACGAGCATGGCAGATCTCGTTCTCAAACATTTCTTAGGATCTTTCACGATCACCACAAATACAAAACAATTCATAACCAAACCAAGAACACAAACAGAGATGTGTAAAATTGTTGGGACATCGGCGACAAATTGACCTATCATTTTTTTGTACTCGTCGTTGATATGGACGCGTTCATATGTTTATATTTAGGCTATATCTGTATTAATATAGGTAGCTAGCTCTGTTTATATACATAGATTAATATATTTCATCTTCATTCATTATTAAATGAGTTTTAGCTCAACTTAATGGAAAAAAAATGAAACTGCAATTGACTATTCCATATTTGGGTATATACAAACGCTGCAGCTAAATCAGTAAATATAATATGGATGAATAATAGTATAACATAACTCATAAGACTGATAAAGTGAAATGTTAAAAAATCTGTTTGTGGGCAATTTGAAAAGAATTCCCGCAAGCAATATTGCTGTATATCATGAAATTCTGCCTGCTTGGATTTCGCAGGTGTTTTCCATAATTCAGCAACAGCAAATTACAATTTAATTTTATTTTGTCATTGTCAGCCAAAATGGCGGGGTCCAGTTTACTGTAAAATATAGAGTTCAACTGCATGCAGCACAGAAATTATAAATAGCACGTGTTATTTGTAATCTCTATGATGCAGCATGCATACGTCAGCATATGACGTCAGCTATTAACTTGTTTATACCAAAATTTAGAGCATAAATCATGAACATTGACATTAGAGACACTTTGAATATTGTTGTAAGTGGATAATAATTGAGCCGCAATCTCTACGCATTATTAAGTATCTCCAAACACGTGTCAGTTTGTACACCCTTGTCACGTTTTGAGATATCAGACATTGCTATGCTCTCTCTTTTTAAGAATGTCATATCCAACATAGAAGTTGAAAGTTGCAACGAGTTCAGTGATGTTGACTGTTTCCTTAACGTAAATTCCCAAGCTCGTTCACGTAATACCCTTTGATTATTCAAATCTTTGCGGAACAACAGCACGTATATCTTTGAAGAGAACATAAGATGCAACAAAAATGAGTAGGAAATTAAGATTGTTAAAGAGTCGACTATGCTGCCATATTGCCCGTAAAACCGACCAATTATACCCATCAGCCAAGTCAGTTTAAACGTCAGCAGAGCAAATAGAGTATGTCTTGAATTATTGTAACTCCCGGGTATCCGGCGGGAACTCAATGCTATAGCTATGCACCAAGTATTTAAGAACATTAGTAGAAATTTGCTGAGGAGAAAATAAACGATGGAATTGAAGTCGCAAAGAAGGTGACATTTTTCTTGTAACGCTACCACTTTTGCTGATGGTGAACGGCCGCTTAGCCAAAGAAGGCATACCATCAGTTGCGTTGATGTTGACAGCAAAACCAACGTAAATTGAACGCTCCTTCGCACCAGGACGTTTTGAATATTCGCCGCAGATTTACTGCTAAATATAATAGCTGTTCGTTTTGTTTTTGCTATAATTATTGATAGCGTTAGCGAGTAGACGACCGCGGGAAGTACATCTTGCAATCGACATCGAAAGTCCGTTGGTTCTCCTGGATACATGAGAGGTAACGACAAACCAATCGTTATGGAGAGCAGAAGAAATAGGCTGAATTCACAATCATATGCACGAACGACCGGCGTACTTCTGTAATAACAAAAAATCAAGAAAAATGTTAATGAGGTGAGCGTTGATATCACCGATAACATCGAGATTACAATTGCCCAAGGATTATTCCATCGCATAAAAATGTAAGAAATTATTTCACATCCTGTTTGATTCTGATTCGGTTTACTTCCTGAAGTGCACGCTCTGCAGTTAACTGAATTGCTTTCATTACTAAATGTCCCAAATGGGCATTTTATACATTTCCAGCAACACGATGCCATTACGTTAATAACTCTGTGCATTCCTTTAGGACACGGATTGCTGCATCTTGATATCGGTGGTATGTTCCCACTCCAGTTAAATTTGTTAAAATACAACGTCAGATTGTCACTAGAACCATTGTATGCTCCAACTAGTACGTGTTTGCTTGCGTCGCTTTTAAAATGTTGAAATGAATAAATATCAATTGTGTTGTTCACGGAATCACCATATTTATCTAGAAAGACATCCTGTTCAGTTATACCTTTGAAATTGGTGTTTTTAAGGTACGGAAGAATCGAACTTGGCTTGATTTTCTTCTGGCAATTAGTCGTTGAATTTATAAATCTTTCTGCACAGAAGATATTAATGGCATCGACAACAGCTAGGACTGCATTGATTACGTATGGTGCTTTAGCCAAAAGTTGAAAGTTAAACTTGTTATCATGTTTAATATCCTCAATATTATCTTTAGTTTTTATATCCTGCAATATCTTCGCTTCAGCAATGTTATCTCTCCATATGCTTACTCTGGTAGTAAAATAAGAATCAAATTTTGGCACATCGATAATTTTGTCTATCACTCCAATTGAGCTATCAAGGAATTGTGCATTTTTTTCACTAAATATCTCGGGTACATTGTACCAAGTTGCTGTGAAAACCCAGACTTTCTTTGAAATGTTATTCAACTTGGCCATTTCAATCAAACGTTCCGAGTTGATACCACTTAGAAACACCACAACGATACCAGCTGTGTCATGCTTTTTCCATTTCTCAACAACATCAGCCAACATTTCATCTGTGACATGGTTAGGAAGCATTGATATTTCTGCAAAGCAGATTGAATTCTCTTCAGAGTGACGAAGTAACGAGGTGTACAATGGCCTTCCATAGTTGTCATCTGTATACACAAGCATTGCATATGTCCACTCAAATTTCTTAAGAATATTTGCAATTACCTTGGCCTGTGAAATGTCGGTTGGAACTGTTCGAGAGAAGGTTGGAAATCTGTACTTGTTGCTTAATATCTTAGATGTGGAGGCATAACCAACTTGTGGAATATTATAGGTACTCAGTATATCATTGACTGTGATAGACAATTCACTCTTTCCCGCTCCAATGACAGCAATGTGTTTGCTGGTCTTTCTTTTCGCCAACACAGACTCATCTTTTACAAGCTGAAGTACATCCAAGGCTACTTCAACTGATTTATCAACTCTGCTGCAAGTATCATAAACATCGTAACCCAAAGTCATTCCTTTTAAGATGCCTTCGTCATTTACCTTTTTCACAGCGTAACGAAATGCTTCGAAGAGGGAGATCCCAAGAGGAAAGTAAGCACAATTCTGCTCACCCATCATTGTTACATTCTCTCTAACGGTTATTGGAAACATGGCAGAGATGATTATATCCCCCTTAATCTTCTCGAAGACTTGATTTGTGTAATTGCAATAAGCAATCACAAATAAGGACGAAAACAAAACGAATATTATTCGTTTATCACTAGACATACTCGCGAAACAGTGGTAGAGCCTACTGTAAGCTAGATCACTTGAAGAAACCAAAAAGAACAATTCCTTTCTTCTTCCTCTGTTAAAACAACAAAGTACAAAGCTTTGTTTTCGATATTTGTGCAATTTACATAGCCTTCTGTCAAGAAAGATAGTTCGCTAAACATTTCATGCTTTCTTTGCTTCTTTAAATTCTTGCCTTGAATTCCAATATCAGTTGAGCGGTGCTATGAACAACCAGACAGCAAATTTAATTGAATTTTGAAACTGTTGCATGGCTAATCTGACTATATTAGCAGCCTAAAGCCTTGACGCCAAAACAGTACAGAAATAATTAAATAATCATCCCATATTAAAATGCAATATCATCAAAGAAGACAACTTACAACCGGTGCAGTAATTTAACATGCGCCTCACCGTTTACAAATGCAGATTAATTATACACTAGGAAAACAACTTAAAATTAAAATTGATTGGCCGACAATCGTCAGCAGTCCTTTCGACGCCTATATTTTAAATAATCCTACTGTTGTTCAATCACCGCTTAAAAGATACGTCACGATTACTAATCTTAATATTATAATTCCAATCTCTCTTTTATTTCTAAAAATTGATTTTGTCGTGTTCCAAATGGGTTCTGTCAACAACCTATGCCGTTTCATTACCCAAATCATAATTGTCTAACGAAAAAGCAGCCTAAACTTTCTCTGCATTCACCTAGTGTTACCGAACGCCAATGGCACGTGATCTTAGAATGTAACGCTATTGGATATAGATTTAGTAGCCATAGACGCTATTTTTTTAAGTTATTGTCAACCACATTATATTCGCAGGTTTTACTGAAATTGCAATTCTGCAATTTACGGTGAATCAAAATTTATCGAGAGTTCTCAAAGATTTAAATAAGATATACCTATGTGATGTTCACTTTACCTTCAATCACCTTTAACCATCACTTTCATCTTTTCTTCTACAAAACTGTGAGTCTGTGTAAACTGCAGTGGAAAAGTAACGAATCTTCTTGATCTGGACATAGCACGTACATATGACTAATGCAAACACATTGTTTAATTTTTTCAGCTTTGCAACGAAGGTTTTTTTCTTTGTTACATACAAACTAATTAGCCATTCTGTTGCTTCGTTTATTCAGCTGCAAAACGTTCTCTTTTTCACATTACCTCAGTTAGGTAATGCAAAAAAATATGATTTTTGTGAAAATAAATTAGATACCGTATCGTATTTCGTTTTTAATTCTCTTTACAGTCCTGCATCGTTTATATATATTTTGTGCTGCTTCACCTGCGCATGATTATACTTTGGATACATGGCTGCTCCACCAAATCACTACACTCGGTCTTTATTGCATGGTCGCCATTTATTAGTTTGTCTTTAGTCATGAAGTTCAATATATGTTTAGAGCCTAAATTAACACCTACCTTTTGATATCTATATACTATTAACCTAATTTTATTTCTAAGGATCTGTTCATTACCGCATTTTCTAAAGGCAGCTTGCAAATTGGTCAATTACTAAGATTAGACCTCCTGTTGCTGTTGTGGCAGTTCATTGCTAAAGGCGCTGTTACACTATATGCAATTTTCTTTACAACTTGCAATGCAATTATACAATTTTGAGGGATGTTAATTTGTAAAGAGTGTAATTCGAAATGCTAAGAAAATGTTTGAGAAAACGTTAGCGGATCGTAATAAATGTTCGTAACTGAAAATTTTAGATGCCCTAATAATTCTATAGTCAGACAATAGAGTTGCAAGGAAAGTTGCCTAGCTTAACACCGCCTTAGACTTAGTATAATGGATTATGCATGGTAATAAAAAATTCTTATATAGATTCTTCTATAATAACTTCTTTATGTTATGGATCATGGATGTCTGCGTGCGGTGTTGAAGCACTTTTTTCTTCAACAGGATACTACATGACTACAAAGATTATATAGTCTACAAACACAAAAATATATTTATCTTGACCCGGCTATTCACCGCGGTCCAAAACTTTTAGTTTATGTGCGTTTTTTTGTGGAATCGTCTTTTGAAATATAAGTGGCCGCGTGTATTACATATGTTGTCTGTGTCTCCTGGTGAGGATATTTATATAACATACACTAAATAATCATTTGATTTGACACAAGTTACAACCATGATGTGCACACAGCTATTTAACATCTGTTCATACCGCTGCTTCGGAAGCACCTTATGCCCTTATGACTCTTTCATTGGATTAATCAGCAAAGTATATATCCCCGAGCTTTGTATTACACATGCCCAAATATACAATGCAAATAATTATATCAAAAAACTTGAAAGGCTCGTTCTATACATATTTAGTATAATTTCAGTATTGAAAAATGGCCTTTGAGCATTCTGATTGGCTCCCTCAGCAGTAACTCTGAGGCAATAGTTACTGCTCAGAGCAGTCTGAGCAGTAACTATTGCTTTTCCCCAAAAAAACATGGCTGAAAATACTCAAAATCAAAATTATATTCATAAAATAAACACGTGTATCAGTTGTATTTATAAATAAAACTTTTTCAATACTGAAATTATACTAAAACAATTAGTCGCCTCAGGCTCGGTGATTACAAGCCTATATTCACTTCGCCTTCGGCTCAGTGAATATAGGCTTGTAATCACCTCGCCTTCGGCGACTAATTGTTAAGTATAACCATTTGTGCAGAAGTCACTTCAGGAAGTTCCCATGCAAAGAGGTATTTATTAATGATCTTTGTAACCTTTTCATAAATTACTCGTGAAACCAATGACACTAGAAATATTTATTTAATATAAATGGGAGTTATGAGACGTCCAAATATGTCCAAATGCCGGACGTTTGGCTCCATAGCAACAAATCTTAACGCAAACAGGTGCAAAAGGTCAAATCTAACGAATACGAAATTTGCTTGCTGCATGGCCTTAATCGTATTATTCAATTGTGCTTTTCATCGTTTCTCATAATTACTCAATAAATCATAATACTGGAGGCTATATTGATGCAGTCCATATCATCAAGCCGGTCAAAAGAGGAGAAAGCTTCAAATAATCTACGAAAGAAATCCAGTATTTCTTTAGGAGACTACACACAGAATACTCAGTCAAATATGATCAACGTACGAGGTCCTTTATTCATGACACCATTGTCCCAGAAAGTACAGTCGAATCGTGGAGGAGAAAATACGAAAATTTTATACGAAAACACGTACAAGATGGCTCCGAATACCGCTTTTCCCGCTAACAAAATCAAAGAAGTTGTCGAGGGAATATTGGGACGTGAGTTGAAGGATATTCCGTACGAAGCTGAAAACTGTCGTCAGCTGACAAGTCGCATTTCAGACATTATCAAGAGAGAGGTGAAAGACTTGGATCTAGACAGATATAAACTGGTTTGTATTGTGCACATTGGACAACGAGGTAACCAAGAGATCAAGGTTGGTAGTCGATGTCTGTGGGACGTGAGGTTAGACACGTTTATATCAGCGGAATATAAAAATACTTCACTGTTTGCCATTGCTACTGTCTTTGGAATTTACTTTGAATAAAATAATTGATAATCCAATCATCAGTTACCTTCACATGAACATGTCATAAACTCGCCACCCGGCCATTAGAGACCAATTTATAACTCTTGCAATTAACAGCTATATGTGCACGAATCCATTGATGAGTTATTACGAACTTGTTTGTGCGAATATAGATTGTCAAAGCGCTTGTCGCTTGGTTATATATTCTACGAAAACTTTAAAATATGAGAAATTATTATGGGAGTTACATTCGTCTTTTATTATCTGTTTTAAATGTTAATGTAGAACAATTAAAATGTAAGATTTTTCCTATTGGATCATGTCTAGATTTTTAATAGTATATTGCAAAATAAATGTAGCATAAACGCTATGCTTTTGAGAATGTAGCTTTATTAAACCACTCAGTCAAATATATAGCTCAGTCCTGTACCCAGCAAGAGCAACACTATTACTCACTATATATATATATACGTTTTACGACAAATATACTTCAAGGCGTAAACTTCTTCTTTTACTTAACTTCATCAATCCATGTAAACAACATACAAGTTGATTATGATTAAACACACATTACAAACATGAGATCAGAGACTTCCTAGCATGTCTGAGTGGCAGAAAGAACCTCTTCTTGTGTGACTCAGTTTAACTTTGTGGTTCTTTCCTCGGAACAGGAATATTTCCAAATTAAATTTCTGCTGCTTATGCGACCCACTGAAGAGCATTCCGTTGCGAGGAAACTCCGGTGTGTAAATGTAGCTTAAAATGTCCATCAGTTTTTATATAGCTAATGGTTTATACTTTTCATGGTGCATACCATGTCATACTTCTATGCAAAATTATGATTCGTTCGCGCAAAGTGTACTGACGAATATTCCACATATAGCTAACCGCTCAAAAATAACTATTTCAAGTCTTTCCCGTGTAAGCCGATATTCTACGAAGAATAACGATTTTTTGCCATATTTGTATGAGGAATTTGAGCCACCCAAAATATAGTATATTGTCGTATGAATTATCTCCGTTTCCCACGGAAAATTAATTGTTCACAATCTGGGGTGTATTCAGGTATACTGTAAGTGTAAGTGTACCGGGCGCCTGTAAGTATATAATTGTATTAAGATCGATGGATACGAGATTAAAGAATCTATCTTAATCTGAGAGGACTGGGACATATAACAAAGAGAACATAAGCAAGCATCGTTGTCGACATTGAGACGTGATTCGTTGAAAAAAATACTTTTAGTTATACATTACTCATTATAATAGTCTCATATAAGCTCGCTAACAATAATCCATGCAGTTTACGGTTAGTCAATGCATGCACGTTATACGTTGAAAATATACTGAAAAAAACAAAACTAAGTCAACTGCAAAATGTTCATGGTTTACTGTTAACGACCATCTGATCCTGACCATAAGCACCAGGATGAACATACGGCGGTGGTGGTTGATGGCTACGAGCATGTTGTACTGGTCTGTTCGCCATTGTTATAAATGTAGTTGGTTGGCCTGTTCGAACTGTCACCGTTTGTGTCTATATATATTTACACAGAATACAGAAATAGAATGGAAACATAAATAGATTGATGAAAACAGTATGAATGTACATCTAAATAAAGAAGTAGTTAGACTTCTCGGAAAAATCTAGTCCGATCAACTATGGACGTAATTATGGTTATAACGTTAAAATAATAATTACCCGTGGTGCACAGCAAGTTCCATAACAACCGTATATTGAACCAATCAAACTCACGATGACAATAATGGCAAAGATTATAGTCACAGCACCGTTAGCTCCACGTACTGTCTTCAGATCAGAACAGCTTGCTTCGTCTAAAAACCAGTTAACCATGCATTTATTACAATAGCCCTAACCAAAGTCTGTTGCATGAGTCATAGATAATGCTCACGTTGAGTCAAAACTGAACGTACGTTTGAATAACGGATATTTTCAAAGGAAATATCTCCTTCCAAAACCGGCCGTAATCTCTCATGTTAAATTAAAATCTACTATGAAACTATGAAACTTACATCCGAAATTTTGTTTTCTGTATCTGCAATAACAATGAGAATCAATGTTTTCCGTGCAAGTTGATGCAAGGACGCTCCAAAACGAGGCCGATATAATCACTCCCACGATTGCAAGTATCACCCCCACGATATGTGTACCAAGTGCAGCCACTAGCTTTTTATGTAAATAAATGCATAATATTAATCGGCTGATCGACCGATTAAGACCGGTGACAGGAACATGCGTGGAACAATTTGTAAAAGCAGTCTTAGCAATTGATCTAAATAGTTATATCAGAAAATATAAAAGACATGATATGTTTCATGGTAACGGAATAAAGAGATCTCTTAAAATAAACCTAAGCCGATATCTCAATCTCAAAGGGGAAGCAAAGGGGAGTATGATATGGCTAGCTTCAGCGATGATAGCCTGTTAATTTAAATAATTTCCCACAAAAAGTTCAAAGCTTGTCATTCGTATGTTAAAAATACTTTGTTTTCTTACCAAACCAAGGATTTTTTTGTATCCAGCGACAATACTAAGTACAGCAGGAACTACAAACTATGTAAAGTAGAAAAATGTTGCTCATTAGACTGAAGATTGCATGTAACACTTTTTTTTTAATTATTCTATATATTTTGAATGTTAGATATAATACCAGACCAAAAATTTATCAGATTATTAAATCTATATAGACAAAATTTTACGCTCGCGGCAATGACAAGCAGCCAATTCCAATAACTATTATAGCACAAACTTTTCCAATAGTAGTTGTTCGTCTCAATATGAAAAAGTTATCACAAGGAAATGTGCATAATGCAATGGTTAATTGCCTTAAATATGAACCAATTGATTGTCGGAAAAGTGCCATGCCGTACACGTACTTTAAAACATTCGCAGGAATACATTTGCCAGGACATGAAGCATTTGCAAATCTTTACACAATTACACTCACATAAAGCGCCCACAAACCAATACTGACATCCAGTGCTGGGCTTGTCATCTTGCTCATCGCCACTATCCCACAAATCACAGAGATTAACGTCAAAGCCAACAACGATAATCCAATTGAAATAGAACCAATGCTGACACTATTTCGCATAGCCATGTCTTATTTCGCTTTGAAACTAACTCCGAAACTGTTTTTCTTCGAGTCCAAAAGAATTCAATATAAACCGGTTCAGACGGATGCAAAACATAATACACGGCCTTTTTTGCAAAACATGACTTATATATTGTGACGTCAAGGTGACGCTGAACCTCTCGGAAATGTTATTGGCTAAAGGTCGGCCTCCACTTGTGCAAGTGCGGTCGATTATTAGTGCGGTCGATTTGGCACACGCTCGGTGACTCTGGTCGCTATTAAGCCGACCGTCACAGCTAGTTTTTTGTATATGACAGTAGAAATGTGTAGTCTACTTTCAAGGCGGCCGTCAACACGCAAGCCGTACGTGCGATTTCAGCGCGTACGTGCGTGCAAGTGGAGGCTTGCCTCAGGTGACCCAGTGGCACCTCCTAATAATCGGCCTCTCGGTCAGTTTCGCATCTGAATCCTCTGCAATGATAGAGAACGGTGAGCTGAGTCTAAATGAGTCGCATTCCAGGCTTTTCAATTTCCAAGATCCAACTGATAGCTTTTAGGAAAAAAGACCCGACTCTCTTCTAGCGAGCTCTATCTCTTTCTTCTGATGAAAGACCCTGGGTATCAGATCTCATCTGCGCATGTCACAGACTCACAGCGGGACACAGTCATATATAGCTCAGTGGACACAGCGGCACCGCCAGTCACAGACAGGTAGTGGTCACAGGTCAATAGACTAAGTTGTATCTTGTTTGTATGAAAAATATGATGTATGATTGATCGGGCAGCAAGTAAAATATGACGAGTCAAGGAGGTATGTACCAGTTGTACCTTAATTATAATGTTCTGCTCTAAAGTTTTAAAACGATTGTTTGACATGTTAGGGGCAGCGTCAAGCGAAGCCATAAGTCTTTATATTATTCAAGTGCCGTATAAAGTCTTTGGGCTTTGGCCCTTCATTACAGACTGTTTAACTTTTTATGAAGTAATGATTATGTGATATGCAGGACTAAGTTAGAACTTCAACCTAATGTGTAATTCAAACAAATTGATCAATCCTAAAAAGTTTTCAAGATGCCATTATGTGTGGTTCTGGTTTGTTGGGTCCCCCCCCCTATTTTGCAACTTTGCCAGAAAAATACTTACATAATATGAAGAAACAAACTTTAGTACAAACGGGTATTATTGTACATCAGAATTAATCCTGTCCTTAAAATTGCAGAATTAAATAATAGAAATAAAATACTTCAAGAACTGAATGAAAAGAAAAAACAGCTTGGGCAGCAGACAAGGTGAATGTATGTTATTGGAATGGTGCTATCGCAACTACCAGTGCCCTCTACATCTTGAGAATTTTCCAACTGGTAGACCCTAAATGGCTTTTTCCATATTTCCAGAATCTTCCAGATTTATTGTTTTTAGAACATTTTCATTGTTTATTGTAGTGTGACAACTGTCCAGTCATTACCAAGCCATCCACCAAAAGTACATGAGGTACCTACAAACATATTAAATGCAGTGTATCACATAATCACTAAGTCTAATTCACCCAATTGAAATTTTACCTGTTCTTTTTCAACTCATGTTATTTTCTGATTTTAACTTACTCTCTTATTCACATGCTTATAATCATGATCACATGATGACTGCTTGAAGACAACAAACATAGAAATTGTTTTAATTTTCAGAGTCCTCGCCATACCAGCGAAGCTCACTTGTTAGCTCAAAAACATGCTCTTGAGGTACATGTGCCACCATTCATTATTGTATTGTACATCATTGAGAATATGTTAAACATCCTTCATTACTATGTGGAAGGCACATATGACAGCTTGGCTAAAATGTATCCCTCTATTACATATATATAATATAGAAAATGCTAATTACTTTACACAATTGATAATTACTTTGCACATTATTCTGTATGGTTGACTGGTGTTTAATGGCATTTCATCACTTTTCAATCACTAATTTCTCATTTTTAATTTTTCAGTATGCAAATTCTATTTCATGGGGTTATTTTATCACACAAGATTCTTTGCATGGAAACTTGATTTTGCCTGTGATACCACGATTTGAGCCTGACTGAACAAAGTTGTGAAAAGTGTAGAATATAGGCTGTTGTTACTTGTGGCTCCATGATTTGCAGCATTACTGGTGGTTTTTGAATATAGAAGATAACTGTCAGATGCATGGTGTATGCAGTGCAACTCAGCAAGTAATATTAAACTTTGAAATTGGAATTAACATTCATCACCAGGTAGGTTAAATAGGCTGAAGTCATGCATTGGATTACGTTCTATTGGACTTGCACTACAGATGGAACTATGTAATCACAGTCAACAATGATATAATTCTCAAAGACAAAGCACAAAAATAGAACTTTATAATATGTTGGTAGTGGAATTTTTGTTTTTTGCTTATTTATTTTCAAGATCAACATGAAGCAACAAGTATTGTTTTGGTATCAATTGATTGATTGTATTGAGGCACAGAAGCTTGTGTGATGCTTGTACAATAGCTGAGTTTTATATGTTTAGTTTACAAGCAAAGTCCTTGTGACACTTGGTTTGGTGCACTTTGACTTAGCGATTTCGAGCCTAGTCTAAACACTGCAATAATTTGAGCCTGGATTCATCTAAACTCATATAAACTCATATAACATCAACATATTTCGTATCAGCGGATGAACTTTTCAATTGATCTCTACTTTAGCAAAATAGACTGCATTCAGACTAAGTTCCCGACTCTGGGGCTTGTCTCATTTTAGCGCCTAGGTTAAGGGGACGCCTTCACTCCCGTACCCCACATACCAACTGTCTCCAAGCATAACCACTATGCCGTTCCAGTGACGCTTCTCGTCAATGTGATTGTTTAATAATTGACCATCATAGGTAATGTTTTGTAATTTTCTTAACAACCGATATCCTGAAACTTCTTGTTGCCATCTTTTTGTCTCCGGAAGACAATGGAGTTTGTGCCAAGGTCAGATGAAGTCCACGCTTGGCTCTGTGGGTGCTGAAGCTGCCCACTGCTCTCTCTCATCTCCCTCCACTAGTCCTCTCTCTCCTGTTCGAGTTGGCGGCTTTGATAGCATGCTTCCATTTTCTGCGGTCGGCTGCCGTTTCCCCGCCTATACTTGGTTCATGTTTCCTGTCTTCATGTTTCGTTTAGAAACGTCTTTGTAGCGAACAACAACTTTTCCTGCAGAGTGCAGGCGTGGAACCCGTGGCAAGCTCGTCGTAGAGCATGTCCTCGGAGATCTGCAGTCCTACGAGGTCCTCCATGCTGACTGACGTCGCTAAGCCAACGTAAACGTCTTTGACTGAGCAGAGCTTGTTTGGGATATGGTCTTGCCAGATGATGCCCCTCTTGAAACTACGTCATTTCTAACTACGTCACTGCCATAATGTCCTGATCAAAATCACACTAAGTCTAGAGCTCGCAAGCAATGCATAATGAGGTACGACAAAGAAGCAGTTCAAAAACAAAAAGGATGGCGTTTATTTCATGTAATCTAATATTCCCTGGACACAAGATTTACGACTGAATGGAACTAGATTATCCAAACAGAAATAATACAAATAAATTATTAAACATTATGTACAAATATGAGTCAAAATTCTAACCTTTCAAAGATGCTATAGTTTTTTTATATAGCAATGCCAATGGCAAAAGCTGTATACAATTATTATATTCTTGCATTATTTCATGACAACAGTTTACTCGTTCACCTGTTACCATGGATACACGAATGAGGTAACACTATAAAAGAAGTGCAAATAAGCATTGATCAGTATTGTTCTGTTACAAAAACAAATAAATGATAAATTCTTAGGAAAAAAGACCATGTGTATATAGGGTCACCATCTATAACACTATCGAATGATTGCTAAGTTCCTCCAGTATTGTCTAACAGATCAAGCATAAAAAAGTATTTTGACTGGTTTCTACTTATTTGAATGGTAATATTTAACGCATCTTTATATTCAAATCTTTCATCCATTTTTCACATCATTATTGGGTAGAATGATAACAGATAATTACATGAAGCAAAACTTCCTTTCTTTTTTGATTTCTTTTTCTTTGAGACTTGCATCAACTCCGGACTGTCTTGTGGTTCCTCAACGTCTAAATTTGTATTAAAAACACTGTTAGCTTCGAGAATCATTCATCAGAAGGAGGATATTTCAGGCCTGTACCTACACTGTATAACTTGGCGAGCCTTGGAACAACAAAGCTTTGTTCAACTGATTATATTGGCTTTTAATGCGCTCAGAGGAACAACGGCTTAGTTTGTGCGACAAATTAACTTTTTTCCGTCTACATCGCGTTGTTCAACAGATATTTTTGAAGTGATATTTGGCTAACTTGCGTCGTTAGTAACAAATTCACTATTTTTGACAACTCGTGTTGCTGGGTACTTTTGTTCCAGCCCGCTGCAAGCGTAGAAGAGAACAAAAGTATCGAAGCAGTAAAATTATGCAAAAGATTATTCATCCACGGAAAATTTCCAATGCTTAGTTATTATTGGCTTATGACACGCTTCGCCCGGAAGGAACAAAAGTAGCCGGGCATGTGATGTGGCTTATCCAAGATAGTGAATTGGGTAAAAAATGTACAAGGAACCATACAATGAACAAGAAATCGTTTTAACTGATTCTGCTAAATAATGAAATGTATACACAACATTCTACAATATCTTCACCACCTGCTAAAGGAGTCTCGGCTTCATCAACGAGCGAGGTTGAACCACTGTCTGGACTATGCAAATCTTCAAGATATGGAACGACACTCATGCTACGAAATGGATCACCATCTTGCAATGGTGGCATTGGTACGTAATCACCAGTAGCCGGGTGTTTCTTTCTTACCCAACTATAAAACATTAGAGAACATAGATCATGAAAATATCTTGGGGCCAAGCGTCTTTTTTTCCTCAAAAGGTTTAGTACTAGGAAAGAAATGCGCTTACTGGTGCTGTCTGATGTCTTGTAAGGATAGTCTTTCTGACGCGTCTCGTTCTAACATACCTAAATATTGAATCAAATACAATACACAGCAAATAGCTGAGTATACTGAACTATGTTTCATTCACAATTTGGAACCAAACATGCTGTCATTAGCAGGATGCACTTTTTTTTTTAAAAGTTGACTGAGAAAGCTTTTTTTAAGCTGCTGTTTTAAAGCACATTGTCATTGATAGCCGAATATATAAATCTAATACTTTGTCTGTTTTCATTTGAGCGGGCAAAATGGTCAGACTTCAATGGTCAGGTCCTATTTAATGGAGGTATTTCGTGTATGTATGCATGTTGTCTTAATTGAATGCATGTAAGTTTACGCTAGAAATCTGAAAACCTACCTCGCAAGAGGCTTTCTAAACTAGAGTCTACATCTGTTGGTATTGTAAACTCTCCTTTCCCAATACATTCAAAAAGTTTGTAGATATTATCTGCTTCAAATGGGTACAGACCAGTTGTTATATTATATCTGCATAAATGAACAAATATATATGTCAATATTTTGTCCAATAAGGAGAGAAAGTGACTACAATGTCTAGAGGTTCCACAGGTTTAATTGATATGAATGAATATATAAAGTATTGTGTGCATTTTATCTTAAATTTGTAATAATTTCATGTGTGAAACCCTTCACACACTTACAGTGTAATACCCGCTGCCCATATATCCAATTTAAAACCAGAGAATGATTCTAGACCATTTGCAACTTCGGGAGGTTGAAATGCCGGTGAACCCTGGCTCGTCCAGCAAGTGTCATCAGGGGCAAACATATCTAACCTCTGGACAACAAAATTAATGCAATGCATGTCAATTATACTTAACGGATAAAAAATATTTAAACAATTGTAAATTTCAGACAAATCCTTTGGATGCTTATTTTACTACGAAAGTTTCTAAAAGTTATTATACTTGAGAAGTTAAAATCTTGAAAGATTCCTAGCTACTGTACTGTAGATTTACTTGATTGTGCCATACTGGACAAATTAAAATTGTTATACTTCTAAGAAGATAGATGCTTAAACCATTCCTCATGCAGATCCCATACAAGTATTTTTATGGGCCCAAAGAAAGAAAACTTTATATTGTTCTTATAAAGTTCCGTAATTTTATGTGTATGTAATTTCCTTTTTCGTGTTTTAAGAAGGAATGTAGATGAAAGAACCCTTAGTTATTTATTACCTCAGCAACACCAAAGTCACTGATTTTTAAAGTACCATCAGTTGCAAGCAGTAAATTGCTAGGTTTAATATTTGTGTTTCATTAAGGAATTTTAAATAATAATTATTTGTAGGTAGATAGGGCTCTGCTTTTAACATAAATTTCTGTATTGAAATTTAATTTATTTAAAGGATATCTTTATGAATTACTCCTTGTCCATGGAGGTATTCCAAGCCATCCAGCAGCTGAACAAAGTACCTTTCAATGATATTACAGTAATGTAAAGTAACATTCACAATATTTCTAGACTATTAAATGAAAAATGTTCATACATACCCTTTTGTCTGGAGTAAAAAAATATCACTTACCCATGGGCTTGCCAAATTGGAAACTTGTGGCTGTCAATACTCTCGAGCATTTCTTGTAATTCTCCAACACAATATTCAAGAATCATATATTTGGAAATAGTTAAGTATATTCATAAATTTCAGAATTATCACTAAACAATTTACAAATAAGAAAATTAATTGAAAGAATAAAAAACTGAGTGGGGGCACCATGGATAAGGGCTAAGAAGAGGGCATTGATAGGATAAAAGGAACACCTTAATTAGATAAGATACTAAGGGAATGTGTATATATCCCAGTACAAGAATCTCTTTGGGGATCATTATAGAAATTTTACTAGTAAAAAAGGATATAATTTCTCTTTTTCTTCATTGTAAATTACATCAATTAGTTCTATGACATTTCTATGTTTTAATCTCTTTAGTAACCTAAACTCCCTGCAGAAAAAACAACATATGTTAATTTATTTAGAGAATTAGAAAATTCATAATGACCATAGGAAAGTTTTGTAAGGTCAAGCATGCCAAAAGAAATTTTTGTGGGAATAACAAATGACACCATTTTTAATTTAAATACATTGATTATTATCATGTGAAATACAAAAGAAAAAGGTTGTTAAATATTGAAACCTGATATCTCATTAGTATCTTACTGTGAATGTTATAAGTGCTTGTTAATCATTTATGTAATAACTTGCAACAAAGCATTTACAATTTGCAAGTCTTCACAAGACCATTAAATTGTGCAAAGTAGTAAGTAAATAAACTAAAATACTCATGTTGTAAACAGTAAAGCTTGTCTATCATTACATGGTGACACAAGATACTTTTCATAAATTATACATACCACATCTCATAAGATAATGCATTTATGTAAAGGGATAATCCCATGCGGTGTTGACTACTGTCATTCACTCATTCCCCAACTCGGGCATTATGACAGTTGACATTGATACTCATTGAAGCAATAATAATTTGGTAATTACGTAACGAGCGCATATAAACAAAACTTTACGTTTTCTCTTCTAGGATTTAAAAAAATACTTTCCTCTGCACATTTTCCTCGCCGTTTGGTATCCGTCTTAATCTTCGTTTTTTCATAATTTTCACCGCACGTCTTTTTAACGTTTCCATGTCTAATAGTTCTTTTACTTTGCCATATGACCCTTCGCCTAGCATGTCACCCATTAAATATTTTCCAATTGTCTTAGCTTTTCTTTTCTTTGGTTGATAAATAATTAAATCAGAGTCTACTCTCTTGATGAACACTGATGGCTCGTCCTCGCCAAGCCAAGAATGAGTACGGACTGCGCCATCCACAGAATCAGTCTCGCACAAATCGCCCAAATAAAAGTTTGTGCTTTCTTTCCCGACCATACTCTCCACCATTTCCAGAGCAATGCATGTGTTCAACAAGACGTTTTATTTAAAAATAGAAGGTAATATTTGGTTTGGTTTTGTGTATAAAACCTCGGAAGCCATATCGCCCCAAATCAAATCATTCTGTGTTTCCACTTGGTTACTTAGAAGACTCACTTTAACGTTCTGCTATCTTGAGGGCAGCCTCACCTTAATTTATTAATGATATCACTTGTAAAAATATACATCACAGCCTCACTGGGACAAGCAAATGTTTTGAATTTGCTATAATTGCTAAAAAGCCCGTATCTCTTCTGGTTACTCTGCTGATTTCGGGTTTACTTCACATCCACAGAACCTACTCTTTACAGCTGACGCCATACGAACCCAAGAATAAACTTATTTACAAAAATCTTTAACTTTTGTCAACTCATAACAATAAAAAGTGGAGGCAAAAATCTATGTATATCATACACTGCCTATACTAGACTCAAATATATATATTTCAGTATAGGTGTCTTACATTGAAAGGCTTAGTCTTACACGAAGTATTAGAACGAAATCCAATATGGCTGAATTCGGTGAATCACTGGATAACGTTGTCGAGTACAAGATTTTCTCTATTCACTCTGCTATTGCTGAAATTGACAATATTTTGAAAATTGAAGATGTATTGTACGATGTTTTATCATATGCGCAGTCACTTATCAGTGATTACATTTGGCAAAACGACTGTTTTAATTTGACTACTCAAGATTTGGAGCAACCACGTGAAAGTATTGACAAATCGGAACAGAGTCAATTCCTCAAAGGGTCCACGAACTTTGGTGATAATATTGAGGATGAATGGTTCATAGTGTACCTGTTATTCAGTATAAGCAAACAATTTCCTGATTTTGCTATTACTGTGAATGACAACGATGGCGAATTCTTACTAATTGAAGCGGCTGAATATCTTCCGGAGTGGCTTGAACCAGATACGAGTGAAAACAGAGTTTTTGTGTATCAAGGGAAGCTTCACATCATACCATTTCCGAAAAAACCTTCAGAAATTCCTTTCCTTCCTGCAGGAAAGCCAACTATCTGTCAAGCTTTAAAAATTCTCAAAGCAAATCCAGAGAAAACTGTTGCCCCACCTTGGATTCAAGATCCTATTTTAAAAAAAATTCAAGAATATCCTAAGAAAGCAAGAGGTTGCTTTCATAATGTTTTGTGTTATGTACCTCCCAAGGTTAAATATTTGTTAGAAACAAAGAATTCCCTTATTTCCCCAGCAGTTTCGGCTTTTGTTAATCGGGATTTGGCCAGGACTGGCCAAAGTCTAGTGCATTTCAACCTAAAGTCACTTGTCCCTTGTCGTGTACGTTTTACAAAGTGTTTATATGGTCAGCTAGTCAAACAAAATTTCATTCGTGACAAATATGCAATGAAATTCATGCCTGCTGTTTCCTGCCCAACATATAAAGGACACCTTATAGGATTACAGCTTACCTATGGTTTTGAGGTACTGTATAACCAAACACCTTATAATAATGGAATGGTGAGCAACAATACTGCTGGTGGTGAATGTTGGGAGAAGTACCTGGAATCATTGACAAAGCATGGTTACTTTCGAGAAGAAGTTGTTGGATCACAATTGTACACCCAACTAATGGAAAATGCAAAGGAATATTTCACTAAAATCTGCTTGAATTCAGGACAAAATCAACATAGCATAAATGAAATCAAGACATTACTTAAAGATGTGCCAATTGATGAAAAAGTATCACCTCAATCTACAGCAGAGGTATTTCCTCCGGATGATAATGAAAGTTGGCTAGAGGTTACTACAGAAGAATTGGATTTTATGTTGTCCCAATATGGTCAGTCTAAATTGACTGGTGAAGAGGTTGATTTGAGAGAAGTTGTCAGTGGAATGAACTCATTTGTAGAAAAAATATCTAGCTATGAAGGTGCTGAATTTCCTTCAGATCAAGATGAAGATGACATACAATTTGATGCTGAAGGATTCATGAAATCCGTAGACACAATTTTCATGCCATCCAACACAGACAATAGTGAAATAATCTCTGATGATCTAAATGACAGTGGTGACAGTGATGAAGAGATGGTAGAATATGCAACTGCTATGGATAATGAACTTTCAGCAACAAACATTGGTAAAAGTTTTGTTAAATTGCAAAGCAAGGATGGTGATTTACAAAGATCCAAGATAGATGAAAGTTCTCTTGAAACAGAGGATGACACAATGAAACCAGTTGATATTGATTTAAATTTAGTGCAAAATTTTTTGGAGTCGTATTCTTTACAACAAGGATCACCTGGGCCTGTGTCTAACATACTTAGTTCAATTGGAATAACATTGCCCGAGAATCTTCCACAAGCTGATGAATGAGGAAATAACATTGGGTCTCACCAAATTAGAATTGATGAAACAGGGTTAGTTATTTGTGTCAGTGGTAGACCTTCTAGGAAATTTACTTTTTCACTACTCATTCAGAAGAGTCTGGGAGTTAAATATTACAGTAGGCCTTTGCAACATCCACTCTGCATCTGTTGCATCATATACAACCTGTTTGCACATGTAATATACTTATATTTAATTAATTGAAAACAAATGAGAAACTGGTGACTAAAGTTTGATTTACATAGCTTGTCTGTGATAATTTTGTATAAAATGATTTTGAGATATTAAAAGGGTTAAAATTAAACGCTCAACAAGATTCTGCCCTAAAAGAGCTTTTCATTGGCAAGATCATGCTTTTCCAATGAATTTCCTTATTTCAATCAGTACTTTCAAAATCATTTTGTGCTTTTGAAGTGGCTACTATATTAGTTTTTAAATGAAAGTAGTAACACATTTCAAAAGCTTCCTCATATCTAGATCTGTGTCCAATACAGACATTACTGATATATTCTGTAAACATGCTATTATTTATTATTTGCCTTACTATATTTCTATCTATAATTAATACATGAAAAATTAAAAGAGTGGGTAATATATCAAATGTAAAATTTGTTTCCTTGCAGTTGTATTTGATTGAGAAAATGCTTTATTTTACATACAGTATTCCAATAAGAAATTTAATTAATCATCCCATTCATCTTCCTCATCTTCAAAATCAGAACCACTTTCATCATCTTCATCTGAAATAAATAATAAAAAAATACAACAAACTGATTATCTTCTTCCTAACAATAGGAGAAACAGACCTTTTCTATCTCAGCATAGTAAGTTGTATTAAACATCTACCTGAAGAATGGATTGCTTTAGACCTCTCTTGTAAAGCTCTTGCTAATGCACCTGCAATTCCATCCAATCCTGCATCTGAATTTCTTTTTTGTGTTCCTTCATCTTGACTCACCTGGTGTACAGATAATGAAGTTAATGTCTAGCTAATTATGATAGTAATTACCAGTTTCAGAAGATGCAAGGACCATAATTAATATAAGCAATATGTTAGTCAAGGATTTCCTAAAACTTTCCATTTAAAAACAGATGTTCTGAGCATCGTTGCAGATATCCTATTATTATGATTGGTATAGTAGAAAAAAGTTCACTTAGAGTACAACAACTACTATTTAAATTCTACTACTTATTTCAGAGAAACAAACATACCTGTGCAAGAATATGACATTATACTGTAGATGTGTTTAGAAGTTTACTGATTTCAATGTAATATAATGTACATTACATTAGTTTACTGATCTCAATGTAATGTGCCATCTTATAATATATTCTTGCAAATGTATGTTTGTTCTCTAAAATACCTATTTCACTGTCATTTAATAAATAATCGTTGTTGTACTCTCTCAGTCAATCTGTCACTGCTATATTCAATTACCGATTTCAATTTAACACCACTTCTGATGTCACTGAGTAAGTTAGTACGACCATCTCCAGAACTATTATTTCTGTCACTGTTTGCATCAACCTTCTTTAAGGTTGTACCACTCTGTATTTGAGACAGTAGACCTGCTCTACCACCACTAGGTGGAGGAGGGGGTGGCCCTCCTCCACTTGACATCATTGGGGGTGGTGGAGGGGGTGCAGGAGCACCTGAAAAAGAACACATTGCTAAATTGCATGTATATCAGTCACAGTATTAAAATACATGAAGTATCTGTATTCCACCATGGCTCTACTGTTTGTGCTTATCAAATCTTGATCTAACCTGGGGGAGGAGGTGGTGGAGGTGGTGCTCCACCTCCCATTGGGGGACCACGTGGTGCACCCCTAGATGGGGGTGGGGGAGGTCCTCCTCTAGAGGGTGGTGGGGGTGGTGGGCCTGATCCAAATCCTCTTGAAGGTGGAGGAGGTGGTGGTGCAGATGAACCTCGAGAGGGTGGTGGTGGTGGGGGTGCACCTCTTGGTGGTCCATTGCCTCTAGCAGGAGGGGGTGGTGGCATATCTGAAAATCACAACAGAATATCAGATCTAGATAAAATGATAAGCTACAAAAAAGAACTAAAATTTAATATATATTCAATGATAGTTGAAAGATATGTACAAATGTTTCCAAATTCCATACGAATTTCACTGAAATGTTGATGCAAGTTCAAGATATGTACATAAGCTGGTGAGCGTAAGGAGATATTTTTTTCATCAAACAACATAAAATTTGTCTATTTACCAGAAGATGGTGGAGGAGGTGGAAGATCTCGGCCAGTGAAATTTTCAACACCACCATGTTTTTCAACAAAATCGTAAATAAACTTGGCAGTTTCTTGATCCTCTAATTCAGAGTCTGTAACACCAGCTTTGGAGAAAATCATTTTCCAGCTGTCATCAAGTTTATTTATCTACAACAGAAAGAACTTGTGAAAATGAGTAAGTGATGAAGTAATTAAGTATAGTAGTGGTATCATACAAACAACCTAAAATTGCAGCCAACAATAATCAACCCTTACATCAAATCCTTCTTGTGGATCCCATCCTACATGGCCAACATGCCTATATAGAAACAAATTGATGGTATCATCATAAACAGGTGAAGTTTTATGTAGTAATAACTAAGGTGGCAGAAGAAAGTGCTTAAGCTGGCATTGGTCTTGAAATGAACATGAGAGATATTGACTCAGGCATAAAAAAGAAGTATGTTTGTGCACAGAACATTAACATTGCCAAGGAATATTCTTACTGAAAATTGCTAGGCAATCCAATATCATCTTTTGTAATCCTCTGTTTTTTATTCTTGTTTTTCTTGTTTTTATCCTTTTTTGCACTCTTCTTATCAATGGATGAGACTGATGGTGATGGAGAAACTCGCCCAGATGATTGATTATTGTCTATATAAGAAACTTACTCTTTATCATACTTTACAAACCACCTACATTGATACCATACAGATACCAGGAGCAAAATGTTTAATTAACCCATTAGCTTGCAATGCACCTAGTTGTGCTCTACTTCAGTATATTATTCTAAATAATGCCAGATAATTTTACTCATCAGTGGAAGAGGACCAAGGAGTATTTTAACACCTGTAAAACAAATTTTGCACCTTATTTTTCACAAATTGAACAATGTTGAGCTAACCTATGGTAATGGAATTTCTACTAGGTCTGTTTTTGACATCAATATCACCACCAAGTGCTGGAGGAGGAGCTGGCTCTCTTCGGGTTTGCCTTCTTTCTAATAAAAATATTTCCAGCATTATTAAAGCTGATCCTTTAGGAGACAAATTCTGTCCAACTTTTGTATGGACTGCAGCCCATCATACAACTGTCTTGTTAGAAGACACAAATCCTAACCATGTCTCCGATTTTCCTTTGCCCTCAGTTTCTTCTCAACCTCCTCTCTAAAACTGTTAGCCTCCTCTCTATCACAGAAATTTAGCCCAACCTGACTTTTCTATAATAAAAAAGAAATAACAAACAATGGTACATAGCAAGATGTTTGTGTATAATGCATAGCAAGTTAACAACAAAGTAATTAACTTATAAATTGACTTACATCTCCAACAAATGTATGAAAGTAATTTCTTGGGGTGAGGTATTTGAAATTATGGTAAATTTCTTGTTCCCACACCATTTTACGCTCCTAGAAAAACACATTGAAATGTTCCAATTAGGGAAGTCTAGAGTGACTTGCTCAGGCAGGCAAACTTAATTGTTATTCTTCTGGGTGTTATAATGACAGTATGTGAACAATTTTCGAACCCCATTTTAATTATTTCTGCACTAAAGTGCATGGAATGCACATCACCTCAAATACATAAATAAATGGATGATAATATAATCAAATTATAAGTATTTTATAAAGCTATTCTAGAAGCATTGGGATACGTTTTACATCCAAAAAAACTGAAAATATAACTATATAAGTATATATGGTATGTAATCACTAAAGCAGTATACAATATATACGACCTAAAACTCCCATATCAACTATGACTTGGTGAATCAGTGATTGTGAAATAATATTATTATTTAATTGTCATCAATACTCATCATTCATACCTGGAAACTAAAAATTCGAATAAAATATGATCTTTTCGGGTTGTCTTTGACAAAACAAGCAACTCCACAATGTTGTTTTGTCCATCTGTCCTGCGACTTGGGTAAAGCTAAGTGTAGCTGAACTACGGCCGTTGCAAGAGACTAAAAAATAATACAGGAAACATTAAAATATTTGTCAGATACTTGATCACAAACGCTAATTACAATGAAATCTTCTTTGAGCTGCTACTGCTACATTCTCCTACCGTACAACGTTTTCCCAACAAACCAAAGACAATATTATTTTCATTTTCATTGAGAACATTAGAAGGTTTGTTAGGCTGTTCGACTCTTCTTCCTTGGTTAGACGACATGTTTACAAAATTTGGTTTCTTTGAGAAGGAGGCTACAATATTTACATTGAAACCACCCCTCTCTCCCTAAGTAATATTTTGGTGATCATTGCAAAACACGGTTTCAACGCCGGAATATGTGATTGAAACGGAAAAATCACAGTGAATTGTAAAAAATGCAAAAATTAGCAGACTTGTTATTTATATCGATGTATGTGCGAAATTTTACTTTCTAGAGTGGACAATTATTTACTTTCATGATTTCACGCACCCACCCGGCGCAAGGCAGCTCATTCTCAGTCCCTCGCAGTCGGTCCAATGGGCCTGCGTCATAAATCGGAAATAAACAAAAATTATATTCGAAATATTTTATACATTTTTTTTGACAATAATTCACTTTATCACATTTCTGCTTTCTTATATTTGCAATTTCTAGACCTTTTAAAATGTGAGAAAAGATAAGAGTTCGGTGTTCCACTTGGCGCTGTGAATGGATCTGATTTTTATTGGTTTCGCTTTTTAGCTCTCATGTATATTTTTCGAATGGGGAGAGCTCAAGTCAGTATTTATTTAAATATTGGAAACTGTCATATGGTAAGAATTTAATAAAGTATCTTCATGATATCAACTCAAAGTAAATTGACAATTGTCTTAGTAAAGTAGTAACCAATCAGAAGAGTGCTGATGATCTGAGTTTAGCCGCAGTTTCTATTTAGCTCCAATGCAGGGTTTTTAATACAATATGACAACATACTGTACACCAGAGAAAATATTAAGCCTAAGAGACTCATTAGGCATTCTAATATAATCCCAAACAATGAACTGCAATACAGTTCAGCCATGCAGTCCAGGCATAATTCTTCTACTGGTATGTATAAGTTTCTAGCTAGGCATCATGCAGGAGTAACAAATTGAAGCGTAATTAGTCTCAATCGAGTTGTTGAGGTATTTTAGGTGTATGAAAGAATATTTTATTTGTTTTCAAACTCTCTTCATATTTGAAAAGTATTTTTTTAAAAATAACAAAACAATGACAATAAAACGTTTACTGTAGAGATAGTGTTTGCAGAAGGTCTTGCTCAAGGTGAGAGGTCAGGCACCTCCCATCTTGAACTTCTAGATCATCTATTCATCCCATTGTTTAGTTAAAATACATAGGAAAATTGTAAACTGTATTGCATAAATAACTGCTAAAAACACTGTTCCACAAATTAAAACTTGATCAGGTTCAATTTAAGTAAGGAATGAAATCCGACATGCATGATAATGTTGTATCACATTCAACGTGCATGATAATAGTCAATTCTTGTCTTCTCAATGCAGTTTACTACAGTAGATTAAGCATCTAATGGTGAATCTCTGTTATCATCATATTAGCATAAAAATGAGGCCAGCAATAAAAAATTGTAAAATTATCCTTACACACTGTATTAGTTTACAATCGGGATTACAAGAAATAAATGGTTATTGAAAATTCATTGTAATTTTCAAGATACAATATGGATAAATTTCCACAAACTCGTTATGAGAGGCTTCAATCTGATGATGAAGAAGATAATGTTGATGAAGATTTACCTCCACAAGTTCATATCACCGCCCCTGGGGGAGAGGGAAATGGACGAAATGGTACGTTAGGAGTTTATACTCTCAATTTTGACAGCTAGGTCTATGTCAGTCTTCACAGTTATAGTTAGAGATCTTCACAGTTATAATTATGGTTTTCTTTATTATAGGTCGTTGGAATCATATAGAGAATTTGGATGATTTTTTTATTAGAATATCCTTTAAATCTGGTGACGGTGTCACTATAGTGAAGAGAATATATTTTTGAAAAATTCTTTTCTCTAATTATTTCACCAGAGTCATGTTTTCTTAACATTAATACGTCTATGATTATCACCAGCAAAATGGATTTGTGTGTATATTATTGAAAGAGTGTTTTGAGTTAGCGTAAGTATTGTTTATCATTGTTAAATTATTACGTGTTTATTTTGTTGGCATAAGCATATATTTCCTATGAATGTTATAAGAAATTAACTCACATATTAAACTAATCTTAAGGTACAATGGTTTATATAATCTTCGTTCTTGAGGAATAATATGTTGACTGATTATTTTTTCTTTGTTTAGGCAATACGTTTTCATTGTTCTCTTCACAACATTCCTGATCTTTTGTGTTAATTATGAAAAACTCTTTGCTGATAAAGATCCTGTCATAATTGACTGCATCAATTTTAACAATGTTAGGAAGTAAGTAGATTGGTAAAAAGTTACCACAGTCTCAGTCGCTGTTAGATAAATAACGTCGAAGTCTTGCTATATATGTAGTTATCACGTTTATGCGACTTCCAACAAAGTAATCATAACATGTTTTTGTATCTTTTTCAAGTGCAAATGGTGTGATGGTGGTTTTCCTACTAATTGCTTTTCTTTTTTGGGCGGTCCGTGTGGCAAAAGTTTTGCTTTATTTTTTTAAATTATTGGAAATTAAATCATTCTATAGAGATGCACTTCACATAACTGAGGTACGTAGACATCCAACGTTGAAGTTTGTAAGGTATATGGTCGACCGTTCCATTTTATCTGTGTCCGGCCGTTGCTCTGGTAGCCTACTGGTACTGTATGAACTTTTAACTTTTCTCAGTTTTCCGTTTTCTCTTTCCATTTGCTCTGGTGAAATACCTTTTTCTTTGTAATATCAAGCATGCGTTAGTTGCATGATAATCACCGCTGTAAGCTTTCTCAGGTTCTGCCACTGCGGGGTTCGGTAGTAATCATTTATAAATTACGCTAGTCCAGAAGACCAGAGTACACGAAGGGAAATTTGGATTGCCTGTGATATAACTATTCGTAAAATACGTATGCAAAGTGTGATTATTCTGCCGATGGAAAATTATTCATGAAGTTATAATCCACGTCATTTTCTTCCAGGCTAAACTAGCGAACATGCAGTGGAAAGACGTTCAACAAAAGTTAATCAGTGTTCAAAAAGAACATCAGATGTGTGTTCATAAAGCTGAACTCACAGAGTTAGATATTTATCACAGAATATTGAGATGGAAGAATTATTTCATTGCCATGCAGAACAAAGGAGTATTATCTTGTGTATATGATTTTCCCATTATTGGTAGACGAGCATTTATAACGGAAGGAATGAAGTATAATTTAAAACTAATACTTTTTTGGGGACCGGATGCTCCATTTCAAGATTCATGGAAATTAAAACCTGAATACAAGTCTTCATCAAATAGACAAGCACTTGCTGACAGGTTAGTTCAGGCATAAATTACTATAGTAATATTCTGATTTCTGTCAAGTGATTCTATTATTCTGCAATTTTACAGGCTTTCAAGACGGATATTGTGGCTTGGTCTTTTAAACTTTGCATTACTGCCTTTCATCTTCGCTTGGCAAGTTTTGTATTCCTTCTTCAGCTATGCGGAGGTATGATCTTGATATTCACTGGACTATATTTTTTGGTCACATTGCCGATATTTTCGCCTACTCCCCAGGCACAGTTTAATGATATACAGTTATGGAACTCGCGGCGGAACCCTTTGATGTTGCTGTCCCCCTGCCTACGCCATTCCACGCGCCACGCAAATTGCTCTGGCAAGTGTATTTTGACTCTAAAGTAAGGGAAAAAGGTGTTCAAAAGACGAAAAATGTTAATATTTTAAAGCTGGCTCTATCGATCTCCATTTTTGCGCCTAAATTTTAAAAACAAACGGTAAATGGTTGTTTTTTTGTAAAAAATATATGCGTTAGGTTAAAGAGGTAAGAAATACAAGCGCGAATGATTTTCTTTATAAATATCAAGCTGATTGCCAACATCGTCGCCGATTATAAATTAGTCAGTTATTTTTTCATCCAGAAAACATCTGAGCTGATCTTAAAAAAAGCATGATTGATGTGTTAATATTACAATTCAAACACACGAAAAAAATCTTTGAAAATAATTTATTGTGCCATAAAACTAGCAAAAACTACATGTTTTTTATTCGAATCTTGAACTTGAATTCAAAGGATTTACAATAAACAAATGCAACTTTTACCTTTATATACAATACTTTTTACATGAGTATAAATCCAACTTCACACACAAAATGGTAAATGCTAACAGATATTAATTTCAGTTCATACATGATTGTAATATTCATGAAGGACTTGCAAATCAATTTCCAATCTAATCTATGCAATTCTGTGTGGCTTCTATGAGAAGATTGAAAGCTATTTTACAATTTTTGGATGTGAATATAATGAAAAATATAAATATTTTTTGCTCTGAAACTATAATATGGTGATGAACTCAATATGTCCTAACCTTCCCTTAATCCCTTTTACATGGAGTTTTAATGTTGTAGAATGTGCATTGCATGGATAGATTCAAAAACAAGGCTTTTGTTGAGATTAATTACATGAATGAATTTAGACCAAGCCTAAATAATTTGAGCAGTTAATGCATAAGAAGGGTAATATAAAAGCTTACCTATATATGAATAACTGAATAACATAAATTTCCTATACTAATATGCAAGCTATAATTCTAGAACCATTGTCTAACCTTGCTGCTGCTGCTAGATATTTCAGTTCTAGAATTTCCATTGGTACCAGCCCGAAGAGGGTCTGAAGAGTCCAAAGTGAAATAATAATACACATATATAGAGACATAATAGGGTTCACAAATATCAGTAAACTGCGTATGCGTTGTAAAACGTTTTTTAATAGCCATCTAACTTGCTATCTTCTTGAACAGTAGAAGTCAATGTCTTGATATGTCGTCTGCTCAAAAGTTAACTGAGAAGATTGTTTCGCCATCTAGAGAAAAATACGACTGCATGTTGGCGAAATATAGTCAGATAGACCTACATTTATAAGATGAAATACCAAACTTTGAATTTTTACCTGGCAGTTCTAGAAGCTTCGTGTGAAAATCGCACTCCTCGTAGTTGTATTTCCCTTTTTTTCCCGTTTTAATTCGTATTATCGCAGTCATTTTTAATCCAAAAGGAGCAATGTCGGATGGATAAATAAGATTTGTCAAAAAAACGAAGAGCAAAAGACCCTTGGCTTTAAAATTGCATTTTTTCTGCTAAAAAATCGAATTTTCCTTATTAAAAAGTGCAAAAACACTTGCCAGAGCCTAGCGCGTGCGCATTAAAAACAGGGGGACAAGATTTGCCGCGAGTTCCACCTCTGTGTAGTACTCTGTGCTACGGGTGTTAAAAAACTCGTTTTTGTTTTTGTGAAATGAAGTATTAAGAATACTTCTGCCCAGCGGTTTATTTATCAATTTTGGAATAAATTTGAAAAGATAAACCTTCTTTGTTTTTGCTGAAGATTGTGTTGTTTGATTTCACGAGATAACTTTATAGTTATTGCAATCCTAACTATAGTGGTTAATTAATTTGTTACTAATGGTGAATTAGAAGATGGTGGTAAGTGACAACTCTGAGCTTCTATCAATATTCAATAGTTATGCAGGTATCTTGGTAAATATATAGCAGGTAAATTGCGTTGCTTCCGTGATAATTCTTTAGTGTGAGTCAGCAAACTATACCACAACTGATAAGGTAGCTCAAGAAGTAGTGACGTTTAGGTTATTGGCTGCGATGGCTGCTAGGCAATACTTTCCACTGTTTATCTAAGCAGTTTCAGTTATAATGCCAAGTCATCATTGGTAATCTATGATGGTGAAAGATGATATATATATTTACAATCTAAAAGTAGACCAGTGTAATACTTACCATAGCTAAATAGTAAATGTGTTCTTTGTTATATGTGAGCACATCAACACATGAAATTAATATTTACCATGTAAACACCAACAAATTTGAACACAGTCATGGATTTATCTAGCTTGTAATGTACAATTCAGCCTATAAATAAGCCGTAGACAAACTTTTTGTCTCTGAAGCTTTAAGGGAAAAGAATGCATAGCTAGTTACACAACAAAATTAATTAATAGGATACTTACAACCTTGAAAATTTCTAAACAATGTAGAAAATTGCCCTGCAATTCAAGTGTAATTTGGAAAATGTCACAGATCTTCAAGCTGAGGGGGAAGATTTTAGATGGTACTTGAAGGTTAGACAAACATATTATTTTAATCAATCATAATATTGCCTTCAAAATGACAAAGCTAGTGCATGATGGCATTAACCAGAAAGATTATTTTGTAATTTGTAAAGCAAAAATGCACAATTAAGGAACTTAAATTTCATTTAGGTAAAGTGCCTTAACTGCGGAGAGGAAAATCCTTCATGGATCTATGTAACACTTGAGGTATGGCAAGATAAAATAATTTTGAATTTATTTACTCAATCACTTCACTTTTTTTAAGAAGAGAAATGAATAGTGAATAATTTAGAGAATAATTAAATGCATATGGTGTGCAATTTCAGGATAGCCAACCAGTCAAAGGGGGCAGAGGAAATGCAAACTTTGTTACACACTGTAAACTTTGTGGAAGACAGAATTCCTTGGGTAATTTTGAAATTTACCTATACTTGATTGATTATCAGGGAATCGGAAATGGAGCACAGAGATATGTAACGAGAGTAGTGGCATAGGGAGCTTTGATAATTAGGGGTTTAGTTTAGGGAATAATTAGCCCTTTTACATGTTAATTCAATGGATACAGTACAAAATATTAAATGGATATATTGAGGAAGCTACTTAATAGATTCATAATCTAAGCTTAGGCAAAGTCTTAACAGCATCTGACCTAAACAAACTACTGTTTCTATGACAAATTTACGTTTCCCTCCGTTTTCCTAAAATTTGTAAAGATTGGTAATATAGGAAGACAAGGAGATCACCGAACTGCACATTTGCTTTCCCATGCAAAGTTTTTTGACTAGAAATATTGCTTCTCTTGTTGGTATGTGATTAGTACTGTAATCATAGAAAATTGAGAAGATATATTTTTTATATACTAATCTGATAAAAAAGGTTCTACACTTTGAATTATGTCAATCATGGGGACAGGCAAAGACATACAATCACCCCTGCTGCCAATGAAAAGATATTCTTTTAACCAGTAATACAAATTTCTTTTAGATATCTTGAAAGATTCCATTTGTTTATACAAAGTATGTCAATCAACGACAGTCAATGTCATTTCCATAATAAGATTGAAATAAGATTGTAAATTTTTTTCGCTTCCCTGCATGCTACACAGCCTACGCTATTCTCGTGACTTCTCTGATATTTGATCAAATAGCTATTTATGATGTTTTAAAAGGAAGGCACAAACACACGATTATTAAGATTATCTCTACACACCTTCAACATTTACTTATTAAATTATCTAATACAAACGGGAAGGGAGTGCAATTTTATAACTGATATGAAATCATAAACCATTACGGGCATAAGACTATTATGTATTTTATAAAAGCTGCAGCCTGCAGACGAAGACTCGCACTTGACGAAGAAATATTTCAATGTAATAACCATCATAATAACCATGCACTCCCCGACGTTGGCTCACCGAACCCAAGCCTAACGCTAGTTGTACGCACGCTCAAATAGCGTTAAAAATATAGATGCACCCGATCATAAATAGAGTTATAGGTCAAACCATTACTGCCATCACTATTCAATACGCTTAAACTTTTCTAGATCCAAGACAACAACAGATTCAAAACCCTTGTTTCATTTGATTGTCGAGGACTGGAACCAATTGATTTTTCACCCAGAGTAAGCTTACCTAGCTGACTGTAACTACCACAGTAACTTGTAAGGAAATGTAAGTACTTGAGTAATTACCACAATGTCATTGTTTTTCAGGTTGGTTTTGCAGCGAAGGGAGTAGAGAGTGAAACAAAGTTTCAAGATATTAATTTAACAGAAAAGGTATTTTGGCTCATATTTTATGCTGTGTTTTACGCCAGAAAAACGGTACATAGCCTGTCCAATAACATTTTAAATTAGACATTGTGGGCAATTAGGTTGGTTAGAACTAATTTTATGTTTCCACGAAACAGGAATGGGCTGATTACGACGAAAGCGCACAAGAAGCTGTTGGAATTTACGAAGTTACCCATCAGTTTATCAAATTGTAATTTATCTTTAATGCCATATAGATATACGCATGTAGAATAATTAACTTATATTTAATATGTAAGACTGTTTTACCGTAAATTCTTAAAACAATGAAATCGCGAATGGTCAATAAACTTTCCACTTTGTCAAAGAAAACTTTCTTTGTCTGATGTATGAACGGGAAACTCAAACCCCCAGGGACGGCCAGTAAAGCCAGGGATAGCCTCACAATAATACATCCGTAATCCGCAATTCCTTTACGTAATCCCCATAAAGGTATAAATCACCTGCAAAGACAGAGTTCTCTCCGTCTGGATTCTTGCAAGACTGAGACTGGAAATATTACATCAGCAAAATGCAATGTAGATGGATATAAACTAAAGAAATATTGTTATTATTGTATATACAAATTGCACCATTGAGATTAATAAACACGGTTTATTCATGTCAATGGATTGCACTCATTGCAGTATCATTCGCTTTACATGTGTACAAAACCCATAAGGAAAATTTAACCATATTTTAAGTGAGAAAGATATTGGATCGTTACCTTTTCTCATTGTGCAATTTCAAAAGCTGAGAAGATTGGACGAATGCTAAACACATTTTGTAAATATGAAGAAAAATATAAAAATAAACAACACACAAACCGAGTTAAAGTTGTTCAATGGTACTGAAATAGATCGTTATCTGTGTCACATCAGGATTCTATCAGAGAAAGTGGAACGAGGTTTTGAAGAAGATAACAGTTTGACGACACGTAAATATGCATAGAACTATATTAACATATATGATGGCCAATGGCCTCGTTTTCTATTTATATCATTAATCTGATTTCTGAATTAAAATCATACCTGTATGTGTACAACTATCTTAATTTTCAAGGAAAACAAAATGTCAGAAATGATGTTGATCTATCAAAGAGTGATGGCAAGTCATGTCTTCTTTGTGGTGTGACATTTTTAACATTGGAAGAACAGGTTTATTCTTTTTTACTATGTCAGGATTTCCATTGTTCTCTAATTTACCCAGGCTTGCATTTCAAACATTAAACCTGAATAACAGTAAATTCATAGCATGCATGTTCATTTTTACTTATGTAGAGAAGTCATTTCACACTTGATTGGCACAAGTATAATGTAAAGCAGAAATTACTGCAAAGAGATCCAGTGAAGGAAGATGAATTTGAAGAGATGATTTCTGGTAAATAATGGGTGTGGTATGAAGTATGAATTATTATAGTTAAGGGTCATGCTCAATGATTAGAGAGGATGAATGTTGTGACAACTATAAGACTATACACTGCAAGAAACCAAGAATTATGTCATCAAAAGTCAGTAGTGGATAACAAAAGTGGCAATTAAAGAAGGGGCGTTTGCCCCTGGAAGATCAATTAATCAACGATCATCCACCTACAAATTATTCATATTTCTTCTGTATACATAATTTAAGAAATTCTGCCGTACCTTGGATCCTCCAATGAATGGGATTGAATATATGTGAAATATGGATGGACGTTTCAATGACTTCTAGTTAACCAATTTATTTCATACCAATACTAATTAATAGTAAAATCAGCTAGGGTACAATACAAGTAAACCCTTGTGCCCAATATCTACATCATCCACCATTTTACCCCTTATTAAGCGTTGTATGTTTCAGGTGAACTTTCCAGTATATCAGGCTCTGAATCTGATTCTGCAGAAGAAGTTCTGACTACAGCAAATCCTGAAACAATACCTCTGATGACTCTCAGTTTATTGCCAAATCAAAGCGATTTGAAATCAGAAGAAAATTTAGTAAATAAATCAAATCCAAAAGTATATTTTGTTAATCAAAATGGAACACGTATGTCTGTTTTTCGAGAAGTTGTGTATGGAGCAAAGGTAAATAATTACAACATGCATATATGGCTCTTTTCCTCACTGATCATGGGAGAAAAAAAATTGTCTGGTTTGATACCAGGACCTGATTGCGACCGTTTATTGCGCGGAAATCATGATAAGGCTAAATCTTCCATATACTAAAATCATGTCAATGATCTCTTTCCGTCAGGTTTTTTCAATCATTTTTCCGATCTTTATTCAATCTTTGTACCTAAAAGCTAATTTATTTACTTTTGAATTTCTTAGAAATACATACAGCGCTCGCCTCTAGGACATCGAAATCCAGGCGTTCAAAAATCATCTTCTGACTCAAAAAACATACTCTGACTCTAATATGATCAATACAGATCATAAAGATTACGTGATTTAAGTGAAACTCAGTTTTGTAATGAAAACTATTCTCCCCAGGAGAAGCTCGCGCGTGAAGATATTGTGTCCCGAATTCAAGATCTCCCACAAGAAAAGACCTGGTTAATCTTAATGACTGGTGGTGGCCATTTTGCCGGAGCTGTCTTTTCCGGGTACGGCTGTCTTTCTGAGTATTTTGATGGAAATGTATGATCCCATGCACATGCATTTACCACTCTGTTGTATGCAGGAATGATGTGTTGGTTAGTAAGACATTTCACCGATATACCGTAAGAGCTAAGCGAGGAACGGCCCAAGGAATCAGGGACAATAAACAAGGCGGACATGCACCAAGGTAGTTATAGCCGCAAACCGTGCGTTGAAACATATTGCCAATATTGTATAGGCATTTAGCCTGCGAAAGCACAGAGGCTTGCCTTCAGTAACCACAGTGACTGCACAGAGTTTGATATAATTGAATAACTAATGAGAAAAGCTGGTTATTTCTTATTTTTTAAGATCAGCTGGGGCAACCTTGAGACGTTACAACGAAACTGCATTAGTACAGTTTGTTACAACATCTTATTAAGCTGTTCAAGCCAATTTTTAGTGTGTAATATACGATTAAAAAATTGTTAATTTTAATGCTTCTTTAGGATATTCAAAATCTTTTGGAATCATGGAGCGAGCATATAGAAAAATGTAGCAGAATTTTCATGCGAGTCCCAAATAATTACAAATGGATTTTCTTCACAGGAAAAAAACCTCCATTTGAAAAAGGTATTCTGTCGATAGTGATTATGCCTCAACACTTAATCACTTCTTCCTTGCAAAAAATTTGAAATCCTGCAACTCTGTAATGCTAAACCATATGGTAGATGACTGACAGCCATTACTGTGGACTTCACTCGATGTTGGATCATTTTGTAAATGGGGATAAGTTAATAACTTAATAGCGAAGGAAAATTTCTCAAATTTAAGCCAGGGATAGCTGAGAAAACGGCAGGAATTAAGAGCCTACGCGTTTGCAACCTATCCTTTATTTCTCATTTAGATGATTTACGTATAAGAGTTATTCCTTTCCCAACACGACGAGCGACATTTAAAGAATTAGAGAATGTACAGAAAAAGTTATCATCTGTTATTATTGAAGGTACGATATGATTTGCCTTTTACAATAAAGTTGGACAGTGATTGGACATTTATCCCGTATTTCTATTTAAAGCTATAGGCTGTTGTAAATAGGCCCGTTATTGCTGGTATTAAAAAAATTTCTGAGCTCGGTGAGGTCATGATGTTGTGAAGCAAACCATACTGACAAATTTATATCATTCTTTTCCTGTTTAGAAAATTACATAGAAGAATGTAAAAGTAAAACTGGTGTTGTCAGAGCTGACGAAAACCCCGAGGATAAAACGATAGAACAAAAAACGAACAATTTACAGGATGATCAGAGCCAAATGTTCAAAAGTTTAGATAATTTAGCAAAAAAGAAGTCTAAAAGCGAAAAAACGTCGAAAAAAGACAATCAAGAAACAAACACAGCAGAAAGAACACAGGAAGGTAACGTGGATCTTATTAGTTATTAGATGTATGCCATCTTTATAGCAAGGAAGATTGGCCTCCATTGAGACTTCGAGACATGGATGTATAAAGCATATGAAGAGTGGGATATTTGTTAACACTCAACTGAACAGGGATGGGGATTTCGCTTGATCGGTCAAAAATTTCACAACTGTTTGTAGGCTAGCTACGATGTAGTATACGCAATGAAATAATATTGTTTTCTAGTAGGTTTGTAATATGCATGCAGATAATAATGTCAATGTTTACATATTAATGTAAAAGAATGTCCAAACCATGAATCATATTTATCTATTATCTATATCAAATTCTTTATGGACTACTTTCAGTTGTACCGACAATCTGGATTGAGTTATACGAGGCAGTGAATACTGAGAACTCAGGAAAAACGAGAGGGGTTATAGAAAGACTTAAAGATGAAGAACTGAAGCACGAATGTAGCGTGTTGAAATATACGGAAAAGTGGAGTGATGGAACTGAGAAGAGCGAGACAAATGAGAGTAGTAATGACGATGAAGATAGATTGAGCAAGTGTGGTTGGGCACAAACCATGCTTAATGAGAAGTTTGAGAGTTACGGGGAAACAATCTTACATCTTGCATCACGTCTTGGTCAGCCGGAGATCGTTAAAATTTTACTTGAAACTGGAGGGAATCCATCAATTAAGTAAGAATTTCGACGCGGGTCAAGAAATTAGAATTACCCTTGCGCGACTTTGTCAATTGCAGCTAAACTAAAATATGTAGGACATGCATTAACTGTTGACTGTAACATGTTGAACTTGCTCGCAAGTGTCTCTCACTTTCACCGTGCATGCCACGAATCCAAAGACAATTAAATATAATAATATAATACCAGAGGTCTGCCATTGCTCCTCTTACCACCAGATATACTGCTGATATAAATTGTCCGCAATTTTCCTTCAGAGATTCCTTGGGTCGTGTTCCATATAATATCGCCAAAGACAAAGAGACGAGAAATACATTTCGTCGTTTTATGGCCTTGTATCCTGATAAATACGACTACGATGAAGCCAGGGTAAGCCTCTTTTTTTTTACACCTGCATGTAGAATCTTTCTCTGCAATCGTTCTGCCCAGATAATGTACTTCAGGTACTTTGGCCATGAGTCTCTTTAAACTTAAATTTCGTTTCTAATTCTTTAGCGATTTTGTTGAAATGTTCACTTTATCATTGCACGGTTTGCCTGAACTCTGACAAAAAATGTCTGAAAAAGATGCTTTTACAACAATGATTCCCGTTAGTCAATATCGTTTATTCGTATTTAACATTTCGGACATTTTCTTAAAGATTCCAAGTGCTTTGACTGCGGAAATGGAAGAGAAAGAACGTCAAAAAACGGCCGAGAAAAAGAGAGCTCAATCAAAAGCAAGAAAACAACGTTTAAAAGAAAAGAAAGTGGATGAGAAAATAAAAGAGGACGAAAGAGTAAGAAAAGAAAAAGAGGAAAATGAAAAGAAATGGTTTCAAAATTTAAGCGAAAGAGAAAAGGTATGATACTAAGAGTTGTTTTACAATAGAGAACATCAGTCTCCCTCGTGCATTTTATGTGTGCTTCGGCTTATCGTGTGTGAATGTCTGCATGTAGCTTCCATAGAAATACACGCGTAATTCCGTCATTTTTATCATTACAGAGAGCGGTAGCAGCCGAAAGAAGACTAGGGTGGTTTGAAAATAATTGCTTCCATTTAGACACCCGCGGGGTCCTCAACGTTCCTGTGTCATCTTTCCAACTGCATGCATGGTATTATAAACATCTTTAATTTGTGTTCTTTTTAGAAATATCTGTTTCAACTGCAGTCGAAGTTTGCAAGGAATAGTTCCATTTGAAAGACTATCCAACAAATATTGTAGTACAGAGTGTGTTCAAAAACATCGCAAGATCATGGAAAATTCTATGAATTAAAAAATTTATAAAAATATACGCTTTTTGGCAGAGTAATGCCTATAAATCTCTTCAAGTATACGAGATCAGTGATCTCAGTGAATTGAAACGCCTGGAACTCGGTCGCCATTTCCGAAAACAATTTAAAGCAGAATTTCCATTGTTCAGGTCGACACGGTTCACGATCGTGACGATAAAAACAGGAACGCGGAGAATTTCTCCAGATATATACACTCGGTATTCAAGTATTTTGTTCACCTTCTCGTTTGAAAGAGCCGTTGTTCTTTTCCCGCCGTTTTGAAGCCCCGCTCTTTTTTCCCCGCCGTTTGAAAGAGCCGCTGTTTGCCTCTACCCAAAGAATCATAATACCGACGAGATGAGCCACGTTGTATCTCGTGGTTGTCCAATATGCCTCAAAATGATACAAGATAATACAAAAGTGGTCTATTATGAAGACAAGTATTATCATTTCCACTCAGCTGGTCACTCATATTCTTTACAAGTTCCATTATATCCGCATCAGACGTTCGGGATGGAAGGCTTTGGACAATCCGCGCAACTTCATTCTACACCAAAAATCAACATGGTTCTAAGACTGTTATTGCCATAACTAACATTACGCGTTTATCGCGTGCTCATCGCTAACATATAAATTAACAAGACCAGTCTGGCAAAAACAAACCTCAAGAAAGTTGCAAACTTTACTTGTCCGACAACCCACAAGATCGTGATTCTTCACTGAAGTTGCATCGTTCTTTTGAATCAGGTCTGAATGTAAGGATCGTGAAAAGCTAGTTATTGAAATGGGCTAATTCCTGTATTAAGGGAAACTGCAATCATACAACAATAATATTGAGAATCTAGCCCTTCTCCAAAACCAAAATGTCAAAAAATAAAGTGATTCATTCATAATGGAATGTGTCAAAAAAAGTAAAATCCAGTCGAGTGCCTGGAAATGTCATATTCTTCTGTGATACGAATAGAAGCTTCTTTATTAATAGTGATTTTAACATGAAAATAAGGTTTGAATGTGAAAAAACTGTGAAATCAAACTGAAAGTTTACCTAAAATTTCTTTTAAATCGTTGATGCCATAATATGGAATCGTTGTGTTTATCTTGACCAGTGACATTCCAATTTCACCAGTTTCTTTGTCTGAATACAATACACATCATCAAATTTCTTGCATATCAGTTAAGACATACATGTCCGCAAAGATTCAACTCGGCCAGCGGTACTATGGCTTTCAAAATGGATACCAAGGGCCCGAAGGATTTAGGTATCAAACGCGCAAAGCATGAAGGCATTCGTATACATCCTGGAGAGTGGATCCATCCTGATTCTTCTTGGAAGACATAATCCATATAATCATTCATTCAACAACTGATTCAACAACTGATTATATCTTCCTTAAAATATTTACCTAATCGTCCAGTAATTTCAAAACCATTAGAGACAAAACGTTCGTCATCAAAACACCAACTATATATAATAGTAAATAATTAAAACTTGATTTAATTTGGAAACGACTATCTGAAGAAATGTTTTCATCCACTTATGTTTCAATGCGACTATTATACTTAACATCGCTCCCTGGGTACTTTCGAGGTACCTGGTACCTAGTATCAAGGTTGTGTGTTACTCTGCATGGATAGATCGAGGTCACTGGCTAAAAGGAAAAATTTTCCCTTAGGTCGGTCAAAGAATATATATCAACTTACTGAGTATTGTCACCTTTTTTGTTCTCCGTTACCAATTTCAATAGCAACGAATAACGAGAAGTGTCACCAAGAACCCTGGAAAAGCGAACGATTTATTATTATCTAGAATCCTCATATTTCATTTTTGTGAAATATGTAGTTCAAAGGCAACAGCAATATATTGTAATCAAATGTGTCAGCCATCCTCGGGCATCCTCGGGGTTTTCAGTCCGGGGCGGGATAAAATTCGAATAAATCACCTTTCATCTAAAGCAATAGCTTTGTCGAGTTTTTCTCTTGGTAACACGTGGGTGGCAAGCAGTTTTCTATAGAGTAATAACTCCTGGATTCTGAAGAGTAGATATAGAGGGGAAAAGTCAGCGGGGTTAAAAAAAAACAATACACCCAATCTAGATCTTAAATCGCTGTTCGGATATCATCAAGTTCCAAACACTGATAAGTTCACTCATCAAAATTCCATTTTAGTAATCATTGCATGTATATTCTTACCTAAAAGGATTTAAAATATATAATTTTCTGTTCTTCTGAACAAGCCAAATGCCCCATGGATCAAGACGTTTGATTGGTTGAATGGCTTCGTTTTTTGTTTTCGAACTTGGGCTAAATTTGCGTGAGATTATCATAGATTAGTAGATATCATCACAACCTTTCTTTCCATGCAACAACGAAGCAATGTTGGTTACGTGTCTTCATAAAATATTCGTTGACTCAAGAAGAAGATATTCACCTTTCACGTTCTGTTAACTCTTTCAACGCCGATAATGAAAACGAAACTTCTTTTGATTTCTTTGTCTCATACAACGTTTTTGGCGATTGTAATACTGCCGTGATTAATGACTGGCCATTTATCTAAATGAGATATTTCCTCATAGATGAATACATGCCTTACTCCAGCATTTCGTCGTGGATTTGCCCAACAAAGCTTAAAAAGAGTTTATTTACGAACTCCAACCAAAGCTGATTGATTATTAAACAATTATTACCCTTAGCTATGGAGACCTTCGCCTTCTTCAAAGATACAGACAATTGATCACATAGTTAAGTTGTAATTACAATTTAATGTTATGACAGCCACACCTACCCGTTTGAAATATTCTTGATGATGATTTCATCCGATAACTGGTTACCCAAGTAACCTCGTTCGTATTTAATGTGAGCAAAATGCGAAAGTCGTCAGGACATACTGCGTATTTTTAGCATGCTAAATCAAGAAATTTCGCCCCACACACAGCGCGTGTTTCTCGAGCGTGCGTGCTGAGGAACTTACCGTTGAATATTGTTTGTTTCTCTTACTTCGTCGATCTGATTTCATATCCAAACTGTGCCTACGTTTTCCATTGGATGTTGTTCTGGCAGTTTTTTCATTTCCCTTATCACAAACACTTGGCCTCAGGAGCTTCATTGGCTACACATAAGAAGAAAATTATAAAAATACCTCATTAGCTGAAGGCAGTAAAATGCAAAATAAAGAACTCCTCGCTTGCATGAATGATTTTAATAATAAATACCTCTATCTCTTTTCCATTGTTATCAACCAAACCTACACCTTTACTCCACTGTTCTTGATTTGGCTGAACTTGGTCTAAAAGTAGTTTTGTCTATTTTAGGCAGTTGTAATACCACGTTCGATGCGAAGATATTGCAGTAGTACATTCTGTACATTCTTAAATCGTATAGTCAACTCTATAATACACTGATCGTATGATAAATTTACCCAGTGATATATCCAATAACGAATCGTCAATAATATCGGAGTCATTGATAAAATTCTCTATGATTTCATCCAAATTGCTATCCTTATTATCGTCCTGTTTTTCCAACGTGGCAGAAACAAGGTTGCCACTTGCAAAATTCTCCGTTTGTTTTTCTGTACGGCATGAAACAGTGCGCTGTGAAGTATGATTGTCTGAATTAACCATATTTTTATTAGATGATGAACAATCAATCTCATTGTCAGTTATGAGTGGAAAATGACATTCTTGGTTGTCAATAAGTCGTTGTTGCGTAAAGTCTTGATTTTGGGTAGGATGCACCGACTCACGCACACAATCAACTGACATCTCTTCCGTACTTCTTTCTGGTACCGTAACATGAAGTATCCCAGGTGAATTCGACGATGTACAACCCGTCTTTTCTGGAGCAACTCTTGACGTTTCCTTTGAGTCGCTTTCTGTGACATCAGGAGAAGGAACGGTATCACTCGATTCAACACCTGTTGACCCATGCATATCACGAATTTTTCTATTGAAAAAAATCCCTAATAAAACAAGTTCTCTTTCCCACATTTTTATAATCCTGATAAGATGATCAGCTATAAATATCATGGGCTGTCATGCATATTAAGATTTAAGAAATTCGAGATATTAAAGCAATATACTGCTGTCACAACTCTTATTACAACAATTTTGTCATGTATTTAGAGTTTAGACCGCTTACTCTGTAGTTACAGCCTGAAGACCACCGCCATCGTAAATCCTACTTATTTCGTTTGTTATGATTTTGAGAACTTCTTCCTAAAAGTGAATTATCAAAAAGGATGGTTTGAAATATCATACAACAGATATTACACTTTATTGAGGTTTTAAACAAATACCATGCATGCACTGGAATTTTATCAGGTATAAAGCCACGTTATATAATTATGTGTCACGACATATATTGTTGATATGACAAATATCTAAATAGGCATTAATCAACCATCAACATTTAATTTATGTCATTTTTCTTATTTATTTAAGAGGGTCAACAGCCTTTTTTTAAACTTAAAAACATCCAACATTCTGCAATCTTTCGTCCGATATGCATGCACGACACTGATAATTAAAAGAATAAATTTTCGGGGTATTTAAACATGGCGGATTCCGTTCAGATTCATTAAAACATCATGGCAGAAAAAGAAAGTTTTTTATCCTTAAATATATCTTGGAATTAAGTAAGAAAGATAAACAAATTCTCTGAAAGGACTTTGTAAGAAATGTCAACGTTCTTCTCAACAAGACAAAAGATATTGTCATATATCTTAGTTCTTGCCTATGGCTATGGCTATGTATATATCTATTAGCCCAGAGGTGGCAGCAGTTATCGTCTTGTTAGTTTTTAGTTCATAAGATTGGAAACGCGGCCCTGATATAAATGAATTGGACAGTGGGCAATACTATTTTAGTGTCAGTAAAGTACGAACAAGCCTAATGTCTCTAATGACTCTTTTATAGACTCCAATACCCAAGCCCCTTCACCCCTTATCAATAAAACGGTTTCAAATTTCCAGACACGTCTCAGTCTCTGGCGCCACCCAAGACGCTTCGTTTTTCAATGGTACACAAAAAACGTAACAGATTAAAATAATAGATTAAAAATTACAAGGAAATATTCAACAAATAAAATGCTCCCTCACCTTATGATTTATTATAACTTTTGTTTTATTTGGTTCTAGATTTACGTCAACATCTTGACTGGATAAACTAACGCTCACAAGACCTAAAGGGTACTTTCCATTGCATTTTTCTCCGTTTTTCAATACGCAATGTTTTTTTAGGACCTGAAACGTGTGTAAAACTGATTCATTTATTACAATGAGTAGCTAACAAAGACTCATGGGCATCAACCAAAGGCGAAGTAGTTACCTGCAACAATTCCTTCCAAGTAATGTAACGCTTGTTTACAAAAATAAAAGTTCTTTCATCTGAGGACCTCAACATCAACTGTGGACACGAATCACTTTTAGGAACAAAACATTGAATTTTAAAATTCAAATCATTGTCACAACACTCAACATATTGCAATTGGCTCGCAATCTGGACACCAAATACATCATTTAAAGCTGTCCGTATGTCAGAAGACTTATTCTTTTGCCAGATAACGTTCTTATTATTTCTTAAAACAATCCGTACTTCAGGTTTTATCAGACCATATGCCATTAAAAGATCCTCAACCTTCTTAAGCTCTTCCTTGCCTTTTTTTGCATTTTGAAAACATTGCCTTCTCACAGGGAATGATTTGAAAAGATTTAACGCCGTAACAGTTGTTCCTACTCCATCATGGGTAGGTTTTGTTGAACAAATTTTCCCATTATGATCTAAGTTGTAGGACACAGCCACTGGATCGTCCACTGTCCTTGATACTATACAAACATCAGAGACTTGACATAGGGAGCCAAGGGCTTCTCCTCTAAATCCATATGTATCAAGCATTTGTAAGTCGTCATGTTTTGAAATTTTTGACGTGTAATACCGTTGAGCCATGAATTCAGTATCGCTTTGCTTGATTCCACAGCCATTGTCTCGAAGCTCGATCTTGTCCAGACCAAATTTCTCCTAAAACGTTGTACATGAGCAGTTCATTTTTTTCTGGAATGGGCGAGAAACTGGGGAAACTAAAACGTCCCCGAAAGAAAAGGGCGGGAGAGGAAGGGAGGAGTGGACAGTTCTTTGTGTTATTCTGGGGTTGGTTGTATAATTTAAGCACAATTCATCAGACATGGCCTGTATATCTACACTAGTCTCTATTTCTACACTGGTCTCATATAAAAATTATGTTCAACTTTATTTCACTCTTTTCATTTTCATTGTTTTCATGATACATTGTGGTCATAAATACACAATCTAGGAGCTCATAGACCAACAAGCTCATAGGCCAAAAATTATCTGTGATTTATTATCACAGAAGGAGTTTAGTCTCCACATTAATATCTCTACATAGAGAATAGTTAAGTGAATGCAAGGAACTATACTGTTGAATATTTTGTAAAGAAAGCCATCAAACACCTGTTGAATATATTGCAAAAAGGTAAACCACACATACAGTAACAAACATAAAATAAACCAGAGGAATGATGTGAAAATGATATAGTGGACTGATGATTGGCAACAGCTATTGTTATTGAAGATGCTCTGAAGACCTGATAGTACAGAGCTGGAGAAATGTAACCAGGTTCCCTCAATGAATTTAATAACATATTAACCACTCAATCACATATGTAGTCATGTGGCACTAGGTGGTTTGTCTGTCAGCTGGTTGTAAGATTGTGGATTATATAATTGCCGGTTGTAAGGTCAAGCATCAAGTTAGTTTTATTTGCAATACAAAGGTAAAATCTAAAGGTTTTTTTATGTGTTTCTGTTATGCTGGTAATATATCTGCTGGTGGTCTACCGGCAGATCAAGCTCATATGAAAACCAGGCATAAGATCCAGGTATCAATTTAAATATATATGGTAATTGGTGAACTAAACAATATTACATCTATTAACTATAAAGTACATTTTATTTCATCAATATCATGGTCTGCTGAGAATATAAACAAATCACAATAAGTAGTGTGTATTAAATCCTTAAAAATTTCGACTACTAAAAGTTCAAGTAATTGATACAAGCTAGTACTTTCTATAGACTGTTTGATATTACCATTTTAATATCAATATTAGTTGCTCCAGCATCAAATGCGTTCTCAACCAGTTCCTTCACAACAAAACTTGGTGATGTTATTACTTGTGAGCTTGAAAGAAGACGTATGCTTTCTAAAGGTAACTTATTCATTATTTACGTTATGATGATAAAGTAAAGCAATCCCTATTCGCTCTTTCTTCTTCCCCTCTCATTGCAAAATGCAAATTACACTCGGCCATAATTTGGCGGGAGATTCCACTGACCTGAATACAGAAACAGGAATATTTAATAAAGAAATTAGCCGGCCAAGCCAGTTAGGCCACAAAATTACCTCTAAAGGTGGTAAAGGTAAGCTCATAACTTTTAATACAAAAATGAATATAAAAAGTATAATATTGCTCATTTTCTTTCGTTGGCATCGCCATTGATCAAAGTACTAAAGCGGGTGATAGTTGATCGCATGATTCGATTACGTTGTAAAGTTTATTCGCGAGTCTTTGAGCAGAGTTGCAAAAAAGCTACGGGTACGCGGGTACCATCCGGAGGAAGGTTTGCTTTGAATGAGATTTGTGAGGAAGGTTCGAAGTCGAACACTCTAAGTCGATCACATGCATGTACCAAAAAACCAAATATTTCTTTATGCATTGCCACTTGACTCAGTCAAATATAAAAAGTTGGACTAGTCTGGTTTTTTAACTGTCAACTTATCTCTTTTTTTACATTTATGCATTGTTTTTGTGGAACTGTGCAGATCATTAGACCAACATGATTGATGATTTCATAAAATTTGATAGAGAAACGAATTATGGAGGAAGTTCTGCCGGTTCTGCTCTACGGGTGTTAGTCACTATCAATGGTAGTGTTTATTTTGAAGGAACGGGGATGTAGGAGCAAAACAAGAAGAGGGGATGAAACAGACAATCAGATTCTGCTGTTTCTTCTATTTGGACTTGATTTACGTTTGTTCCCTTTTTCACCATGTCATGTCATGTCCGAGAAATCTATTCATTTCTGAAACGGGCCTACGGACACATACGCCCTTTTCAATTGTCTCTGCTTTCGTACCATGGAACAATGGGAAATACAGTACTTAGAGATAACTTTTATTTCACTGCAACTTCTCTAATACTTTAACGCACAGTTACTAACAGAAGACGTCATATAATACTCTGTACGATTTCGGTCAACGAGATACGCATAAATGTATCCTAACAATAATTTACAGGCCATGTTTTAAAAGTTCGTACAAATAGAACGTCCTTATTTGGCTATAACCTCTCTATATATACTTAAAACTTTGGGATTTTAATAAATAATGAACCAATGTTTTGTTAAATTTCAGACTAAAATCATTAAAAGTCGTTTGAATGGAGTTCCACCAGTCTGGTTTGTGTAGCTCCATAATAAAAGGCAATGTAGTCGCTGACTACAGCGCAGTTGTCTCTGAAGGAAGTTCTTCTTTAAAAATCGGCAAATTCTTTAGCACATTTTTCTGTTGTTGACAATCGTAACTGTTCCTCTTCGTAATCATCAAAATTACTGGGATCACCAGGACCTTTGCATTTCGGCTTGAACGGGGCTTCCACCTAAATGGAATGTTGAAAAACAAAATTCGAGAACTGTCGTATAAATGGTGGAAGATGTACTTGCAATTATGTAGCGTTCTCGTGAAGGAATGTCTAGCAGGGTCGTAAGTAGGGCAAGGTCTGATCGCGGTCAGTATATTCATATGTATTCAAGCCACATACCGTAATAACAATCGCTTTCAAAAGAAATTAGTCGGGCATACGAGGAATTAAATATGCACACCTCCCTCTAGCTACGCTCTGATCATTAGAGGAGGGCATTCAGCGTAAGAGGAGTCCTTTGATTTAAGGTCCAAAAAAAATGAATAATGATAATACATATTAAAACCACCTTCTTCTGATAGATCAAGATCCAATCAGTCGGACCAAACCATCGGTGATTTCTAATGTCATTTACACCATTCTTTAAATTGCCGTAACGTTTCGTCAAATCCACTTGAAGCAAATTTTTCAGAAGGTCTTTGAGTTCCGACGTGAAGTGAGATGGGAAACGCACCTAAACAACATGTGTAATTCGTACACTTAAGCATGTAAAGGTTTCTTCCTTACTTGGCTTCTACCCTTATTACAAGTGTTTCTTGTTTATCAAGAGAAGACTTGCAAGTCTGAGGATTCATATTCAACACTAAACAGGTAACACCATCACGAACAGTGGAACGATGAAAAAATTTGAGAAGGAAAAAAATTTGTTCATTACTTTTCCTGAAACGATCTTCTCATAAATCTGAATTGGCTGATCAGCAAAAAATGGTGGGTATCCAGCTGCCATTTCATAGATTAAAACACCTAATGCCCACCAATCCACAGCTTTGTTGTACCCCTACAATAATGGAAAGATGCATAATAATAGAGCAAAAACCTGGATGAAAAGTAACTCAAAAATGCACACAACCTGACTATATATCAGACTACAATACCATTACAATTTATACCTTTGATAATATGATTTCTGGTGCTAAGTACTCTGGGGTACCGCACAGTGTCCATGTCCTTCCTTTAACTCTTTTTGCAAATCCAAAATCAGTTATCTGTTACAAAAGGAAAGGACACATGGTAGTAATGTCTACTACTAGTAATAACATTACTAGTAATATCTACAGAAATGCATCTGAACTCTGAAGTATAATACCTTCAAGTATCCTTGCTGATCAATAAGAAGATTTTCAGGCTTTAAATCTCTATTTAAAATATTTGCATTTGAAGGAACATCAGGGTCAACAGTCTCATATGAATACAACTGATGGAATTAAACCTCCAGAAGAATATACCTAATATAATTACATGTTAAATTGCTAATTGAAAAAACTATGTGTTGAGAGTAGATACAATTTTAAAGCAATATATAATGAAGAGTTAATTATCTTCTAAAATTAGGAATACTACATTTATCAATGTCGAATCAAACCCACCTGTAGATAAGATCTAATGAATGGAGATACTCAAATGCTAGAACTATTTGAGATGCATAAAACCTTGAATGTGCTTCACTAAAAGGTAAATAATTATGAAATATATCAATTACTCTCTGTCGTTGGTATGGCTACATTATGTGAACCTCAAGTATGTTTGGCCAACCTGAATCTTCCAATGCGCCTTAAATGAGAAAACATCTCCCCACCAGGAACAAACTCCAATACCATATAGAGATAGGAATTATCCTAGGTGTAAAAAATGCTGTAAATAAATATTGTTGCTGCTAGGATTCTAATTCACAGTAGAATTAAATGCACACCAATAGCAAGCAAACAGTTGCAATCACATTGTAATTGTAGAGTATTGATTTCTTATAAAATACATTCAAAGAAACAAATATCAGGGAGAAAGTCTACTCAAGTGTATTATAAGTATAATATATTAGTATATTATATACAAGTATAATATATTATTAGTATAGTTTTGATGTATATATATGTTTTTTTCACCTGAAATGTTTTCAAGGACAAATTGCTTACCAAGATAACACACACACCAGCAATTTGCATAGTTTGTTCTCAAGCATGCTATATTTTATCTCTTCTTTAATTTCAGATTTGATCTTTAACAATATTATTTGATTATTTTTGAGGGTTGTTTGTTGAAACCCCTCCAAAATACCATGTCCCAGGGGCAAAGTTTGTGTTGGGTTTCTTTAGTATATTTGCCTTGAACACTATTTTAAAACAGATTGGTACAGTTGGCATAGCACTATGCTCTCTCATTCCCCAGAATTTAACACATTGCTACCAACAAATGATTTGGCTTAGATCCTTTCGGCAACCACAGCACAAACCAAAACAAGCAATATCCTTTTCCTCAAAAATTCTTATGCTATACAAATATGACCCAGTGAATGTTCAACCAACCTTGAAATTCCACTCGAGATTTACCAGGAAGGGAAAGCTGATAGCTTGTAAGATTCGCTTTTCATTCAGAGTATGTTCCACTTGTTTCAGTTTTACGACCTGAAGAGCAGAGGAATATTCAAGCAGAGTTAATATTTCACAGGGTAGATTATAAATGTCTTCATTAATTTAACAATAAAGAAACAATTTTCCTTATGTTATCTGTTTTGACTGCAAGACGCAGTTTTACTGATTGCTTTCAGATTTGTCGCTTTTGTGTTAGCTTACAGTGAAATTTTTATCATTTGCTGTCTAAATGTTTCCCTCTGAAAAGCAATGTCTGTATAAAGATCTATAAACCAATTATTGCTTGTGTTGAAAATACAAAGCGTTCACGGGCAATTTGAGTCGTATTATTTTAAATACGTTTGCAATGTATAACACATAAAAACAATGTTTTGATAGTCGAGACAAAGATTTTACGCGATTTACGAAGCAACGCTGTTTTGTTTACAGCTTTTCCCATCATAGAATGGTCTAGGATACTCAAGGTTGGAGGTCTCCAGCAACGGAAACAATAGTGCGGCCAGACGGTGTTGTATACAAGAAAGAATTTCAACTCAGCATTCCCTATATACCTTTTGTTTATCCAAAATCTTTATTGCATAAAACTTCCCAGATTTTTTGCGTTGAACAAGCATTACCCGACCAAAGGAGCCTGTCCCGAGGGTTTTAAGTCGTTCAAAATCATCGAGACAAGCTGTATTCTGCAAAAATCAAAATGCAAATTAGGCGTTGTGTTTGACTATACAAAAATATACACAAGACAAAAAGCTAAAGCCATACATAAATATATTCTTAAGCGGCTTAATCCTAAAACATTACACTTTCTCTGTTAAGGGCGATCATTCTGTTAGTTTAAATTTAGTATTTTTGCTTCAACGAACATAAAAATATTAAGAAACCAGAAAAGACAATTATTGTCAAAGCTGATTCCCTCTGCATTGTCCCTTTCAACGATAAGTCAATGACGCGTTCCACATCAACAAAAACCTCCACGCGATTTACCAAATAATTTTACCTGTGCAGGTTTTTCCCATTTCGTAGTAAATTCTTCCTTAGCTTGGCTTAAAAATTGCTTGACTAAAACGAACAAAAACGTATTAGGAACGCTGCATTTAACTTCTCAAAGATCATATCAAACACATGTACACAGTCACAATCAATATGTACGCCATTTACCATTCTCTGGATCGCCCTTTTTTCCCGTTGTGTTGCCCATCACTGTGGGGCAAAGGAGATTTTTACGATACTTAAAAGAGAGTGTTTTAAAATTCACCAAAGTAATCGCGTTTTTTGTTGTCGTTTCTTGGTGTATTATTGTTTTTCATGCCCAATTCGCCGAGTCCGGCAACAGGGAATTCAAGATGAAGCTGGCGGGTACATAAACGGAAACGTCACGATTTTTGCTGTTTCGTGATTGGCCAAAACCAATCTCGTACCCAGAGCCAGCGATCGAGTTAAACAGCTCATGTTCCATATTTGGGCGAAGGCCAAACAAATCTTTATTGGGTCTGTTTTTGACGTAAAAATGACGTAAACACCTTTCGAAATCAATCGAGGAATGAGAGCGTATAAACACTGCCATAAAAAATACCTAACTGTCTGATGATAAAGCCGTATTCTTGTTGCCTATGTTGTGACTTATGTCATTTGTTCGCGGCAATCACTCTCACAAAGCAACAGTACATTAATACGTACATCACCTTGTATGTCATTTATAAGTACCATAAACATTGTATTTGTACTTTATCTTTTGACCTTTTTACGGTGTACACACTCATAGTGATATTGAGCATTGTTGAAACAATTTGTTAAACTTAACAACAGAAAAGGCCCAGTACGAGTTAGCGTAAACAACGTTCGAAATCCGATGAATAAACACGCATAGCATCTTCGAAAACGAGAGTTAAAAAAAGGGATTCATGGGGTGTGGTGGTGCTCTGCAGATAATATGCAGTCAGGCACTCAAAATCAGTAATGGTGAATTAGTGGTATTAGTTATCCATCACCACTAAAAACTGGACTGCACTGCAGTCACTATTTCAATGTTTGTGAACTGCTTTCTAAATTTCGTAAATTCAGGAATGTACTTTTGATACAGCTCCAATTTAATAAAACCTCCCTGGCCTTTAGATAGTACTGCATTAAAAATACACTTCTCGCCCAAACCCTGAAAATTCCAGTCGCATGTGTTATAGAATATAGGATACACGAGGTTTATCGTTTAAGACGATTTTACATGAGTCAAGTGACTCCGAATTGACCCTGTCACACTCAGGGCGGTGCATATCAGTTGACAATAAATTAAATACTACCGTACTGATAGGATGAATTTTAGTATCACGAGATCCAATTTGTCAACGAACGAATCGAAGCTGCAAACAGTACCGTAGTTACGCACGAATTGTGATTCTGAACAAGTTTTATATACTAGAAATACATGCATGATGCATGCAGCAACCCCTCGCTATTTCAAACCAAGTACACAATTTCCTGAGTTAACCTGACCTAAATTTATATTATGAAATGACACAAAACTCAAATCAGTCTTAAAGTTTCCATCATTCAATACAAAAATAATCACAAAGCTAGTGTAAACATTGCCCGTTCAATTTTGCTGCATTATACCATGCCAGCAATTAAGTAACGGTTTAAAATCGAAGTTTCAAACGATTAAAACAGTACAAAATCTTCACAGACAAAGAAAAAACTTCAAATGTTATTTTATTCTGTAATTACAGTCAACACCGGCGGCTAAAAGTTTCAGTATACTTTATAAATATAGTGTGTATTTTTGATACCAAAATTCAAATTACACTTTCAAAAACACTTTTTGAAGTTAAAGCAAAGGTGTAATAGCCCTTCACAGGTTTATGCGTTTGCAGAAAAAGCTGAAAATTTAACAAATGAACGATTGAACGGCATACAAAGCTGAAAAGTATACAAATACGGCTCATTCTTACCGCGAAACAAGTACGAGATAAACAAAGTAAACACGTACCCTTTGTCTTTGAAAACATTTATAAGCTTGCAGATTATGAATTATTCCTCTTACACGGCTTTGTTTTGACTGTATCCACGTTCATCTTTGCTATCTGTCATGCTTCATATATCTTGTTTCTTCTCGTTTTACTTTCTTTGCACAAAGTTTATGAAACGCTTTTACAAAAATGTTTACGAAATGACAGTTAAATTGCTGACGTTCTCATTGAATTACAAACTTTCTGTCTTAGCCAATCAGAACGTTCGTTGATTACCAGTCTACACCATTGAAGTAAATACAACTGGAATGATAACTCTGTGATTAAGTCCTATGATTGGTTGAAGCCAACTCGTGCTACAAAAATTTTCACTCCCCCCGGAAACAAAACAAAACGTATCTATTTTCTCTTCGTTTTCCTTATTCTTACTCTTACTTCCAAAAAAACACAGGTATAAGGCATCCCTGTTTAGGGACCCTTTAGTTTTACATTTTAATTGCCTTTAAATTTAGCTTTAATAAAAACATCTTATGAAAACTTTAACTCTGACGTAAGCGACCGACTGTAGTAATTTTAATTTAATGTTTAGTTTTTATATTAACAATATTTTTGTAAGCATTTAAATGCAATTTTTTCGACTATAGGACGTTCAATTCTCTTGAAATTTCGCATACGGATGTATTTTACATGGGTTTTAATAATTTCTGAGGTTTCATGAGTTAGTTTTTCTTAAAACTTTCAATAACTCAGAAAATGCAACAAAAAACGCGCGGTTTTTATGATCGTTCGTACTTACGGCCGTGTTTTTTCATGGTTTTATGCCAATTTGTTTTTAGTTTGGTTTGCGAATAGTAAATTCGTTTATCATATTGCTCATATCAATTAAATTCGGTGGTATAACTAGTATTTTGGGGCAAGATTTGTCGGATTTAAAAATGTACATATTTTTTTAAAAAAAATTAAAAAGGACTGGGTCTACCTACAAAGCGGGTTTCACGCACGGCTTCAACTCCCCCCCCCTGACTTATCATTCCAGTTGTATTTACTTCAATGGTCTACACTCGTTCGCATTTCACGCATGCGCACAAGTTCCATGACCATTGAACGTCCACGGTCCACGGTCCACGACATAGAATTTGAGCAACTTTGGATTCCGCTATGTTCTGTCACAATACCCGGGTGTAATAAATCTCCCAGCGGAATTAGTACCCTCGCACGGCGCTTCGCGCCGGCTCGGGGATTACGAAATGAATAGTACTCACTAGGGTCTCCCTTGGAACTTTTTGATGACTTCATAAAGTATTCTTCAATCAGTTTCAACTAAACGGTATTGAATATAGTTAATCATTTGGAAATTATACTGTTTTTCCCGTTTCTTGAGACAAGATGCTTAAATCAAAGGAATGTTTACCCGCCAGTGCGATCCACACTTGTCAGGGAAACTTAGCCAGCTCTTTCGAAGAAAAAAAACTAAACCAAAGTGTTGTACTGTGTGAAGAACAGTATCGACATGGATAAATAACAACGAAATAGCTGCTGATCCAGATAACGTTTTAGAAAACGAACTAGCTGTAGTTCGTTGCTGCAAACAAACCAATACTGTAGAAGGTGGGAAGGGATTAAGTTGCAAGAAAATGATTAGCCATTATTAAACTGACCCTTTGTGAAAGGGCTTATAAATGACAGCGCTTACCTTTGAGATGGTAATGATATGTCGGCAAGGTAACACCAATAATGGCTCTTGAAGTCTTTCTGACGAATTATCGCTGGATCTTTTATACGAATGTCTATCTTCGAAATTATTTTCTTTTCCTAATATAATTTGTATTTTATAACTTCATTAATTTGTATACTAATGCCACTAAGACTAGTACCCAGTAAAATGCTGTTTGGGGCGGTGTGTGGCCCAGAGGAGATAGGGCGCTTTCAATAAATTGCACGGTATGCATGAGACCCGCTTATTGGAAAGATGTCAACAAGTGAGGCACGAAAATTTCAACATTAGAATACAGTAGAACTGTGGCAAAGCCGCTATGAAACAGGTGCATAGTATAACCTTTAGCAACCAGTTTGCAATTATCCATCATTCTGGCAAAGCAACATGGTCTTAGCAAAACGTCTCGTGAGTGAGGTCTATTGTTGGTGGATTTGATAACTTACAATGAACAGTTTTATGTATTGACATCAGTAACATTTTAACTGAAATATTGTCAAACGGGGGGGGGGAGAAGGAGATAAGCGTCTCCAGCACTTTTCACGACTCGCGGGTCCAGCTGTTTCTGAGAGTTAGCTCTACAAGTACAATACTCACATGTTATTGAAGTATTTTGGTGAATAGCTTGCTGGACCTTTGCTTATTTCGAGAATTGGTGGATGATTGAGCCTGGTGCTTGCACCAAAAACATTCAGTACACAAAAAATAAAAGAATTATTCGCCCTTTTTATGGAATTTCAATTCATTTTGGTCTTTCAGGGGATGACGAATATTTGACATTGAAGGTACTATTGTTTTTAAACCTAAAACCATTTCAGTATTAAAAAGTTGCCGTCACGTGGGCTTACGTCCTCACATGGACTCCAAAAATGGAGGTATAAAGCTGTTGCAACTTGGAAGGCGGTTGTTTAGAAGGCAGTTAGCTTCAAAGCCCGAGGACTGAATATTATGCACACACCCAAACCCTCACTACATCAATAGGGAACGGAGCAAAAGTCGTCACCTGTCAAGTCGTCATCCGTTATTAAAAAATCGATCTGTGGACTGTGGGCGCTTGTATTTATTGATGTTCGCAATAATTGTTCGCAATGCATTGCGGTAAAATGTACATGCTGTCATTTTACTCATTGGTTCGCTGTATGAAATTGCTGTAGGATTTGGCGCCGATCAAAGCTTCCTTCCAAAACTAAACTTTTATGCTACGACTTCCCATCACAAGTCCGGAATGTGTTGTACTGTAGAAATATCGCAAGTACATTGCAAGGCGTGTTATTGTAAATCATTCATCCCCCCCCCTTCCAAGAGTTCCAACTATGGTAGAACGTGCGTACTAAACTGTTGCATTACCCCACAACACCCACAACGTACACTGGCAGATAGTTACGGGAAGTATTTTTATAATACCAAAGAACTGTAATTTGCCAGTGTTTATACAAATAATCTGTCGATGTATCTGTTTGGCGGAAAGGCATTGAAATTTGAACTGATCGGCAAAGACTATAGTATATTACTGTTCTTTTAAATTTATTAAAATACTCAGTGGTTCCATAACTTAATCTGCCAGTCTGCCACACTAATTCCGAATAACATTTTGAAGTACGTTTAGTGAATCTACAGCCTCGTACCCAGGCGCTTTAGTGGAAAAATATAACGTTGCATTCATATATAGAGCTCAGTGAGTTCAAGTAAAAGAATCGAGCGCGCGTGGGTGCTTGGGGTGGTTCCCAAACACCCCCGCGCGCTTGCTTTCTTTCAGCTGACCTCTATACAATAGCTGGATGCAACATAATATATTTTACTACTAAAGCGCCTGGGTACGAGCCTGGTTCGACTAGATTCGTCCTGATGATGACTAAAATCTAGTCGAAACAAAATCTTGGAGTTGGAAAGGAAAATACTTTATTTTTGTTAAGCTTAGTAATCCAATACCGGTTTGCTAGATCATAACAAAAAAATGCACGTGCAGTGGATCGCAGTGGATGGACTTTGGCCTCTATTAAAATGGCCATCTTTGAAGCACGTGAAAACGAACATTAGCCAATCATAATAGTTCTTCAATATGATAACCTGCACGCTTCAACGAAATGGACCAATCAAATTCCACAATCATAAGACGCAAAAAGTACAGTTTGTTTATGTTCATAAGTTGTGAAGGCCATTCATATATTCACATTTGTAAGACAAAAAGGTCGATCAACGGCAATCATTAGTCGCAATCAAATATGTCCCTTGCCACCAGTTTTCTACCAAAACCCCAAGCGCTGGGAAGCAGGACTTTTAACTTTGGTACTCCCAGAGAGAGTACGTCAACTGATAGTCCAATGGCAGTGCAATTTTCAATAAAAGAACACGAAGATCATGAATTGCCGGTAATTGGTACGCACATCCACAGCCATATTTTACCCGGCTTCAGATATCGCGTTCGCTTCGGTGGTACAACTGATTATCTGTTCGGCGGAAAGGCGTTGAAACTTGAATCGATCGGCAAAGGATACGGTAAAAGAATCACATTTGAAAGTGATGATATTCTTGAAAATGATAACTTCTTTTGGTCGGATAGTCACGAAGCTGGTTTTGTGTTTTCGCCCGAAATTTTATCAGGCACCGAAGCCTTTCAAGTCATGGATACTAAGGGAAAGACTATGGGAAGATTTTCCGTGAACAGTGTGAACAAACAACAGCAAATTACAGGTGTTACCATGGAGAAAAACATGGTCACTATTCACGCAAAGATCAGTCTTTGTGGAAACATGCGACTGTTTTCTCAAATGAAAGACGTTCCTTTGGCGGGAGATGTAATTGTGAAAGTCAACCGTTTTTCATGTACCATGGAGTTTTTGGAGACAAATAACGACACGTTTGAATGTGTCTTCATAAAAATGATGTAGAATTTGGTCTAAATACTAATTTCAAGTTAGCCTATATAGACAGTATGCATAAGATTTTAGTGATCGTATAGGCATTACAAACAGACAGAAGTAATTAAATTTTAATACTGTGCGAAATTGTTGAAAAATAAAGAAACATTAGGTTACTTTAGTTCATAAATATATATCATATGTAAATTAAAAGATGAATATATTAAAATGTCTTATATTTAGTTTCCGGGTTTTTATTTTAATTCCTGCCGTAGCGAGCGTGGGACAACGTTTTTCTTCAACTTTCTTTCGGGGAGCTTGATGTTCACCACGGTACTACAAAATTTTGTGCAATCTGTTCCTTTAGCTTCTAATGAAAAAAATTGTTACTGTTTTGGTTCAATAAAAAATATGCCCATATTGCTTGTGGAGAGATAAGATAACTACAAAAAGCAAGGCTAAAGAGGGACCACACGCTTTTGCACTTAGTATAAAACATAATAGGAGCTTTTGCTTAACCAATACGGCAAACCGCAAACGGCTAATTTGAAGTCACATTAAAGGCATATTTTGCTTAGATCTTTCGGCCATAATTTGTCTGAGCAGTTACTTTATATTTGAACATAATGCACTATTTTTTCTTGCGGTTGATGTTATGTTGTAAAGCCAAACCAATGCCAAGGGTCTGTAGGGACTATTTTCCTTCGCAGGTGGCCCGAATTTTATTTCTATTCACGAAGAAAAGATTTTGCAAATTTACTTCGGACTATAATCATTTTGAATTGTTGCAATTATTCATTTCTCCGTACTTTTGCAGGGCGTGCCGTATATCTGCATGGCATATCTATGAGCACCCAGGACCGTCCTGAGGAGGGGCAATTTGCTCGAGAACAAGGGAACGGGATGATTTCACCCACTTAAAGTACCAGGGATCCAAAGGCAGTGATTACAACGTTTGTCAAATCTTCAAAGATATTATTAGTAAATACTAGAAATCAAAATCGGAATCAAATACAAACTAGTATGGTATTGGAAGAGCATGTATCTAATATGGCATAGCCATGAAAATGTTCAATGTCAATGAATATTGCTAGATTTTTGTCATATGTATAGCCATGACCTTTTCAAACAGCTGTGGCAAGTCTGCAACACTGTTTATCATGTAGTCTGGGTTACTCTGCTTTAGCATTGTTTCTGTCTGTGTTCCTGTCTGAACAGCAACTGTCCAACACCCTGCATTTCTTCCTTCTTCTATATCCATCACTGTATCCCCCACCTTCCAAACACTTCTCTTGTTAGTTATTGAACAATGCTTCATTGCTGAATGTATTAGAGATGGATGTGGTCGACCATGACCCTCCTGTTCTGCACTTGAAACATATTCAACCAAATCTTTCCAACCTAACTTTTCAACTAAAGCTAACACAACATCATGTGGAAATCCACTGCCAACCGCAAGTTTGATTCCTCTCTTTTTTAGCCAATGAAATGTTGTCGTCGTTCCAGGGATTTCTTTATTAATATTTATCAAATGAGAATTTAGGGCCAATTTAAAATCCTTAAATATATCATCTAAAGAATCTAACCTAGTTTTATTTGTAATGTTTGCACATTTAGAAGTAATGAGACAATTATTCAACTCCACTTCTTCAAATTCTTTCAACAGACACTGCACAGCACGTCTTTTGTCCATTCCTCTCACTTTATTCACTTGGTCATGATTGATTTTAATTCCGTGGCAGGCAAAGGCTTCAATCATTGCAACAGTGACTAAAGGTAAACCGTCTATTGTATCATCTACAGTTGTTCCAGCAAGATCGAACACAACAAGATCTATCTTTTCCGCCATCTTGAACACGTCACTTCCAAATGAAAAAATAGGTACGTTAAGCGTACATGTATTTTCGTATGCACCATGCATGGGTATATAGATAATTTCTCAACACTTAATATACAGTTGGTTGACCCTGATTGCGCTCCTAAAATCCTAAAACCATTCTCAATAAAACTAGAAAGTCATTTCCTAAAAGCCTAACCTAAAAATTTGCTACTAAAGTTCAAAAAGTTGCCCGTACTTATTATGCTCGGATGAACTTTGAATAGAGGTCTGTTGGAGGACGAAGGCTCATCTTTATGATGTACTAACTAAATTTTAATGCCATATTGGTCCGCTATGGCTCTAAACGAACATGGAATAGTGTTTAGTGACGTTAATTCAAAAAGTAAACACATATACTTGAGTTGTACTTGAGGTAGCATTTGCTACCCAACAAGGTAAACTAGTATTTTCTGGGACGGGGGAAATAAAATTCAAAAGTATGGCGGAGGGAGTACAGGATGTTTTGAGGGTAGGTATGCGTATATAGTATACAGTAAGTTAGCTATATTACTATTAGCTATAGAATTTATTTTTCTATCATTCAAATACTTTCAGATCTTATGTATTCATGGATATAGGTATGAATACTTTAATTTCAAAGTACATATTGCATTTCCACAAATTCGAACCTTTTTCTATACCTTTTCAAATTATGTTTATTAATTAATGCAGGCAAAGTGGAAAAATTTTCCGAGATAAAACAGGATCGTTTAGGAAAGGCCTAAAGAAACTTCCTCTCGAATTTGGTAACTATATTTACAGTTTCCTTTCATTGCTCCATATCAGAAGCTATGCATGTGTCTGACGCACAATTTAAAATATTGGTTGTTAATATATCTAGTCTATAATGGAGTCTGGATATATTGTTTGATCAAATATTCCTTGTTTTTCCCACAGTGTATATTACTGCCCCGAATAAGATACCAAATGTGGAGGATGAAGGTATCTCTACACCTATTTGTTTGAACCAATATATTATGCTACATTTGTTACCAGCACTGTGCTAAAACTATGTTGCATTTTGATCTAGAACAATATGGTTGGTGGTTTTCTACACAAGAGAATACTTATGACCCATTAACAAAGTCAAGTTATTGTAAAGGATATGAAACAACAATCAACTTTATGCAGGATGTTTTTCAAAAGCAGGTTTGTCAGTTGTTGTGTAACTACCTTGTCATTTATGAATCATGGTTGGCAGACACCAATGAAGTTTAAATATTCTGACATATATTCACCTTTACTTTACAGTTTACACCCCTTGTTTTTTCCTTTAGGGTCCATTTGATGGTAAGCAGTCTAGCTATTTTTCAATTTTTTCATCTAGGTTTTTGTTGAGATTGGTATATCTGTAATGGGTACATTTATAATGCGACAATAAAGTCGGATATTTTACTTTTAAAAGGCTTTTAAGTCTGTTATTTGCTTGGTTCTAGGGCTTTGTAACCTAAGGAACCTTGTATTGTAAATGGCTAATCATAAAATATTCCTTCATGCCTTTTAATATATATGTTTAATTGAATGCATACTGAACACCATTAGATGCTCAACTTATAAAGTGATTACCACAAAAAGTTGTTTGAAAAGCACAGCCAAATGAATTCATTACAATATGAGACTATATGAGACTTGTTTAGGACTGCCTGTTCTGACCGTGAATCCATGATACTGTTTGTGTATGGGTAACCATGCAATGCATCTTCTTTAGATTAATCGATTCTATAGTATAACGATGCATGACGTATAAAATGAACAGCGATTATAGTAAGAAAATCATGCAATTATTATTTCGAATAGAAAGACAGAATCCGTGATTCAAAAGGCATCTTTTTAGGAATCTTCTCATTCAGTCAAGGAGCTTCTCTAACGTCACTTTTGTGCGCGATGAACGAGGAGAAAGGTAGATAACTAATAACTTAGCTTCCATCTGGGTATTTATGGCTGCATTTATGACGCGAATTACTTCTCTGGGGCCTGGACCAGGATGCGTGCTCCAATAAGTTTTCGTTCGGCATATCAACGGCGTAAAAAATACTCACCAACTGATTCAGCTGTGTAACGGGAAACGTCAGCATTACAATATCAATTACAATATCTAGCAACAATTGGCCAATCGCTTGTCCAGGATATTTGTTCTTGGGCAACAAAATACCCTTGGTTTATAACAAGTAACAACCTGAATCTACTCTGGCTTTAGTATTCCAAATGAATGGTTTCCAGAACTAGATTGTCTGATTGTGATGGACACCGATATAAACAGGTCGTCTTATCACATATTGGCCACTTTAAGCGCGAATTTAACTGCATATTCCCAGTAGACTAACCTCAGACAAATCCCAATATCATATATCATTTTTTCTTGTATACTGATTACCTGAAGAAGCACGCATTCTAGGTGCATATTTGCTTTTCTGGTCCAGGGAAATTAGGAGAGATAATGCAATCTTTGTTATATACATTGCTAAATCACCAATCATATAATTTCTTTCATTATACACAAGGTTCAATAATAAATTTCAAATTTGCAATAATGGTTGCTGGCTTCACATCAAAATCCACACAACATGACGTGTTTTATGAAAACCTTATCAAATGTCCAACCCTTCACGTTTATGGTGAAACTGATCAAGTCATACCAAAAGGTAGACATGAATATTGTAATTAAAGTACGCGCCTAATATGGTAATAATACGCTTCAATAGAGAAACAATGCTTACACTTTAACTTATATAGAAAATAGTGTGAAATTGGTGGAATATTTTGACAATCCTGTGACACATTGTCATCCTGGAGGTCAGTTTCCATGCCACTGGGTTGTTGTTGTTAAAATGCAGACCATTTTCATCAGTTTAATGTACCTTTCATTATTTAGGTCATTTCGTTCCAGCTTCCTCTCAACATAAACAAGTTTACATCGACTTCATACAGAGATTCTTATCGTGACTGACATCCCAAGGTTTAGAGCGTAGAAGTATTTTAGGGAATTTTCACCAAGTGTACAAAAACAATCGTTACAATCTTTCTTGGAAATTTAAAGGAACAGTTTCTTTCATTCCGCGTTTTCCTTTAGACTACCGTAAGTTGAACAACGTCCAAAAAATTATTGCAACTATGCTTGTACTAGCTCGGGTATTACTAAACCATTTGCTATATTGATATGGACTTCAGTCTGTTGCTAACGTGTGCAGTTGACAGCAGATCGAGTTGGGACAATTAAAGTGGAAATATTTTTCAGAAGGTTGAATGCAACGAGACAGTAATAGCTAATTCATGCCTTGATATGTCTTATAAACGTAAATGGTTATCTGTTGGATTATATGTATTATATGAAAAACCATGGTTAAAATGAAATCAACAGTATTTACAAAGTGGCCTAACATCATCATACAGTCAATTGTTTGTTAGATTATTATTTTAAATAATGTAAAAGATCCCTACAGTTATAATTCTGGTTATTTTCCAGGTTTGTATAATCCAGTATTCCTATATTGTTCACACTTGGTGGTCTTGTGGGCTGCTAAGAATATAAATTTATTTTGATCAAACTGGACCACTGATAAATTAATAATCTATCTCGTATGTCTATCTCGTAATGTATACATTAGACTGGGAGCATATTCAGATATATTCGCGCTCACAAAAATATCTGCCCGCCCACTTGTGAACTTCGAGAAGCCGACTTTATTGAAATCTATTCAGTTATTCTGTGGTAGACCGTAATAATTTACCTCGGCTGATTCTCCTCAGACGTTGACCCTTCACCAAATGAACTTTGGTTCGTAGTCTGAATAACAACACTGGCTGCAGTAGCTTGCTGAGAAGACTCGGAATTATCACCTCGATCATGAAGCTAAAAAAATTAACAAATCAATTCTTCTCATCACAACGGTAATAATTTAATCATGAATCACAATTTCGCAAAACAATTCTTCATATATAATCCTATATAGCAATATCAGCCGTCTTTCACGGAGAGAATGTGAGTACAAAAATTAAAACTCGCATTGTTAAGCACCTATCTTAAATGCAAAATGAAGCGGACGAAATTTGAGGGAAATGTGATTTGTCATACCTGATGCATATAGAGCATACTTGAATTCATTTCTTCTTCCAGTCTTAATCTTTCCTGAACCCCGGTGTGATCCACACTACCGTGACTGGTAGACATGAATGACTGTGAAACATGTGGTAATGAAGCCACTGGTGCCAAGGATGGCAGACCTGTAGACTGATGATTAAAAATACCGTAAACATTCCATTGTGTAAATAAGCTTTTGGTCAAAAAGAAACAGCATGCAATTGACCATTCGAAAAAAGCAGGCCTGTTCGATCACGCAAAATTTGCATTCGAGATCTTCTCTTGCATGTAAAATCATACTCTAAAGAGATATAGTCTAAAGAAATATTTATATCTAATATATCGTTTTTAATAGAGGAACATTTTAACAAGCCTTGTTTTGGCAGAATATAAGCTGATCAGCCTTGTTTTCACCTATAAACTCGAAGCAAGCCCCTTGCTGTTTTCGTATATTGTTTTATACTACACCTAATTCATATTTTCGTTGAAAACTCGGCTTACTTGGATTCGAGATGTCTGCATGCTTTCGTTGTTTCGTCCAGAAAGACTTGTTTGTAAGCTTGGATACGAATCTTTGGCAGCTGTGGAGAGAATTTAGGTCAATCAAATGGTACGCGAATGACCAAAGTGAATTTATAAACCGTAAAAACAAAAATACTGTCTATGAAGGCCCTACCATTTTCTTTGATTGTGCTCATGAACTGAATTTGTGATTGTGGAGGTTTCCATTGAGGGTTTTTTATCTGTAATTTTAGGTAAAATTAAACTATTTGTTTATCCAGGATTTAATTTCACTTTGTTTTATTCAACTTTATTACCGAGAATTGAAGTAAGGATAGTTCTGTTTTGCCATTTTCTGCTTGCTCATATTGACTGGCAGCTGTCAAACCATGGGACATCCACTAGTTAATGAAGTAAACAAAGCAATTTATCCCAAAACTTGACAGCTAGTACAGGACGTTACCCGAGATCGAAGAAGACGTGAAGTGACTTTGAAATATTGAAAGAAGTAGAAAATCAAATCATACAGAGCTTATGAGGAATATGTTTCGCCAGTTTCGGTTGATGATAAGGCTGTTGTTAGTATTTGCTTCTTTCAATACCTCAAAATCATTTCACGTTTTCCATATAATCGCAGCTAGGCGGGATCGTGCGAACGGCCTCTTACTTCTGGATTTCCATGTTTTCGTACATCCATCTGAGCAAATGAACAAACATCTCCTACGCCAACAACCTCCACAGTAAAATTCCGAAAAAAATCAACAATATCGAGAGCTTTGTATCTTATACTAAAACACAGCAAGAATGGTGTCACCAGGGCGCTCACAAGTTCTTGAATAACGAAAACCTGGGAAAAAGCATATCGATCACCATCTCGTAGCTTGTGGAGCGTGGAGTATTATTAGAAAAGGATTAAAAAAGAAAAGAACATACAGCTTTGTACTCAAACAACTGTTGAAATTCTTGAAAAACCTTGATACAAATGAAAATGTACAGGTAGTTTTTCGCAATATAAGGATACCATGACAGCACTATAATATGGTTTGCATATCATCTATACTAATACAAGTATAGTATACATACTTCGTTTGTGTGAGCTTTCGTCTTCCATTCATCAGGAATATAATGAATATGAACTAAAACTTGTCTCAACAGTTGTTCAGGACACCAAATCAAGTTCTAGAAAACAATAGTGCAAATGTAAGTATCACTATGGACTTATCTATCAACCATGATTTAGTAACACCAAGAAGCATATGCATGGAATGCATCGTAAATGTTGTTCGTGGAATCAGTTCTTGGATGTGATACTACAGTTAAAATTCAGTGGTTATACGCATAGTTATGTTAACATCGTTAAACAAATTTACCTCGTCTGGTATAAATGCATAACAAATTCTTATTAGAAGACCTAAAAGTAAAAATAACTTGTCAGTATGGCCACCAGATTTAGTCGCTTCTCATCAGTAAAATCTCGCGATAACTGTTCTGATTGTTACAGTATAATTTGACCAATTAAACTCTACCTAGACTAGCTATTGTAGTTAACATGTGTTCAGCTCTGAAGACATCTTGATCGTAAATTGATAGACAAGTTAATACGGCAAAAAATGAGCCCGCAACAAAGGCTATATTCCTAGATAAACAGTAAAGAATAATATAAGCAGGATTTGATAATAGAAATGTACAGTATAACTGCCATTGCCTCTATGATGAAAGAGTTTATTATAACACGGTGGTCGTTTCCCAATTTCCCATTTTTTTTAGGAATATCACATTTTAGGATTAAAACATAACATTTCAATAAATTACTTTGATATAATGGCAAGAAAAGGTGAAGTAAAAATATTCGTGTACTGATTCGCAGGCTCGTAAGCTTTGTTCAATCTGAAAAAAGAACAAAATATTAAACAAATATAAAAAAGAATAAAAAAAATGGTATTCAAACACCAGCCAACACCGCAGAAATTGGTGTTTATGAAGTTTCAATCCGTAAAGCTGATCACTGGTTCAGATTGTGCATTTCTGTATCGCTATCAAAGAGAAAACTATTGAACAACTTTAAAAAGTTCGGTTTTTCTTCCGAATACGCATTATGCAATCTTTTGACAGCTCATTATAAACATCTTAACATTTTATTAACACCATTTTGAGGCTAAAAGTATACGCAAGGTTATTACTTCAGATGATTCGTTTTTGCCGTGTGCAAGCTTTAAATCTTTTGTGCAAGACATATTTTGTGTAGTATCTATAAATCTTTTTTCTCACCAAGTTTGAAGCCTAAGTATTGAGAATTGCGGCTAAGTATTTTTCAGTTTTACCAATTTCCGCGGTGTTACACCAGCCACAATTGACAGACGATCTATAGCTATTCAAATGTAATAAACACTTACCGTATTTGAAATTCATGGTCTAATTCATTGAAATGTCTAAGAAAGAGACGGCCATAATAGGACCTGGAAAATTAAATACATATACATCTGAGCTGGGAAATTAAATATATAGCTATTAGGCCGTAGGATGAGCATCCAAAAGATGCAATTCCGTTGCACCCCTCGTGAAACTACATAATTTTCACATGAATCAATAGATAAAAACTTACTTTATCAGAATCCGTTGCTCCCCAAGCGAAACAGGTGCACAAATGGGAAAAAAATCCCTCCAAAGTTTGCTATATTCGCGCTTCGAAATATTCGAACCGCCATTGTTTTAGTAGCAAATACGCATGCGCTTGTCAGCCAAACTCGCACTGCGCACGCGCAGACAGGAAAAATGGATTTTCCCTGTGGGTTTTCCCCGATTTCCCGTGTGAAAATAACAAAATAAAATCACAGAATAAAGATCAAACCTTGTAATATTAACGACGCCATTTCGCGCGAAGGACGAACATATTGACGATTTCAAATTAAACTCTATAACAGCACAAGTTTTTTAAAACTGTCTACGAATTTTACTATAGTATAAATTTTTAGCTTTTTGATTTTGCACATTAATAGATGTTAGATTTTGTCTGCGTTTGTTATAAATGGATATGGATTAGCATTGTGGTATATATAGTTTAAATGTTTTTTAACTGTTATATTTGTTATTATAACAATTTTATCACCAATATGTACGTAATTTTTAAAATAGATTGCTATTATAATTTAATCATTTTGTACAAATAACGTTTCCATAATACATTTAAAAACTAATTTATCTTATTCGATTAATTATTTTGTTTTTGTAAATATTACCACATGAGTTCAATACACACACAATAAATATTGTTAAAACACATTGTACATTTTGCTTGCTCATATGCTAAATCACTTCAATTTATTGGCTATTGTTTCAAAATACCGTTTTAACGTATAATTCTACTTATTAACATCTTAATTCAATAAAAATTTGTGAGGTAAAAAACCCACCTGTATCAAACAGGACGGAGAATATATAAATATACATACAACTCACACAATCAAGAAACAAGTTAAATATTTCGCTTAAATATAGCCTTGGCCAAACGCATAATCCCATGCAAGAGTAGTTGGAACATCACTAACAAAGCCTGGAGGAATAGCAGAATCATTGGATATATTCATCTGTGCAAGGGCAGTTTCATGGCACAATACAAATGAGTGTGACATGCAATGTCCAAAGCCACTCAATAGAGAAATTACTGAGGCTGAATCTGTCAGTTGTCTAAGTGCCATGGCAAGTGCTATGCTCTTGGGTGTAAGATTCCTTCCCCCAGATGCTAAATTCACAAGGTCTTGTACAATTGATGTTAGTTTGGAACTGTTCTTGCCCTCAATTGGCACGTACTTACTTAAAGTTGGCTCTGAAGAGAATCCACAAGTCCAAGCCAATACATTAAAAAGTTCATATGGAACCACTTTTCGCACATTATCTATTGTCAAATCAGATGCCAATGGTGGCCAAGGAAGATTCAGTTTTGGTATATCTTGGACCTTTTGGCGAAGAATCAATGTAGCATTGTATAGAATTTGTAACTCATTGACTTTAGAATTTCCCTCAGTTTCTGTGTTGGAATTCAGATCATCATCATCAATGGTACCGGTATAGCTCTCTTCATCAAAGTCTTCATCGTTGTTTTCTGACTTGTTTGACATATGTTCCTCAACCAATTCGGAAGAATCCAAATTTTCCACATATACAATCTCACTAACATTTCTCATTTTCGGTACATAAAACACAAGTTGGGGATAACTTTTCATCTGTCGTTGCTTGAGTTTAAAAGCTCTATATTTAGATGCATCCACATTCTCGGTGTCCTTAGCAATGATAACAAATTTCTCCAGCAATCTTTCATGTACCTTATTTGCTTATTTGCGATGACCTCAGTCTTGATTACTTTCTTACAGAAGACATCATAAGACTTCTCGTACACTGTAGATCTTTCAGTCTCCAATTGCTTCTTTGTCTCTCTGGTGAGAAAATTTGTATGATTGCAGTAGCAAACTTTGTGATAGCGGACTTCCAGTGCTACACAGTCTTTCCCCCGGATTTACACGAGTATCCGTTCACCATTCTTTCTCTCGGCAGCTGTACGTAGAAGACCAGCATCAATTGTTTCTGCCAACATGAGTGGGGTTCTTCTTCTCTTCTTAGTCACCTGGTGTGAACAAAACTATTAAACTTAATATCTGCTAATAACACAGTTGGATGTTTGTAGCATTAGAAACTACTTTACCCTAAGACTAAATAAACTTAATTGACCACAATTCAAGATATTTTAAAACCAACTCGAGAATCTGTGCTACTAGTGCACATTGCACCAGCTACTAGTGCACATTGCACTAGTATAATTATATCTATCAAAATGACCATACCTTGTCTAGTGAGAACTAAGAGGAATCTCTTCCACAAACAATACATATCTCTGGAAGTACATGCTCGTTTCTTTTAGGCAGGGTCTTATTAACGTCTGCGACTGATTGTCGTGTAATTTTTCGCCTTGGTTCCATTGGTTCCACTTTCACATGTAGTCCTTCGGTAGGAGTTACAGTTTCAGAGCTAGTGCCTTCTCCTTTTTCTTCCTTTCGCTGTTGTCTACGGATCTTCTCTTCATCACAAAATCTCTTCCAGCATTTCATATGATGGTACCATTCTCAGTTAATGCTGTTAGGGTTCTTCTCCATGTATGAATTGACAGATCCGTCATCGATGTTTTCGTAAGATTTCTTAGCTATTTCAGCTTGTTGACATTTAAGTTTGGCCCATTTTGGACCTACACTCAAGAAATTTCTTAAGCCTTTGGCGTGTAACTTTGCAAAGTTGCTCCGTAACGCCATCAAAATGAATAAAACATGAGGATATTCGAGTGTTATAAATATCTTCAGCCATGATTATTTTGCATAACTCGAAGCATGTGCGTGCTTATGCGCGTGCGCAGTGCGAGTTTGGCTGACAAGCGCATGCGCATTTGCTACTAAAACAATGGCGATTTGAATATTTCGAAGCGCGAATATAGCAAACTTTGGAGGGATTGTTTTCCCAATTGTGCACCTGTTTCGCTTGGGGAGCGACGGATTCTGATAAAGTAAGTTTTTATCTATTGATTCATGTGAAAATTATGTAGTTTCACGAGGGGTGCAACGGAATCCGTTTTCTAAGCATCTTTTGGATGCTCATCCTACGGCCTATATATGTACGTTCTCAGTTTATATATAATAAAACTGGGGGATTGGTTCAAAAATTAGAATCAAATCGTTACCAGTGTCGCGCGCCAAATGTACCAGGGGATCTTTTTATCATCTATATCAAAGTTGATTAGTTTTATGTAAATGTTAATGAAGTTGACACAAGTTTATTTCTACGAATTCTGCGTTTATATGCATTTCATTTCAACAACGAACGAACTGATATTGATCATAAAGATTTTTTCACACGTGCATGTATTATTCCAAAGCCGTAAAAAAATTTTATAAAGTCTTTTATAAAGGATCTGATCAGACCTACGTGTCATGAATGAACTTAACTCGACTTTTAGGGTCGACCTAGGCCTGGGGCACAGAGTACTACACAGAGGTGGAACTCGCGGCAAATCTTGTCCCCCTGTTTTTAATGCGCACGCGCTAGGCTCTGGCAAGTGTTTTTGCACTTTTTAATAAGGAAAATTCGATTTTTTAGCAGAAAAAATGCAATTTTAAAGCCAAGGGTCTTTTGCTCTTCGTTTTTTTGACAAATTTTATTTATCCATCCGACATTGCTCCTTTTGGATTAAAAATGACTGCGATAATACGAATTAAAACGGGAAAAAAAGGGAAATACAACTACGAGGAGTGCGATTTTCACACGAAGCTTCTAGAACTGCCAGGTAAAAATTCAAAGTTTGGTATTTCATCTTATAAATGTAGGTCTATCTGACTATATTTCGCCAACATGCAGTCGTATTTTTTTCTAGATGGCGAAACAATCTTCTCAAAGTCAGTTAACTTTTGAGCGGACGACATATCTACTGTTCAACAAGATAGCAAGTTACGTGGCTATTAAAAAGTTTTACAACGCATACGTAGTTTACTGATATTTGTGAACCCTATTATGTCTCCTATGTGTATTATATTCACATCCAAAATTTGGAAAATAGCTTTCAATCTTCTCATAGAAGCCACACAGCATTGCATAGATTAGATTGGAAATTGATCTGCATGTCCTTCATGAATATTACAATCATGTATGAACTGAAATTAATATCTGTTAGCACATTTACCATTTGTGTCAGTGTGTGAAGTTGGATTTATACTCATGTAAAAGTATTGTATATATATATAGGTAAAATTTGCATTTGTTTATTGTAAATCCTTTGAATTCAAGTTCAAGATTCGAATAAAAAACATGTAGTTTTTGCTAGTTTTATGGCAAAATAAATTATTTTCAAAGAAATTTTTTCGTGTGTTTGAATTTTAGAAATAACACATCAATCATGCTTGTTTTAAGATCAGCTCAGATGTTTTCTGGATGGAAAAATAACTGCCTAATTTATAATCGGCGATGATGTTGGCAATCAACTTGATATTTATAAAGAAAATCATTCGTGCTTGTATTTCTTACCTCTTTAACCTAACGCATATATTTTTTACAAAAACACAACCATTTACCGTTTGTTTTTAAAATTTAGGCGCAAAAATGGAGGTCGATAGAGCCAGCTTTAAAATATTAACATTTTTCGTCTTTCGAACACCTTTTCTCCTTACTTTAGAGTCAAAATACACTTGCCAGAGCAATTTGCGTGGCGCGTGGAATGGCGTGGGCAGGGGGACAGCAACATCAAAGGGTTCCGCCGCGAGTTCCATAACTGTATATCATTAAACTGTGCCCGTAGACTTCCAATCGTGTGGGCGTTGGGCGGTGGGCGATCTTACCTCAAATTCGCGTGACACCGGGTGAGAGCAACCTCGCAAGCCAGGCTCTTTTACCCACGCTCCTCGCGGCCCACGCTTTGGGGTGAGAGCGGGTTGGGCAGTGAGACAGAGGAAGAGGGCAGACATATACATCCGGTTTTCTGCGATTGCCATTGGTGGTGCTTCGAATGCGGAGAATACAGGTGCTTCCGGTAAATCGCACGTAAATAATATTTATAAGCCCCCGTAAATTATACCAATTCAATATATTAACAGGGGGTGTGAACAAGGAAAAATAACGTAAACATGGACTTTATTCGCATTTATTAGCCATCACATTTGCATAATTTCACAACAGAACGTCGACAGAAATAAAGTTCTCCTATAACGTTACATAAGAACATTTTGCGTTGCACTTTTGCGTAAACTTGCCGTGTGAAAGATTGAAAACATTAAAGTATGGCATATCAAAGGACTTAATGACTATTATATTCTTTCTAGGTTGAATTTCAGCGATATAAAAACAATAAAAGCTTATTATCAACATTCAACTTGCGATTGACCGACGTCTCGAATTGCTTTCCGATTTTCATACTGGTGAGATTTGGACATGAACTTGTGTATATGTTCCGGAAAATAACAACGGATACATTTACATCAACACAGCTTTTATTATGGCTTTGAAATTTTTACAACAAATCCAACTGTTGCTTTGGAAAAACTTCTCAATTCGACGGCGTCAGTGGGTGAGCGACACTTTTTAAAAAGTTTCATATATTTAATATTGTTTAATGCTGTATTTACATTTTTAAACTTACGTTTTCATGTGTTAATACCAAGGGGGATTAACGTTCTGTTGGGATATATTATAAATTGCATGTAGAGGTTTTTCATTAGTTTAGTTCGTCGACGTTGTGTGGCATTTCTTATTTTTGTATAAAAGAATATTTTTTCGAGCACTGATTTTGAGTTCTCACGATGGTCCCCAGCAAGACATCTCTCAGATCTAGAGACTCTGACATGATATGTGCGTTTTTCATATATTGTATGGGAAGAAGTTTCTTTGTTTAAAACACAAGCATCTGCGTTAGTTAATTTGTCTATGTAATAAAGAGGAAGGCTGACAATTCAATGCAGTACGCACGCAATTATGGTAATTGACTAGCTGTATATTTTGTTAGGTTTTGTTCTAACTTTTACAGCCATAGATAAAATGTGGAAATAAATCATGTATTAGTGAGCAACAGGCAGAAAAGGTTACAAATCTGCTGATGCTTCTTACATTATGGGCAAATCAAACCATATTTTATAGTCAACATAAACATTTATCCTGCCACCTGCAGCCATACTGTTTTTCAAAATTTATTTTCAAAAAAGAAAATCCTCCCTTAAAGCCCTAATTTTATTTCAATTATTAATATATTAAGCTGTTGTACTCTAGAAATGCAGTCTTATACCCAGGTGCATATTAAAATGCATAATCCTACAATAAATGCAACCTCATACTTAGGTGCTTTGTATACTTTCCAAGCTCTCCCTCATATGATGCTGCAATTATTTTAAACCTTTTATTTAGGTTCTTGCTTATAGCTTGGCTATATAATATTTTTTATGCTTATTGAACTATTGTAAACTATTATAATTCCTACTGCGTATAACCTATTGTAATTGCTTGAAAGTTATTTTAGAGTGCCGCACTAGTATATATTGCGATGTTGAAAAATATATCTTGAAGGGTGGACCACTGTGACTCTTGTTTAAAAACGATGCAAAGCCCATCGTGGACATATCTTAACACAACATTCTAGGCATCATAATTGAATTGACATGTAGCATTGTCTGGTTTTGGTTATTTTTAATTTGAAACATTGAGGAGCAACTGCTTAGTTTGTTAACAGGAGAATAACTGAATAAGTGCAAATTTGTGCAACAGACTTAATTTACAACATCTTTAATAATTCTGAGAGTCAAATACAGAGGCGCAAGCATTCTCCAGATGTACGTGTTATAGCAATATATAATTATTTCACAACACTTGTATATCACATGGTTAAAACTTTGCAGTAACATGATCCATACATTGACTATTTCCCGCCAGGGAAACAAGTGAAAAATTGTTGCCCGCTTCTTGTCATAACAAAATAAAGTGGATTTTTTTTAAATGAAATTGTTGTGTAACATGTGTGTTAATTTTCTTCCTATATAAAATAACAAAACACTTCATGTACACTACCTTGAGAAATAGTGAGTGTTGTTTTCCGTTGAGTTTCAATGTTTCCCTGGACTCTTGGGAAAACAAAACTCACTATTTCCCTCTGGAGCATACATAAAGTGTATAATGTACCTATATAATAAAAAGCAGATGGCCAATAACCTTTTATTTGCATGGCAATGTACATTTGACACATCCACTTAGTCACTCTATTGTGTAGCAGTATCTTATGAAAATGTTTGTCTGCAAAATCTACAAAAACTAGATGGTGGGGTTTAACTAAAAAATGGTGGGGTTTTTTCTGTTGAGAAGTGAAAATAGTGAAAGCGATATGTCTTTATTATTAATATATTCTTATTTTCATTATATTAGCTTTTTCAATCGTACCAGGTGCCCATATTCCCAGCACACAGTGTGGACTTTTTTAATAAATATATAATTTCTTTGACCAAAAATTAGCATAACAATTTGAATCAACTAATGCCTTCTCCTGACACAGATGTTTGTAGTTATTCTGGTTCCTAAAGGCTATTCTGGCTATAGGTCTACAGCATGAGTGTGTCCATATATTAAATGAGTGCATTAATTATAAACCTTTTGCTTATCAAGGACTAGTTTTGGTAAACGATTATTTAAAATCTATCGCACAAACTACGCAAATATCAATGATTCCTTAGCCCCGCTACTTCTATATCTGCCTAGGCTAAAGCCTTGCAGGAGTTGCGGAAGAGAGTGCCAAATCACAGAGGAGGTCAAATGCCTAAGTTTACTTCAAAAAACTGAAACTGAAATTTTACTATATAGTATAGAGATCATATTCCGTCTTTCCCGACAAACAATATAATATTGTGTCAGTCAGTCAAAGGAATATTAAATAATTCCATTATTCTTGTGTTAGCGTTTCCATTTTGATAACGAAATATACATATGCTATAAGTATACGGGCTAAGAATTCGGCTAAATCCTGCCGGAGTCTTGTATAGAAGCAGGGTAAAATTGTGCCGGATAAATTTAGGCATTTCATTTCTTGGTGTATAAACGAAAGGAAACTCGAAAGGTCCTCAAATCCACATTTTATATTTTTACTTTTAGTGTATAATTTTCTAGTATTGACGCAATTTGCTATTGCTACGTTTTAAATTTAACCTATGTCATGAATGCTGGGCGATATGCAGGCAATAACTGCCAAAATAACGTGAAGAAAACAATGAAATGTCAATGCAAAGCCTATAGCTTTGCCATACAGGCTTTAGGGGATGATTTAGTATAACTATAGAAGTGTATAACATGTTTTTATCAACATGAAAAAGAACTTGCATGTAATTGCATGTTGCCAGACCCAAGGCCAAGAAGGCATGATCAGCATAAACTGATTAATCGTTGAAATATCTACATGCAGATATGTACGGATGTAACTCTGTAAATCTTTTCTGAATCATCTTCAACGAATTCTTTTAGTTGAGAAATGCAGTCGAAATTGTGTGGCCATTGATGCTTTTTCTAATCTTGGTGCTAGTAAGAAAAAGACGCCCTGCTGCATTCCGTGATTCTGGTACGTAGTCGTGGACTGTATATCATATATGTACTGAATACAGTTTTGTGCCTTTACATATTTACTGTAAATTTAAATGCTTGTGAACATGCACATTTTCAGATATTTTTGCACTGACTTTTTTCAGATATTTTTTATGTTCAAAATTTTCTATTCCCATGCAACTTATTGCAGTTCTCGCTGTATCTAATAACTTTCTTAATGTATAGTTTATATATATATATATATATATATATATATTATACAACATTCTCCGTTATGTTATGCTGATATTTAAAAGATTCTTTCAAAAAGACCACCTCGACCCAGTAGTTTCGCAGTACCTATAACAAAATACAAATACAACTATGAAATATCCGGTTTCTTGTAGACATTTACAGACCACAAGCTCTGCCGTCGGCTGGGTTGTTTCCTTTCATTCGTGGCTTTTTTTGTGACTTCATCGATTATGGTACGAGCTACAATGGCAATAATAGTGTGGATTTGCCAGATAATAAAATGTAAGTTTGTTGTTTACCTGCATGGTGTACACGCCGAATACACGAGATAATTTTAGAGCAAATTTACTGTGAGCTACGTAATCTCTGGTAGATCTCTGAAAAATTGCAGCTGGTTTTATAACCAATCAAAATGACAAAATCATCATGAATAATTGACAGTGCATGGGAATAAGGTTGTTTTTAAATCCTTTCAGATGTTACAGGTAAGTCATATTTTTGATCAAACAAAAGACGCACGTTGTATACTCTATACAGATTATATGGACTATACAATAAGGTGATTGTAAGGTGAAACAAAGTTCGTTTGAGGCTAATTCTCATCTTCTCACTTACACCAGTTTTATACGTCAGCTTTTCACCCGGGCGATGGGGCATTAGTTCCGAGACTTCACATTTTGCTACCATGCACCAACCCAACCTTTATGACGTCACATGCATGAATCTCAGCCTCAGGAATTGTCTGTAATGCTCATCAGATGAAAACGCGCGGAGGATTAATGTTAGAATTTTTTTAATGGTAAAATATATTGTATACATACTTGTTTTTCTTACTTGTACTTATGTGAAAAATATTTACAGGTTATTTGATATTTTCGAAGATGTTCAAAGTTTTCTTGAAAGTCGAGATCTAACCCGAGGTTAGTATATGTTCGTACTGCTTCCTCCCAAAACAATTCCCCTGTAAATTGCATGGTGTGATAATTTGCATTGGTGTGATAACACAAAAATAATCAATTTTGATTTTGGTGATTTCAAACGCTCCTGATCAGGAAGAATTACCGTTTAATAAAAAACATTAATTTTAGTTAGGAAAAATTATAGTGCTCCTTTCCTACGAGTTGAATTTCTTTTTACGCGTCCTTCTTACGCGAGATCTTGATACTTCAAAGATCTGTTACGAATTAGTTGGATTCAGGTTTCTTTTTTGACCAGCTTGGCAGGCAATGCTTCATCGATATTTGAGAGCTGCAAAAGATAAAATTTTCCTGCCATTCAACGACAATGGAAACTCCAAACTGTCGTCGTCATTGATATTTTTTGCATTTATCTTTCGTCTTAGATCCAACCATTTCGTCGCTTGTCGAGAGCCCAGATGATGTTAGACAGTTCCTCATCAAGAACCTGTCATTTTCTCCAAATTTAGCGGACAGCGTTTTGGACGCCAGAGTTAACTTTTCGAAGGTACAAATGCATATTCCAGGTCGTTATCCTATTCTATAACATAGTCAGCTGTAACAAATATTATTATCAAGTTTTCACATACCATCTTAAATATTATATTTTTCAGTTCAATGGAAGAAGTCCGCCGTTTTTATCAAGACTGTTGCCATTTATGGTTCTTGGTCAACCTTTACAAAACAGAGTAAGAACTAGTGAAATATATTCTGCAGGCTAAAAGACGTGCAATCATGCAATATAACGTGATAGAATGAAAATTAGAATGATAGAAAGAATCCAGGCTATTTTTTTCAAAAATGCAGGTGATATTTTGATGTGACTAACGTATATCAGTGACAGGATGTTTGGTTAGCGCTATACGCCCTATGCCATTCAATGACTTATTATATTTTTGAGAATTATTACTCATTATTGCGATGTCTTTATATTTCTTTAGACAGTTTTGTTCAACAGTTTACAAAGAGCTTGCAATACTTCGTCATGGGGTGGATATCTTATATTTTCGTCGCCTGAAAGCGAAGTAAATCGTTCGTTTTTACTGTTTTCACTGTTACAAGCAATGCATAGCAAATCATAACTTAATTCTAATGCAATCTACAGATATATGCATGGTATTTTATAACGCCTTTTTTCGTAGATTACCATTATAGTAATTTGTGTTTCTTGGTTCTAACAGATGGCATTTCATGAGGCTATATGTAATTTAAGCATATCTCAAGTCAATGAGCTCCCTCTTGAAATGAGAAATCAATTGAGGCTTCCTAATGGCATAATAAAACTGGTAAGTTTGCTTAGAAGGGTATATAGGTTTGAACTCGCATGCAGTGCATGTGAGATTGCTTATAGGAACTTGCGGAGGATTTTGTGTTTTTTGGATTGTGAAGTTGGTGTTTGAATAACAAACCAAGCATTTCATTTCCTCAGTTAGCGATTTTGTCTTTTTTCCCAACAAATTATGAATCGTTATTTTAGGCACAAAAAGTACAAGAGAATGGTGGATGGTACGAAGCAATTTGTGGCCGGAAAATGGATCCTTCTTTGACAGGCGAAGACGACGGACCAACTACGATGAAGCCAGAGGAAGAAAAAGAAAAAGAAGAGGCTCAAAATAAGATTAAAAAAAATTCCTGTGCTTGGATGACACCACTGGATAAAAAAATGTCAGAATTTCATAATTATACAGGTGGGTGCGATACGATATATTTTGCAAATTATATATAGACTTGCATTAGGGGGATTCTAAAACTTAGTTTGAATGACCAAGTATTATTACAAAATTAGCGGGTAAAGGCATTTACTAAATCAACGTACATGTACACTTGGTTATCACGCCGAGCGCTAATATATAGTATAAGATCTAAAGCTTAATTTTTGTATTATTTTATAGGCAATGGAAAATGTTCAGCAGTAAAACCTGAGCTAAGGTCCGACTGTGGTTGGGGCGGAATAAACAAGAAGTCATGTGCTAAAATTGGTTGTTGTTATGATGACTCAATTTCTGACAAGTTCTATTGTTATTGTCCAGAGAGTAAGACGTGTTCAGATATTTTACCCCAAAATGATTCATAATTTGATCCATTTATGTGAATTATAAAAGACTGAATTTTCTGGGAATATTAATGGACCGCCCTTCAAGAAACCCCTTTAAAAAACTCTGTCGACAATGCTGCCCCTTTGTTATGTTTATTTAAACACACCTTCCCACCCAACGAAAAAATGGTGTTACATGGTATTTCCATAGGGAATGAATTATTTGAAATTTTGAATATTTCCCAGATGATAGATGCTGTAAGTTTCGTGCTTGTCTGCTCGATAATCTTGGCACAAGCTTTAGTGGCGGCGACTCAAGACGACGAAGCTTCTTTCTCCAGTTAATGAAGACGTTTTTATCAGCCAAGATATTATATACTCCTGATAATCAACACACACGTAGGATTATAGAAAAGGTCGGTAGCTATAAACGCGTCAGAGAGTAGGCTTTTAAAATGTGAAAAATATATTAGTTGTCGTACGTGATGAAGTCTTTTGCTAACTTAATCGTTACTTTTTAACCTTTTAAAGGCGAATTTTACATTTTCTGAGATGGGTTTTGTCTGGGAGCAAATTCGTATGGCCGCAAAGAATGGAAATTTTCAGCCACCGCAAATCGATCCCCCAAGCTTTTTAAACTCTCCGAACTTTGTAAGTTATTTTTTTACGTTCTGTATGAGTGGATTTGAGTTGATTATTTTTTTGCTGAAGTTACTTCAAAATTACTCTACGCGTATGTTTCCGCGGTGTTGCTGAGCTTTGTTTTAACGTTTTCTCTTTTCAGAACATGTTGCGACTTCTTCTTTCTCTGAACGGAGGTGCATCTGGGTTTTCAGAACGATTTCAGACTATTGCACGGCTCATCGCTGATAATGGAGACTGTCTTTCTTTTGACTATTTCAAACCTGTGAAGAATGAGAGAGAGGCAGAGAGATTAGCGTTGACAGAAAAAGGATACCCACCCCTTGCAAGTATGTAAAATTTTAATGTTATATTTTATATACTTCGCTGTGCGTTTGGTATATTAGTAGAATTATTCGCCAGGTAATCGTTCCGTTTTTCCAAGTTATGATCAACTTTCTTTGATCAGGATAATCATGTGCCATGCTCATTATGTGATATTACCAAGCGCCTGCCCCTGCGCTTGTGGTAATCACTGGACACCTCAGTCGCGCATAAATAACATCAAATTTAATTCAATCAGTCTAGTGGAGACTTTCACCTATCTCCTCTTGTATGTCAGTTCTCGAAGCTGAGACTGGAGGATAGCATGGGAAGAAAGCGATAAATCAGAAGGATTATCATTTTATATAAAAATTCAGATTTAAAGTATTTTATTTCCATTCCCAGCTGTGGTATTTAAGAACGTACCTGACGATGCTGAAGAGTTGTCTCCTCATGTCGAGTACAAAATACGACAAGACATCGACACAGTTCAAAATCCACGATGGAAACGGCACAGGTTTGGTTCCTCTCTTTCGTTTTAACTTTGAATGATATTAGTTGCTCATCTTGTATACATTCATGCTTTTTTAGATATTGGCGGCCAGGCCCAGAAAACTCCATGTATAGACTGAGATATAAGTTCTTTGGTTTCATATTTTTGCAAGACATGATTGATCGAGGCATTACGGAGGCTCAGACAAATGAAACAGTTAAAACAGGATTGTTTCTGCAAATGATGCCTTACCCTTGCTATATTTATGACAGGTTGGTCTTTTCTTTTGTGATTATCTCGTTGAGTTGCAATATTCGCATATTGATTCGTCTCAATCAGTTAATTGTACATAATGCACTAAAAGAGAAGATATGAGGCTGGTATTGGAAACGCAATGCGATTCACCGGGTGAAATCGTGGAATTACTTGTAGAAAAATCGTTATTTTTCATCATAGGTTCTCATACACGATCTCAAACTCAATGCCACTGTTCATGACATTAGCCTGGATCTACAGCGTAGGAATGATAATTAAAACAATTGTTCATGAGAAGGAGACACGACTGAAAGAGGTGATGAAGGTGGGTAGCGGAATCTATTGCATTTATCTGGGTTCCTGTACTTAAAGGACAGTACTGTCGTTTTCCTAATCTTTGACACCCGATCAAACAGACGCTGAGGAGGACCGGGGGGGGAGTGATTTTGTCGTCCGGGGGGAGATGGAGAGGCAATTTAGTCATTGATCCTGCTACGTGCATCCACATAATCTCCTGTCATTTCCCAACTTTGAATTATTGTTTTTAGGTGATGGGTTTAACCAATTCCGTTCATTGGTTAGCTTGGTTTATCACGAGTGTAATTATGATGATGATAACTACAATACTTCTTGTCATGGTTCTAAAGTTCGGAGATATTCTTCAATACAGCGATCCTTCTGTCATCTTCGTGTTCTTTTTCGTGTTCACGATATCAACAATCATGTTCTGTTTCTTGATAAGCGTGTTCTTCTCGCGTGCTAACGTAGCTGCTGCGTGCGGTGGTCTCATTTATCTTACAACGTATCTACCGTATGTAATACTCACGATATTCGAAGAAAACGTCAACAAGTCGCATCTTATAGCCAGTGTAAGTGTTGGAAATTCAACTTTAATTGGCAGACTGGCAAATAAAGCGCAACTGCGCCTAAACATTTTCACGTTGTCTTTGACGTTCCCGTCCTCATGCTAAATCCGTCTTTATTAGCTGTATCGAACTCAAAGGTTCATCGTTAGGCATCAAAGTTTACCCCAGTTCACACGTTCGTATTTATATTTATTTTAACAGTGTTTATTATCACCGACGGCATTTGGTATCGCGTGTCGATATTTTGCAAGATTTGAAGAGCAAGGCATTGGTTTACAGTGGAATAATCTGTACTCTAGTCCAGTTTACGGCGATGAGTTCAGCGTTGGAGGAGCCATGAATATGTTAATTGTCGATGCTTTCATCTATGGTTTATTCACGTGGTATATTGAAGCTGTTTTCCCAGGTTTGTATGTACCGTGTTAAGGACCGTATATTAAGGCAGTTACTCGCCGTTACTAAGCGAGTGTTTGAGTATACTGTCGCGTTATCATATGTATGCATAACCTGTTTTTGCTATTATTACAAGCATATTATTTTTTTAATAAAATCAGGAGATTTTGGGGTACCCAAGCCATGGTATTTTCCGTTCATGAGGTCATACTGGTGTCCATCACGAAAAAGAAGCAGAACTCTTGGTTCGCATCATGATACTCAGATATACCGAGTACTTGGTGATCAGGTATGACATGCATGTTATTTTGTTTCTGAATTTTGGGCAAGTGGGTCTTTTAGCCGAACCTAATATTGTATGTATTACATCATAAATTTTCAGGCCGTAGAACTGGGATCAGTCGACTCTCCAGTGACACCCGCAGATTCTAATGTCGCAATGGAGCGGGAACCAAGACATTTACCTTTGGGAATTTCAATGAGAAATCTAAAGAAGGTATTTTTACTCCACATGAAATATGTAATGTAAAAGAATCATAAACGACTAAATTGGAATTGGATTTCTAAATTGGAATGTTGGATAGTGAAGGATACGTGATCGTTGATACAAATTTATTCAAAATGTTTTAATTTTCCACGCATTAGGTTTACAGCAATGGAAAAGTAGCAGTTGATGATTTGAGCCTAAATCTTTATTCTGGACAAATTACATCATTCCTTGGTCATAATGGAGCGGGAAAAACCACGACGATGTCGCTGCTGACCGGCATTTATCCACCTACTGAGGGCACGGCTTTCATCGAAGGAAGAGACATTCGGAGTAGTATGGACGAAATTCGCAACAGTCTTGGTATATGCCCACAATACAATGTCTTGTTTGATGATCTCACTGTTGAAGAACATCTCTGGTTTTACGCCAAGTTAAAAGGATTGGATAATAACCTTATTCCAGATGAGATTGAAAAGTAAGTTTTAATAATGGGGGTAACACTTTTATTAATAAACGTTATAGTTTATCCTAGAAAAAAATTTCTACCATTACGCCCTACATTGCTGAATGCTAACAAATCGGCCGTGACCTTCTTCGATGTCATATGTTGTATTCAGTGAATTCAACATTCCACGTCGGGGGTAAATCACAAGCGACCCTGATCGCATTCTGACTAAAGCTTTATTTGACTCGTTGAACCAGAGATCTTGATTAAAGGCTCGTATGGGAAAGACTGTGTTAATTTCTATTCATTAGGTTCCTCGCTAATTCTCATTTAATACCAAAACGGAAAGAAAGGTCAAGATTTTTATCTGGGGGAATGAAACGGAAGCTGTCTGTGTCAATGGCGTTTGTCGCTGGCTCAAAGACTGTGATACTTGATGAACCAACGGCTGGTGTTGATCCGTACGCCCGCAGAGCAATATGGGACTTGCTCTTGCAATACAAAAAAGGTGCGTATAATTTGACAAATTTCGTTCAATTTTTCTTCTAATCTTTGTATCTTGAAAAATAATGACCGACTATTAACGCAAGAAGCATCAACGATGCCATAAACCCTGTACCGACACCCCTCTGTCTGAAATTATTAAATTTTATTCACCGTAGCAGTGTATACTGACAAACAAATTGAAATCGGTGAATTGTACCTCCTTGTCATAATATGTACCTACTGCAAAGCATAACTTCAGATGACAGTGTTATAACATATACCCGGCTACAGAAATTATTCATTATTTCAGAAATTATTCACTCATTCCATTATTTCAGGTCGGACAATATTGCTGTCCACTCATCATATGGACGAAGCTGACGTACTAGGAGACCGTATTGCAATAATTGCTCAAGGCAAACTATGTTGTTGTGGAACTTCGCTGTTTCTCAAAAGTCAATATGGTAGCGGTTATTACCTTACGTTGGTGAAGAAAGATCTTGTGAGTAATGTGAAAACGCGAGCTCTTGACGCAGGACCAAGACGAGATAGCGATGATGATCAGAGTGAAACATCAAGCAGAAGTATTGATGAAGGTAACGTTCGACGTTATCTTTCGCATCAAATGTGGTATAACAACAGCCTAAGGGACAAAAACGTTGTTTATACCTTCTTGTTCTAAAATGTGCTTACTGTAAAGCATAACTTCAGATAATAGGTTGTTGCCAAATTAAATTTTGCTTTACTAATCTTTATTTCTTAAATGTCCAATCTTTCTACAGGTGTAAGTCTGGGAGATTCAGCCTCTGAAGTGAGTGAACTTGCAACAGACTACGATAAACCATCACAACTTTCACTAACTGCCTTCATCAAGTCTTATGTTGCTCAAGCGGAGTTAGTTGAGAGTGTTGGTACTGAGATGACGTATGTTTTACCCACTGGAGAGTCCCATGGGAGCAAGTTTGAGAACCTTTTCGACGCATTAAATCAAAATCTGGAGAGGTTTAACATTAGCAGCTTTGGTGTTTCTGATACGACATTGGAGGAGGTAATTGGAATTGTTTAGATCTTACTTTTTGTTGAATAACTTGGCTTTGCTTGAATTTTATTTCTTGATATTTATTGAGCTGTAAAATGTTCAACAGGTTTTCCTGAAAGTGGCTAGTGCCGGAAGTATTGAGGAAGAAGGTAAGCAAATGGTGCCGTATGCTTCACCTAAAATCGTCGGTTACTCCGTGTTTTTTCCATTGGTTGTTTATGTTCATTATATCAATTCAACCCTATAATTGGATTCGCTAAATAAACAGCAAAAAAGCTTTGACATTAATCTGACATTGTGCCTTCTCATCGACAGAGGAAGTGAAGTCATCTTATCCCACAAGACGTATCAGTGTAAGAAATGAAAAAAGCAAGTTTGAGCGTTTCAAATTAATGTTCCAGAGGAAACAGAGATCCACCGCGATTGGGTCCGTTGATGAAGATGATATTACTCAAGACGCAGGTACGTCTTAAACGACGTAAAGTTCACAATTCAAAAAAAAAATTGTTTTGTGGAGAAGAAAATTGTTTGTATAATGTATAACAGGATAATGTTTAATAGGATGGTTCGCTGTCATAAATATATTTAATTGAACCTATATATTGAAACATTTTTAGGGGAAGAAGATGCTTTGGAAGACGAAGAAGTGTCAAATGATATTGATGATGTTTTCAGAGCTCCGAGAATTAAACCTAAAGCAACTGGTTTAAATTTAATTAAGAAACAATTCATTGGTTTACTCAAGAAACGATTTAACCATGCAAGACGAAACAGAAAAGGCTTTATCTCTCAAATTGTTCTTCCAGCTTTATTTGTCTGTTTGGCAATGGTTTCAGCCATGCTTCGTCCTCCAGTTGGTCAACTACCTGCATTGAAACTCACTACAACTGATGCCATACCTCAACCTAATACAATGTTCTTTGCTGATGCAACACAATCTCCAAGTGGAAAACGACTCGCAGATACGTTAGTTAACCCCCCTGGAGTAGGTACGTACAGTATTCTTCATTTAAGATCTTTGATGTCCCTTATACTGCAAACATTAGGCTAAGTCGAGGACGGTCTTATCAACACCCGATACTTTAGTTCTGTCTATTCTTCAGGAGATGTAAGTTTAAGAACTTTGAGAACTATGCATGCACTGCAGCTTCGTACACGTAATCATGTACCATCACATGGAATTTCGCGAGTTATTTTCTTATGATGCACTCGACATTTAAAACTTATTGCTATAAAATAGTTATGAAGAAATTTAGGAACAAAATGTGTAACGACACCATGCAATAAGACGTAATACTATTCCTTGTTTTAGGAAGCTATTGTGTTCCTCTCAATTGCTCAAAAGAAAGACTTCGTTTCAATAAAGGCTACGCAACTGTTCCTCGCTCATCGCGATTTTTCCAATCATGTTCATGTAAGACAGGAACTGCTGTATGTTCAGACAAGTGTTGCAAGTATCCACCCCCAAAAGCTTCGTCAGATACTGGTGACACTGTGCTTAATATCACTCTCCGGGATTATAATGATTATATTCTCAGGACAACTAAACAGTTTCGCAAGAAAAGGTATGTCTAAGGTTTCTATTATAAGATTTTTGCGACTGTAGCAGGGAGTTTAGAAACGAAACCTCCGTGAGCTGAAAACACTTGATCAATTATTTTGCTTCTGATATATAGGAATAAGGATCTATAAATTGAGTTTACTGATTGAGAAACTCAAAAAATGCCTTGTTGTAATGCACTAGCGTGAAAATCATATTTACCATTCAGGTCTTTAGTTTTAACACAAAATGAACACACTTGGTTTAACCTGTATTTTTCTGTCATATTTTATTGTAAGATACGGAGGTGTCACATTTGGTCACAAGATAAATGTTCCTGAAAGAATTCGTAGTAACACGGATGCGAAAATCCGGCGACTTTTTGCAACAGAAGGAATTAAGGTTTGTTCTGTAATTCCCCATAGGCCTCAACCTGTTAAGTTTCTCGTGTAGGTATCCGTGCATGTAGCTAAATATTTTAATAAACTGTATTTTCCAGGCCTGGTACAGCAATAAGGGCTATCATGCAATGCCAACTTTCTTAAGCGTCGCAACTAATACTTTGTTACGTGAGCGAGTTTCTTCAAAAGGCACAAATCCAAGACGATACGGTATGTTCCAAATCTGATTGCTATCACCCACTCCCCCTGGTGTTTCTCTTTTACCACCCGAGGGAAAGGACACGCAGTCTTTGCTCAGCTGGCATATGTTCTTTACTTCCTTGATTTTTTGCTCATTTCTCAACCATGCACATCCATCACGATATTTTATATTTTGTTTTTACTCCTTTTTCAGGAATAACGACATATAATCATCCGATGAACTTAACAAAAGGAGAATTATCTGAAGCAACATTGTAGGTCCATTAAAATAAGTCAGCTATGTACCAGCATGGTTGTTATACATGGACAATTCTATATCTTTTCAAAATATTTTGTGTATTTTTTTAGGAAAAATATGACCCGAACTGACCTGGTAATGGCTATTTTTGTGATCTTTGCACTTGCATTTGTTCCTGCAAGTTTTGTTGTTTTTCTTATCAATGAACGTGTTTCGAAAGCCAAACATCTACACATGGTTTGTGGTGTGAATCCTCTTATATACTGGGTATCCAACTTCGTCTGGGATATGGTGAGTTTCATTTTTGTTCAATATGACAACATGCACCACTTAATGAAAAACGTCATTTATTGCAGCTTCAATTGCAGCATGTTATAAAAATACTTAAATAATGTCACCACAAACAAAATAAGAGTATTCAGCTTCGCCTTAACTCAACAGTCAAATGCAAGTGTGTTTCACTTTTGGACTTGGTTTTTAACGATTATTTTGTTTTTAGTGTAACTATTGCATCCCTGCATTTTGTTGTATCTGCATATTCCTCGCATTCCAAGAGAAGTCGTACACTTCAGCTGATAACTTTGGACCAACTCTGTTGTTACTGTTGTTATATGGGTAAGGGTCTTATATGAGTTGTTATATAAGGGTCGAAAGTTTAAGACGTTATCCAACGTCTATCCAGAGTGTGGCATTGCATGCATGATCAATTGTGTAGAACAGAAAAAAATAACGATTTCTAAATTTTAATTTTTCAGGTGGTCGATAACGCCTCTGATGTATCCAGCTTCCTTCGTGTTTGAGATCTCAAGCACAGCTTACATCGCCCTAATTTGTATTAATCTGTTTATTGGAATGAACACGACCATCGCGACTTTTGTTCTGGAGTTCTTTGACGATGATGCTGTAAGTACCATGTGAAAAATGGACATGAATCTGTTGTTTTTTAAAAGAACGTGACTTAAGAGATAGTTGGGTACTCAGATTGATATTGATATACACTATATGCTAATACATGACAATCCCTCTCTTATATACAGGAGCTCCAGCTGATCAATTCCTACCTCAAGCAAATCTTTCTCATTTTCCCAAATTATTGCTTGGGCCGAGGACTTATTGATCTAGCAAAGAATCAAATATTCGCTGACGTCTACAAAAGATTTGGTAAGTCAACGGCATGTGGCCGGTCTATGGAAAAAACATATATTTATTGGATATTTTTGTTGGTAACTTGAAACTTTGTGTTTAACTTGATATTTTTGGTTATTTATAGGTAGCGATATTTTTAAAGATCCATTGAGTTGGGACATCACTGGCAGAAATATCCTCTCTATGTTTGTGTTGGGTTTTGTCTACTTTGCATTTACATTGTTGATCGAATACAGGTTCTTCATTAAAAAAAGGTAGGTTTTACTATTCATTTAACTTGGAAGACGGTTGTCTTAAATACTCAATGAGCACATTATTGATATATTTAGGAAAGTAATTGGTGAGTTATCTAGTGGTGCAGATTGTGACGATGATGTCCGTAATGAAAGACAACGTGTTAAGAATGGTGATGCTAATTCTGAATGTCTTCGTCTTGTTAACCTGACAAAGGTGATAAATAATTATTTAAACCGTGTTTGGATGGCTTGATTTTGGATGGCCTGATCCAAACACGCGAGAATGTTATTAAGTTAAAAGCAATTATGAAGTCGTTACATTGACGTATTTATTATTCTTAGGTCTACCAATCCAAATTTAGTCGCTCAAAGAATGTCGCAGTGAAAGAACTTTGTCTTGGTGTTCCACGTGGACAGGTATGATCACGTGGTTTGACTTAGTTGGGAATATGTTTTAAAGGCCTCGCCGTCAATGGTAAAAGACACAAGGCCATTAGATGACAATTCATAAGTGCATTCTAGGCTTCCAAGCCAAATGACGTAATTATGTCTAACTATTAAACTAAAAAAGATGGGAGGCCACTTTAGGAGCCTACTGTATGCTTATCACGTGTTATGGGTCACGGATCATACATGCACGTCATCTGTGTACACGGAGCTTTGTATATTCGAGTATATTCATGTCTTCTTATGTGTAGTGCTTTGGATTACTTGGTGTAAATGGTGCTGGTAAAACTACAACATTCAAGATGCTAACTGGAGATATTGGCGTAACTAAAGGCGATGCTTACATTAATCAACACAGTGTTGTCGACGATATTTTGGCTGCGAGACAAAGTATGGGATATTGTCCACAGTTTGATGCTCTCAATGATCTTCTCACTGCCCGCGAACACCTGAAACTTTATGCCCGAATAAGAGGAATTCAAGAAGAGGATGTCAACCAGGTGTGTACAAATTCGCGAAGAAGTACCTCGCGACTACTTCAAGGTTCTTTAAAGTTTATCATGAGGAAAATCGTTCTACCCATGTTCCGCGCCATTTTCGAGTGGCATTGTACATGTGCATTTTTTATCGAACACAAACTTGCGAGATATTACAATTTATGAAATATTTAGCAAGCTCTTAGCTCGGGCACTACAAGGTAATGTTTGATCGACCCACGTGTTTATTGTTCTCCAATCAATTTCAGGTTACTGATTGGTGTCTACGCACACTCAATCTTCTCCAATACGCTGACCGGTGTGCTGGAAAATACAGTGGAGGAAATAAACGCAAATTATCTACAGCTATTTCTTTGGTTGGTGAATGCCCAATTATATTTCTGGTAAGTTTCAATTGCCATGTATGAATGATGGTGATATAGGTATTGTTACCGCCCTGAAAAGTATTACTCAACAATTACCAACGGCACGATTACCAATTCTACTCCGAAATGTAGGACATATGATGATAGTGTGGCTTGAGTATTTATGCATCATCTTTCAAATTTAGGATGAGCCGACAACAGGCATGGATCCAAAAGCCAGACGGTTTTTATGGAAAGTTATCTCTGACATTGTAAAAGATGGACGAACAATTATTTTAACGTCGCACAGGTGAGTACAATATTTATATAATGAGTGTAGGCATAACTTTGACATCCAGAACAACCAGAGCAAGGTCGTACTTAACATGTTACGCATCAATACATCTGAACAAAATAATCGTTGAACAAGTTTTTCATTAACTGTAACTAGCGTGATAAATGTGTAGAGCGAGTTTTTAAAATTGTTTCTCAGTATGGAAGAATGTGAGGCACTTTGCGGAAGAATAGCAATCATGGTCAATGGAGAATTCAAATGTATGGGAACACCTCAACACCTCAAGAACAAGTAAAAATACTTCTATATTTCCGTAAAAAAATTGTTCAACATTTTTTTTGATAGAATAAATCGCATTGTGCATGGATAATTTGAATTAATAAATATTTATAATTTTGTATTATTTATCATTTAATTTATAATTTGTATTCACACAGATATGGAGATGGTTATACCGTTATTCTCAGAATTGCGGGAGTCATGCCTGATTTGGAGCCTGTAAAGAATTTCATGGAAAATACCTTTTTGGAATGTGTATTAAAGGTAAGTGTACCTGCAAATCACTCCAACGATATTTTGAGAAAATATTTGTGTTCCGTGGAAAATCTAAATCGATGGGATCACAGTTATAGAATTATCGTCTTGATTCTTTTCTACCGACTTTCTTGAAGGATCAACATCATAATATGCTGGAGTATCAGTTACATAATGAGAGAACTTCTCTGTCTTTTGTATTTGGTGAGTTGGAAAGAAGTAGAGAACAACTGAGCATCGAGGAATACTCCGTCAGTCAAACAACGTTAGATCAGGTATGCTCAGGGTCTTTGCTTTTATTGGTTTTTTTCTCAATATATTAGAAACTCTCGAGTCTTGCCTGCATGATTGATAACTTCTAGCAAATAGTTTTTAGACGTTCATGAAGACATATTACAAGTTAATGAAAGTTCTGCTGCCATACTATTAAGCTATAGCTGCTTTCCTGTACGAGTTGTCAGAATCAAAATTATTGCATGTAATTGATCGCTTTCAGTACACAACAACCTCGCATATAAACGCTATTTATATTTGTCCGCCCAAGGATACGCCGGGAAAAATTAAATTCTTGCATATCGTTATAAAATGTCCATCAGTGCAACTGCACATGCGATCCTGTATACATGTATATATTTTTCCTTTTCCGCGCACATTCCTCTCCCTAATTCCACAACAGTTATTTACACTATAGTAAGCATGCAGTTTTTATTCCAACGTTGATTGGGGTTTTTATCGCTGTATATAGGTTTTTATTAACTTTGCAAAACAACAAACAGACGGAATGGAACCAATCCTACCGTCAGAATCTTCAGATCGTTCGGAGCCGCACAGTCCGATGATTGGACGACATTCGGACCGACCTGTTGAAGTGTAAAACGATAATTTCTCCCACTCTAATAATAATATTGCAGTTAAATAAGACTTTTTTAATTAATAAATATGTATAGATATAAATTTCATTGAATATAATTGTGTGTACATGTTGGCAACCATCTGTATATCCGGCATGGCCTTTCTCATATGTTTGTATATAGATTTGTAAAATTTCAAATGAATTGAATTTTAGACTGAATTTATTAAACAAGTATATACTAGTGACTTTTAGTGTATATTATCTATATGTTGTTTACTTGTCAATTTGTGAACTTATTATACTAACCCCTAAACCTTTAACACATTCTTGAAAAATATTTTTCTTTTTTGACCGATAAATATGTATTTAACCTCATTTTCGTTTTGGTAAAGTCATTTACTGCGCATGCATATATGCCCGGACGACTCTGACAAAGCCAGTCGTCACAACTATCATGCAGCTTTATAAGACTGAACATACGATATTGGTTGGTAGCTGTTGCAAGTTCTAAAAATGTTGATAGTCAAAAGACTGAGCACGCCTTGCTATTCACGGGAAATCTTGTACACAATATTACTCCTCAAAGACAGGGCAGTCACATCTCACTGAGATAATCCGCGTATGCCATAGCGCCATCAACAACAGGCTCCATTATTACAACATCGAAGACTTTATTCAGACATTCTCTGACAGTCGAAACGTTTACCAGTGGATTTTCACAAATAGAAATTTTACGAAGTTTGGTTGGCCATTCTGTTGACAAGACATTTCCGAAATGAAGAAGTGAGGAGGTTGTCAGCTTATTACAACTATAATAAAATATATAACTTGGTTAAAGGGTTAAATAAACCCCTAGATCTTATGATTATACCGGGTATGGAGTGCTGAACTGATAGATATATGATCAAACTGATATAGATTTATATTTTTATGTTTGTTAAAGGCCCCCATCACAGAGTAATTTTAAGGATTGGTTTTCACCTAATCGTATAATTGTCTTGTCAAGTTGTGTAGTCAACGATGACAATTACCATATGAACTAATTCACATTGGTGTAATTGATTTATTCGCTTGAATGAGAACCATTCGACGTAATTAAGGCCAAACGGGTGTGTATGCATGAATAGCGAGTATTTCACAAGTTATGCACACTCGTTTAAACCACTTGCATAAACAAAAATGCCTAGAAAATAAGGAGTTATAAGAATACTGCTGTACAAGGCTGTGGAACTGTGACTGAACCCAGGTATTTAAAACGAAGTTCCAGCTAACTTTTATTTTAGTTCAGTGCATTTCGTTCGCTGACTTAGAACGGCAGGCAGACAATTTCACATTTGCTTCCTTTCTTTAATCTCGTCATTTTCGGTTATTTTGCAATCAAGTGTTTTGTGTAACTCATATTTGTATTCCTTATCATTATAGAAAGAACGTCCTGAAGAATATTCCGCAAAAAAACGTTGGGATGGAATAGACAAAGAAGAATTATTTTGGCATTTCAGGTACCCCACGGTTTCGATATCAGGGTTGCCAGATGGGATGAATGAATAAGTCAAAAACTCAGACAAGACTAAGCTAAGCATGCATGACTGCGTTTGGCTAATTTGTTAGGCCTATATAGCATCCTGTTTGAAACTATTTTACACCAGCATATTTTTACGATTGACATGAGCGGAAAACTATCGGTTCTAAAATTAAAACTTTAACTTGGTTTTTGCTTGTGAAATAAGCATAGGAAAGGCGATAGGCAATTAAAACAAAAAAATGCGAAGACTCAAATTAGCAAAGTCAAAGAGGAAACGAAAGAATTTCAAAAAACAAAAGAATCTTGATAACTAATGCTTACCTTAAATCAAGAGTGTTCAATTTTGAAGTCCTGCCATTTATGAACACGTCGCTTAGTTGAAATACACCTGCATCACCTTGACGTGCATGAAATAAAATTGCTTAATTTAAACTGGAAAGAAATGCCCTACCTTCGAATGTAAAGCAAGACCAGTTAAGGCATTTTAGGAGCTCAGTTCCGTTACTATACGTAAAACTATGCTCAAGAAAATGCTGATCGAGTACTGACCCAATCTGTTTCCAGCCAACAGCAATACTTGTAGGATTTTGTTTGACGACAGTGACACTACCACGGCATCAGGAATAACTAAAATTAAGTCGCAATTATTGCATGTGTGCTGAATCCATAGGGCGATGCATTAGACATAGGGCGATGCATTAGATAATATTTAACCCACATTTATTAACATTTATACACTTTGTCACACAACAACTGCCGTTGCTGAGTTTTTGCATTACTCAAGAACACTTTCTCTGATCAATAGCACAAATGCTGACTTGTGAGATTTTTATCCAATAATTCAATTGTATATACCAAATTCATTCAGAGTGCAGTATTTTCAGTCAAAGACTAAGTCTTCTACACTACATTGCGTCAGGCATGATGTGAAATAATTAACACGGGGTCCAGGTTATATTTTGACTCGGCAGTTCGTGTTAAATTTAAACGCTTTATAGCTACAGTATTTAGGGGATACCAATTAATCGTTTTCATCACCTTCTAGGCTACAATAAGATAAATCCAAAAGTACCAAATGACTCCTTGAAATAAATTTACACAAACTGTAACTTTGATTCATATCAAAAAGATTATTTCGTAACTCCAATTTTCTGACCACCTCATTACCTAAAAACATAGTAATAGAAAAAGTAGCCATATAAATAACATAGCTACAGAGGTCACTCAAACATTTTCTATAATGCAATAAGACAAATATTTATACCTGCAATGGAGTCAAATATACAGGAGATATCGTCTGTTTTCAGACCACACGAAGGTAATGAGATATTTCGTAAACTACGGTTGTGTAACAGTGAGTTGGCGAGTTCCTTTCCACTGCCACCACTAATATCGTGAAAGCTCAAATATAAACTTTCAATGCCACTTGTTATATATTGACGTCTTGAACTTAGAAATATAGCCTGTTCATTCTTCTCTCTGTGGCCTACAAGCGGCGAGCATCCCGGATAAAGTGGAAGAACCATGTCTGCACCAGTGTCTATTAAAGAATGGAGTCTATCTTCCATCAACAAAATTTCACTATTTTTATGAGCAAAGCCTCGTTCTTCACAGAATGAACAAGTTTCCAGCATCTTTCCAAAGCTACCAATGTTAAAAATGAAGCCACCTACCAAACGTAATGACCACAATCCTTTATGTGTTTCTGTTGATCGACAGTTCTCGCAAGACGACATGAGCATATCGCAAAACATCTCCATTTGCCAACTTAGGGATTCATTCTCAAAAACAAGATAACGTAACGATCCATGAATTACAAGTTCATTAACGCTGGTGAGAACCTTGTTCATTTCAGGAACGAAACGTAATCCAACATCACACAATTCAAGAGAAAGTAAGCTAACAAAGTGAACCAATTCTTCGGAGAACACTCTCAAACTTTTGCTATCCATTAGACAAGAAGAGAGTTTGAGATCAGTCAAACAATTTGGGCGAAGTTGATTCAATGTTATTTCACGTTTACGTAGAACTTCTTTTGACGTTCGCATTGAAGAGGAACTTGCCATCGTGATCGTGTTCACATAAGGGATTTCTTGACAGGTGTCAGATAGTGAAGATTGTCTTAAGAAATGAGACTTTTGGTTTCCACTAAAGCACGCACCACAGTCGCTTACGACCGGCGTGGGATCATTCTTATCAACAAGAAGGCTTCTATGTGTCTCTAGTGATTGTGATTTAGCAAGAGCTTTTAAAAGTGTTTTCAGATTTTCCGTATGTTCAACTTTACAGTTTGACAATGAAAATGACTTTAGTTTGTTAGGTAGTAAAACGTCCAATATTTGAATCAAAGCCGCAACACTCCGGTCCTGCAACTGGTTCATTTCAACTTTCTCTAGTACGAAAGCAAGTTTCATGAGCAAGTGAGGACTTTGTGAAAGATAAATACATGTTGTATTATGACTAATTCGAATTCTAGTAAGATGCTTTATACATAGATCAAGTCCATCATTCATATCTGAAAGAGAAAGATAAGAGAGTTTGTGTCTTGTGGTCTGTCTTGTCTGAAAATCACATCTTCTAGACAAAAGATAGACTAATATATTAGTACTATATGTACTGTAACTGCATGTAATGCAAGGCAGGTCCAAGTTTCAAATGTTACTACCAGTGCTACATGTGGTGATTGTGGACACCCCAATGTGTTGGTATATCCATAGGACTGCCAAAATCATTTTTTTGGGTTTGGAACAATTAAAAATTTGGTCTAAATAAAAAGTTGGGGGGTGGGTCCCTCATTCACTTTATGGTTAAACTGCTGATTTTAAACCTACATTAAGCTTAATTATTAGCTTAAACTAAATAAAGCAAAGTGCTAAATCAATTTATAATTTCATATAACTGATCGATAAACAATACCTTCAAGTTGGTAACTCTCCTTCAAGGCAATTTCGTGAATAAGCTCATGAAAATGTCTCTCAAAATATTGTGTTCTCCACGGCTTCGAATTGAAACAATGACAATTCAATGTTGGCAATTTGACAACATGTTTAAAGTTACTTATGAAGTGAGCCTTCCACAATGAGTCAGAAGAAATGCCTTGAAAATCAGAGAGATTGCTCTAAATTGAAATATACATATATAAAAATAAGCATGAACATTTTAGGAAAGGCTCTACCTTTCAAGTTTAGGAATTCTTCATTTTCAATTGTTTCCAAGTCATATGGCTTTAGTCTCTGAAGGATTTGTTCAAGAATGTGCTTTGGCAAATCTATATTATTGTAAATTTGGATAATTTGTTTAGAACTTTTAAATAATTTCATAAGAGATGCAGAATCATTATTTCCATTTTCCATAATATAGTTTACACCTTGAGAGGTCTGAAATGAATATACCCCAGTTAATGATAATGAATCTACATACCTTTTATGTATGTTATATTGATTAAATTAAATTGACGGCTAATCACATTTAAACACATTTCATACAGATCTAGGGACATCGTTTCTGGTAAGTGCGATATGCCAGGGCAGATAGGCGCTGGACGTTTATAATGTTCCACTATCTACCGTTTGGAAACTCAGAACTTGGATTTATTGTTGGTCTCTTTTCGTTCCTGAGCCTGCGAAGCTGCGACATATACCTTTGTTGAGTTTGTTCCCCCGAGGGAGAGTCGTAGGCTGCGAGACAGAAACATCCGAACAGATTAACACACCAGGTCCACGGTCCACCTCCGTGATCAGAGGCGTACTTAACTAGCCATACCCATAGTCGTACCCGAGAATGACCGTAACCGTGTTAAAGTAACAATTTCATGCTAGACTGACACAAAGTCACAAACCGTGTTTACGTCACAGTCTACTGCATGAGATGGACGCACTTGAGCAACCTCGTGCCCAGAGTCTTCTTGGCAATTGAGATGAACGATTGCTTGAATCAAATGGAGGTGAAAAGAGTGTCCGCATCCAGATCTATATCAAAACGTTTTACTTTTGCCAGACGATGGTGCTATGACTGCTATAGCTCGTTTAATATCTGCTTTACTAGGATTGTCTAAAGTAGATTCATCAACGACTTAACGACTGCAATGCAATCCTTTAATTCCCTTGCCTCCTTTGCCTCTGCTGGTAAATGGATGGAAAGAGGGCACTCAGGGCAGCTGCCTCTGCTTCCACCCTGTTCTAACGTCACAAGATATTGCAGAACTAGACGCACTAGACTAGAGAGGGGTCTGCAATACAAAACGATATCTTCATATGATACAATGTTGTGCACGAAGAAGACAACAATCACGAAAATTCAGCATTTTGTTTAGTTGCTTTTTCGAAATGAAGTTTTTTAGTGGTCTGTTTTGTTATAGGCATATAGTCAGTCTCCGCTATTTTCATTCCACTGAAATTAATTTGAAAAGCCACCTGTCAACAAAGAAGGATATCCTATTGCACTGTTTCTATAGTTACGAACACATTGAAGCTTTATTTTAACAACACATTCACCCAGTGTAGAATTGCCTGTGCTGATATTGTTTCATTTTTATCTAATAACTATCGAATTAAGTAAGATCTAGAATAAAGTAGAACGTAAGAAATGTCTTCCGATGAAGAGTCAATCGAAGGTGAAGAAGGTCCATATCTTGGAGAATATGAAGGAGAGCGAAATCAAAATGAGGAAAGACACGGCAAAGGAAAGGCAAAGTTGCCTAACGGAGATACTTACGAGGGTTTTTATGAACATGGAAAGCGTAATGGACAAGGAACGTACAAGTAAGCTTTTGCGTGATCTAGACTTAGCGTAAATTAGTTTATAACACATCAGTTCAGCAATTTACCCCAGTGATTAAGGCAAACGAGCGTGAAATTATTCATACACTAGCAGCTTCATGAGCAAGTATTTGTATGATCTTAACAGTATCATAATCATAGTTATATACACAGTAGAGAATTAGTGACAAAGAGTTTTTTAAACTCTCGAGATCATGTCAGTGGTGTCACGTTTTGTTAAACCTCCCGGATTGGCAAGCAAAAGGGGTCGGAAGAGAATCTGGGAAAACCCGGCCTGAGCGTGTCCAGTGAAGAAAGTCTTCTCTTTAGATTTAGAAATGGTGCACGATACACTGGCAGTTACACGAAAGGTAAAAAGAATGGTTACGGTACATTCATCTATCCAGATGGATCAAAGTACATAGGAAACTGGATAAATGACGAAAAACATGGTTTTGGAACATACTATTACGTCAACGGTGATATTTATGAAGGAGACTGGTACGAAAATAAGAGACATGGGCAAGGTAAACTAACGAATATATTGCCTTTCCAGCCTCCCCCCCAAAATACGAACGGTTCTAAGTTTCTGAGTCTGACAGATTATGCAGGATCAGAGTTGCTTTTCTGCACAAACATGAAATGCAAAGTCTCGACTCTTTCGTTAAGAGCGTGAGGAATAACTGTGGGTTACTGGGTTCAAGATTTTTACTCTCACCTCAAGGTGTCTTTTTAGTTGTATATCATAGGACAAACCAGGAAAAATTGTACAAAAACAGCATAAGTACTAACACTTCCTAAATGTCTTCAGGTGTGTATACTTTCAATGTGACTGGTTCTCGCTACCAAGGCACCTGGACCAAAGGTATTTGTGAAGGTGCTGGAGAATTAATTCATGCAAATCATCGTTACTCTGGTCAGTTTGCAGACAATTGTATGAAAGGAAAGGGAAAGTATCTTTTTGATATTGGATGCGAACAACTGGGGGAATACAACGTCCAAGAAGATCAAATACAAGGAGAAACAGAAGAAGATGAACCTACTACTGTACTTAAAGCTTTGTGGAAACCAAAAACATTATGTGGTATTGAAGGGCAAGCATCATGAATGAACACAAATATGCAAACATAATATGTTATCCATTTATATTTGCAGTGGGGATCAGGGGGTGTAAACATTTAAGTCCAAGTTAACACATGTAGAAACATCATTAAATATATTGCATACTTTTTCATAATCATATCCTTAAATGTAAATTTACTTTTATCAGCAATATCTTTTATTCTCTATTTATATTTTCAAGATTTATTAATTTCTCAATCTTTTTATACTTGCAAGCTTGTAGGTTTGTGTTCATTTACATAATAAATGTTCATAAATGGTAACACAGAGCTTCTCGCTCAATCAGGTAAAACTTCTATAGAGTATTCTATATTTATTATAATCAAACTAAACTAAATGAAGTTGAACACAAAAATATATTTGTCCTTCAAATATTCAATTTTTGATTTAAATTATACATGTATATAATCTTCCTTTAAATATTTTTTACACTACTGGCTTTATTGCAACATCACTGTGTACCTAATTACTTGGCATTTTTTTTTGGAAAAAACATAGCAGCTATTTTTCTGCAATGGAAAATCTCATCTAAAGATGCAAGCTACTCCTTACAAAACTGGTTGGACTGGGAAGTTTCCTTTGCATGTGAGTTGCTGGTCAGAAAAAAGGTTGGAAAACAAAGAAAACTTTCCAGTCACAGGTTCGTAGATTAGAAAAAGTGCCAAATAAGCTACTGTGTGTGCCTCAATGTGGTTGAGGGACATGGCCATCAACATAAAAGTTCCTTGTGCCTTTTGGTAAGGTCAACTCAATACCATCCATTTCTTTATTTAAGATAATCTGACAACCTAAATATGTAGTAAACAAGATGCATTAACAACTTAAAAATGAGGCAATATTTAAAGATTTGCACAAAGTGAACATTTGCTATCCTTATTTTGCAAGTATCACACAGGCTGTTGGATCAAGACAAAAATTTGGGTTTTTTCCCTGAACAAATTGTTAGGGAATCAGTCAACCACTTAATATAAAACTTACTAAGTCTTGAGTTTTCCTGTAAAAAGGGTGCCATATCCAACATATCATCTTCCCTGAAATTATATTCACATTCATTGCAGGATTTAATTACTTCCTATGACATAATGACAATACAACATGTCTTTCTAGAAATCTCACCCCTCTTCAGGCTCAGGTAATATCTCAAAATACTCTTCTTTTACATAAACATGGCATGTGGAACAAGCCAGAGAAGCTTCACACGCACCTGTTTCCATTTCAAGAAAATTTAGTTGGTTTAGCAATTACTCTACAACACAGTGCTAAGTTTCTCAGTTGCGCCAGAAATCTCAGAAGGTGCCCCACAGATAAAATTTCAATAGGCATATAGACCTTATATACCTTCGATTTCCACATTATGACGATGCGCTAAATACATGACATTATCTCCGACTTTTCCCTGCACTGATATACATTGACCATTCTGATCAATAAATTTCACGTTGACGCTGCAAGGTATAAATATCGTATGCAAATTTACCCACACAATTTTATGAAAGTGTCGAAACTCGAAAGGCGGCCGGACGAGTCCATACGTGACTCACATTTCATCAGGAGATTTCGGATCTTCCCACTCGTATTCACCAGCATAACTAGCTCCTAAATGAAGGAAAACATTTCTTGCTTAAAGAGTAGACGAGTAATATGTCAAGAAAAGGTTTAAAGCACTTTACTTCCACTCTGGAACGTCCTCCAGCTCCACGTGGGTAGGTTTTTGCAAAAAACGACGCCTTTTCTATTACCAAAGTAGCTTACTGATGGACGTACAAATAAAGGAAGACAATATTTAATTAATCCAGCCATTTTACAGGCATTTTAAGTCAAAGTACATAATAAGTATCGCAGATAACTGGCAGAAATTACTCTGTATAACATTATGTCAGTGAACTTCATTATGTATGTCCGCCATCTTGGATTTGACAAGCAGAGCCAGAGCTTGAAGCCTGGGAACCACTGGTTTGCGGCGCATATTTAGGATCTCGGCGCACCAATGGTTCGAAAACTAACCTATTCTAAAATAATCCTGTCAGTGGTTAGCACTTGATATACTGCTAATCTTCATAAATACCTTCATTTCATCATTCACTTCGTAATCTAAACATAGATCGTGGGGAAATTTTTTCTGTAGGCCAACCATTTCAAATATCATTTTGCTGAAAAAACCCCTCGCAATATAGCCAACAATGAAAGCTTTTTTAGCCACCTGAAAAAGTCAAATTTATGGCTCGAGTATTTATATATATATTTCTTTTATCCAACATTTTTCTGACGTGTCTATAGATTAATCCAAACAATGTCGGGTTGACGATGAAAAGCACCATGGTTGGTAATCCTTAATTTCGCTCGGTTTTCTCTTTTTAAACTGATCTGTGCGTATTTACAACGGCAGTTACTATCGGACTGAATTGGAAGGATTTGAACAATTGATCTATGCTCTGGGCCAAGGTGAATGATTTATTACATGAATTGCAGAATAGAGAAGATGCAAAACCATTTATCAGCTCCAATCTGAGCAATGATTTGAAAGTTGTTTTCCTCAGCACGTGTTCAAGAGTGTGTCCTCGTTTCTACGTAACATTAAGGTGAGAGTAATGTCACTAATGTTTACTTTGAACTGAGTTTGAAGCATGTATATGCCTTACTATCCTCAAGGCATTTTAAAGGGTATATTGTATTGGCATATATAAGTATATAAAGGGAGCGGAAATAGTCGACCTTTTCCTCGGTTCGGTTGTTCGTGGTCAAGCGCCTGAATTCACTTGTATTTAATCAAAATGAGCACATAAAGCTTAGAAGATATGAGCGGTAAAGCTTAGAAGATCGACTTTTCTGAATGTTTTTATTAACCATGAATGAATGAAGATGCAAAATGTACAAAAATTCACAGAGGACTGATTTTATCATTCTGATGTCGCCACGAATTTTCACTTGAGCTCAGGTTTTATATCTTAATTCTGTAATAAAGAAGAACGGAATCATGATTCATGACTATCACTTCGGGACTTGGGTGGAAACCAGTTTTTCAGCCATTCCTTTATCCTTACCTTACCTCATCACACGCCCCTGTCAGCCTTCGTGCCGGGCAGAGCCCTGCCCCGCAGGGAATACTGACCAATATCAGGTAGTGCAGCTGGTTTCATTGTCAAAGCAAATCTTGGAACAGTCGTTGATTTCTGTTTTAGTAAACGACTATCACTTCGTCTTGGTGTCATTCCTTCCTCTTTTATTCCTGGCAGAAGCTTGGGCTTCCATGGATCACTGGAACCAAATCCTAGACTTGCTTGAACACCTGCGACTTTTGACGCAAGCTCAGGAGCTGATTCTCCGACATTTAAAGGCACAAGGGCTGCAGGTAGCCTGCACTCGGGTGTACGGTACGCGGGCTCAGGTCTGCCGTTGTTCACATTTTCTGTGCCCGTCTGTCTTATATTGTTGTGTGACATTGCGAGGCCTGTTCTCTGGCAAGTTTCTTGAATGTAGGAGTCCTCGTCATCGGACGGTTGTGGGCAAGGATCATATGTAGGCAGAGTATACGAAAGTTCTCTATTCATTTGATATTGGTCATTGATAGGACTGTGTTCTAATCTTTCTTTTGTTATTACGTTCTATAATTGATAAAGAAAGTAGGTTCACATGAAACTCAAGTGAAGACGATGTGACTGACTGGATAGATTTACTCATTCCACAGCAACAAAATCAGTTTGCCAAAAATAAGCTTTTCTCTCTCCATGTTATACTTTTCAGTGTTAAAGTAATGAGTCAATCCAATGTGGATGAAGAATATTTTTAGTTCAGTAATGGTCTATTAAATCCACTCCTCTGGTACTATGCCTGCGTAGGCAGGTGACGCGGACGCAACAATTGCATAAGGAACAATCATCTACCTAATATTGCAAATATATATTTTGCAGTTGATACGAATTCTCTAAGTTAAACTTACTTCAATATTCACTCCACGACCCAGGCCCGACATCGACCTTGACTCTAATTTTAAGCTCACTGGAGATTGCATTGTTGCTCCAATACCTTGGTATGACATTCGTCTATTCGGCGAAGCTAAAGAAAGATATCATGAATAACCACTGTGGCCTAATATTGTTTAACGTCGCCAAAAGTAATCAAGTATAACTTCTGGTAGGCAGTAATTTACTTCATAAATTGCCACTTTGACTTGATATCATAAAATGTCGTCAGATCATACCTGATCTTGGCTTTAAAACACCATCCCGAAATTTTTCAAGGCATCTTGTTCCGAGTTCTTTACGATCATAAATATATTTTTCTTCTTCTTTTTGTTTTCTCTCAAGTTCTTTTTTCATTTCAATCTGAGCCGAAACATTTCTTGTTGCACTTGTCAAGACTACTCCTTGCATAATTTTGCGTAGTTGTGTCATCGCATGCGAGTCCGGGCTTGCTGGCTTGGATTGAGTCAAAGGTGATTTCATGGCGCCTACATGAAGACAAATCGGAAAGTTTTTGTATGGGGTGATTTTTTAGATTATTATGATATTATGATAAGATGATGCAGTTTTTTTCTTACCTTTATTGTCTAAATGTATTGATTCTTTCACTAGATTTGTAGCTAACAATTCATCCCTTCTTTGACCATTTGAATTTGTTTCCTGTTCTCTAACGTTTTCATGCATGCCGCGATTTTCCATTCTTGTTTCTCTCTCCAGTGACATATCTGATATTGAACTTAGAACGAAAAATCGACTGTTGCAATCATTTTGAATGGAATTTCAAAAATCCCTTGAAGTTTAATGAATCTGGTGTTCCATGCATACATCTGATTTGGAATTAGTAAGATATTGCTGATCCATTACGATGTAGATCATGTAACAATGCTTTACTTCAGTATCTTAGAAACAGGGCTTGTCAACGTTCAGACGGGGCAAAGAGAATTTTTTTTCTCAAAATATCAATGTTAAATTCACAATTGTTAACACGCAGTTTAAATTTCTTTGCATGCGCAAAACATTTTGTGCATTCTCTGATGTTTAGGGGAAGATCCTTTTCAAGAACTAAAAAGTTTCATACCTAATATCTGACAGTGTATTCAGTTGATAATCAGGGTCCTGAATCATATCTTGATATGGCTGCTTCATCTCATATTTATCATTAGGTTTGTCTTCTAACGAAACTTTCGGATGTTGAAAATTTTTTAC